TACAGTGACCTCACAGTGGTGCAGGGACAGCTGAAGTTGTTAGGCTGGATAGGGGTGGCACGGGTAGATAGACAATATAGTAGCAAGAAGTGTATATTTGAGGGTAAGGATAGACTGATCACTGCCAATTTGCAGTGGAAAAGAACTTCTATTTATCCCCTGCTTCTTATGCAGGGCTATTAGCCTCTGGTGGGTCGCCGACCTGACAGCTGCAGGTGATGCAGTAACATCTGTCTCTACATGTTGGGACGCACGGTGTGATGGGACATATTTTCTTCCAGATGCTTGGATTACCTGGATGTCCTCAAATATAGACAAGCAAGTGTTGCAATTTGTGCCTTAAGCAAAGCTTGTAGACACTAGTCAATTGGTTCTTGGGGATGAGCAAAGGTACAGAAAGCCGTAGGGTTGACAGTCACCTAAGCAAAGCTTGGGTGGTCAGGGGTAGACTATCTGGGCAGGTTATAATAACCTTTGTAATAGTCAGGTAGTTGCCTAGCCAAAGACCGTGGCAACTGGTTGCAATGAGTAGTACAGAGTATACTGTCTGGCTTGAGAGCAAGTGAGATTCCAATAACAAAGTTGATTGACAAGGTTGAACACAATGCCATAAGGGCAGCGTGTCTACTTGCTATATACATGAGCAGAGGATTGCTCAGATTGCTCATATTGCTCAGATTGCTTGGTACTGAGTATACTGATCGTACCAAGTATACCAATCGTACCAGGTATACATGCCAAGTATACTGATCATACCAAGTATATGTGCTGAGTATACCATTCGTACCAAGTATACTGCTTGTGCCGAGTGTTGCCAACGAGGCCCACTGCTTGGGTCAATTGCTACTACAGTTCCTTGGCTTCTCTCGTATTGTTGCGTAGTCCTGTTCGTTCAGTGTTGTTGCGGGTTGCCCTTTGATCGTAACACAGGACAGGTTTGCACTCCAGAGCCTTGCCATCTCTCAGTAGCAAATGCAAGGACCCATGGTTGACGTGATGATATTCTACAGCCTTTTCTTTAAAGGTGCATCAGCCTTTGGCGCAGATTTTTGTAATGTTGGCCTTGCTGTTGATTGTTTTGTCAACACCCTCAATCTACCCTTAGTCAATACAACCCTGTCTGTTCATGACCTAAGACATCTCTGTGAGAATTGGATAATCTTGTAGAAAGTGAAGTTGAGGAAGATTGTATACCCAGGCCCTAGCAGCTCTTTTAACTGAAGAAGTGTGCAGTCTGGCAGTTTTGCCGGTCATGAGTGAGGATTGCAAAACGCAACCCAGTAGGTCAGGATACGCTAGCTTTGCTTGTAATGCATCTGCCTGCATTAGCGTGCTGAGTTGTTGTTGTAACATATTGTACTGAATTCGACGCTATACCTACAGCAGACCAGCCGCTGGAAAGAGTTCTGGCGCAAGCTAGCTTCCACCTTGCCCCGCTTCTTGGTCGGCTCTCTTCCGCTTTTCAGAGTTTGCGCGCCCATCGGTTTGCCCACTGTTCAGTCTTGCGCCTAGCCGCGCCTGCTGCGTTAGATCAGATGGAGCAAGCGTACATCATGTGAGGGAGCACAGTGCTTTTGTAGAGTCTGCGCATGTCTAACAGTCCAACGCCCCACGTTGAGCTTCCGAGGCTACTCAGCGTATTGACGGTTCTAGTTGCCTTCTGCCTGATCTTGTCTATGTGTTCCTTCCACTTCGGCTTGCCGTCTAGGGTCAATCCAAGGTAGTTTGTCATCCTGACATGGCTTGCAGCCAATAACAATCCACCCAGCCACTCCTCATGGAACCTCATGGAACCTCATGGAACCTCATGGAATCCCATGGAACAACACAGAATCTTCTGGTTGCTGACAAATGATTACAAATGATTACAAATGATTACAAATGCCAATGTATCTAGAACATTCCAGGAGCCAGCAGTCTGTCTATAAAGGCAGCCTGCTCTCCTGCTCAGATAACTCATGCTTGCAATTCAAACTCAATCCACTCCTTCAATTCACCTCAGCAACTCCTTCCTCAACTCACTCCTCACTGATCCTTTGTGGTATTCCCACACTTGGTCTCTTCTACACCCTTATCTCTGTTGAAGTCGTACTTTAAGCAAAGCTCGTAAGCACTATTCGATTGGTTCTCGAGGATGAGCTCTGGCTCTGGAACAGTAGGGGTAAGTCGCCTGGGTGAAACACCTAACGACGGCTTGGGGTAACGATGAGTAGTACAGGCAATCTGTCTAGCTCGAAGGTTGGTTGAGATCCAATAACAAACTTAATTGACGAGGTTGAACACGAACCATAAGGGTTGTGTTCCTACACATATATATACAGCCCACCAGATCTGCTCGTTGACGAGCAGAGTCGGTCCTGGCCAATCCGGATGGATTGCGGTTTGTCAACGAGCATCGTACCATGCTCGTTGACGAGCATCGCGTCATGCTCGTTGACGAGCACTCACGTGACCTTGCTCGTTGACGAGCTCCGTCACGTGTGTCAGCTCGGCTGAGAGCAATCCCCTAGGCGCCGGCCGGGCGGCCTTGTCCTGCTGCGCCTTCCCCCAGGCCTCCGTGTTTGGTTGGCGGTTACTTATTGCTTGTTGTCCTATCGTGGGACGTAGGATCGTAACACTGGCCCCCTCTCACACATGGGGACCTGGGGGAAGGCACAGCACAACAAGGCCACCCAGCTGGCACCTAGTGGGATCAAGCAGACCCACATGATTAGCCCATCAACAAGCAAGGTCACATGAGCACTCATCAACAAGTATGATGCAATGCTTGTCAACAAGCATGGTACAATGTGTCATGGACAAGCTCATGCAATGCACTTTGACCAGCTCTGGAGCAACCAAGATTGCCCAAGATCCCCCCAAATCACCCTAGCGTGGTAGAGATTTTTCCCTATACTTGCCCCTTCTCCTATACAGCGGACAAGACAGAGGATTGCTTTAGTTGTACTATGTTGCTACATCCTATTTTTACACAATGCTTGTGTGAGGGCTCGGTTTGGTCCCACCTGAGCTACACCAACCAAAAAGGTACAGTGACCCAATAGATATGGGTTCTGGGAACCAAACAGTATTGTTGCAATTTGTGCCTTAAGCAAAGCTTGTAGACACTATTCAATTGGTTCTTGGGGATGAGCAGAGGTACAGGGAATCCTTAGGGGTTTGACAGTCACCTAAGCAAGGCTTGGGTGGTCAGGGGTAGACTATCCGGGCAAGGCGGTAGTAGCCTTTGTAATAGTCAAGGTAATAGCCATTTAGCCAGAGGCAGTGATGACTGGGGGGCAATGAGTAGTACAGAGTATACTGTCTGGCTTGAGAGCAAGTGAGATTCCAATAACAAAGTTGATTGACAAGGTTGAACACAATGCTATAAGGGCAGCTGTCAGGCCTGGCTGGTGATATAGTACTGTTCCGGCTAGAGCTCACCATTAGAGTGAGCCGTGATACCTTTTGGCTTGCTTGGCTCAGTGGGCCGGACCTGAGTCTTGACAGCAGTGTGTCTACTTGCTATATACTTGTAAGGAGGTGCCTTGCACTATGCCTATATATTAGATGCAGAGCCCAATATCAGCAGTTGTGCTGATGTTGATGTACTTTTTGGCCATTTGGCACAATGGGGCTCTGCATTGTTACACTTGTACTGAGTATACTGCTCGTGCTGAGTATACTGCTCGTACTGAGTATACTGCTCGTACTGAGTATACTGCTTGTACTGAGTATACTGCTTGTGCTGAGTATACTGCTTGTGTCAAGTATACTGCTTGTGCCAAGTATCGCCAATGCAGCCTCACTGCTTGGGTTGCTTGAGTTGCTTAACTGAGAGTGATGATCATACTGAGTATTGCCAACGTGGCCCACTGCTTGGGTCAATTGATACTACAGTTCCTTGGCTCCTCTTGTATCATTGTGTAGTCCTGTTTGTTCAGTGTTGTTGCAGGTTGCCCTTTGATCGTAACAGGAAGCTGCTCATACTTGGGCTGCAATTGGGTACAACTTCAAGAGCAACTCAATGTTTTACAACACTCCAGGCAACAAGAATGGCAAGCTCTCTCTCCGTGTGTACTGCAATCAGATCCTTGAGCCAGTAGTCAATCCATGGTGTAAGGGACACAATCAGAAGCGGAGGTGAACCCTCCTGCACCAAAGGGTCTCCACCAGGAGACCAAAGGGTGTCCAAAGAGACCCTGCTAAGCAAGGACACCCTTTCTCAGGATCTGTCAGTAGAATAGAACGACAGATAGAAATCTTGATTATTGCATTAGTTGCTCGTCTCTATCGCCCCTTTATTACATATGGCTTGTTTATGGCAACACCTCCACGCTTGAAGAAGACAATGACTCTGGTCATGGTGGAGGCTTGTAACACCTACAACCGTATCCGCCCCAATACCGTATCTGCCCTGATACCGATGTGGTTCCTGCAGGTCTCAGCACACCACTCCTTGTCTGTCGCAAACTACCTCCTTGTCACCTGGACAAGGGTACTTCCAATTCCCCTCCGAATGGGATACTTAATGACTCCAATACTGTAGTTTAGATAGAGTAGTTTTTCTGTATCCTTTTGTACAAGACCTATAGGTGTAGGGAATTCAATCCTAGTGTTATCAACATCCCAGCACTCCCATATGCCTCGTAGTGGACTCACACTTACTTTGGACATCTTCCCTACTGGCCTGCGTCGTTACAAGGCTCAGGTAACAACATTGTAGCCATCTGGAAGCACAAAAACAAGCTTGACAGTTACTTCAACTGTCCTAATTCACCAGATCTTGCACCAATTGAGAACTGTTGGCAACCTCCAAAGCAGTACCTCAAGCAATTTCTGCATTGGGATGAGTTTGAAACAAGAGAGTTAGCATATGAAGGATGGCAGAAGCAAGTCATCCAGCAGTTTATTAATGAACGTGTTCTAAGTATGCCACAGCAATTGAAAGATTGCATTGAAATGGAAGGCAGAATAACAGGTCATTGAGCATTGCAATACCACAAAATCACATTAAAATAGCTATTCCATAGTAATCTACAGCTTTGAAAACCTTACAAGCTTTGAATTCAGGTCAAAAAAAATATTGTTTGGAACAATTTGTATGAAGTTTAGGTGGGGGAAGTTCTGCCAAGTATTTTGCGGTCGGCTCTTTTTTTCCTTCCCCGTGCCCACTTAGGCCGCCCATGAACCACCTCGAGAATTGCAACAATGACCTGCAACCACATTTAAACGATTGGAGAACATGGCGACGCACTTCAAAATTTCAGAAGCAAGACCGGCAGATGCGGAAGCGATAGCGTCACTTTTTGCTCTTTCGTGGGTCTCGCCCTTCACCCGTTTGCAATTTGGCCAGACTGAGCCGGCTCAGCTGGCGGCATCGATGGTACCCCGCATCAAAGAGCAGATGGTAACGGCGAACTCGAAATTCATCGTGGAGCGACACCCAGAGACAGACAAGGTTGCTGCTGTTGCCCAATGGACGGTGCCTGCTGAAGAAGAAGTGAGCGACGTGAACAAAGAACCGGAAGAGGATCGTGATGAGCGCCAACAGTTCGAAGATGAAGCATACAGGCGTAGTCTACCGGATAACAGCAACAAGGATCTCATCATGGCGTTCACGCTGGGTCTGCGACAGCTGAGAGAGGAAACCTTGCAGGGCAGAAAACATTTCCTCTTGGAGAACCTGGCGACGCATCCAGACTATCGTGGCAAGGGACTAGCGAGTCAATTAGTTGAGTGGGCATGTTCCCTTGCCGATGAGCAGCAGGTGTTGCTGTACCTGGACACCGCGAGCGACAATCCAGCCGCACGACTGTACAAGAAGCTTGGTTTCGAAGAGCGGGGCCGCAACACCATCGAGGATCTCGGCAGGTACGCTCCTATTGAGATTATCGAATGGTTAGGCTGCGACCCCAAACATACACATATTGCCTTCCTCCGCTTCCCCAAGGCCCACCTCAGCGCTGATCAGTAGTTCTTGCAAGCAGCTGGAAAGTCTGCAACTGAACTTGGCGTTGCTCTCTCACTTGAGCATTTGTTCCACTTGCCGCTACCCGCCGCTTTGCGTGACCACCCTACTCCCACCTCACACGAACTTTCAAAGTCTTAATCGCTTGCCTTGAGCAGTTCTGCGAGCTTCGTATGATTGACTGTCTTGTACCCTTCCTTCCATCGTACTTGGTCTGACCGACACAGCTGCCTCGACACCACCATGACACTCATGATGCGGGCTCCGCATTTGGTGTCGATCACTCTGTCGACGACTTATAGCCCGAGATGACCCCACCCGCAACGCAACTTCAGCCGGTTTCGCAGCAGCAAGATGAACTCACGAACTACTATAGTGAAGACGGAAGGTACCAGTCCACACGCGTCTGCCCTCGCCGCGCAGATGACACATCAGGTGCGACGAGAAGGCATGCGCTGTGAAAGGTAGTGGAAGAAGCAAAGGCCACGTTTACGAGCTAAGGAGGGATACTGAGTCTATACAGCTATGCTTGAAAACTTGCGACGCATTGCAACAAAATGAATGATTCCATGACCTTACACAGCATATGATGTGTTAAGCTTGACATCACGACTGACAGCCAAGCCTCCCGCTGACAGCGGAGCAGAATGATACGAAACAAGCTTGCAACCGACAAGGCGGACACAAGTAATCTACGAACGAATGATGTGCAGGTGGCGTTCATCCCGGAACCATGGTTGCCGGCCACTAAGCCAATGAGGGCTGCAGAACGGTCGTAGGAAGCCTGCCGTAGCCGCGCTGGAGCAGCCGCAAGTGTTGGAATTGACGCGAACGTGTATACACATGACAGTCAGATTATAGCGACAAACAGTAGAATTTATAGTAAGCCATACCGCTTCGAATGCAATGGATCGAGGGTCGGTCCGGGTGGCGGTGAAGGAGGAGAAATGTAGATAGGTAGATTTGGACGATGCCTTGAAGCTGACGATGTTTCATAATACTCAAGATTCTCATGAGCAGGAAGAATCTTTTGTCTTGGAGCTGCTCGTCAAGATCTGAAGAATTGTACGACAGTCGTCAGAGCAAACGGTGAGATTCAGTCCATCGGTGCAGGTGTGTTATCGGGGGTTTTATCGATTGCGCTTGCGCTTGTGATTGGAGTCTAAAAATAAGCCGAGGATCGGCAGTTCGTGCTTAGGCGCGCGAACGCCGCACGAGCCTAACAGGATTCTCTGCACAACACCCTCATCATGATCGCAGCACGCAACACCATGAGACGACTTGAAGGCGTCATGAAAGCATCGGAACAGCTCACATGTGACGACAGCAGCTCTGCTGGACTCTTGCAAGCTCGGACACCGCTCGAGGCTTGCTGCTTGCTGAGGCTCGAAAGCATGAGGCTGGAAGCGCTTATATACTGTGCCGCAGTCATACTCCACACTTTGCCTCATGAGGGGGCCAAATGCTAATAATACGAACATCTGCATACAATGTCTTTGCTCCGGCGGCTACATTACACACTAGGCTGGCCACCTGGTCAGACAGCGGCTATATCCCATCTCTGTACGGCTTGACCCTCACCAGTGATCCGGCCCAACAGCGGCTGATGCCTACGCCGTACGCAAGTCTGCAGAAACCAACACTCAGCCGCCTCTCTTGGCACTGTTTGCCATGTTTTGCTGGTGGCTGGGAGCACCTGTTGCGCTTAAGCCGTGAGGTGAATGGTTGATGGTGCTGGTAATGCACCACTTTTCGAAAAGAAGGCACAGTTGGTGTAGAAACCTCCAGTAAGAGCTGGTCTTGTTGTTTCATGCAGCTGCAATGCATTTACCTGACTATGGAGGCTTATACCAGAGCCTGCATGATAATAACGTGTTGGAGGTACCCAGGTAGAGTCGGTTCGCATCTCTTCAGCCTAGTCACTATCTCAACCCTCTGTCTTTGAGAGACATACGTTCTTTGGTGTCTCTGACACAGCTGTTACACCAACACTTACACTCACTATCATGCCTTATCCCATCTCATCGCCGGGGCAGGCCTCGGCCACATCGAAGCCAACACGCAACGGCAAGCAATGGCCAGCTTTCCCGGTCATTCCCATCTTCCTCGAAACGCACGATGACCGGGCAGCGCCGAAGACATATGGTACCACTCCAACGACGCCCACCACACCTGAGACTCTTACGCATAGTCAACCAGCGCCTTCAAGCCTGGCCCGCTTGACTACGCCGGACAAGAGCTCATTGCAACACAGTCCTACCACTACGATCCAGACTTCGAGCGCTCGCTCCAGTGTCTGGCCCATCCCGGAGCCCCAACCAGAGATCCAGTACCAGGAACCCCGCCGGCCAACACTTAACTTCTTCCCTACCGAACGACCTAGGATACGCCTTGGCGGGATGTCTTCTTTGCAGATCGCACAATTCAACGAGAAAACTCCCATCAATGCCAATGATCCTGGCTTAGGTATTATCCACGGCCTGTCCAAGCCACCCTCGATCGAGGTCACACCACCCATCAATGAGAAAGCAGACGCCTCATTCAACTTCGCACAGCGCATAGAAGAAAGGCTCTGGAGATACAGTGCCTCCGGTAACATCCTGAAAAGGTGGCTACTCGAGATTCTCAGTTGGCTATTCAGCGCTATCTGCATGGGTGCAGTTATCGGTGTCCTCATCTACTTACAAGGCAACTCTCTCTCTAGGTGGACCATCCAAGAGAAGACACATCTGACCCTGAACGCTTACATCTCTATCCTGTCAAAGATGGCCGGCGCTGCTCTCATCCTTCCGGTTTCCGAAGCTCTTGGTCAGCTGAAATGGAGTTGGTTCCTGGAACACTCGAAGCAGATTTGGGACTTCGAAATTTTCGACAACGCTTCCCGAGGCCCGTGGGGCTCTCTTTTGCTCTTGATAAGGACCAAAGGAAGAGCTTTAGCAGCGCTTGGAGCATTAATCATGCTATGCGCCCTGGCCCTGGACCCATTCTTCCAACAGGTCGTTGACTTCCCGGAGCGGTCAGCGTTGTATAACACTTCAGGCACAATTCCAAGGGTCGTCAACTACAGTCCGTCTTTCATTCCGGAATTCAAGTATGGGTACGAAGTGAGTCAACTCAACCAGGACCTTGGACCAAGTATACGTCAATTTCTGTACGGGAACGGTACACATCCGATTGAGTTTGGCAATGGGACCCGACCAGACATACCGCTATCCTGCCCCACCAGCAACTGTACATGGCCAGAGTATGAGACACTTGCTGTTTGCAGCAAATGTGTCAGTATCGATGTTTCTGAGGTCCTTACCTTTGCTTGCCTTAACACCACGATTGACTGGACTGCATCCTTTACCGGAGAAATCGCCGACACGACAACTCCGAACGGAACAGCATGCGGATACTTCATCAACGCCACTAGTACGGCACCTATACTCATGTCAGGCTACTTGTTCAACGAAAGCAATGTCGGACATGAGATTGGTGAAGCTTTGTTAGTGCGCACAATGCCGCTCACCAAGTTCCTCACGAAGGACCAGCTGTACGGTGCCGGATCAATCAAGTTCAAAGACGTACGTAACCCTCTGTTGGACGCGTTGATCGTCTCTGCAACGAACGGAGCAGACAGTGTCTACCAGCATGAATCACCTGTTGTCCACGAATGTGTCCTTTCATGGTGTGTTCAAACCATTAAATCGTCATACGAAGGAGGAAAGTACACCGAGGAAGTTTTGAGTCGATACGAGAATACGACAGCTGGCCCATCTCCGTGGGAGAGTTTCCCGATACCCGAGGACGAAGGTGGGGGTTTTGACACATTCTACATGCAAGACATCAGCATCACTCCGGCAACCTCAGATCAAGATCGCCCAGCTTCTACAGTTTTCAACACAACCTACGGGACCAACAACATCACCGCATACACCCTCATCAACGTTTTCGATGACTTCTTCCCTTCGTACTACACTGTCGCGAGTGCTGCTGACACTCCAATCTTGAGATACAAGAATTATGATGGCACTGGCGCATCAACGCGAGAGCTTGCATACAGTTCGTGGCAAGAACCAAATGACATCGTATTCCACGTCAGCAGATTGGCCGTGGCCATGACCAACGGGATTCGATCCGATGTCAACAGCAATGAGATGCTCCATGGTACTGCGTACAGGATGGAAACATATGTTGAAGTACGCTGGCAGTGGTTGGCCCTTCCCCTAGGCGTTCTCTTCGTCTCTTTGATATTCCTGGCTGCTACAATCACGAAATCTGCACTCGAACGCGAGCGGGTGGGTGTGTGGAAAACATCTGCTTACGCGACTCTGCTCTATGGGCTTCCAGATGAAGTCCAAAAGAAGATCACACGATCATCCAGTACAGGAACTCCGCGAACCAAAGCGAAAGAGATGAAAGTGAAATTACAGCCTAACCAGGGCTGGAGGATATCTGAAGCTATCTTCTCGCCATTTTCGCCAAAACCACGATTAAATCAACCGCCTCCTGGTTGGATATAAGGAAAGAAGCATGCACCTCGTGCACCAGAACCGCGTCGCGTCAACTCCGCCTCGACTGATCAACAGTTGAGAAGCTAGGGGCGACCTTTCTCAACTGATGTTGTCTCTCTAGCTGCTGCTGTGCCCACCCTGGGTACGATCTCGCTTGCCACCGCTGTGTCCACCCTGGGTACGATCTCGCTTGCCACCGCTGTGTCCACCCTGGGTACGATCTCGCTTGCCACCGCTGTGTCCACCCTGAGTACGTGATCGCTTCCCGCTGCTGTGGTTACCCTGGGTACGAGCTCGTTTGCCGCTGCTGTGCCCTCCCTGAGTACGATTCCGTTTTTCTCCACTGTGAACGCCTTGGGTGCGAGCTCTCTTCTCGATGTCATCCAGTTCCGTCACCCCATCCTCCTCATCAAATTCATCCTGAGCTATGTCTTCATTCTTATCTTCCAGGGAGTCCGCTCGGACCTCGACCGGAACGACCTCGATGACCGGTCCTCGCTTGAGTATGTCGAGTGGTGCAGCATTGCTCGGAAGGTTGTCTCGCTTGATGATGGACTCCAATCTTTGAGCCACCTTCAATTATAATTAGCGTTGTTCTTAGACATAAGTCAGGGTCACGTGGCCTACCTCTGAAGTTGGAACTGGTGCAGCAAAGGCCGAGAAGGCGAGACACGCCAACAAGAAGAGGGTACGTGCATACATGGTTGCAATGGCTAAGACGGTTGTGTTGTAGACTGGGAAGCAGTGCGCACTTGGTGTGGTCGAAAGAGCTTTTGTGTTTCAAGAGATGGGTAAGATGAAGAAGCCGCTGCCAATGGACGAGACTGTCAAAGCGAGTGACGGTGGTCCTTATGAAGTATTGTGGACCCAGCGATGGCCTTGTGCGACACATCATAGAACGTGCTCATCTCCACCGTCCACTCATGGCGCTTCTCGGTATGGTACCTTCCACTACAATAACCGCTTTGGAAGCCACGAACGCTACCCGGTCACGTTGATTGTGCACGCATAATGCAGCCAGATCGCGAAGGCAGCATCATCATTGGAAGAGAATCACGAAAGCATAACCGTTGGGTCGCTGGGTCGACAGCCTGAAACGCAAAGTTCAGGAGAACTGGAACGCAAAGCGTTAGGCTACAACTCGTGGAGGTACAGGATTGTGTCGCTATGGATCAGATCATTGCTAGGAACCCCGTCACAGTGAGGGCTATCACATCCGCAAGCGCTGGAAGGCTTCTTGCAAGGCATTTCTGGTAAGTGACTACTTTTCTTTCGAGACCGTCTCGCCTCCTGTAATCTCCCAAATCTTTGCACCTGCAAGATCGATTGCTAACCAATCATAGGGCTTATTCAGCTTGATGTGACTTGGCGGCGTTTTGGCAGCCCTGCTTGCGACGAAGCGATTGGGCATGGACGTACGAGCGGCTACGCCAATCAGCCCTCGCCGCAACCCAAGTCACACTGTACCCGCACACGTGACTCGATATCACGGCGGTTACCGTACTCAATGCCTGCATTTTGAAAATACTCAATAAACCCAAACTTTGAGGAAGGAAAACCAGGAGGAGGTACCGACAGTCGACAATCGAATATCGCCATGTCCTTGTAGCATGCAGCCACAGGAACATTGAATTGGCGTTCACCAGCGCTAATCGGCCAGTCGTTATGTGCAACATCAATACATGGTCCTCGTGCTGGAGCTGGGTTGCTCTTCTATCAAACCACCGTCAGAGAAGGCGTGTTTACTACATGCAACTTTGCATATGCATCAAACGGCGATCCTTGGCTCTTCTTACACATCCCGGGTCCCCTTTCTGGGGGCAGATTATAGGCTCCGGAGTATTTCATACAATTCGGTTCCTGAGCAATTCTGCATATCCGATATGAATCTATCAATTGTGCATTGTTCAGCATGAACGTGAAGGGAGAACTGTCAACGTGCTGATCGCAGCGAGCGATTCGTGCGCCGTTCTCTCCAAGGCTGTTGTTTCGTCATTTATGAGGCTAGCTCGAAAGGCATTAGCGCTTCCCCACATTCTCAACCCGTGCCTTCCAAGATTTTAAGACTCCAGTCGCGTCTTCAAAGTACCTTCCAATGCCTCGTTGACAGCTTATCACGCGTAGAGACTTGCACGTCACAATGGCCTCCTATGTCAACACTGGTCGTAGCCGCTGGGCTGCTGTGCCGCAGTGCGTTGGACAGGTCCCCCATTCACCGATCGTCCGTTCACGGCTGCAACGTGCAAGCGAAGCGCCCCGGCGCTTAACGATTGATTCGAAAAGGTCATCTCTACAACTGCAGCATCCTTAGCTTCGATGCCGACCGATCAACTTTGCAATGTTCCTGTCTTTGCGGCTTTCCTTATCGCTGCGCGTCCAAAGTGTTTGGTGACCCTAGCAGCGAGGGCAAGGGCAGAGACGTAGCGCTTCACCATGCCAGGAAAGAACACGCTATCATCATTGCCTTAGGAGCTTTCAAGAGCTTCTTGAGCTCCTGAGAGGTTCAAAACTGTGCTACACCACGGCTATTGTCATTCAAAGACATACGTGATGAGCCACAAGATGCTTCCACCGATCCCAATACAATCGAAGTTCCGTTCGACACCAACGATCGACCGAGGTAACCATGGAGAAGCACCACCGTCATATCGAGCATCAGTGCAGACTCCACCTTCACTTGACATCTCTCAACGTCTCGAAAGAAAACTAGCACAATACAACGCATCCCAGAATGTCTGGAAACGTTGGCTGTTCGAGATCATCAGCTGGACAACAAGTGCTGCCTGTATGGTGAGCTACATCCCGTCTACCTTCCTCAAAGTGTTCTTGTGTTGATATAATATGTCACAGGGTGCGGTTATCGGTATGCTGCTATACTCTCGAGACCACCTCTTGAGCGAGCGATCCTTCGCTCTCGCGGCCTACAACGTACAGTCCGATGTTCGCTTCTGCAGCCCTCATACTACCCTCTTCTGAGGCTATTGGACAACTCAAGTGGACATGGTTCCACGGTAACGAGTCGAAAGAGATGTTCGACTTCGAGATATTCGACAAGGCATCGAGAGGAGCGTGGGGTTCCTTTCTCCTTCTATTTCACACGAAGGGACGCTCGCTTGCTGCGCTCGGTGCAATCTACAAGCCTACATATATTCCTGAGTACTTCTTGGGTTGGGATCATCACAATACGACATGAATTTCCTGCCAGCTGTGCAAAATTTCAGAACGACTGTGGTGAGGTACTCAGAAGCATACGATATGAGCCTGATGCCGCCCAGGAGTTCAGAGAAGGACTAGAGTCGACTATGGACGATGTGGATACCAACATCGTTGCAGAGAAGTTCTTGTATAGAAATGGCACACAAATTCTCTCGCTCACTAGAGGCTCTATCAACGGCACCAAGGCCAAAGTACCTGTGGTAAGTCAGCCCTTCATTCACGTGTATCTAGACTTCTTGCCAACCCAGTAACATGATGATTGCATCTACTCGGGAATGGTTACTCTGTCGAAAGCTCCGAAAGCCCTCGCTAACGTCTCGTCTCGAGTAGTCTTGCCCATCGAGTAACTGCACTTGGCCAGCCTGAGAAACGCTAGGAGTCTGCAGCGAATGCGCCAATGTGACGGGATATCTGTCGCATGCTTGTCTGGATTCCAAAGTTGACTGGACTTATAACCTCACTGGAGGCTACGATGTGGATGGCGCATGGCCTAATGCAATGATATATGGGTACTTTCTCAACTTTACTGAAACTCCCACATTCGTTTCAAGCTACATTGTCGATAATCACTCTTCACACATTGGTGAAGCTCTCGTCATGCGTATTGTGCCACTATTTGATGTCATGGACAAGCAACCAATAACTGGAAACGGTTCGATACATTTCTCGCACATACGGAACCTGTCACGGTTAAGGTGCTCCTGCCTGTCTAACCTCACCTACTATGAGAGTGACTGCCACGTCACACTAGCGTTGTTTACAGCTACTCACATATACATACTGTTCGTAGCTTCACTCAATACAACCTCAGTTCAATCCTTCAATTCTTCCCGCATGCGTACTGTCCACGCGCCCCGACAGAACCCGATCGCGGACTTTATTATCGCATCTGCTGCAGATGGGACAACGGTTTCCGTCTATCGCAACGAGACCCCGATCGTGTATGAGTGCGTTCTATCCTGGTGTGTCAAGACCGTCCAATCTTCGTACGAGGAAGGCATCTACAAGGAAGACATCACCGGCATCCAGATGAACACTACCGCTGGTCCACTTCCTTGGTTCACCCGCGACATCACCACGCCATACCAAAACGGGACCGAGATGATATACAATGACGATATCAGCATTATAACGAAAGCGGCCAGGCTTTTGGCATGTCAAACGGTACAGTCACCAATGCCATGTTGCTTTTCGACAGGTTTTCCCCTCATTCTTAGCGACCAAGGATAATTCAACGGATCTGATACTTCGATACAAGATCTGGCTGGACAGCCCAGCGTACAATCGGAAGCTCGATATCAATCCATGGCTAGCGCCCAACATCTCGGCCTACTTGTCTAGGATGGCAACGGCAATCACGAATCAAATTCGAACAGTGGGTTCCGGGAATGAGAACGTAAGACGGACTGCCTACAGCCAGGAAGTCTTCATACGTGTGCAGTGGGCATGGTTCGATTCCTGTAGTGCGTCTTATACTCAGTCTGGTCTTCTTGATCGCGACTATCCTGAAGACATCCAAGAATACAGGCGGAAGCGGAATGTAGAAGACATCAGTCGTGTCGACACTCATATATAGGCCGCCTCAAGAGGTGCGGGACAAGCTTGCACCATCCACATGGAACAAAGCATGTGGAAAAACTAAGAAGCTCCGGGTCAAACTTTCACCAAAGATGGGCTGAGAGTGTCTGGTCATAGTCTCTGTCAACCATCGCCGATACTGCCAATGCAGAGGGCGGGCGCACCTCCTGGGTGGATCTAAATTACTGTAGCCTTACAATACAGGTTTGCTACGACCAAGCTTATTTCGCGAATTCAGACTCTTACGATAACTCGTTCAACCGCGATCGTGCAACATATCCCAATACTGATCTTGGCCAAGCCAGAAGGGAATGTCAAACCCAACATATGGATCCATGCCATCCGTTTGCGGGAGTGGTGCGCTCGAGTCTAACGCCTCGTTTGCTTGAATGAAGTCGCTCCATTCTAAGCTGCCGAAGTCGGAGACTGAGGTGTTGCTATTTTGATATGGCATAGATGTGTTGAAGGACTGCGCGTTCTCCGCCGATGGATTGGCGTTTGCAGCTTGACGCAAATCATTGCTGGGGGTATTTTGGCCCCCCTGTGTAGTATACGAGTCTGAGTGCTCTTGTGGTAGCCCCGTGCTGGAGGTCGTATGATTTGGCTCGGTGTGAGCTTCGTTGGCTTGAGGGATGAGTCCGCTAGAGCTTGTATAGTGTCGTGGCATGGACGCGCCCGACTGAATCGCTCGATTGGTCCTTACGTCGGCCTCACCTAAGGCTAGAGACTGATGGTTTGTCCCTAAGTGCCTGGAAGGGCGTCGTGTTATGCGGTCGCGCAGCTCGCGCACGGCAGTGGCACTAGCATCAGGCCATACGCTCCCCCTGCGTGATAGATGATTGAGTATGTCAAGAGCCTTGTCAGCAAGCCTGCACCTCCATTTAGTTACATCCGAAGTACCTCGAAACCATCGCTTACCGGGATACGATGCCCTCCGATACGTGATGACTGCTGGCAGCATGGAACAGGATGAAGGTGCTGATCCAGACGGCCCATGTGCAAGAGGGCCACAGCAAGGCCAGACCATCTGGCCCTGCTTCGCGTCCGTTACTCGGCCGGATAGCTTTGTGAAGAATTGTAATGATGGCTCTTGCTGAACCTATACACTGCTGTAGTGCCGCATCGTATGCGTGCCCGTGGCGAGACGCGGCGAGTGTTGGACGGTTCAATGAGATGACCGACTCATGCTTGAGAGTTGTCAACACAGTACGATGATACGTAGAGGCACTCTGATCGTCGTCTGTATCTTGGAAGTCTTCCACGTCATTCCACCATTGAGCTAGTCTAGCTGTTATAGCGGTTGCTTTGTCGGGGTCCCTCTCTATGTAGTGGAGCGATTTGTTTCGTAGCTCTATGATCTGGCCACGTATGGTATACTGCCGCGCCACAAGGCTGATCAGTCGTAACCTATCATCTGTCGCTGTGTGAGCAATCTAAAGGTGCAGTGCAAATGTTGGATAACTCACCAGTAGGGTACTGGTTGCCCGGATGGCGCTCAGCAGTCGGATAACATACATCAACATCATCGTCATGGAGACTCAGTGGGAGACCCATAGATTGGCATATGAAGCGGTCGATGGCATAGAGTGACCAGAAGATCCTTTGGCGATGCTCCTTTTCTCCGACTGAGAAGGATGGGAAACGAGTAGGACAACGGTGGAGACCGAGCTGGAGAGCCATCCGGATCACAAGCCCACCAAGGCGACTTGCGGCGTTCAGTCGAAGCATAGAGACAAGAAAGAGTTGCACGCTGATCGCAGCCTGCAGAGATTGTAGGGTTGTTGGGCGGGTCAAAACATGCTGGAGACAGTCTACCGCATCGTCGTAAGACTGAAAGACAAGTTCAGCGGGGTATCGCGCCGCGTTGAGCGCTTGTGATTGCCGGCGATCCGCGAGCGATATTGACATAATGGATCGTAGGATCGTCATCTGGAAGTTTGGTGCACCATCGTTAGCTGGCTCATTCAATTGAGGGAGCCTCTCAAGATACTCCAATACACTTGGAGCATGCAGATACGGGTAGAAAGGGTGCCAATTGGCAAAGTAGCTTCCACTCCATTCGAAGAGCTCTTGAAATGAGACACTCGACAGAGGCCTAGGCGTAGTCTCTTCATCTCTCCATATTCGACCGGAGTTATTTGGGTTTGACGAAGGGAGGTAGTCGTCTTCTCCAGGGACGTGATCGCTTTCGGGCGTCGCTATTTTAGCTGATGCTGACGGGTGAGCGCCACGAACTGCACCATATACCGATCGAATGAAGTAGATACCACTGGCGCTACCAACAAAGCTTGACAGCTTGTCTCCAGGAACACTACGCATCAGACCCACCTCACGAGGTGGATGCATTGACGTCCGCCGCTTCTTCGAGGGCCTCTCGCCATCCAGGGTAGGACCGGGGCTATTTTGTGCATCTCCATGTTCCATGATGATGAAGGGAAGAAATTTGGTGTCGCGGGTGTGCAGAAACAAGGGTCGGCGAGCTCAGCCCTACGGAGAATTAAACCCCGCTCTCGCGATGCGCGTTGCCTAACGCAGCTCAGCTCCAGGGCCGTTTCGTGGTGATGAGAGTCGCTGCACCATCAAAGTTTGGAGCAAAAAAACTTTTTCAAAGTATTGGCAGGAGCTTGTCATTTACAAGAGCACGCGTTTTCTCGTTGAGCTACTGAGCCGTGATGTCATGATCGCAGCTCAGAAGTAGTTGTGCCAGCTGGTTGATTTGAAAGGTATCGCTGAGGTGCTCGGTGCTTGTGGTGTTTCGATGCCTCTGAGCTGCTCAGTCATGCTCTTCGACAGGATCGATGAGGCAGATTCAGAGTACACGGGCGAGTGGGTGTTGTCAGTACCAGGAGTATGTGGCATTGGCAGGGCCATTCGAGGGCCCTCTCCGGATTGAGACTCAACTGGTTGAAGATTTGGCACTCCTGGGAACGGGATGTGCGGCAAATCGGGCTCAGAGGGGACTGCTTGCTGTTGCTTTTCCTGAAACCAGATAGCGAGCTGTTCAGGCGTCTGAAGCGGCAGTCGCTTCCAGTCGTCCTGCCTCTCGGCCTTTGAGAGCTCTCGTGGGGCTTTTAAGAGACCTATATTACTGGCTTTGATGTTGTCATGCTCGTCGAGCGCGAGCATGGTTGCATACAGTGCTGACTCCGTCTCTCGTAGCCGCCTCTCAAGGCTGTTGATGTATGCGATTGGGAGTCCTCGCTTTCCACCCTCCTGATACCGGCAGATCAACGACGAAGCGCGGCATTGCGAACATGAGGGGCTGCAATTGTGTTAACATTGTAAGAGCAACGTTAGTCCTAATACACATACACTCGCCGGTCACATCTGCATTTCTTCGACCGGCAATTGTCGCACGCGATCGGGTTGAGGGCCTTGCCTATTAGCAAGGGTCGTAATGCCTTATCTGTCTTAACTTACCATGAAAACTCACTAAGACGAAGATTGTGTTGCACACACGAAACGAAGTCGGAGTGGATTCTCGACGCGTTTGAATTTCCTCCAACACGTGATTAGACGCCGGTGCCATTCTGGGACCACACGCTACACACCTCCTTCGATCCTGTGTTCCATCGCCATCGTCAATTCTTCTCATCAGATCCACGCTGCTGTCGATACATTCGCAGTTCGCCAAGGCTAGGAACCATGTGGATGCTGGAGCGGCGCAATTCTCGATGTCCGGAGAAAGAAAGGCCGCTACAAACACGCTGCAGCGCGCCGCACACTCTTACTCCGGACATTCTCTGCGATGCACCAGTAGCCAATCATTTACGAAGGCAAACTATTGCGGAACTCGCACGGTATGAATACATAAGATCGAGATAGCCGCTAATTGACAGACTTTCACTCATTGACACAACATTGTCTTTTACTACTCCACAATTGAGCAGACACGATCGCCACAATGTCTCCAATCGCAATTCAAAGAAAGCATTCAATTGCGACCATGGGCGCCGATGGTATCGGTCCTGAGGTTGTCAATGCTGCTGTACAAGTCTTGAAGAAGCTCACATCGCTCGGTGGCTCGTTCGAGCTTGAGTTTGAAGACTACGACTGGAGCTCAGAAACCTACAAGAAGACTGGAAAGTACATCCCAGATGGTGGACTTGAGAATTTGAAGAAGCACGACGCCATCCTTTTCGGCGCTGTTGGTGCACCAGACGTCCCAGATCACATCTCGTTGTGGGGTCTCCGACTAGCAATTTGCCAGCCATTCCAGCAATACGCCAACGTGCGCCCAACCAGGATTTTCCGTGGTACACAATCGCCTCTCAGGAACGCCTCGCACGGTGATCTGGACTGGGTCATCGTGCGCGAGAACTCAGAAGGCGAATATGCCGGCCAAGGAGGTCGGTCTCACCGGGGTCAGCCATGGGAGATAGCCACAGAGGTCTCCATCTTCACAAGACATGCTGTTGAGAGACTGATCCGATTTGCTTTCGAGCTGGCGCAGAAGAGGGAGAGGAAGTTCTTGACAGTCGTCACCAAGTCGAATGCTCAGAGGAATGGTATGGTCATGTGGGACGAGGTTGCACTTGAGGTGTCAAAGGACTTCCCAGATGTGAAGTGGGACAAGATGCTGGTTGATGCTATGACTTGCCGCATGGTGTTGGACCCGAAGTCTCTCGACACCATTGTCGCTACCAACCTTGTAAGTCGATTGGGACACCGTCTACTAGGCCAGGCAGCTAACGCGAACAGCACGCCGATATCCTTTCCGATCTCGCAGCTGCCCTGGCTGGTTCCATCGGCATTGCACCCACGTCCAACCTTGACCCCACTCGAAAGAACCCATCCATGTTTGAGCCTATCCATGGCTCAGCGTTCGACATCGCCGGAAAGGGCATCGCTAACCCAGTTGCCACCTTCTGGACAGCAGCGGAGATGCTGACATGGTTGGGCGAGGAAGAAGCTGCTAACAAGATGATGAAGGCTGTTGAGAATGTCACTGAGCAAGGCATTGTCACAAAGGATCTCGGCGGAAGCTCAAACACAAAAGAGGTCACAGACGCCGTGTGCTCGGAACTCGAGAAGGTGGTCGGTAAGGGAAAGTAAGCAGAATCACAGCTTGATCCCATTCTTCGACGATATTTCATGATATACATGGGAATTTTGCCTTTAGTATTTTCAGTAGTTCCTGATGGCCATGGCCACCGCTACTTCTCTTCCTATGTTTGCTCTCGAGCATACAAGTTAAGGCCTCCTGTGAGACTGCACGACCAGCGTGATTCACTTCGGTGCTTACTAATCCACGGTCATGCATACCATCACTTCATCCTCAACACCATCAATATCGAGACAACCTAATCTTAGCATTCGCAATGTCAAGTTCCCACTACACCCACCTCACCCACCCTCTCCATCGCCACAGCCCTAACTCTCGGCGGCATATGACCTCTTTATAACCCGCAATCCGTAATCTGCGAAATGAGGTTCCGAGCACGTATCCACACATCCAAAGAAGCGCAAGCCAGATTGACGCTGGGCATGGGCCGGACAACTTGCATTGGCCTTGCACTGTGGACGTTCCATCTGCAGGACAAGCTGGAGGAAGTCGATACGATTCTGGTACTGCTGCGAAGCTGGGTGGACGCGCTCGATGCTTGGGTGTGTTGGATGGAGGGTGTGCCAGGGAAGGCGGTGTGAGGGGTGGTGTGGGATGGCTGCTTGGGTGTGAAGATGTGGATGGCGCAAGAAGTCATGCTTACAGTCTTGTGTTAACATAGGTTTCATTGATGGATTATAGTCTTCGCTATGCCTTCTTTTGCAGGTCATTGTAAATAGTTCCTTCCGTCCTTTGTAGTGCGTATGTGCTGCGCCGCTTCCTTCTTCTGCAAGATATGACCAAACGCCAGAATGATGCAAATAGCCCTTGGATATCGTCCTTCCTTGAACGCCTGATCCCGCTAGTTGTATGCTCGTAACCGATTGCGCAAACATTGAATAAACAATGGAAAACAAATAGCAGCCAGTACTGTAACATGTTGAGAGCAAAGGAAAACAGAGAACTAAACAGTCACTTTCGGGTTCCATCCACCATAGTACCACGAGACACTGGCATAGTGCTGTGCGTTCAACACACCAATCTTCTTGTGCTCTTCGGCATTGCGGATACGTCCGAACTGAGCTCGATCCCACTTCGTATGAACAGCCTCATATTCGCGCTCCCTCGAGCTGTCGTACTTGATCGCACGCACCGCATTGTGCGCATTATATTCTGAGCAGTCGTCGTTATGTTCGCCAGTAGGAAAGCAGCCCATGCAGTGGTCGGTGAAAGGACGGTGCAGGTATCCGTGCTCACGGCGCGGCGGAAGAGCTTCGTGCTCGATCTGCAGGAAGCCTTGAGGCATGCGGAAGCCAAGAGTGTATTTGGTAAGCTCTGTAAAATCAGGAATAGGGCCCAAGTATGCCTCATCCTTTGCCTTGTGCTGGCGATCTTCCTCAAGCGCGTCCTCATCCAGGAAGAACGGTTGAGGTGCCTCATGTGTATACTCGCTCGGATCATAGCCTGGCTCGACCTTGTACCGAGACTTGAGATAAGCGTTCAAGGCCTTGGTGCCGCAGGTGCATGGAAAATAGGCGTAGGTATCGGAAAACTTGACGTTTTCCATGCTATCAAGCCAGCCAAGGACTGGATTATCAAGCTTGGCTCTGGCATGCCCCGGGTGGCATTCCAGGTCTCGAAGCGTCTTGCACTTATCTCCATTTGGATCGGACTCACCATGTTCAAGGCAGCCCTTGTTAATCGGTGGCATCCTCCACAGGAGAATGAGTGATCTCGCGAGAAAATTCGGTCTTCTCTTCGGCAGCAACCACAGGATCGGTGAGCGCAGTACCAGCATCTGAGTGCTTAATCGCAGCTAGACCCGAGCCGGTGTCAAAGGTGACCGCGGCCTCGACAGAGAAATGAACCATGTCATGGGCAGTCTCATCCTCGTGATTGGCGGCATATTTCTGACTGGCAAACGTATAGTTAGCTACCGAGTGCTCAATTGTAGTTTCCTTTGGGCAATGTTTGGAATTGGTGTCGATGATGGTGATAGAGTGATCAGCCTCGAGAGTGGTGGTTCCCTCGTACTTGATCGTATCGGGCTCAGCCAAACGATGATGTAATAGCACAATTGGTAGGAGCTGTGTCGGCGATGACGAGGATAGGGGAGTAAGTCTGGACAGTTATGTCGATGACAGGACTGCGAGGAGCGATGTCAAGAACGGCAACGATAGGAGCATAAGCCAGGTTGACAAAAGGTGCGATGTCGACGGTAGACCGTTGCTGCTCCTCCGCGACTGATAAATCTCGCTGGTTGTATGCTGGCAATTGTGGATCCTGAGCAACTCGTTGGGTGTAACCAACCTTGCCAGATCTGTCATCTGCCGGTTGCGATGGTGTAGACTCGACCGGGCGCCGTAGACAGGAGGGAGCCTTGAGATAGTGGTGACCGTCGAAAACAATCCAGAGGAAGCCGGTGCTAAGTGTAGTGCCGAAGCGTTGCTTGAGCAGTACCAATAGCAATTGGACCGTGAAACCGATAACTATGGAGAAAGCCTGTAGGGACATGCATACTAGCCAGCGGCCTAAAGTATGCGAGCGCGAAGATGAAGACGACCACCACGAGACACTGCCAGTCGCAGTCTGCTAGCTGCTGCGCAGCCGACAGCTTGGTCTCACCGGGCGCCATTACTTGTGAAACGCTGGTCGGTAGTGTATGGCGCAGATGGCTTAACGGAGGCGGCGGCCAAAAAAGCCATCTTAGGCAACGGTGAACTAGAGGTGGACCTTGTTGAAGTCAGGTATGCGCCAAGATACAGTGTTTGATTGACATACCGTTCAGCGGTAGAAGTAGAGGCAGTACCAGCCTGCATGGGGCGCGTTGACAACTCGTTGACTGCCATTGCGCATGTGTAGGTTGATTGAGAGTGGTTGAGAATGGTAGAGAAAGGAGAGAATGGTGCCTGGTGGGATTAGTGAGCAGGTGGGGAAAGTAGTGCGCTCCGGTAGAGTACTAATCTTCGACCGCAAGTGAAGTACCGTAGCAGTTGCGCCAACCCGTTGACGTCACTGCTGGCTGATGTTGTCGCAGAGGTGTGCTTTCACTACATAGGACTGCTGAGTGTCGTGGCGGCGCCTGAAGTGCTGTCAGGGACAAGACACTTGAGGGGAATGCAATGATAAGCTCGCAAGCAGGTTGAACAGTGCAGGGATGTCTGCTGTGGACAGTGGAGGAGGTCGAAGACGAGCTCGCGGACCTCGGGTATGAACCGTTGCTTGAGACGCTAGACCCAACGCCGCCGCCTTGGCGGGGTGCGTTGTGTGAAAGTGAAGTAATGTGACTTGGACCCCCCCCCCCCCCAATATTGCCTTTGGGACAAAGGCCCAGCTGCGAGCTCCAAGGCCTGCTTTTGTCCCCTTGACCCTGTCCCGTTGCTGGACTACCTTCGAAAGTTTGCAACACAGCAGGAGCGTTGTAGATGCTTGAGTGTCTGAGTATATACGCGTCCGGGTGAGGACCTTTGGCAAATGCCCAGATATGTCGGTGTGTGCGTTATATAGTACGGACGTCCAGGTTGGGCGTGCAGGCCAGAAAGAACACTCTGCACGCTGGTAAGAGGAGACATCTGTCGTCCATCACAGCACAGTCCAGCGAGAACTACTACGTTGAATAAGTCAGGTATAGCGAATTCCTCGGGTGTTATCGATAGCAAAGTGGCTAAGACATTCATTGTCTGGCGGCTTGTGTTGTTGAACTTCTTGACTGGCTGAACACAGACATGCCCAGCCATATGTACAGAGAGGTTAAGCCGATCCCAGCAATGACATTGCCGATAGAACCAGCCGCGTGTGTGAGAAAGGTATCGTTTTGGACGTGGGAGCGATAACGGCCGAACAATAGGTGGAAAGGACAGGTGACAGATCCGGGTATCAGGGTATCTCTTTCGATTGCGGGATGTATCTCGCTATGTACGTCACGTAAGTCGTCTGTATGATTGTCGCAGCAAACTTCTGTCGATGCTGCCCAAGAAATGTAAACGCTGCAAATCCCCAATATAGCACCTTGCACGATCCGTAGACACGCACTTCCCAACCCATGACCCATGAACCCCAGCCAAGCCCTGCGCGCTTTTGATGAACGATGCCGAGAGTTGAGAGAAAAAGACATAAGACACCTGCAATCTCTATGCAGATGCTCGCAGAACGTGAAAGATCGGTATCGCAGAATATACAAGAAGGTAGAAGGTGATTAAAAGCCGTACGTCGGTCACATCCGGTCGATGAAAGAATCGTGTAAATCGAAGTGGAAGGTAAGTTTACATGATGATCGAAGGAGCTGGTGCAAATTAGCGGCAGTACACCAGTGATGTTGTGGAGAAAACTTACTGTCGACGTTCTGCTTGATGGTCTTGTGGGGCAGGACTGAACCACCGTTGACATAGACCTCGTCGCCAATGGAGACATCGTCGCCGAGAACAGTTACGTTCTCGAGACGAGCCCACTTGCCGACAGTGCTGTTCCAGCCAACGATGGTCGACTTGACCCAGGCGTGGTCCTTGACGCGGCTGTTTTTCAACAGCACGCAGCGCTGGAGACGGACACCATCGCCGATGACAACGTTGGGTCCAATTGTGACATTAGGTCCGATACGGCAGTTCTTGCCAATCTTTGCGGACTCGTCGATCATGACGTTACCGCCATAGACGTATGGCTCGTTGGGGGAGACAAGGAGCTTAGGGCTCTTGCGCTGCAGCGAAGAGAGGTACAAGCAGGTACCGGAGAGGAAGTCCTTGGGCTGTCCAACATCCATCCAGAAACCCTCAAGGTCGAACGAGTGCAGACCACCGTCTTTGCAGATGGCGGGGAATGTCTCCTGCTCAATGGAGGTGGGGCGGAGCTCGATGCGCTTCAGGACGCTGGGGTTGAGGATGTAGATACCGGCGTTGATGCGGTTACCGACGAACTCGACGGGCTTCTCGACGAAGCGGTCGATCCTCGAGGGGTGGCTGGGCTTGTGTACAACAACACCGTACTTGGACGGCTCCTCTACCTTCGTGACAACAATTGTACCCTCGTCACCGTGCTGCTTGTGGAACTCGGCGAGCTGCGCAAAGGGGTATTCGCAGGTAACGTCGGCGTTAAGAACGAAGAAGGGCGACTCGTCCTTTCCGAGGATGGCCTCGGCGAGCTTCAGGGGTCCGGCGGTGCCAAGGGGCTCGGTCTCGACGGAGAATGTGATCTTGATGTTGTACTGCTTCTCGTACTGCGACCGAGTCAATTGCATGTTCTTCCCGGCTGGCGTGTTCTGGGTGTTCTGGGTGTTCTGGGTGTACTGACTGTTTTCAGGGCCTCAGCCATGATCTCTGGGCGGTAGTTGACAGCGAGGACAACATCGGTGACACCAGCAGCGGCAAGAGCCTCAATCTGGTGCTGGATCATGGGCTTGTTGGCAAACTCAACAAGCGGCTTGGGGTATGTGAGGGTCTGTGATTGGGGTTAGTTGTGCCCTTTCAAGCATCGCGGGGCCCCTCTAGAGAGCATTGCGCAGGGGAAAGGCATACAAGAGGCCTCAGACGGGTACCGAACCCTCCGACGAGAATGATGGCTGCATGGGCAGTTAGTTGCCTGTATTGCGAACATATATGTGGCTACACTAACCCTTCATGTTGGTGGTGGTGATGTGTGAGGAGACAGTCTAGAAGAAAGTAGATGTGGAGGGGTTGAAGAGAGCAATTGGTTCTTCAATAACAGAGACAAGCAAGCGAGAGACGATCAAGTGAACTACGAGTAGAACACTTAGATATAGTGTGCAAGTGAATATGCAGACAGGGTCAAGGAGCGCAGTGGTGAGGACAGCTGGACCTTATGAACTCTGGGCCAGGAAGCTCCCTAGCTTCGTGGTCCATGCCAAGAAGGGGTCCATTAATTCCCCTTTCTTCACCAACCAAGTCCTCGCCCTCGGCCGCTACCCTCGTGTCTTCCTCCTAACGTCTCCGACCCCTTGCAATTGTTCTTCCGCTGTTCCTGATCGCTCAGCCTATGCGCTTCTAATTTCAGCATCGTTGATGTTGAAGTTTGGGTGACATCGCAGCAACACCAGCAAGACTCGACCACTGGCTGCAACCCTGGAAAACCATCATGCCAGAGCGCCCCAGAATCTCGCAGGTACAAGCGACGCATCTGATCACTCCCTCTGCGACTCGGCACACCGCCTTGCGCAAGATACCCTGAGATGTCGACCACGTGCAGCCTCATGCCGAAATTAGAGGCGTTCGAGATCAACTTGTTAGGTCACGAAGCGGAGAGCACCCGAGAACCCGCCCTTACCCAGCGGGTATGTGGCTGTGCTCTCTTTGCCTGTTCCGGCGAAAGTGTACTGCGCACCTCCAGAAAGCCACACGTAATTCGCTCCCTACAGCCGCTGTCAAAGTACACATGATCGGTCCTGGAGAGCAAAACGAAACTTTGCGACGTCTCAGAGCGCTGTGTTCCCACGGTACTCCCAGCCAGCCCCTCACAAGCTCCTCACGATGTTTGAAGAACACACGATCTTGATTACGACGCGCGTCGTATTTGCGTGGCAACCGACCAACTTCAACATTGCTCATGATGCGCTTACACAGCCTTACGAGCGCTAGATGATGTATTTTGAGCGACGACAGCTCGTATCTCTGCGCCTAAGATCTTTGCTGCGATTTCGAACTCTTCGAGGCTGAACACTCAATTCTGCACTCAATTTCAAGCATCGACGTTGGTTAATTGCATTTGTGCAGCCCTCTCATCACGTCCTTTTGCAACGATCTACCTCCTCCGCAGACTACGTCACGAACCCTTTCCGGCTCTTGCCATTCCCTGTCAAACGTTTCAGCTCAACGGCCAAAGAACTCAATCCACGTTACAGCCGCACCGGTGGAGCCGTACTGCCTATACTGGCAACCTCATCGAACTGTGGGATACTGAACGCTAATGCGTTGTGAACAGCATCCACAAGTGCTTATTCCCGAAGGTCGCTCTAACGCGAACGTCCTCAAATCTTTCGCAGTTTGAGACATGTCTTTAAGCAGCTGCGGCATTCAGCATATGAAGGGAGTGTTTTGTTCGTAGGTGTGCAAATTCACCATCGTTATTGTCAGAGAAATCACTGCTAATATTGGAAGGAGTACAGGTTGCCTGCGCCGCGGAGCGTGAATAGCATCCTTCCCTTCACGGCAAGTCTGATAAAGCCATGGAAAACTGACCGCAGTTACTCCGTCTTGTAACCGATCGCCACTCCACCTCGTCATCATCTTTTACGCCATGAGTCGGGATCCTACAATGCCTCAACTAAAGCATCCTGCGCTGCGTTGCTCTCCAGAACCATGTTGATACAGCACGAGCACGGCCCGGGACCATCCCCTTCTCTCACCCCGTCTCGGCCATCGACTGTGAACTCCCTCATGGTTACACAGAATCCTTCCAGGCCTTTCTTCGGCGTCTTTTCAAGCGTCCTTGAATCTGTACTCATTGGCGAATATCCAGTTACCCTTATCGTAACGCCACAGGTCGAGACCAATCGCCTGGCCTTCCCGGACGTTCTGGAGCATCTCCTTCTCAACCGCCTGGAATGCATCATCGACCTTCTTCTCCTCGTTGACCTTATTCATGACCGTCCAGTGCGGCTTCCATCCTCCCTGATCCTGCTCGCTGAGGTGAGGCATCCATTGCGATCTCAGGTCTTCGTGTACCTGCTTCATCCTATTGTACCCTTTGCCAACATTGATACCCACTCCAAGGCGCATCCGGAATGGCTTTCCAGTCGAGACGAAGAAAGGTCTAGTGTTGGCAGACAGCTGCGATAGTCCACTGTCAATCGCGGCGAATCGAGAGTCTGGAAGTGCATGAAACAATGTCAGATGAGCGGGAGTTCTGTTGAGCCTCTTCGGAAAGTACTGCTCGCGCATCGAATTCATCGGCTTAGCCAACGAGTCTGTCAGCTTGAGAGTGAGCACATAGACAAGCTCCTCCTCCGCTCCTGTATTTGGCTTGTGCTCTTCGCGAGTCACATGTTTGGCTCTTTGATACCCTTGTCCATGGCCCTCCGGACTCCGTCGTCGCGGACTTCTGGACCTCTGAGCATGTCCGTTGGATGTGTGTTTTGCTTGCGTTGCAGGGTCGTTGCGCTGTTGTGGAGGCTGTCGTGGTGGCCCTCTCGAGCCACCGGCTGCGGCAGCGTAGTTCATCGTTTGAGGTATGTTGTGCACTGCGAGGAGAAGGGGTCGCGTATGCCTTGTAGGCACAGAAAGTATCATTGATTTTGCTAATATTGCAGCTGTTTTCGGTGCGTTCCTGGCTATGTCACGAAAGTCGAGATCACTGATGTCACCGACGGACGCTAATATTTAGCCGCGCTATGTGGGAATCAAAAGCGTCACGATTCACGATGCAAGCGGAACATCGATATCTATGTATTGATTGCAGATTCACATCGTGGTTTTCAGAAGTAAGTTGCTCCGCCACGCAGATACTCCGTGGCGTGAAACCCCGACCAGCCGCACTCCTCGGCCAATGCCGTTATGCGCATTTGGACCAAACCCCAAAGCCATCAAACCGGGTATCATCTCCAAAACTCCTTTCCAAACATGCAAAGCCCGTTGTGTATCTGGCCCTCTTCAGATCAATGTCTGCTGGTGGCTCGCCATCTTCCACTCCTGACCCTCCAACACCCACGCACTTGAGCAGATTGCTCGGAACGTCTCATCCGCACGCTGTGCTTCGACGCGGTAGTATATCATGGCGCTGTCTTTGCCGAGTGGGATTACCTCGTCGTGACTGAGCTTGTAGTCGCTCCATGGGTGGAACTCGGCGCTCTGCAGCATTTCGTGAACGGTCGGTGAGGAGACGGCTGTGAGGATGTGGTCGCCAGGGAAGATCATGACGGGGTTGTTGGACAGGAGGGGTAGAAGGTCGTGGCCAGAGCTGCAGAGGGCGGCCCAAGCGCGGTGCTCGAGACTGCATACCGCTGCAGTGAGTGAGGGGTTGGTGAGTGTTGGTGCTGCCATTTCGCTATCGTTGCAGTCGCACACTCGAGACGGTCGTAGGATCAATGCGCAAGTATGTGTTCGGTAGGAGGTATTCAATTCTACAATACGAAACAGAAGTGAAGCTCAAATACAAGGCAGTACAAGCCAGACGCGGGATGATGACGTTGTGACTTCACACCAGACCTCACTGCGAACCAAACAATCTCCTTTGTTCAAAAGATCTGCAACAGCCATGTGTACTTCGTTCAGGTGATCTTCAATTTTCCAAGATCTTGACTATCTCCAGGGTCCATCACCGCCACGTGCATTCGGCCGATGTGGCGCATGCAACTTTTGCTTCTCGCCTGAGCCTGGAGGCTTTCAAGCTTACGAAATCGCCACGTCTTGAGTTGTGTCGCAAAAGTTGACACAAAGTCTTCACCCAACATGTTTGGATTGGGTGATTTTCGCCACTAAGCATGACTGTTTGCAGGCTGGCGACGCCCAACTGAGTACCTTCAGGGCCGTGCATTGTTCAATACGTCAGCGATGCGCCGCCATCAATGCATCTTATCGCACAATGCTCAACCGCAAGCCTCTGATCATAGTGCGTGCTCAGCATGGCAGCTGGTTGCTTGTTGAAGCTGCGGGGAGCTCGTAATGATGATTTGGCACGCTTTGAGGTCCTCGGTTCATGAGTACCGGATTGGAGGCGATGTTGCCTTGTTTGATCGATAAGGAAGCGTCACATGGGGTCAGACGGCGCCATTATAAAGCGCGATAACGGAAGCGGGGAAGGGTGCCGCGAACAGGCCACCGAGCTCCAGGTGGCACAACGACAGCAGACTGTTTCACTGCAATCAACAGCAGTAAAAGAGGATTCCAGCTCATTGTGAAAGCTGCAGCTGACAAAGAGCAAACAGCAAAGTGGGTGAATTGCGGCGCACGCTTTCGGTCGAACCTGCCCGAACGTTCCGACAGCCTGATCTCATTGGTGCAGGGGCCTCCTTGGGTTAGCGTCATTGCCATCACTATCACAGCCTCAGCTTGCCGCCTACGCCTGCCTCCCATATAAAACCAAGCCCGCCCCTCCGTCTCGACCTCTCCTACATCACACTCCCCCACTCAATCCACAGCCCACGCACACGCTGCAAACCACACACACACTACAACAGCACACCAAACAAGACCATAACCATGCAGATCTTCGTCAAGACCCGTAAGTAGCGCTTGCCGCCACCGCCCTCAGTTGCGCCTTCAGTTGTTAACAGCCTCGCAGTCACCGGCAAGACGATCACCCTTGAGGTGGAGTCCTCGGACACCATCGACAATGTCAAGAGCAAGATCCAGGACAAGGAAGGCATTCCTCCTGATCAGCAGCGCCTGATCTTCGCTGGCAAGCAGCTTGAGGATGGCCGCACCTTGTCCGACTACAACATTCAGAAGGAGTCCACCCTCCACCTTGTCCTCCGCCTTCGTGGTGGTATGCAGATCTTTGTGAAGACTCGTAAGTTGTCACAGCGTCCATCGCACGTCATGAGTTCATGCTAACATCATCACCAGTGACCGGCAAGACCATTACCCTCGAAGTCGAGTCCTCCGATACTATTGACAATGTCAAGTCGAAGATTCAGGACAAGGAGGGTATTCCCCCGGATCAGCAGCGCCTGATTTTCGCCGGCAAGCAGCTTGAGGATGGCCGTACCCTGTCCGACTACAACATTCAGAAGGAGTCTACACTGCATCTCGTTCTGCGCCTGCGCGGTGGTATGCAAATCTTCGTCAAGACCCTAACTGGAAAGACCATCACGCTCGAGGTTGAGTCGTCAGATACCATTGACAACGTCAAGTCTAAGATTCAGGATAAGGAGGGTATCCCTCCGGACCAGCAGCGCCTCATTTTTGCTGGTAAGCAGTTGGAGGACGGCCGCACACTCTCGGACTACAACATCCAGAAGGAATCTACTCTCCACTTGGTGCTCCGTCTCCGTGGTGGTATGCAGATTTTCGTCAAGACGCTCACTGGCAAGACCATCACATTGGAAGTTGAGTCCAGCGACACAATCGACAACGTGAAGTCCAAGATCCAGGACAAAGAGGGCATCCCTCCGGACCAGCAGCGTCTCATCTTCGCTGGTAAGCAGCTGGAGGACGGTCGCACGCTTTCCGACTACAACATCCAGAAGGAGTCGACGCTGCACTTGGTGCTTCGTCTGCGTGGCGGACAGTAGGTGGTTATGGTCTGATGATAGTTTCTGGCAAGGCGTTTACAGGAAATGATCCTGGCCTACGGGCTGGGGCCTTGGTTTATTCATAGGTTCACACGGCCGTACACCGCGTACAATGGCCCTATCATCAATGCAACAAGCATGCCTACGGGCTGAGAGTTCACTCTCAAAGATGTCTTGTTCTCTATTGCGCAATCGTGATGCCCCTAGTAACGTGTTGTGATTTCGAGCACCAATTACTAACCCATCTCGTGGCCTTGTCTTATCCTCCGTCATACAGTCGTTGAGAGTGTGCTTACTTCGAGACCACAACACCTCAAAGTCGGCATCATGGTGCTTCGCAAAGGTGCTCGACCTAGTGTCGCCGGTACCCCACATCGTGACGAAATGACCGCGGATTTAAGAGATATCTCCACGATAGCTTGGCTTTAACCCCGACAGCTTCGAAGGCTAAATAAACTCACCCGCCCTGCTCTGATAAAGCTCCGCGAAGCTCCCTCTCTTCTTTCTGTTACGACAGTACTCACCATCAACTTTGAACTCCGAAGAAAGCACACAGCGACGACAATGGCTGAACAAAAGATGCAATACGTCAAGTTGGTCTCCCCACCAAAACACCATTGAAGCAAGTTCGCTGATCATTGTGTAGCCTGGGTAAATCCGGCCTGAAGGTCTCCAAGGTCATCTTGGGCGCCATGAGCTTCGGTAGCGATAAGTGGCAGCCTTGGGTCTTGAACGAGGACGCCGCTCTGCCTATTCTCGAGCACGCATACAAGAACGGTATCAACACATGGGATACAGTACGTATAGCCAGTTCATAAAATGATGTTTTCCAGGGGCCAGCATGTATGATAATGGGGCTAACAACTACTTTCAGGCTGACATCTACTCTCACGGCATCTCCGAGAAGATCATCGCCAAAGCCATCAAGCAATACAACATCCCACGCAACAAGCTCGTTCTCCTCTCGAAATGCTACTTCGGTGTCAACGAAGAAGATCCATCCCTCAGTATCGCAGCAGTCTCCATCAACGATGGCGAGACGGTGAACCAGGTTGGGTTGAGCCGCAAGCACATCTTCGACGCTGTTGAGAAGAGCGTTGAGCGCCTCGGCACATATATCGATGTCCTACAGATTCACCGTTTGGATCGTGGCACACCGAGGGAAGAGATTATGAAGGCGCTGAATGATGTTGTTGAGAAGGGTTGGGTGAGGTACATTGGTGCCAGCTCCATGGCAGCATGGGAGTTTCAGACACTGCAGAACATTGCTGAGAAGAATGGGTGGCACAAGTTTATCAGGTACGCTGCTCAAACGGTATTGGCTTATGCTAGATGCTTGCTAACATTCAAACAGTATGCAGAACTACTACAACCTCATCTATCGCGAGGAAGAGCGGGAGATGGTAAGCCCTCCACCTATGACCCTCAAAAAACGACATGCTCACACACCAACCAGATCCCATACTGTCAAGACACCGGCGTCGGCCTAATCCCCTGGTCCCCCATCGCCCGCGGTGCCCTCACGCGTCCCTGGTCCAACCGCTCCTCGTCGCGTGCGCAAACCGACAGGTTCCTCGAGAGCCTCGTGCACGGGCGCGAAGATAAGATCGACCAAGAGATTATCAGCCGCGTCGAGGACGTTGCGAAAAAGAACAACGTCAGCATGGCGTGTATTGCGACAGCTTGGTGCATCAAGAAGGGCGTTTGCCCGATTATTGGGCTGAGTAGTAAGGAGAGGGTGGAGGAGACAGTAAGGAATTCGAATTACCAGTTGAGTGATGAGGATACAAAGTATTTGGAAGAGAGGTATGCGCCGAAGGAGAGGCAGGGATTCTAGGTTTGTGAAGATGCTGGGCGGAGGCATTGGTGGTCTGTCAGAGTGTTGACTGCTGTCTTGCAACCGCAGATCAAGGAGAATAGCACGAACGAAGATTCATGCAATTGCACACTATTAGTTGTATTGCTCTGACCACGACGTGAGGAACCTTCAGCCTGATTACTGTTCTCTATTCAGACATCGTTCGCCATCTCCCTTGTCGACACCAAATAGGGAAGGACGACGCTTCCCTGACGTCCACAGCAGACAGCCTCAATCACCACTTCCTCTATTCCTCGGTCAACTTCCTCGATCTCGTTGCCGACAGGAACTCACCACCAACGAGCGCTATGCGCCAAAATTTGCAACCAGACCCCGCGCTCATCTTCATACTTGAACAGTCTTCACTATCGTAACTTCACAACAAAAACATCATCTGCGCCTTTCTTCATCAACAGTACAACAGACCGAAAACATCTTCATCAAAAATCCCCCGTCTCAATGTCATTACCTACCCCATCTGTTCACCGCCTGTGCACAACAGGCTCTCATCCACCATTCACCCCCGCATTCATCAAATCTGCCCCTATGCGCGCACCCAACAACCTTCCTATCTCGGACCCATGTGAGGCTATATCAAGCTACTTTACAAGCAAACCAAGCATCGACACGTAGCACAGGACCGCGTTGCCACTGACGCTACTAAGGAGCATGCCAGAGTGGTGCAATAACGATGAGGGTTGGGTGCTGCAATGCAGGGTGTGTTGTACAGCATCAATCTCTGCCGTGTCTGCATGTCAAAAAACGGGTTGGTTTCTCCAACTACTTCTTTGACTGACCCTCGAGTTTCTGGAGCTTGAGGGATAGTGAAGGGTGCTGTGTGGTATTTGGCAGACCGCTTCAGCCACCTCGTCATCCCATCGCGACACTTGACATCTGCAAGCCGTAGATTGACGCCAGTTGCTCACTTGATCAGTGCAACCACGTTGTGTCAAGCAACTCCCCAGCAACCCCTTTGGATTTACATCCAGCACGGTCTGAACTCCAAACTCAATTGTGTCCAGGTGGGTACGGCACGGCCACGGACCTCGCAGATCGCGGGCCTTTCCTTCCGCACGGCTGCCGATCCAGGGTTCTCGAGCACAATCAGTGCTTTTGTTGACCGGACGAGGACGGGCAAACTCGGGTCGGCTGTGTCCTTGCGTCTCCTCGCGCCTCTTGTGGGTTCGATGCTGTGCGTGCGTTTCGAAGAGGAAAGGTCCGACTCAGGGCGAGAAGAGCGGTGAAGCGCGGCTACATTTTTCCGGCCTGGCTTGTCGTGCGATGGTGGCGGACGCGTGGGGCACCTATCTTTAACTGTTTGACATTGACAATTCGAGGCGGGGCCTGCAGTTCGTGAATCATGAAGTGCATCGTGAGATTGCAAACCGATGGTTGAAGTGTGAATGTGGACTGCGTCCTGTCATATCCAGACTAGACTAAATAAGGCCATCTACAACCCGTAACACCTCCGCATTATACCGCGCGCGTACGCATCCCTCAATTATGACCCAGCGTGGCTCAACATCCAGGCGCTTAGAGCGCGACCAAAGCCAGAGCCAGAGCCAGCTGAATCAATGGTGGGATGCTATAGCGCAGGTCGATGCAAGTCGTGTCGAGAAATGGTAGTTCTGTTGAGTCATATTGCTCGCTCCCAATGCCGAAACATTTGTTGATAGATACATGTAAGTGAGGAAGAAAGGGAGACTCGATACTGTCTTTTGTGACAGTACCAAACCGATGAGGTAGGTCGTAACTGTAATGAAAGCCGACTCGCTCGCTATGCCATAGATAAAACAATCATGAGAAAACAAAAAAAGTGGAGGTAGACCAATCGTACAGCCAACAAGGTTGGAAGTGCAACAGTCAAAATCCTCCAATATCGTGAACAAGATACTCTCAGGTATAGGGGCTCCGTCCCGACCTGCAAAAAGAACAAAATTTTGTGACCACCATTTCGTGGTCCATCGTTTCAGCCGTGAACATGGCATCGTAAGAAAAAGTTTCTTGTTGCTCGAGAGAGTGGTAAACAGTTGGATCGCTAACATGGCGTCCGTGACGCCGGGGAATCGCAAGATGCAAACAGGCCGTTCATCGTTTTAGTGGTGTCGTCAACCGTACATTGCATACATCGGACACGTAAGTCGTTGATCGTAGGATGTCGTGGGAGTAAGCTGCGGGGTCTCGGTGATGAGGTCTCGTTAAGGATAGGCGTTGTGAAGATATGCAGCCTAGAGATTAAAGGTAGGTTTGTCGAGATGGCTGACGAGGATCTCAGTTCGCGCGAATGACAAGCTTCGACAAGAACTTGTTTGACAGAGAGTCGAAGTCCTCGCGGTCGAATTTGCAGTCAGATCTTGAGCGCAGGTACGAGTCTGTATGTCAAATTAGTATCGCACTAGATGACCCGAGTAGCGTATCGAACATACCATATTTGGTGACGTGTGCACGAACATCAGTCATGGCATCGCACACCGCCGGATTGCTGTTGAGCAGGTGGTGGTGTTTCCTGGTGTCCCACTCCGAGAACGAGGGGAGCTTCTGGGAGATGGCTGAGAACAAGCCAACAATGACACCAACGGGTGTGCCCTCCATGTCGGAGCAGAACTTGTTGACAGCAGCCTGATCAGGGACACGGTAGCTGCAGTCGAATTGAATCAACTCCCAGACCGCGAGGAGGATAGCGGCCAGCATGAAGATGGTGGGCCAGTTCTTGAGCTTGTCACCACTGTAGACGGACTGGTACAGCGAAGAGAGCTCCTCAAGAACGTCCTTCTGCAGCTCACGCCACATGTCGGCAAGGGCACACTTGACCTGGAAGTTGATCATGACAGGTGCGATGGTGGTACCGCAGAACTTAGATGACTGGTCCTCAACCTTACCAGGAGCCTCCTCATCGCCGAGACCCTCGACCATGGTGACGTGAAGAGTCAGGTTGTAGGCGATGACGAGCTTGAGAGCCTTGCGAATGACAGGCAACTTTTCACGGGTGTAGTAGCGGTAGGCAGTCTTCAAGAGTTCAGTGACGAAGTATGTGCCCTCGAAGTACTCATCGACGAAGTTCTCGAAGCCACCATCAATGTGACGGTCGAGGTAGTCGCTGAGCATAGCGCGCGAGACACCCTCCATGCCAGCAGAGAGTTTAGCAGTGTTGATCTCGAAGTGCGAGCCGCTAAGAGTCTCGTGCCAGTCAACACCAAAGCACTTTTCGTCACGAACGTAGACCTCACGGGCCATGATGGGCAGGTAGTGCCCATAGCCGTGGGTGACGTAGATGGGGCGTTCGTGGGGCGAGAAGCCCTTGATATTACCAATGGAAAAGCCAAGGCTGACGTGACGTTCGTAGTCAGCCTTCCAGTCCTTCATGAAGAAAGCGATGTCCTTGATGTCAATGCGCGTGCACGGTACTTGCCAAAGACGTGCGTGGGATGGCTGGCAACCAGCGCACGGATCGCCCGTATCACAGGTCTTCTTAAGGAACTTGCACCTCAGACAAGCGCGAAGCTTGCGGATCTCGTGAGCTTGTTGACGCTGATCTGGCCTGAGAGGGCCGCGTCTTCGGCCAACGCGCTTCTCGCCAGTGGTGTCCTTCTTTGTAGTGTGAGCGGGTGTCTTCTTGACGATGGTCTTTGTGGGTTTTGCGCCAGCGTTGATGGGGCCAGCAGGAGACTTCCTTCGGCGAACAGCTGGTGGAGAGCTCACGGCCGAGGAGGTTGGGGAGGCTGAACTGCTCGCAGACTGCTTGATGACGACGGGCTCAATGCGTGTCATGGGTGGACTGACAGACTGGTTTGGCGAGATGTAGTTGTCGTAGCCGTGGTCGAGCGGCAGTCCGTGGCCGTGATTGTAGTCGTCAGAATGTGCATGCGAATGCACTAACGACAAGTTGTTCTCTGATCCTGGCGAATTTATAGGGAAGTTGATCTCCTCGAAGCTGTCTAGAGAGTCGGCGGAGCAGGGTACGTCTGACTGGTTCGAATTTGTGGAGTCCGAGGAGGTACGAATGTGGAGTGACTGCGCGGGGTTGAAGACGATGGCTGAGGAGTCGGAGAAGTCGTAGGAATGGCGGTGGTTGTGCGCGCCAACATCGACCCAGCTGGCGTCGCTGCTTGGAAGTGAGCGAACTTCCATCCACTGCTCGCCTGGTGACCCGCTGCCGATGCTCACATTCGAGTGAGAGAACTCTTGCGGGTTGATGTTGTGGAACTCCTGGGTAAAGTCGCCCATGCTGAAGGGCGCATTCATAGGCGGCATGTCCATGGTGGTGGTCGTCATCATGTTGAAGGGAATCGCCATGGACGACATCATGTGGGCTGGGTTGATAGCGAAGTCAACGGGCGAGGTTTGCAGCTGGCCGCCGAACGTTGAGTCGAAGCTAGTGGTCATGCCCATTCCGCCTGGTGTCATGTAGGGGTCCTGGGCGAAGCCGTCTGTGTTGATATTCATCCAGGTCGCCAGCATTGGGTTCATGGGTTGCATGGCAGCCGGGAAGGCGAGGCCGGCAGTCTGGAGGGGAGCAATAGCGCTCGTTGCGGCGGGCATGGTGTTTTGCTGGGCACTCGTCGCGGCCACCGACTGGATACGGCGCTGCTGGCGCTGGTGTTGCTGGCTCGGGTCATGGTGCTGGTGTTGCTGGTGTTGCGGCATTGCGCCCGGCGATATGGGCAGCGGCCAGGTCTGGTACTGCGTGTAGGTCTGGCGGTTGGGGTCGAAGGACGGGTCGAACCCTCCCTCGACACCGTAGAGGGTGCCGTCGAAGTCTATGTGCTGATGGTTCTCCATGTTTGGCCACAGGGAAGTTGTTTGGTGGTCGAGTTTTCGAAAGCTCAGCCGCTCTGAGCTGATGGTGAGCGGTGTAAGCACAGAACGTAAGCAGACCTGGAGGGGACCAGAGGGTAACAGTCGTGTTGCACGGGCCTCGCAGCTGCCAAAAGTCGGTGAAGGCAGCCCCACACACCAACAAGCGTCTCGATCTGCCTATGGTCGACGGTAGCGCTGCTGGCGCTGCAGTAGTCCGCCCGCTCGATTCGCACTCACCACTGCGAAAACCCTGATGGAGCAGCGCGGTGGACGAGGGTGCCTGGCCGTGCAAACGTCGGATGCTGTGCTCGAGGTGAGGTGATCCAGGTGAGAGGCGGGCTGCGTGGGAGGGTCCTCTGTTAGCGAGGAAAATCATTCATGATGGCCACCTCTGCACGCAGTGAGAGACGGGGCTGGGTTCGCCCGCTTTGACACCGTGATTGTCGCTCGACCAGGGCGTGCTGCCTGCTCGCCTGTCATCCAGCCTGTTCAGCGCACGCCTGCACGCCTGCTGACGCCTCACCTGCGCAGCGAGTGAGGGCGCGCCTCACCAGCTGTGTCGCCATGGGCCCGAGCATGTCGCGCTTTCTCGGCATCTGGCGTCGCCAATCGAGGCAGCCCCTCCGATATCAGTTAGACCTAGGTCCAGTAGGATCAGCGTGCGGAGGAGGGGACCGCGAAGGATGCTGCCGCAACAAGCAAACATCCAACGTCGAGCGTCGAAAGGGGGCATCTCATCGTGCTCGTGCCTGAACGTGCTGAGCGTGCTAGACAGCCGCAGCGGACGCAGTGCCTCAACGTGAAGCCTGGCATGAGTCGCTGCTGTGCTCGCCGCCATCGACCGATTCAATAATTCAAGCCTCGAAGCCTGACGGGTCCATGACTGCCAGACTCTCAAGTTGCAGACAGCCCGCGGTGTTCGCCCCACCAGCATGCCCTGGCAACTCATGCTTCAACGGCACTTTGTTGTCGAGTTGCCAAACTCACCGACATCTTCACGAACGCCTAGTCGAACTCTTCATCGTCATCGTACATTCCAAAAGCGTCGAGAGCATGAGCGCTCTACTTGACTCTCTCCACACGCTGAGCCCACTCTGCCATCTGTTCGGCGCTTCCTCGTGTTCGATGCAGCGTCTGCCAGAAGTGACTCGCCATTCGCATTCTCAACGGTTGGTTCTGGTCCATGTGCATGTCATCAGCGTGCTCTGCGTAACATCGTTCCCGCATCGTGCTACTGTGACTACTGCCTTGTGTCTAGGCTCAGGTTAGAGGTTCGCCAATTTGGGGATCGTTCAGCATGGCATGCAGTGATTGGCTTTCCATTGCCTGAAGCCGGCATTGACAGAAAGTGGAGACTTCACTTGCTCCAACAAGCGTGTCGCCATGGTGTTACACAAACGGTGACAAGTTGAAAGGTGCACCATTTCGAGTTGCCTCGTGACCGAATCTGCCGTTTGTTTAGTTTGACAACATTGGACCTTCTCTTCCCATGCCTTGGTAATGTCTTACATCCCGTCCCGGATCTTTGGTAATATCGGACGGCTGAGCCCCGAATCGTTTTCATTGAGGAGTAGCCAATCATTCATTGTGAAGGACGATAAGAATCATACCACTGTTGTGGTCGCACTGAGCTTGCCGATGTTTCTCACCGTCGTACCTGAACGGCGTTCTGACGTTAGCAAGAGACAATCGTCAGTTTCGGCTCGTGGATGAACGTCTCAAGAGCTGGAATGCTGCCGAGGCGGTCAGCATGGCCTTGGAATATTGGACAAGGGGTCAGCGACTCACCCGAACGTTGTTGTGCGACAAGGACAAAGTGTGGAGTCCAAGAGATCGCAAGGTGTAGGCAGTATGAAGCGCTCAAGCCACGACGCATTTGAGAGAGCGCAGCGACGTGGTTGTGAGTGATGGTGATGGTCAATGGCTGCTGCTCTCGAAGTCAAAGTGTCTGCCGTCGTGGGAGGTCTCGTCGTGGTATTGCGGGTGCTGACGTGCAGAGATTGTCATAGCTCTTTGTGCTGAGGGAAGGGACGCTTTCGGTGCGTTGTGGACTGCTCCTGCCATCTCAGGGTCTGGGTCGCGCGCACTTCACTCGCAGGGCACGAGTAGTTCGAGAACGTCAGATCGAGCCGTTGCGAGCGACCAATCACCCCCGTTTACATTGTAGAGCTCCAGAAAGCTACCAATGCCATTCAAATCAGTTACCGCAGGTCCACTTCACCCTCCCTAACACACCCCAACCACCTAGCAATGCCGTGACCCCAGTGAACAAGATGATTCCACCATACTGACCATTGTAGCCCCAACTCTTCCCATCTACCATCCATCCATCACTAGTCACCAACGCGACACTCAGCGGCCCACTGATGACATTCCCAATGCCTCTTCCACCAGCCAGCAACCCAAAGATGAACCCCGTGTCTAGTGCAGGACTCTGAGACTTGAGTTCCTGAAGCACTCCAGACCACGTTGAACTGAAGCCGCCAGCGAAGAAGCCATACGTGATGCTGAAAACAGCCAGCAGCGCCGTCTGATTCGAAAAGCCCCAGAACAAGAACACAGCTAGCGCAGAACCAAGCGTGGAGATAAGAATCGTGGTGGTGATATGGAGGTTGTCGCCGAGACCGCCTATCACGATGCCGCCGGGAATGGAAGTCACGTTGATCAGAACGAGGAGGGCGGTGGCCATGGTGGTGGAGACGTGGAGCTGCTGCACTGCGTAGGTTGAGAGATAAGTGTAGGGAAGGAAGTAGCCAAGAGATTGAAGGATGTTGCCGATCTGGAGCATCCAGAAAGATGGGAGGTGGATGAAGTTCAGGCTGATGCGGCGGACGGTGGCGGACTGAGAGAGGGGAATGCGTGGCTTGAGGAAGTAGAGAAGTGGCGCTGAGAAGAGGATCTAGAGCTGATCAGAAGTTTTCAGCACGTACCCGCAGTCTAGATCTTACCGTTGCGACACTCCATGCTTGGAGCGTGATGCGAGGCCCGAATTTCTGGAGACAAGTCTCCATGGCGAAGGGCACTCCCGCACCAGCAGCAGATTTGCCTGCCCACATCACGCCGTAAGCAAGACCCTTCCGCTTGACGAACCACTCATCGAGATACAACGTTGTGGGTGTGAATAACAGCCCACAACCCAAGGCGCAGATGATACCTTGAGTTGCGATCAACTGCCACACCTTCGTTGCAAAGGAGGACGTCAAGAAGCCAACAGCCGTTAAGACTAGACCGATTGGACCAAACCAGCGGCGCAAACCAGGCCATCGAGTCAAAATCGTAAATGTAAATGGCGAGATGAGGTACATGATTCCCTACAACGATCAGGATTTGCAGAACTCAATGCTCTGGGACTGCAACGTACGGTCATGGTGGTGCCGATCACAGCGACGTTGTTAGAGTGGCCCACAAGCTTGTCTGGATGACTTCCATAGTACTCTTGAAATATGCCGAAGGCGAGGGAATAACCTGTGAACTGTAAGCAATCTCCCTTGTGCATCGAGAGGACTATGTACCCCAGACAGGAATCTGTATCAACGAGCACCCGGCTAAGACAAGCCATGCCTCCTTGCCTCTGTCGGTAGGTGGTAACGAGATCTGCTCGATCTCCTCGACCGCCCCTTGTTGCTCTATTGCGTGAGAGGCTACAGTGGCGCGACTAGAGTTACACGGTCTGTCAAGCTCGATATCTTGCTGTACATGCGTCATATTGTACAATGCTGCTGCCACTCGATCGCATTCGCGGTCAGCTTGGTCTATATACGCTTGAGGTGAGTGAATATGGTACGGTATGACGTCGGAGTAGGAAGACGACAAAGGCATGATCTGCCAAGATGTTGAGGCTGGTTGGCTCGAGGTAAGCATTGAGGCTACAACTAGAGCTATGATTGCGGGGTAGCCATCGCGTGCTCCACGGCCGTGGATATTGTTGCGATCACGTCTCACAGGACGTTTTGTGATTTGAAGGGTGACGGTGCTCAGGAACATGTCCTATATTGCTCTTGGACCGACCTCAATGGATGAGTACATCTTTCGACCAAAGCCACTAACCATATGATGCGAAGCATTCTCAACGGCGAGTTTAGAGCCTGCACAAGCATGACCTGCGACGCTGCGAATACGAAGTGCTCCACCGAGACTTGAAGAGGACTCCCAATTGCAGATACACACTTGATGTGGGTGATCGATCTCGGCACGCGGGGTAGGAGCCATTTCCCGGGTTTCAGGCTTCGGCTCCCCGAATCAAGTGTAACAGATGCTACAATGAGGCCTTTAACTAGTCCAGGGAGTAGGGAATGGTTGCAGCCTCCAGAACTAAGACTCGAACATTGATCCCTACCGCCATCAGCACAACCAGGCCTTACCTCCTCGTTTTTTCCTCGTCCAGTCTCTGCTGCGCAACATGGCACACACGGGTGACCTTCGAAAGATCCAGAGGTATATCACGGGCCACAATGACAAAGGCCAGGCCATCTTCAGCAACGCTTTCGACGAGGAAAGCAAGATGAAAGCCAACGATGACGGCATCGCATTTGCCCTCAGCTACACCACGAAGGGTTTCCCTGTCGACATGACGCATGACCAGGACCTCAAAGTTTACGAGAAGTACTTGAACAGCCCGCCAGGCCTGGTTGTATCAGGTGGAACCGTGCTTCGACACGTCGACATTCCTCCAAGCATGGAGTGCACGATGCACCGGACTGTGAGCCTCGACTACGGCTGCGTGCTCGAAGGGGAGGTGGAGCTACTACTCGATAGCGGCGAGAAGCGTATTATGAAGCGGGGCGACGTTGCGATTCAGCGTGGGACGATGCATCAATGGATCAACCAAAGCAAGACGGAGTGGACGAGGATGTTGTTCGTGTTGCAGGAGAGCAAGCCGTTGGAAATCGCAGGCGAGAAGTTCGGCGAACAATTGGCGGGCATGGCGGGCGTACGTTCATCAGACTGAGGCTTGTATGGCTGGTTTGGGTGGGCGATGTAGATAGAATTCAGAAGGCAGAGAGCTTCGAGCGTCCAGAATTCAGACCTCATTGCCAAGACACTACTGCCCAATCGGTGCCGCAAGCACATGCTCCACTCCACTTCACATCTTCACACATGATTTGCGCAAACACGAGGGGCAGTCACCAACGTTGTTTCCTTTGAGCTTTGCATGTGCGCCATCATTTTGGAACATGACATGACATAGCCCCTTCCGGAAGCTGCGCGACTACGAACAATAGTAACATCGAAAGCAGCAGCCATTGTTCGCTTCGACCACTCACACGAGTCTTCTTCACGTGCCTTATTAGGTCGGGGGCAGAGTTAAGAAGATGACAGTCCCATTACGAAGCTCGGCGCAGGTGCCGTCTGAACGCTTGGAAGAGATTATTTCCGGAGAAGGCCGGATAGAGGAGCTGTCAGATTCAGAACTTGGTTCAGAAGACGAGTACGAAGACATGGGCACAGCAACGCCTGAAGAGCAGGCGAACATTGCTTATCTGGAGTGCGTGCGGATACCAATCCATGAGGATTTGCAAACGAGTACATCGAAAACACAGGATGAGACGCTCAAGGTCATTTTGCCGTTTCTGGAGGGGAACCCCAATGAATTCACACTGAACTCACACGGCATTTCACAACTGCAACGAAAGAAACATGTATTGTACTTGGAAGATGCGCTGGACGACTACCCGGGAGGGTTCGCTATGATGGACGCTTCACGACCGTGGATCATCTACTGGGCTTTGCAAGGCTTGACGGCGCTGGGTGAAGACATCTCCGAACATCAGCGGAGAACAGCACATACTTTCTCGCTGGCTCAACATCCCGACGGTGGCTTTGGTGGTGGCTACGGGCAACTGCCACATCTCGCATGCTCATATGCCGCCACGCTCTCGCTAGCAACAGCAGGTGGCGAAGCTACGTACGGATCGATCAACCGCAAGACAATGTGGCATTTCTTGGGTCGTATGAAGCAAGCAGATGGAGGCTTTACTATGTGTCAAGGGGGCGAGGAGGATATTAGAGGTGCTTTCTGCGCAATGGTCCTCCTGTCGCTGCTCAACCTACCGCTCGAGCTACCAAACGATTCACCGGCTCGACAACAAGGCCTTACAACATTCACAGACAACCTCGGCGACTGGGTGTCGAAGTGCCAGTCATGGGATGGCGGCATCTCCGCAGCACCTGGCAACGAAGCCCACGGCGCCTACGCATTCTGCGGCCTGGGATGCCTCTCCATCCTCGGTGCTCCAAAGGAAACACTGAACAAGTACCTCGACATCCCACTTCTAGTTCACTGGATGTCTTCCCGCCAATGCACTCCCGAAGGCGGCTACAACGGCCGCACCAACAAGCTCGTTGACGGCTGCTACTCGCACTGGGTAGGAGGCTGCTGGTCGCTCGTCGAAGCTGCAACAACAACCGGGATCTGGAACCGCGCGGCGCTTGGGCGCTACATCCTCGCAGCTGCGCAAGACAAGAAGGGTGGCCTGAGAGATAAGCCTGGCAAGCGCTCGGATGCTTACCACACTTGCTACAACTTGGCTGGGTTGAGCGCTGCGCAGCACCGTTACGTTTATGATGAGGGCATCAATAAAGGTCTTGGGGAGGTTGGCTTGGGTGCGCCGTTCCGTTGGAAGGCAGAAGGCTTGTATGAGGAGGATACTATGTGGGATGCGAGCGATGTTGTGGGAAAAATCCATCCCGTGTTCGTTATTCCGTTCAGGGCTGTGTATGAGTGCAGGAGGTATTTTGAGGATAAGGAGGGCTTCTGACATCTGTATATACGACTTCTTATCACCACTTGATATCAACACACAATACAGCTCTGAGCTTGAATGCAGGGTGAAATCTGAGTTGATTCAAACAATATGCAATTGTTTATGCGTCCATATAGACCACAAGCGGCGGACCTCCAACCTTTGGCTTGATGAACGACTTGATCGCAGTATGCGCCGCGCACTCGTTGTCGTAGTAGTCCATATCTGCTTTTGAGTTGAAGACCGTGCGCGCCACAAGTGTGTAGCCTTGACTCCTGGGGTCATCGTACGGTTGATGTGCGGTTGCTTGTTGGATGTATGGTTTACCGTCCTAGTCGGATTGTCAGCCTGATAAAATCCTTGGACATGCACAATTGTGCATGTAGCCCGTCTCATGAATTCTCGGCTCTTGATGTTGGCGTCTGGAGTCGCATTCGTGCGCGTGCTGTGCGGCACAGGTAGTCGATGCCTGCACTCTGCAGCCTCATCACCACATACCCCACAATTTATCGAATCCGACATCAAGCTGCCCGCGGATGCCAGGATCATGAATCGGGCATGAGGCGAGCATTGGGTGAGCGCGAGGCTGGACTGAAGTTGTGGAGCTCAGGGAAGTGATGGGATACCTGACGTGCAGATAGCAGGAACTTACCTTGACAGCGTCCTGGGTCAGGGTAGAGTATTTCTGGATTGCTTCTTTGATGACAGCGGCGTCTGTGAGTTTGAAGAGCGTCATCCGTACAATTTTCGACATGTTGGCGAGTGTGAGAGGATGTCAGTTGTTGGCAAGGCTTGTTGTTGTTCAGGAAGATGTTGCAGTCCGTGGTGCTTTTGTCACGGGAGCTTCGGAGCTTGTGAGGAGAGCCATGCATGGCGGAATATTATGCTCGGTTCCCCTTCCATTGATGACATTGTGAAAGTAACTGAACTAGTTCGTCTGAGAACGTATTTGTCACGATATCGATGCAGGTAAAGATGAGATACCCGTCGGATCTTCCATCTGTGTATTGATTTCACGTCTCAGGCCTGCACCTGGGGGATTGAATCTAGATGCAAGATATATGTATGAGACCTGGTAAGAGAAGCGGTGACAGGGACCATTATTGCACATTTGACCTGGATGAAGCCGTCTATCTATTGGCCTCTATTTCTATACACAGAGATGGTACAAGACAAGGTGATGTTACCGGGGCTTCTGGCATACAGTACACCGCCGATGCGGAACAGGTTCCGGATGCTCTGATTTGCGTACAGTATCCGTGCGGGCTACGCACACCATCGAGCCGTGCACACCCTCACCACCTCAAACACCACATAAAAATGAGGCTGTAGAGCCACCCATAATAGGAAATATCATGCAATTTGTTGGTGTAATTATCTATTAACCTGTGCAATTCTTGTCCTGTTTGTGTTTTTTATTTGGCTTGGTAGTGCGGCCGCTGCGGGTGGTAACCTGTGGAGGCGTCGGGGAACGCGTTGTAGCAGCAATACTACCAGTGGCACCACCCACACATGGTTTTTTTGACAGTTAGCTTCTTAGGAGGGTTACTTGAGGCTTTGCGCTTGCCTGTTTGGGATAATTGTATAGATTTGGCAGCATTGCACTCTGTTTTCTTGCGCTGCCTCTTCCTTCATCCTCTCCTATTCCACACGCTTCTGCTGCTTCTCCTGCTCATCTCAAAGCTTCTTCTGGGCTTGTACTTCCTTATTGTGAGCCTTTTGAGCTTCTATCTGAAGTCGCTCCTGCTTATTAACTTGGTTCCAATAGCAAGCTTCTCGCACCTTGCAAGGGGACCAAAGAACAGCTGCACTATTGTACTCCTTGTGTCATTGCAGGTCAAGCTTCTCCCGCTTCTTGTTTGAGGGCTTTAGTGCTGTAATTATAGTGTGGAGCCCTCTGTTTTCAGCTTCTACAAGCTTGGTGTGTGCTGAGAGGTAGGGGATAATATGCCTCAACTGCTTTACTTCTTCAGCGCTCCAATCCTTCACCACATCCCCCAGGACTTTGATAGCTTGCTTCCAGTCATCAGCATTGAATTGAAAGGCGTACGAGGCTGCTACCTCTTCTTGTTCTTGACCTTATCGACAATTACAGCTGCATTGGGTGGGTACAGGCCTGTAGCTTTAAAGGACTTGAGGATGAGGCCTGGTGTGAGGGCTCGGCTTGGTCCCACCTGAGCTACACCAACCAAAAAGGTACAGTAACCCAATAGATATGGGTTCTGGGAACCAAACAGTATATACCCGTGACACTTGCCTTCTGGTCCAATTTGCCAATGCACTTCATCTGAGAAGCGTACATCTTCCCAATTCTCAGGCTCAGGCCTCTCATGTAGAGGTTCAACAGCCCAACACATACATGAAAAGGCTGTAGGTTCCTTCACTGTAACAATGCAGATCCCCATTGTGCCAAATGGCCAAAAAGTACATCAATATCAGCACAACTGCTGATATTGGGCTCTGCATCTAATATATAGGCATAGTGCAAGGCACCTCCTTACATTCACCCATTGCTTCTGACAGGCTATGCACTTATAGTAACCAAAGTGCTTGGCCATTGTACAAGAAATGGTGCAGTCTGATACACCTGTGATGCCACACTCCCATGCAATGTTCTGCCAGCTCAAGGACCAAGCCTCAAAGCCTTCTTGTTTCAAGAGCCTGTCCATCTTTCTGAGGCCATTGTCACTGATTTTAGGAGGACATCCCCTTTGTTCTGGTACTCTAGGCATGTTGTGGTGACAACGATCAGGGTTGCCTTTCCCAAGTATAGCCCATCCGCGTGCTTTAGAGACTCCAGAGTGCCAAAAAACGTCACTTTTGAAGTAATCAGCTCCTAGCCACTCTGCAAACTCAACAACACCTTTAACCTTAACTTTTTTGGAGAATCATGATGGGTGTATTTTAGTTGATCGCGCATTGTGATGTATAGTAACTATATAGCTTTGTGATGCAGCTGTGTGGGTGTGCATTCAGGTGTGTTGAGAGGCTCGGTTAGTAAATCTCACTTTTTTTGTCAGCCGAGGTGAGCGGCAACTGATCGCTCTTGCCATCTTCGAATCTGAGCGTAAAGAGGGGCAGTCGCAGTGCACTGACACGGCTTCTTCACCGCCATTCTCAGTGCAGATTGCACTGGTAGCCGTGCGTCATCCATCCCCAGATTCTCCCGCCCGTGCTACTGCCATGTTTCGCAGCAACTCAGCAGCTGCCCGCGACGAGGCTGTCAACACTCTCAACTGATTCGCCAATGGCAACGTCTGTCATCAGCTCGTCGTTCGGACTGCTCTTCCTGCGGAGATTTCCTGCGGCTCATGCTGTATGGACCCGCTTAAACCCACATCTCTAGTCTTCCTCAACCGAGCCTTGGACCGACGCCATAACGAGGCCGCTCCTGCGTGGACCTTACACTTGGACCTTCATGTACCGTTGATGTACGTTGCTGGCCTATCGCGCTTTCGTCTTCGAGTTGTGCACCATCGCACTACCGTCCGGGCTTAGCCTTTTGCGCAGCGATCGAGGGCAATATGCAGCCGCCCGCTTGGTGACGCTTCAAATCATGCAAGTCGAGAGGAGCTTCGGCCTTTAATATCCTCCATACATCGGCGATGTACGCATTCAGCTCGGCTGTTGAGCGACTAGGATCCTTTCCGAGCATCTTTGCACAAATTCCACGTCAGGCGGATCGTTACACACGACATTCATCCTTGCAAACGTTCATCGACAAATATGGACTGCAACAGGCGCTCGAGCTATCGCTACACTATCTCCGCAGTGAACGGACTCATGGCGCACGTTCATGCCTCTCCTTCTTCGGTTACGGTTGCATATCGCTCGACCTTCAAAGTCAAGCGTCGTTGACAACTCACCATGCGCCATGCCATGCAGTGCATGAACGCCCGGGCGCAACGACAAATTTCTGGTACCACAACCCCAGTTGCCTTCCAACCCCTCGATTCCAGCAATCAATCGATCTTATTTGCCTTTTGTTGTCCTGCCGAGAAGCGCCTGCTATTCCTGGTCTGACGCTCTGCTCACGATAGCGTGTCAAGTTCCCCTCCACTCATTCTACCTCTAGGCGCGACTTCCGCTGCCATGCTTGGGTAGCCCTGTCGAAATGTTTGAGATCCACAATTCTCTGCGCCTGGTCTCTGCTCCCGTTCATCAACCTGCCCCTTCGTATCCCACACGGATGCTCACCAATTGCTGCCAAGATGGCCGAACTTGCTCGGAGCTCAGTGGACATTTGCTATGCTTAGCATGGTTTGCTCATGCAACACAGCATCATACTACTAGGCTTACCTGCTGAGAGAGTACAACCCGACCGTCACTGTACGTCGTTCTTTATGCTTCTGCATCAGGGTCTTTGGTATGCCGATCTCAAAAGTGCGCGTTGACGAACCATCAACCGCGCTAACGCTGCAGGATAGTGGCGACGGCGAATGATATCCCAGTTGGCGGATACCGGTGAAGCTTGTGCCTTTACAGTATGAGCTCTTTCACTAGGAATCTGGAACCCTAGTTTTTGTTGGCGAAAATGCGGCCAACGCATCGATAATATGGGCCTCTTTGTACAGAGCCGCAAGACCCGCATATTATGCGCTTCCAGACGTCCAATTCATGGCGCTCCTACTGGTCGGAGAACTCTGCATGTTCCAAGATGCTCGCTGCACTCGGCTGCCGCAATAAATCACACGCCATCCCATATTAGATGGATACGTCCCTACCGTCCCATATACCTTCTGCACGCCATGCCCTCTTACTTCTTTCTATCTACAACGCAACACTTCTCCTCACCTTCAGTACACCTGTCACTCTCTCGCCTCGACAAGTGTCAACGCCGTGTTGTACAACAGCAGCCACGACTACCTCTTTCAGTCGGACACGAGGGAGCGCTTACCTGTTCCCGTCAAAACCAACCTCGGTCTTTCCCTTCTCGAGCTTTGAGCTTGCATTGAGAACCAGCATTGCTGCAAATTGCTTTTGCCTACACGCACATAACCGCACACAACCACACGCTATGTTCTACATTATGTATCTGACAGGTATGTACAATCCTTCCATCGCCATCCGCGCCTTGGCATCTCAAGGTTGAACATTTGTCAGACCAGAAGAGGTCGATCTTGCATCAATGTGCCAGAGACTGCAGCATCAGGACGAGCATCGCAACTGCCTAGCTCTTTCTGGTCGTCTTCCCCGAACAAGCGTTATGCATTGGTCCATTTTAACACAGAGATTTGTTTGTTTTGGGATGATTGAATACTGACCATTGGTACAGGTCTTTGCCAAAGGAGACACTGGCCAGACCCTCTTTTCCAGACATACCGTTCCGGGTACGGCTACGGATGCACAGTACGCGTCAACAACCGGGAGTACTCGACAGACGTAGACTACGAAAGTGACGAGCTCGCCAAGAACGCTGCCGCTACCCGAGCTTACATGATCTGCCGCAACTTCTCCGTCAATGATGGCATGTTCCCCGGCCACCGACCAGGCCAAGGTGGTGTCGTTCAGGGTATGCCAGTTGCCATTGGTGCTGGTCGACGCAACACAGCGGTATCGAACGACTACGAGACTGCCAGCAGTTCGAGTGGAGGCACTAGCCCAAGGAACAGCGACTATGGCCTTGATGCTCCAGCGCGTCGTTCGAGCAAGTCGAGCACAAGTTCGACCAGTGCCTGCTACTGCGGTAGGGGTGCTGTAAGGATGTACGAGAGGTGCACTGGATGCCTCAGGGATGCCGGATATCAGTGTTAGGTCTGGTATGAATTCGAGGAAAAGAGTTGCGATCGATCGACGAATTCGACATCACGAACAGGGCTTGACAGATCGGCCCGAACAGGCGATATCTTACGATCACGTGCCTGGATACGGAACCACTTCCGGACCATCCTCAAACGGACCCTTCATGACCAATCACGCTAGCCTACTCCAACACTCGATGAACGGCGGCGACATCTTTTACATTTCCTCCATCTTTCGGGACATGTAATGACCACTCACGACTCTCGTTGGCTATCTGTTTCTTCCCGGCGGCTGCATAGCGATGGTATTGCGCATTCGAGCGTTCAGCGACTTCATCATTACCATGGACCGGCTTTCTTCTTTCCACTGGGCTACACCTCTTTGGGGTGGGCGATTTTGCTTGTTCAGTTCTTGGGCTGGCTGTCTCCATTTCCTGATTGCGAAAAGTTTCTATGTTTCCTTTGCGACGACGACGATAAGATTATGATCAACAAAAGAAGAAAAAGATCACGACCACGGGCCTCACGGCCTCACGAATACCATCACGATAACGACTTTCATAGACCGACTTCAAGTTCAATCTGAAAAATAACCAATATTGCGTGCAAAGACCAAACCGCCTTTCTCGATATGACGGACAAGTACAGTCACTTACGGTTGTGAACTTCACAGACCCACTCTCTCTCCCCTTCAGCACGATCCTTTGTGTTCTTACACCTAGCACCCTTCTGGGTGGTCTGTGAGCATCAGATCTTGGGTGTTTTGCGCGCCTTCTTCGTGCCTCTCGACGACTCAGGAGGCTATGTTGCCGCTCGCCTTGGCGGCCTTCCATGACCTGTCTTCTGTAGCTCGGTAGGTGGAGGCGGTGAGCCAGCAGGTGACATCGTACCGCCGGCAGCTGTTCCATCAACGGGAGGTGCAGGAGTTGCTGCTGGCGGATCGATAGGCGTGATTTCTACCGCTGCAGCGACACCGCTCTGTAACGTGTTAGCAGGGCTCTGGCGGCGGTGACCCGCCGATGGTGCTGGCCATTTCAGCGGACGAATATGGCTCAACAGGTTGCGTCTCAACCTCACTGATCCCACCAAACTGCAACCGCTCAGGGCTCCTTACATGACGCATCGTACTCCTATACCATCTATAGTCTTATTGACTGGTCTCCGGATTGAAAGTCAAAGCGATGCGAGTTCTATTTCGGTGTACCATGCTCTCTTCACGCGAGATTACGCGATCATCTTCTTTGTTTGTTAACAGAAGGAAGTACTGCTGCTCGTCCTCGTCAAAGTAAAGGTAGGCATGTTGTGCCGAAGGTTTTCGAGAGACCATACGTGATTTAGAAAGCGCTGGGCCACCTCTACCAGCGTGAAGCCATTAAGGCAGTCTTTTTCTCCGACCTTGTCGTCGATCTCATCACGAGCTGGTGCTGCGTGGGTCATGAGGATGAAGCGACCAGTTGTTACATCTGGTCGTGCGATGGTGTTGAGAACGCCAGCGATGAATCGTTCATTGGGCCAGAATCGCTCCCGCAGCTCAGCAAAGGAGATAGATGCGCCTTCTTGCTTGAGCCGCTTTGTCACAAGTGCCTTGATGCCTTTCTCGGTGGGGATTAGCTTTCGCTTGTACCTACTCTTGACGGGATCATCGACGCCCGCTGGCGTCTTCTTGGAGGGCTGACGCGTGAGCGTCGCAAAGAGTTCGATGCGGTAGACGAGCATTCGTGCATCGAGTGGACAACGGAAAGTCGTCGGAGGTGAAAGGGGCAACACCATTGGTGCTTTGTTTCTAACCCATTGACCACCCATCAACAAGAATAACAGCTTTGTGTCGCGCGACTTAGATGTCAATCGCTGAAAGCGCAAAATTTACTGCTCGGAACCTCTGAGGTCTTCGTCAACACATCCCAAAGACTTGCCTTACCAGACACACTACAGCACAAGGCTTCAATGAAGCTTCTGGAAAATCCATGGCTCAAATCATGTCGAGTAGCTGACTGTGTCGTGGATACCTTTGACAAAGTGGTACTCAGGGCTCAAGCAGCAGCTTCTGGCTCTTGAGCCTCCTCGAGGACCTCCACGCTAGTGACAACCTCATTGTTCATGGTCGCTTTGCCGCCTGTCTACTCAAGCACCTTTAGCTGCCCAGTCGCAAGGTCGTAGATGAGCCCGTGGATCGTCAGGCCTTGCTCCATGATCGCTATCCTGATCGCAGGGTATTTTCGGAGCACATCGATGGATTGGTGAACGTTGAGTTCAGCGACGCGTGCGGCGCGTACACCGTCATCAAGCGCGTCAGGTTCGGCCCGGTGTTTCCGGCGCAGCCTGTTCGTCAATTTCCTCTCTTCAACATCATAACATGTGCGTGTGCAAAACTTACTCTCGTAATAGATGCAGCCACTTGTTCAGCGTCTCACCCAAGTCGACGTCCGTCAAGCTTTCCGTCGTGCCCCCGCACGTTGTATGCCCACAAACTACCACCTTGTTGACCTTGCGATGTGTGACCGCGTATTCGACGACGCTCGCAGGGTTGATGTCGTCAACGTGTATCGTGTTCGCGATATCTCGATAAACGAAGATGCCGCCGGGCTTGCAGTGGCATACGGTCGTTTCGGGGATGCGACTGTCCGCACAGCTTAGCCAGAGGATCTGAGGCGTTTCGCCTTGCGACAAGACGGTAAATGCGCCTGGATTCTTGGAGGTCGTCTTATTGGCGTAGTACGCATTGCCTGTCGCGAGGCGCTCCAGGGGATCTGCTAGTACGTGAGCTGTGTAAGCAACAAAGCTTGGGGGACATAGAAAGGCAGCGTGCAATGCGTAATGGGGTCTAGAGGACTGTGGGAGGTGTGCAGCACATGTCGCCTTGATCCTTTCTAAGACAAGAAGAAAGAACACCCTCAGCTCCTTGCCCTTTGTATACTTGACAGGTAGCACCCGCGGAGCACGTTGTCTTACTTCACAATGCAAAGTCGCAGTGTGCGACACTCAAACGCTTCACGCTCCATTAACATATCCGACAATACTTGTCACAGCTAAAGGGCACACCTGTAGATTGAAGGAAGTACGGCCTTTGGTTGAGCTTATTTGCGTCTATTGGAGTACCAGACTTTGACGAACAACGTCTAGGCAACACCCATACCTGCGAACACCAAAGCTGCGACGTTCATGACAACAATGATACCCCAGATTACAACTGCGAATGCTGTCGTGATCCAGTGGTTTCGCATCTGCACATATCCATCTGCATTGTCGTCGGCATCTTGCCCAGTACGAGATGCGTTGTAGTCGGATCGCACAGCGACCTTCATGTATTGCGCTCGGCAGGTGAACCAGATGAGTGGTGCGCTGACAAAAGGCAAAATGATACTCAACGCGAACTGACTGCCGTTCAAGGCCTTACTCAGCCCTTCTTGTCCAACGGCACCAGCGATGATGATGGAGGGTGTGATGCTGATCGATCGTGTTATGAGACGGCGAAGCCATGGTTTCATCGTCCAATTTAGTTGGCCTTCTGAGACCATCTGTCCAGCGATGGTGCATACAATGCCAGCCGACGTCCCGGAGAGAAGCAACGCCAGCGCGAACAGGGTACCAGCGACGGGCGCAATAGAGCGCGATAGTAGACTGTGAATAGAGAAGAGATCTGCATCTGTTGCTTCCGATTGGCCATAGATCGATGCGCCAGAGACAATGAGGATGGCGGAGTTGACGAACAGGGCGAACGTAAAAAGTGATATGGCAAGCTCGGCAATACTGTAGGACATACAGTGCTTGATAGCAGCAAGAGAAGGCTTGTATTTCAGTTCATCCGTGAGTGAGTCGACGTCTATGTCATGGAAGGAAGTAGAGTTGTGCTGGTCGTCGTACTCGCGCAGACGCGGTTGGACGATGCCGCTGCCCAGGTACAGGCTGTGAGGCATGACCGTAGCGCCCAAAATACCACAGGCTTGGTATAAGCTGTAGATTGTTAGCGGGAGTGCTGCAGACGGACACAAATCACTTACGCTTGCGACTTGACCAAAGTTGAAGAAGGAACATAACCGTGGAACACTTCGCCCACTGAAGCATGAATCTTGCTGAGCTCAAAACAAAAACAAATCACAACACCTAACACAAGCAATGCTACAAAGAATTCGAAGCCGCGAAGGGCACGCATAGTGCCAGATGGGGAGTAGAAGATAAGGATGATCAGAACGTCCACAATGGATATAGCGCACCCGGCGACTAGAGGGACCTTGATCAAGATGTTCAAAGCGATTGCAGTACCGATAACCTACTCTTGTCAGATTCGACGAGCACTATGAGAGAAAAGACTTACCTCAGCGATATCGGTCGCGATAATAGCTGACTCTGCGAAGAAGTACAGTATGTAGTTCAACCATGGCGGAAGATGGGCCTTGCAATTCTCTGCAAGATTCATGCCAGTGACAGAACCCAGCTTGATGCAAAGAGATTGTAAGAAAATGGCGAAAATATTGGACATCAGGACAATGAAAAGCAGCTTGAATTCGAAAGAAGCACCAGCCGCAACATCGGTAGCGTAGTTTCCTTAGACCAGTCAGTCTTGTTGATGGTATCTGAGACGGCTATGAAAGATTATGCAGTCACAAAGATTCTCTGTCAGAAAACTTATAGAGGACTCACCGGGATCGATATATGCTACAGCTACCATGAAGCCAGGTCCTACAAACTTCAGGTATTTGCGGATGACTTCAATGGCACCACCGAAGATGCCTCCACGACGCCTTGGGTGGACAACATCTTGTTCCACGCTGAACATGGCAGACGGTCTGATAGCTGACTCTGCAGTGCCAGGTTCGGTCTTTCTCGTGGCATCGCTCCCCCTGCGCAGGCCATCGGACGCTTTGGGCTTCAACCCTCCATCTTCTTCAGTTGCTTGTCGTTGGTCTATTGCCATGTCGTCATCCGCGTTGTGGCAATCTATCCGGTGGTCATCCCTAGCTCTTGTATTCGCCATGTATCCTAAGTCTGCTCTTGTCGTCGCATCCGCATTGAGTGCATTGGGGCTTTGATTGTATCCTTCCGGAAATTCCGGATCCGTGCGCGAAGGACAGTTCATCGCAAACGGTAGACGGACGCACGACGCCAGCCAATTCGAATCTCAACACCACAACGGCAATTGATGAAGGGCAAATTGTAGAGAAGAAGTGTGAAGGTGTCGAGACGTCAGAAGATGTCGATCGAATTACTGTGGGGTAATAGCGTCGCCGGATGACGAGGCTACGGGATCGTGCCTTCCGATTACGGGTTTATCAAGGGCTGGACTCAAGTCTTGCGATTCCTCCCGATACAGCTGTATCGGCAGCAACGCTATGGAGAAGCATGCTGGTCAGCCATTGCACAAACACACGAAAACGCGCGTTTTACTACCGTTCATCTTCGACGGGTGGTGTTGGGGTACTGTGATGGTGGTGAGATCTATTGTGAACTGTGGGGAGAAGCCAAGCTTCAGCAAGCCACAACCGAGGAAAGCTTGTTCCGCATCTGCAGCCCTGCGAACCTGCATTCTCCATCGAACACATCCGCGCCGACAATAAATAGACCCAAGCCGGAGAGCTTCTATGCAAACACATGAGCTCCCAAGGGCCTAAATTATATAACAGTTGATGGAGCCGGCAGTATGTCTTTCCGTCCGTCCAGACTGCCCACTTTTCATCGATGACGCATCCCTCCAAACAATACAAAATCACTGCCTCAGAGTTCATGCCCTCCTAACATTCAGCTTCAATGAGGCTCGCGCAACCTTGGGTATCGCGATAGCGCAGTCGACACTTGGTCTTCTCGCATACCACAGCACTCTGCTCGCCTTGGTGAACCCCAGGTCATGAGGGGGTTTGACCCGAATCTTCGAAAGGCGGATTTTCAAGAACTCAAATTAAAGTCTCCAAGCATGTGCCTACAAAGAGGCTTGATCACCGGCAGGTCATTAGGCGCCCCGAATTTTAGTGCAAGAGGTCCTTTATCCCAGCTGCAGGCACAAAACGAAGGCAGGTGGCAACACAACCTCCTCTTACATGCCAACACTTCTCAAAAACTTGCTGAGATCTCACATCTTCTGCTGGTTTCTTCCCCAGGCTAATTTAGACACCTTTGTCCTCTGGAGTTGCCGACACCCAAAGAAGGCAAAGCAAGCGTACAGACAGAACTTTAGCCTCGAATATCAGGGCTCATCATTCGACAAAGCTTGTCACGAGCGCGATGTTACTATGATTTATATATTTTCCGGCCGACAAGCACATAATTCGCCAAATTGCGACCCATCTGCACACCTAAATGGTCCTCCTCACTACACGTTGTGGCGCTCCTCTAGAACCTCAAGCACTGAAAAGTAGTGCCGTGTATGAATCCATACAAACGTTCCATCGATGTTTAGTACGCAACCTGCTTTGCATTGACTTATCAAGCTTCATGTCACGACTTTTCAGATTGCTTCACGCAGGTGTGAACTATAACCCGAGAAAACCATGGAATGTTGCTTAGATATGTACAATTCTTACTATCACATGTTTCACATATGACCATAGGACGTTGAAAACAAGGCTTCCCGTTCGCTCAGCCCTATTTAAGCAGCGTACCGGCAGATTAGTAGTTAGGTGGGTGACCACTAGCGAATACCTGCTGTTATATGTTTTTGCATTTTGGCCTGCCCTGCCCGACAAAGCATCAACGTCCTATATATAGTCTACAAGATTTCTTTGTTTTTGAACCCTATATTAAAGGCGCGTGGCTGACAGGTAGCAAAGTAGCCGGTTGAATGCGATCCTTCAAATTAAGGAGGTAGTCAGCGTAGGTTCGCAGGCTTTCTGTAACGTTGTAAAGCTCTGCGAGCCTACGATAGTTTTTTTTCTAAAGAGATACTCTATACCGTGTTAGCTTATTTTGGATGCCACCAGAAGCCAGTCATTTGTCCAGGCTTGTGGCTAAGATGTTGTAGCTGACTTTTACTGCAATACAAGAGGGTGTTTGGTGTTGTCTATTAAGGAAGATCGTGCGATGATCAAGTGATGCGGTGGGATGAGTTGTCGACTGCGTCTGCTCGGTACACTTCGCTTGCAATGTGGTGTCATCCTCATACTGATTCCTCTACTTCCCTCTATCAAACTCCACCCTATAGTAACGCACATGAGTATAGATCGATAAGTGTGCTTTCATTCCATCGTCAGTCGTTCATCACGCGCCTTGAGGCACCAAACCACTCTTTCTCCACAAGCCTTCCGCCGCTAAGCTACCTACACTCGAAAAGAAAAGATGCCACTCTAGGAACCAATGGGGATAAGGATATTGATGTGATGCAGCCCAGTGCGACCAGCCGTTTTGCCTTGCCATGCCAGCCCTGATGGAAACGGCGCATCCAGTTGTAATGCCAGATCGTGGATATAATGTTGAAGAAGAGTTGCGTTGACTCCGTTCACCAAAGAAGTGCAGGTAAGGACCCGCTGTTGAACAGAAGAATCGAAATACGCCAAATACGCCGTGCCCATGCCGTGTCGTGGATATATCATCGTTGGCAGAAAAGTTCAATCTCACCCAGCTGTCCTCCGCCTGGGTTGAGGTCTCTTTGCTGCTCTTGCCAATTCTCGAACGCTTCCTGAACGTCGTCGTCACATTGGATACTGACGTATGTACCTTCGCTGTCAAGGTACTTTAGCTTGACCTGGCCTGAAGCAAGCGATACTGCTGTTGATCGCTGAAGTTTGGCATCGATGCGGTCCTTGAGTGACTGGTAGCTGATGTTGGTGCTGACGACCAACACCATTGAGCTGCCTGCTGATGGACAGTGAACCTTCACCTTCAGCTGGGTTGGTATGTTGGAGTGCTCTAGCGCAAGTGGTGGCGACATGTTTCGAGAGTCCATCGAGGCTGGTGTCATCGTTCGCTCGAAAGAGGACGCAGGCGTCATAGTGCGAGACATAGGCGCAAAGTTTGGATCGCGGCGAGCTGGTCCACCTTGGTAATCGCCCAAGGTGGAGAGCTCTGCAGCTGTTCTTTGTTGAATGAGGCGATCTCTCTGAATCGCCGGCGATTGAGTGCCTGCTCTTGGCGGCAGACCACTCGGTGAATTGCTCTGGCTGCGGTTTACAATTGCAGCGTTGTAAGCGTAGTGTGTTGGGAAAGGTGGTACGTCCGGTACGGGTCCGCTCGGCCCTTGACGTGGCACGTTACCATTGTGAATGTCGGGGCTACTAGCTGCCCGCAGACGTTGACCTTGAGATGACATACTGGCATTGGCTGGCAACGACGGCCTTTGGGCGCGTGCGGCCGCATACTGACCAGATGGCTCACGACCATGACCACGGGAAGGCGCAGGTGCAGTGTAACGGTTGTTCTCCTCCATGGAGTAGCCATTCGGTGGTGTTTGTCGAGGGAATGGGAATGTACCTGCAGAGGATGAACTGGTCCGCGCATTGGAGTAGGACGACATGGGAGTTTCAACAACAGGTGAGAAGTGAGACTCGATCGCCCCTGAGTTTTGGAGCTGCTGCGTGCGCAATGTCAGTGGCGGCTGAGTGGAACCAGAATAACCCATAGGAAACCGTGGAGGTGGTACCCTTGGATCCAGCCCGTCCATCGGTGGGCCACTTTCGCCAGTTGTTGATCGTGATCGTGGAGAGCCATTCGAGCTGTTCTGCATGATGCCGTAACTGTCTCGTGGATAGCCAGTAACCGGAGGCTCATCGTCATCATCGTCCTCTTCCTGCTCCGCATACGGGTTCTCTACGTTGAGACCAGCCATGTAGGTAAAGTTGGTGTCTGAAGGCTTCGAGTTCGTAGTGCTGGCGCTGGAACGTGCGTGGTCCTTCCATACTCGCCTCTGGGCATCCACTTGGGCAGCCCACTTCTTCATGGTCTCTTCCGAGGTGAATCGAATGATGAAGTTCTCGATGCCTGGATCGCCCTTCCAGAAGATCTGGCAAGTGTAGGAGCCTGGCTTCTGTAATGAGATGGTTTCCGTGACATTTTGCATGAAGATGCGGCCCTTCAGTTGCAGCTTTGGTTTTCCGTCCTTTGTGACTAGCGACTTGGTCGACATCTTGTTCTTTGGCTTATTGACGTTGATCTCCTTGCAGCAGAGCAGTATCATTTCGAAGAGGTAGATCTTGTACTATAGCAGATGTTAGAAGAGTACGATGCAAACGCTGTGCCATACTCACGTCACGCTCTTCGTTCTTCGAGCTCATGCTGTCACCTTTGAGCACAGTGAATTGACCGTAGAGGAGCAGGTCGCCAAAGCCCTCAATGCGGTGGCCCTTCCAGTCTTCTACAAGGATCTTGAGCTCCTCGACAGCTTCGACACGCTCTTCACGGGCAATGGCGTCGTTTGTGCCAGCAAGTACAGATGAGGCTGCGTCAATACCTCTGGTGAGGTCTTCCTTTCGTTGCTCGTCGAGGTCACCGTTCTTTTGCAGTTGCTGCGATTTGTTAGCGCCAATTGCGTATGACCATGGAACGCACAACGTACCGAAAGCAGCAATGGATACTTTGTCAATCGCTGGAAGGGCTTCAGCAGGAAGGAGGTGAGTAGCGTGGGCGATTCGACCATCTGGCGCATCTCAGGGGTTCCACCAGTCTCTTTCAGCTTGTCGAATTCGCGCATCGCGATCTGTTCGCACTTCTTCTGGTTCGCAATGTACGGCTCGTAGACCTTGAACGCATCCTTGTATAGCACAAAAAGGTTCCCCCAGTTTTGCTCCGAGGCGGGCTGCGCGTTCGTCTGCTCGACACGAATGAGGAATCGGCGCTGGAAGTCGAGGAGCGCGTTCAGGTTCAGGAAGATGTCGTGGATCTGGTCACCGCTGATGATGCCCTTCTCTTCTACGAGCTTCTTGAATTCCTGCAGAAGCTCGAGATGCTGGACGTATGTGCGCTCGGTCTTGACCAGCTCGTCGATGATGTACTCTCGCTGGGAGCGCTTGATCGACGAGGTGACGGAGGCGCCGTCGTCGAGGTCGGCGGCGGCGGCAGGGTTGATCTTGCCCATCTGGACGAGCGAGTCGAGGACGCGGTTGACTACGTTGGTGACCTAGAGGCTATCAGTATGGATATCTGGGTAGGGAACACACGAGGAAAGCATACCTTGACGAATCCAGTCGTGTCGTCGCCGTACAGGTCCATCAAGATGAAGCAGCTCTCCTGCGAGATGCCCAGCTCGTTGACGCAGGCCTGGATGAACTTGTACGTGGCCATCTTCTCGTGCTTCTTCTGGCTCTTCTCGTCGGCCTTTGCATTGGGGATGACCAGCAGGTTGCGCGGCCCTAGGGCGTTGTACAGCTCCATGAGCGGATAGCCCCTCCGGAAGGTCCTCCACAGCAGCGTCACAGGGTCCACAGGCTCGTCGTCGTCGGCGCGGTCCTCCTCCTCCATCAGCCAGCGCTCAAAGCCGGGGATCGCCCGCAGGCGCATCTGCAGCGTCAGACATCGCTGGAACAGCGACGTGTCCTTGTCGGCACGCTTGTTGAGGACGTTGTCGCTGGCCTCGACGGGCCCGCCATTCACGGGAGTCGCCAGCGTGGGGAAGACGGCCGGCGCCTGGCCGAATAGCGTCGAGGTGCTGGTGGCATTGGTGCCCTGCGTGTCGCGGGCGCTGTTGTGCGAGTAGCTGCTGTACTGGCTCTGGAAGCTCTGGTGGGACATGAGGGCTGGGGGCCCGCCGGTGGAAGTCATGCGCGAGTGCGTCGAAGAGGCGGTGGGCGGAGGCTGCGAGGTGTGGGCGTGCTGCAGGCCGGAGTGGAACGCGATGCCCGCTTCCATGCTACGCTGGTCCTGTGCGCGGGCAGGGCTCTGGCAGGGCTGTGTGCAAGCTTGGGGACAGTCTGGCAGCCCGCTACTCTAATTCTTCATCTCCCTGCGACCGCCGTGCCAGGAGCCTAGGACGTGGGAGGGCAGGCGGACGATCTGAGGAGTGGCGCGAGCGCTAGCAGCAGGGTCCAGGGAAGAGCGAGCGATATTCACGCGGTGCAGGCACAATAGCAGGGCCACGGCACTATCAAAGGCTGCGCTGTCCAGAGCTGCGGTGCTTTGTATGCGATAGAGCGTGGGCGACGGCAAGCTTCAACGCTGAATGTGGGATGTGCTTGGGCGGGATGCTGGGCGAGCGCTGCAGACGCATGCACGATAGGGGTGCTATGAAACATCGGCCTGCACGTGACGTAACAGGATTCCCAGCATACTTCACCCTCAATGACGGCTGCGGTTTGTAGACGTCGACGACACCGCACCGTTCTTGCGCAGCCGGCTGCCAGTTGTCGCCGACCAAGGCGCTGGGTGACGGCGCGTGGCGTGCACCTAAGATCTCAGGGTGTTTGTCCCATCCATGGTTGAAAGGGACCCTGCTACCAGGCTCTGTATCGAATGAGAGCTGACTCGAGTCGATTCACCAAGTGCATCGTGTGTTGCAGTGATTCATGAGCCCCCGTGTCTTCTCCCACTAAAGATTCAACGTCCCTCTTCCACCCGGGTGTCGGTTCCCAGGCATTCTCTGTGTACAACACCTCTCCGTGACCACCAACACGCTCTGCAGCACCCCCAAGGCTGATGGCGACATCTCACGCTGCCTGCACGCACGCACCCCGCCCTGGCCCCATGCCCCGTTCCACCTCCGGCAAGGTTGGGCATCACCGTTCACCGTCTCGTTGCCTGCCTGTTCGCTCCAGGTATTTCTGCTGCCGGCCAACACCCCAACTCTGGGAGTGATCTGCATCCCACGCATCGGAGCATTTGCTCTCTCCGCAACTTGCCCGCGTAGGTACTACTTCAGCATACATTGTACCAACTTGGGTAATTAGGCAGAGTAGCTTCCTACTCGGGTGACAAAATAAGCCGCACTCACAAAAAAGTGTGCTTCTGCCAACCAAGATAATCGCACAACACCACACAATATCAAAAACCTAAAATCACAGGATTGTAGAGAATATCTTATTCTACAATTCTGTGTTTTCTTTAAGAATTGATCTCAAGTCATTGTTGCGTGGTGTCGTGGCCAAGAGGGCGACCTTGTTGGTGTTCCTCGACTTTGGCTGGTTTAGAGTGCAGCTTTTTCTCGCACCCGAGGTGCTTCCGTCTTATGCAGACACGCACACACCAATTCACGCGGAGAAGAAGACCGAGCGACTCCCCACTGGGAGGGCTCCTCTCCAGAATGCGGCTCACCTGTCAAGTGTGTGTTCAATGTTGAGGTTCATCTAGTTTTTGCTGGTCGATACCACCCACGCCGGCGGGTAGTCGACGAGCTGTACGCGCCGAGTTCACATCACGCTCACAAGTGTTGCATGTATTGGTGCTCGGTGAGCGCCCATGGTAGCAGGTGACAGCCTTCCCGTTGGCGTGTGACTGAGGGCGCTTGGGTAAGTAAGAATAGATGCAGAGGTACAACAGTTCGCTGAGCGAGTGGTACCTAGTACTTGCTAGCTCTGCGCTCTTCTGCTGGTCTGACCAAGGCTCGCAATCACACTCAAGTACAGTCTTGACGAGCATGCAGGCGGGTGATGGAGTCAAGCTGATGCTAAATGGCAGGCACGCTGCTGTGATCAGTGCCTTAACTGGCAGCACCGCCTGAACAATACCGCCTGAACAGCACCGCCTGAACAGCACCGCCTGAACAGCACCGCCTGCTACACATCACTGTGAAGATATCACCAGGCTAGCTGTTCGAATATATATGGCTGAAGTTCGAGATAACATGACCACAGAGCGATGCATGTACCCGTCAGTAGCCTTGTTTGTGTCGTTCAGCAACCCGGTGACTGTGCGAGCATGGGATTCTTGGAACTCGTGCATCATGGGCCCTATTGCCGAGTCCGAGCAAAGAAAGATGGTTGCGATCTGATGTCTCGGCGTGGAGAAGTGGCATCGCTGGTGGAGGGAACCCGCCCTAGATCTAGCTGGCCAGCTAGTGCGGCTAACCCAGTGTATGCGGCGGCGCGGGTTCGGCCGTGGGAGACTGACTGACAACACCACACGTCCACCTCACACGTCCACCTCGCACGTCCTCGCTACCAGCAAGCCGTTGCGACCCTGTTAGCGCAATACACAACCGACTTACTGCCTGCGTGCAGTCGCAGACCCCTTCAAAGCACCTGGAGTTTCTGCAGGACCGACTAGCACATGCAGTGACCGTCTAGGCGCGCATCAGACAAGGCGATCATCGCTTCGTCAGCGCATGTTCACCAAACAACGACCGTCGCCCGCTTTGAAATCACGAGATCGCTCCTTCCTTCAATCTAGCGCCACTTCCGCCGAACCACCGACGCCACAAACGTTCGAGCACCTCCATGGCAGACCCGCTCGGAGGTCCGCCCACTACTTTCTCGAATTCGCCGTGCATGCACCCTTTCCGCCCCACATCCATCATGAACGCCAACAGATTCGACGAGGGCTACTCGGAGGACACGCGCAGCCAAAATGAGACGGACATGGTAATGGGCGCCGGCGACAGCGGCATGGAGTCAGAGACACAGCAGTTCAGCCTGCCTGACTGGATCCTGGGGCTAGATGAGCAACAGCGCAGTGGTATGTCGAGGCTGCGCGCACAACCAGGCTAGATTGCTAACCAAGCCCCAAGAAATCGCATACGCCATCCTGCGGTCGCTGCGAACGTCTTCCATAGCCGGCATTGTCGAGAAGCTGAATCCACTCCTCCATCTCGATCCCGTAGTATACCTCCCACCAGAGATCACCTTCCAGATCCTCTCATATCTCGAACCTGAGACACTGCTACGAGCATCGACGCTGTCGCGAGCCTGGAGGATACGGGTCATGGACAGCCCGCTGTGGAAGCTCTTGTTCCGTCTAGAGGGCTGGAACTCCAACTATCCGCAGGTGCGCGAACATGAAGAATCAGAGAGACAGCGGCGTGCTGGCTTCAAAGAGAAAGAGCGCAAGACACGTCCTAGGACCGCAGAGGATATGGATCTGGACAAGCCCTCGTCCAAGAGGCGGGTACGCGGTGAGCGCCAGCTGTTCGGCGACGGCCCAGCCGCAGAAAACGGCGTTCGTGATGGACTGGAGCGCTCTGGCAAAGGCCAGGCTGCCTGGGGCGAGCAGCATGGCACAGTCGAGGCTGACGAAGGTCCGTCGACCAGGACGGAAGATCAAATGGAAGGTGTTGTTGCAACACCATCGCAGACTGCACAGCAGCGCCGAAACTCACCTGCGCAAAACGAAGATCTCTCACCGACGGAAAGCACCTCCCCTCGCATCCATCCAACACTACTGCTCCCAGGTCCAGAGCCCAAGATCAACTGGCAATACTTGTACAAGCAGAAGAAAAGGCTGGAGGACAACTGGAACGCCGGCCGTTACTCCAACTTTCAACTACCTCACCCTAACCACCCCAACGAAGCTCACACAGAGTGCGTGTATACGATACAGTACTCGGGGAAGTATCTGGTTAGTGGAAGCAGGGACAGGAGTATCAGGATCTGGAATCTCGACACACAACGTCTGATACACAAACCGCTCCTGGGTCACTCCGCCTCCGTACTGTGCCTGCAATTCGATGAGCGGCCTGAACATGACTTGGTCGTATCTGGAGGCAGTGACTGCAGAGTCATACTGTGGCAGTTCTCGACTGGACAAATGATCAAGGAGATCGAAAAGGCACATTCAGAATCCGTTCTAAACCTGAGATTCGATGATCGATATTTGGTCACTTGCTCGAAAGACAAGACCATCAAAGTCTGGAATCGAAGGGAGATGCTGCCCACTGATGATACGTATCCCTCGTCAACTACCAAGAGCGGGGCACGTTTCCCTGAGTACATCATCAATATGCAACAGCATGTGGAAAACCAGCATCTGCACTTCACACCTCTGCGGCCTTACAACCTTGTCATGACACTGGAAGGTCATGGTGCCGCCGTCAACGCCATACAGATCCTCGATGGGCAGATCGTCTCTGCTTCTGGAGACAGGAGCGTCAAAGTCTGGGATGTACGAACTGGTGCATGCATCCGCACTTTCCAGGGTCACAGCAAGGGCATTGCTTGTGTGCAATTTGACGGACGAAGAATCGTCAGCGGTAGCTCTGACGAAACAGTCCGCATCTTCGACCGAGCTACAGGAGCTGAAGTAGCTTGTCTGCAAGGGCACAGCAATCTTGTGCGCACTGTGCAAGCTCAGTTTGGAGACCTTCCCGGCAACGAGGAAGAGCTCGAAGCCGAAGCACGAGCTGTGGACCGCAATTTCTTCGAAGCGCAAAATAGAGGCCAGATCGAACAGAGACTCTCTAGGTCACAACGGCGCGCCCGCAATGCTGGTTCCCGGGATCCGAAGTCTATCTTTGCCTATGGTGCGAAGCTACCTCCGGGTGGTGGAGGCAGCAAGTGGGCCCGAATCGTCTCTGGTTCCTACGATGAGACAGTCATCATCTGGAAGAAAGGGGCCGACGGCGCTTGGGAGAAGTCGAAGATCCTGTACCAGAACGATGCTGTCAGAGCCGCAGGCGGCCGACCCAGACGGCCAGTCGCCCAACCTCCTGCTCAAGGGGCTCAGGGCAATCAGAACGCCGCGCAGCAACAAGCAGGTCAAGCAGTCGCACAGCAAAACAACTTTCAGGCATTGGCGCAGCAAGCACAAGCTCAGGCACAAGCAGCTCAGAACCTCGCTCAGCAGGCACAAGCACTTCATGCAGCCTCACAAGCAATGCATGGCAACACTGCTGGTAACGCTGCCAATGTCGGAAACCCACGACCGCCCATCACTGCTACTGCCGCTGCCACTGCTGCTGGTCCCGCTAACCAGGCTGGCCCAGCAGGAGCAGGACCCGCACAACAACAACAACAACAACAAGCACAGCAAGGAGCACCTGCAAATGCTGCAGCTCACCACCACCATCACGGTCCTCATCACCACCACCATCCCCACCCACTTGGCGTACCCCTTGCCAACCAAGGCACCAACTCACGTGTCTTCAAACTGCAGTTCGACGCTCGTAGAATTATCTGCTGCAGTCAAGATCCTACGATCGTGGGCTGGGACTTTGCGAACGGCGATAAGGACATTGTTCTTGCTAGCCAATTCTTCGGCGACTCTTACTAGTATCCTATTGAATGGTCCAAGGATGTCATCAGCACTAGCAACGGATTCGGTGTAAGACGGGAAGCAGATGTCACTGCTTCTGACCGTCGAATTTAGACCGGAGTAGTAGCGGAGAGCAATGTTCCGGGTCCCGACCATCAATGGAGGGCCTGGCATGGCGTGTGGGGCCAAACCAGAGAGTGTTGCGTAACGCTTCTGGGTTCGATGTTCCTTTCTTGTACAGCGGATAGGGTTGACGTAAACGTCTCATTTTGGCACCGGTTTTCCCGGTCCTGGTTTGTTGGACTGGCAAGGTTTCTAATGGGTTAAACGGTTTTCACTGTGGTCACTAGGGAAGCATTCCATCGTTATGACATCGCTAGCACGTTCTTTATCAAGTCAGTTTACGGGCTGGATCGATTTGTTCCGGTAATAAGCTATCCAAATGTCCCAAACTACGGCCTATTCATGCTTTATCCCCTGGGCAGGTTGCTGCAATGTGAACGCGTCAAGTTTTGCATCTCCCCCCGTTGCGCCTGCCTGCCTCTATCGACCAGATGCACCTGCCTCACCGCATGCACTTGTCTGCTTGGACAATCCAGAGATCCGCCTCACACTTCAGAAAGTGCATCGTGCTCCACCTACTTCACGATCCAACTCACAAATACACCTTTATATCACATTCCGCTTTCTGACCTCATCTCTATCAATGCCCTGCCCCGCGACAAGTTACTGTAAAGCCTTTTTGAGCATGCAAAACATGCATTTTGAAAGTTGAATGAAGCAAACGTGCTGAAGCTTGACCGGTCGTGTGCAAGGCTGAATGATCGACGTCTACTTCACTAGCACTGCCAGTCGTCAATACTGGTCTGAAGCCAGATCTGCATCATGTCCCAATGTCAGATCCTTCGAGCTCATTATACGCGTCAACATGTGAGCGCAACGCATGGAGCTCCCTCGTCAGTCGCAGCATCGCCGCCTGGGACGACATCACCCCGGAGGATCTCGCCGAGCGCGCTGACCTCATTGCCAGGTCCACACTTGCGGGTTACTCCTCCTTGGACGATTTTCTCGGCCAAGCCGGACCCGGAGGGCAAGAGCTTGCGTTCACAACAGGATACGCTCGCATCCCAGCAGTGGAAGCACATATGGGTACACTGGACGTGTATGCCCCAAGATCCTCGATCAAAATCCGAGGAGGCGTACTTACGAAATGTCTGCAGGCATCATACGCGACTGCGGGTTCACATACCATTGCCCGCCTTTCGAGCCAAGGCTCTGGAGTACGACGTTGCTGAGTTTGTACTCACTTGTGACGAAAGCAATTTCTATAAGGCATCAGACATTCAGAAATTCCGGCGACATATCGACGAGATGGTCGCAACCAGCGTACAGGGAGTGCTGAAGTAACTTGGCTATCGTTGCTCCTACGAGAGAGATAGGCAACACTTGACGTCCTGGTTGAAGCCCCTCGTCCTTCTCAGGCGATTGGATCTCGACGTGGATGCTGTTCGAGATATCATGATCCACATAACTTGGCCACCATCTACAGGCGAAATCTGGTACTCGATGATACATCTGAGCAAATTCAAAGGTGCCTTGAGTATTGATGACAAGGTGCATACGTTCACCCCGTTCTCGCAGTGGGTGAGTACGAAATCCTCATACATTATGCTTACCGACTAAACTTCGTAGAACAACGGCAAGTATTCGTCAAAACTATCTGACTGAGCTGATGTGTCGTGTGACGGGGAGGACCTGTCTCTGGTAGCGGACATAGCAGTTGCAAAATTTCGGGCACATGCACCTACAAGATTGATGCTTTAACGACCGTCACCGTGTACAATCGCCATGATCTTCCGCCGATGTACGATCGCTCTTCGCACACTTCACATTTCGATTATTGTTAATCGATTCTTGTAGCCAGATGACATCAAACTTCATGAAGTGAGGTCAGTCATACATGGCTAAAATCGTACAACCCATCTTCTGGTATAAGACGCTCCTGGACTCCATCACACGACGCGCCTCTGTGACAGCAACGACGCACCTACTCATCTAAAATCTTACTCAGCTCCAGTATGTGAGCCTTGGAAGTCGTCAAAAATAAGGCAGCAGTCATCTTCTGCCCGACTAATTGATGATAACACACTCCACGGAATTGGTAAGCTGTGATTCGCTCTGTCATGGATGCGCCAAGATCACCTTGCAGCCTGCAGCAGCGTCTCACAGATCATCCGTCAGAAAGTACCCGGCGGGACTGGTTGCAGCTTGCGTGTAACATTCTCCAGGTTTCGCAAGGGCAGCCGGATGTTCTTGTATGCTCGCCGCCACTAGAGCGTGTAAGGCTGAAAGTAAGCTAAGATAAGATGGATGGTCGGCAGACGGATGCGCAATGGATCCGTCAAGTGTGAAATCTCGAGCCACGCGAGGAACGCACGGTGCAGCGTTACGGAATGGAAAGACTAGCCGGTTCCCTGACAGCGACGCGCACATGTTTGGCGGCTCCACTTGAGCGATTCACCCTGAGCGGGCTATTTGCGCTTTTCGTCCGCTAGAATGTGGTGATCCACTTTGGAGCCTGGATCTCTGGGGTCAATCTTCTTTGATGTTTGTTGTGATGGAGGCAAACATGAGAGGGCATTGCTGGTAAGGAAGCCTTGATGGCGATGACGACGGGTATGAACGGAGAAGGCCCGAGGTGTCAGACGTCAACGGCAGAGTTTAACAGGCTAAAGGTTGCGACAGTCGGCATCATGATGAGTCTTTGACAATTTTAAGGCGTTCGTAACTCTGGCCTATTCGACTTCCTCTTTGGTGCGGACGTGCGCCATGGTGTGCCCAGAGGCTGACATTGATATTACTGTAGGCGAATGAAAAAAAATCGGTATCTACTCATTGTTTACACTGTTTGAGCCAGTTCGATGCATTTCAAGAATAGCAATGCAGTGTTCAGAGTGTGTTCAGATGCATCCAAGAACCGCTGCGCTGGAAAGACAGCACGCGGTGCGGTCACCGCACCAGAGCCGCACCAGATGTGCATCCTGCAGCAGCAAAAACATCATCGGAGCTCATGGAAAAGCGGAGGACGAATTTCAGCCCTTGCACAGCTCGCGCTCCTATTGGTGGCTCGCACTCGGATCCGTATGCAACGTATTCCGGAAGCCACTTCAGGACGCAAGCGAGCAGCCAACGCTCCGGGCGTGATCGCATCCGCCTCCGGTCGCAACAAGCCAAGCTGTTGCCTGTGGATCTAAACCCCTACCCTCGCCGCTGGGTGGACCTCATTACCTGGTGTGCGCTACCGTTTATCAGCCAGCTCCTCCCGCTCGCAGTGTTTGTTTCCCAACTCCCAGGTTCCTGGCCCTAGCACCCTTTAATACCCATACTTTCTTTTTCTCGATACCATACCAGTTGCCATTCAACTACAGTACCAGTACACGTTTTCTTTAATACAGCTGGCCGACCCGGGGATCATAGTGGCGCTCGCCCAATCACAATGTCTCTCGTAGGCAACTTCACCTCCAACTACGACCGCGAGGCCGCAGCTGGAGGCGTGCCTACTCCAGAGATGCAAGCTCGCCGACCATCACAATCACACTTCCACGATGAGGACAACCACCACGACACATCATCTGATTCATCAACAATTGCTGCCCAGAACTCGCCTCCCAGGAGCCATCACCACACCACCGGTTCCGTCGAGAAGGAGGTACCGTACAACCAAGATGCCGAGGACCAGGAGACTGCCCGAAGAGAACATGAGGTTCTGCAGCTTGCGAGACGTTTGACTTCTCAGAGCCACCAATCCGCTTCACATCACCAGAACCCATTCCAAGCTGCACCAGGCTCGTCGTTGGATCCTTCTGGCGAGAACTTCAATGCTCGTGCCTGGACCAAGGCCATGATGAATCTCCAGCTTTCAGACGAGAAAGCAGCTCCTCCCAGGCAAGCCGGTATCTCTTTCAGGAATCTCAATGTTCACGGGTTCGGTTCCGACACGGATTACCAAAAGAGTGTTGGTAATGTTTTGCTCGAGGGTCCTGCTCTGTTCAAGAAGTTGAAGGGCGACAAAGGTCGCAAGATCAACATTTTAACGGGTGTCGATGGTTTGGTTGAGGCTGGTGAGATGTTGGTTGTTCTTGGACCTCCTGGTTCTGGATGCTCGACTTTCCTCAAAACCATTACCGGAGAGACGCACGGCTTCTTTGTCGATGAGAACTCCAAGCTGAACTACCAAGGTATGTCCAACCTGATATAAAGCAATTATAGTGCGCAATTGCTAACTCCAACCAGGTGTCAGCTCAGAGCTCATGCAGAAGAATTACCGCGGTGAGGCCATCTACACTGCCGAAGTCGATGTCCACTTCCCCGCCATGACTGTCGGCGAGACTCTCTACTTCGCTGCCCTCGCCCGTCGTCCCCGCCACATCCCCGGTGGCGTCTCCGCAGACGAGTATGCTAAGCACCAGCGTGATGTCATCATGGCCATGTACGGTATCTCGCATACGATCAACACCCGTGTTGGAAACGACTTCATCCGCGGTGTGTCTGGTGGAGAACGCAAGCGTGTCACCATTGCCGAAGCTTCCCTCAGCCGAGCGCCTCTACAGGCCTGGGACAACTCCACTCGTGGTCTCGATTCCGCTAACGCCATTGAGTTCTGTAAGACTCTGCGCATGGAGACTGATATCAACGGTACTACGGCGTGTGTTGCCATCTACCAGGCTCCTCAGGCTGCGTACGACTTCTTCGACAAGGTTCTTGTCCTGTACGAGGGTCGCCAGATCTTCTACGGCAGGACTACCGAGGCGAAGGCCTTCTTCGTCAAGATGGGCTTCGTTTGCCCCGACCGTCAGACCGATGCTGATTTCCTCACTTCCATGACCTCTCCCCTGGAGCGCATTGTTGCAAAAGGCTTTGAAGGTCGTGTTCCTCGCACACCTGATGAGTTCCACCAGCGCTGGTTGGACTCCCTGGAGCGCGTCGAGCTCATGGCTCAGATCGATGCCTACGAGCAGAAGTACCCTGTTGGTGGCGAGCAGGCTCAGAAGTTCGCTGAGTCCCGCAAGCTCCAACAGGCTAAGGGCCAGCGCGCGAAGTCCCCCTACACTCTCTCCTACATGCAGCAGGTCAAGCTTTGCCTGTGGCGTGGTTTCGTCCGCCTAAAGGCTGATCCCAGTATCACACTCTCTCAACTCATCGCCAACTCCATCATGGCCCTGATTATCTCGTCCGTCTTCTTCAACCTCCAGTCTACTACCAGCTCCTTCTACCAGCGATCCGCCCTGCTCTTCTTCGCCATTCTCATGAACGCTTTCGGTTCCGCTCTCGAAATCCTCACTCTCTACGCCCAACGTCCTATCGTCGAAAAGCACTCTCGATACGCTCTCTACCACCCGTCCGCTGAAGCCTTCGCCAGTATGTTGACGGATATGCCGTACAAGATTGCCAATGCGATCACGTTCAACTTGGTTCTGTACTTCATGACCAACCTGCGTCGCGAGCCTGGCAACTTCTTCTTTTTCGTCTTGATCTCGTTTACCCTTACGCTGGTCATGTCCATGTTCTTCCGATCGATCGCCTCCCTGTCCAAGTCCCTTGTCCAGGCTCTGGCACCCGCTGCTATCCTCATCTTGGGTCTTGTCATCTACACTGGTTTCGCTATCCCTCCCAACTACATGCTGGGTTGGTCCAAGTGGATCCGCTACATCAACCCTGTTAGTTACGGATTCGAGGCTCTCATGGTCAACGAGTTTGTCGGCAGGCAGTTCGAGTGCAACATCTTCGTCCCCACAGGTTTAGGCTACGAAAACGCATCTGGGACTGAGCGCGCCTGCTCTGCAGTTGGTTCCGTCCCCGGTCAGCCTTTCGTTGATGGTGGTATCTACATCAACTCTGCGTACGAGTATCAGCGCTCGCACAAGTGGCGCAACTTCGGTATCCTTTGGGTCTTCATGTTCGGTCTCATGATGGTCTACCTTACTGCTACCGAGTTCATTACCTCCGCTAAGTCCAAGGGTGAAGTCCTTGTCTTCCGTCGTGGTTACAAGGTCCCCAAGGCCAAGTCCACTGATGATCTCGAGAACAACCCCACTGGTCGTCCCGCCGGTTATGCCGACAGCAATGACAACATCGCCATCATCGAGCGCCAGACTGCTATCTTCCAGTGGAAGGACGTCTGTTATGACATCAAGATCAAGGGTGAACCCCGCCGTATTCTGGATCACGTCGATGGTTGGGTCAAGCCTGGTACTCTGACGGCCCTTATGGGTGTGTCTGGTGCCGGTAAGACTACTCTTCTCGACGTCTTGGCTACGCGTACTACCATGGGTGTTATCACTGGTGAAATGCTGGTCGACGGTACCCCCCGTGATCAATCCTTCCAGCGCAAGACCGGCTACGCTCAGCAACAGGACTTGCACTTGGCCACCTCGACCGTTCGTGAAGCTCTTACCTTCTCCGCCCTCCTCCGTCAGCCTGCCCACGTCTCTCGTCAAGAGAAGATCGACTACGTCAGCGAAGTCATCAAGCTCCTCGATATGGATGAATACGCTGATGCCGTTGTTGGAGTTCCTGGTGAAGGTCTCAACGTCGAGCAGCGCAAGCGTCTTACCATTGGTGTTGAGCTGGCTGCTAAGCCTGCCCTGCTTCTCTTCTTGGACGAGCCTACTTCCGGTCTCGACTCTCAAACCTCATGGGCTATTCTCGACCTCTTGGATAAGTTGAAGAAGAATGGCCAAGCCATTCTCTGCACTATCCACCAGCCGTCTGCCATGTTGTTCCAACGTTTCGATCGTCTTCTCTTCCTCGCCAAGGGTGGCCGCACTGTCTACTATGGTGATGTCGGCAACAACTCCAAGATCCTTGTCGACTATTTCGTCCGCAACGGTGGTCCTCAGTGTCCTGCTGAGGCCAACCCCGCTGAATGGATGCTTGAGGTCATTGGCGCAGCTCCCGGATCGCACACTGACATCGACTGGCACCAGACATGGCGCGACTCCCCCGAGTATGCCGAGGTCCAGCGCCACCTCGAGGAGCTCAAGGTTGAACGCTCGCAGCAAAACCGTCTCGAGCGCACCATATCTGCTCAGAAGCGAGAGGACAAGGCCGCCTACCGCGAGTTTGCCGCTCCCTTCGGCGAGCAGTTCCGCGAGACCACCAAGCGTGTCTTCCAACAGTACTGGCGCAGCCCTGCTTACATCTACTCCAAGACCCTCCTCTGTGTTACCTCGGCTCTCTTCATTGGTTTCTCACTCTATAAAATGCCCAACACTCAGCAGGGTCTCCAGAACCAGATGTTCGGTGTCTTCATGTTGATGACTATCTTCGGTCAACTCGTCCAGCAAATCATGCCTCATTTCGTCACCCAGCGTGCTTTGTACGAGGTCCGTGAGCGTCCCAGCAAGGCCTACTCCTGGAAGGCGTTCATGCTTTCCAACATCCTTGTTGAGCTTCCTTGGAACTCGCTCATGGCTGTGCTCATCTACTTCTGCTGGTCCTACCCCATCGGCCTGTACCGTAACGCCGAGCCCACTGATCAGGTCCACTACCGCGGCTTCCAACTCTTCCTCTTCACCTGGATGTTCCTGTTGTTCACTTCGACCTTTACGCACATGGTCATTGCTGGCATCGAGTCGGCTGAGACCGGTGGTAACCTTGCCAACTTGATGTTCTCGCTCTGTTTGGTCTTTTGTGGTGTCCTCGCTACGCCTTCCTCTTTCCCTCGCTTCTGGATCTTCATGTACCGCCTCTCGCCATTCACGTACATGGTGTCTGGGTTACTGGCGACAGGTCTAGCGAGAAGTTCAGTACAATGCGCTTCGAACGAGTTCGTCCACTTCGATCCTCCTCAAGGTCAGACTTGCCAGTCTTACATCCAAGCGTACGAGGACGTGCGCGGTGGCTACATGAACAACCCCGAAGCGACCGAGAACTGCCAATTCTGCGCCATCAAGAGCACTGACGTCTTCCTCGCCCAGCTGTCTTCCAACTACGACGACGTCTGGCGCAATTTCGGTATCCTCTGGGCCTATGTCATCTTCAACATCTTCGCCGCCCTCGCTCTTTACTGGCTCATCCGCATGCCCAAGACCAAGAAGGAGAAGGCCGACAAGACGGAGGTTGGTGCCCACAAGGGCGCCGCGCAGGAGCAGTTGTTCAACGAGCCCAGCCATGTCGGCAGTCACGTTGACAAAGAGAAGGTTAGCAATAACGCTACCTCCACGACTGTGGAGCGCGGCCCATCGACTTCAGTGCCAGGTGTTCCCACAGAGAAGATTTAAGACTGCCTCTGATTCCTTTTATACTTTTTTCATGTTCTTATGGCATTATAACATGGCAGTCCAATTGACTTGCGATGCATCATACATTTTCTTACTTTGATCTTAGAGCTAGACAGATCTTCCATCGCTCAAGCGCTGAGCATCTTTGCCCGCTGCAAAAGGCGGGGTTTCGAGTTGTATGTTTTCTACCAGTCATGTAGTTGGCTGTATACCAAATCAAGAATTAGACTGTTCATAATAATCATCTCACTCCCTCACTCTTCAACAATTCACATCGTGTCGGTGTTACGGCAAGCAATGTCACTACCGCATTGTGTGTCCCTGATTTGCTTACGGCACGGAATCTGCAACGCCTTCCGGACGCTATTTCACTGAGTCGGGCCGGTCGTCAGCAAGGAAAGCGAGATGTGTAAGTCCCAATAAATCCTAACCTCCCTCCCTGGAGTTAGAACATCCCACCGCGCAGAACCACCAACACCGGTCAATCACCACCAAACTTTGCCCCTCTATCTAGTAAAGTCTGAGCTAGTTCAATAGTATACTTCAGACGTATCTTCATCTCTGCCAATTTTCGATACAAAAACTACAGCATCCTCTACTGTGCTTTCAAGCATTTATTCGGCGGTGCCAGAAGCTGCGACGACGTCGCACCCCTGCTCTAAGGTCAACAACCATCCTTATCGCTCTTTCGGAGGGTTTTGACTGTAGCCCAATAGACCAATGGGTTCTGTACGCTAAGCGGCCTGACATATACACCTCCGCTATACCAAAACAGCTCGAGTTATGGCGCATGCTTTCTTTCTCAAAACTTCTCGCAACGCGTAGGGTCCATGAGCAGCATACTCGCGCAAAGGAGTGACCGGTAGTGCACCCAATGGTTGATAGCCGCACTGTGTCGAGTGGAATGAATGCGGACATAGTCGATCGCATGCGTTAGGTCGCAGACTGATGCCGAGTGAATGCGTTATCCTACCTACATGGTACATGGAAGTGGTGGTGGCTGTTGTCGCCGCAAGTCTTGAAGCCAGGGCGTTTCTTGCACAGACCAGCGCGCTGCACAGACGCCCATCCCTCACAAGTGCCTTAGAAGCTGTGACCGACACGCATCTTGCGTTCACACTTCTTGCTTAGTTCCACGTTCTACATCGCTTCCACGCATAAACGCTGCCTTCCTAGTTGCAGTCGTGGTTAGAAGCTGCTCCCTTCGCGCGATTATGATCTGTCAACCCAGCCTCAGCCTCACGCCACGGCATAGCGGCAGGCTGCAGCCCCCGCTCTCGGTGTTCGAGTGACAGCCTGCTCTGGTCACCAGCTTTCTTCACTGCAGCTTGTCGCGGCTCTGTCCTTTCCTGTTACTCAGTCAACCAATTCCTTCCTCTACTTGCACTTACGGAACTCGACAGCTCAAACTCGCATGCTCAATATGACCGAGACGCTGTGCGCGATCGATACCTTCAGCCTTCCTGGAGGCTACGAGATCTCCCTCTACTACTCGCGCATACAAACGTACACTGGACTTGATGCGACTATTATGCACTACAAGCGATGAAAGGCCTAAATGGTCCAAAGACTATATTGGTAACGAGGAGATTCCTAACTATACGATCCTCTCAAATACCTGGAAGGACGGGCAGGAGGTGACCTTCGACGATTTGAAGTATATCGACGACGCGAAAGACATTGATAATCAAAGCAGTGAGGGATATCGGAAGCTTCGCTTTTGCGCACACCAGGCTAAGCGGGATGGTCTGGACTACTTTTGGGTCATCACCTGCTGCATCGACAAGTCAAACAGCTCCGAGCTTCAAGAAGCAATCAACTCCATATTCCGCTGGTATCAGCACGCAGCGAGGTGTTACGTCTACCTTCCGGACGTTGAGCAGAACACTCTGGATGAAGATGGCGAGTCAGCCTTCAAGAGAAGCAGGTGGTTTACCCGAAGCTGGACGCTCCAGGAACTTCTGGCTCCAAAATCGGTTGAGTTCTTCTCTAGTAAGGGAGTGCGACTGGGCGACAAGGAGTCGCTCAGACACACCATTCACAAGATTACAGGAATACCTGTTGACGCTCTCCAAGGAAGCCGGTTGTCCGAGTTCACCGTATCTGAGCGTTTCTCTGGACAAAAAATCGCCAGACGACACGCGAAGAAGATGGAGCTTACTGTCTCTTAGGCATCTTTGGCATCTACATGTCACTTATATATGGCGAAGGTAAAGACAATGCAATCAAAAGGCTGCAGAAGCAGGTACAGGAGGCTTCTGAGGACAACGCAGGTGCTTCTGCGAACGATACCAAGACTCGCAGCCAAAGCCAAGAAGAAAGGCTTGGCTAGATCTGTAACTAGCTTTCGGCGCCTGACCCGTCCACAAACTACCACAAAGCGCACAAGCAGCGGCAGGCTGAGACTGGACTCTGGCTGCTAGAGGACAAGTAGTTTACGAGATGGAAGGCGAGTGCAGCATCACGGCTCTGGCTGCATGGCATTCCAGGATGTGGAAAGACTATCCTGAGCTCTACCATCATTGAGAATCCGCTGCAGCACTGCCATGATAACACTAATACGGTGACTGCATACTTCGACTTCGACTTCAACGATACACAGAAACAAGATCCAGAGCTGATGCTCCGCTCATTGCTCTGCCAGCTCCTGCAACATTTGGTCACGATACCTAGAGGCGTTGACGCGTTGTTCTCATCCTGCGAAAACGGACGACAGCCATCACTGCATGCGCTTTTGAAGGTGACACCGTAGGTGATCTAACACTTCACGCATGTTTACATTGTTCTCGGTGCGCTCGATGAGTGTACACAACGCCCAGAATTAATGGATGTGCTTGCAACAGTGGCTGGGTAGCAGCTTGACAACATGCATTTGCTCATGACCAGCCGGAAAGAGCGGGATATCGAGAGCTCTTTGGAGAGTTACATTAAAGTAGAGGACACTGTCTGTCTTCAGATGGACGTAGTGGACGAGGATATACAACGATACGTTCAGCAAAGGCTGTCTAACGATAAGGAGTTGGCTAAATGGAACAGGGACGCTGCTGTCAGGCAAGACATCGAGGCTGCACTGATGAGCGGAGCTTGCGGGATGTATGTGTGTTCACCGAACTCTCCGAAGAGCTGAAGTTGACGGTAGTGTAGGTTCCGATGGGCTGTGTGTCAGCTCGACACGTTAGTAAAGTGTCGTAATCGAGCGATGCTGCGCAAGTCACTGTTGAAGTCGTACTTTAAGCGAAACTCGGAAGCACAGTTCGGTTGGGTCTCAGGGATGAGTAGAATGTGAAGGAACGGAGGGATTGATCACCTAAGCAAAGCTCGTGGTGGTCAAGGGTAGTAGTCTAGTCAAAGACCGTGACGGCTGGTAGCAATGAGTAGTACAGAGTAGACTGTCTAGCTCGAGAGCAGGTGAGATTCCAATAACAAAGTTGATCGACGAGGTTGAACACACTGCCATAAGGGCAACGTGTCTATGTGCTACATACTGAACGTGTCTACGTGGTGATCCGTTTGCTCTGTGTGATCCGGCAGCGCGGTGAGAGCAGCAGGGTGCTTCTGCAGAGTGCTCTGCGTGCTCTGTTGCTGTACGTTGGATCGTGGCCTCGTTTCTGCTTCAGCTAACTGAGGCTTGCCGTTGCTCTGTCTTTGCCTGCGTTAGTGCGAGAGCGATCCTTGTTCAGTGCTACCTGGTGTACCACTGCTCGTAACAGCCACGAGCAGGTAATCAAGATGCTGCTTGCAGCGGGTACTGATCACCACCAGGAAAACGGCCCTGTGATAAAGTCCGGGTAGCTCCGTCTATACACCGACGTTAGCAATAACAACTGTTAGGAACATATTCCTATTCTAATTAGGCCGCGTACGCATTAGCTATACATGATACGAGCGAATGACCGACAACGACTGCGCACGATATGGTTCTGAGTTGTTTTTGAAGCCTGGTGGTAGTTAAGGATCTGTCCGAAAAATGTCGACCAACTGAATAGGAATTTATTAGATGGTAGTGTTGAGAGTGGTGGTGCTGGAATGATGTTCGTGGTTCTGCGTGGAGGGATGTTCTAACCCCCAGGAGGGAGGTTAGTCACCTGGTTTCCAAATCATCATCACCACCTAAGCACTTGCTTACGTTCGTATTCAGCAGTATATCGCGGTGGCGTGTTTTACACCGTGCACTCTGACCTCAGGATGGATAATGCTACAGGTTTGCGGTGCAGTCTATTGTAACCTTGTTATGGCTAGAAGGAGAGATAAAAAGAGCACTCGACGACCCTCCACACTCGGCGAGTCGTGCTGCTACACTGGAAACTCCATCCCTGCTGATATCTATCATGGCAGACCAACCCAACCGTCCTCCTTTCGTCCCTTCCTACAAGTCTGCCGCCGGCTTCCCGAACCCCACCAAAACCTTCGACACCCCCACGATCAAGCAGGGCATGGAAGCATCCAACATAAACGCCTCCAGTATCGCCAGAAAGCAGCCTGAGTACCTCCACACATATATCACCGTCCCGGGCGTGAGCGGGTTAAGTGATGCACCCGTTACTCTCGCGCTGTACCAGCTCCCTCAGACAGAAGGCCAAGCGCAGAAGAAGTGGGCCAATGGACGACCGGTAGTGTATCACGTCCACGGCGGCGGCCAGGTAGCCGGGGATCGATTTTTTCGATCTCGAGTTCTTCATGTCGCACTTCACACCCTCCAACAACATCGTCTTCGCATCCCCGGAATACCGCTTAGCCCCAGAGTATCCTGCGCCAGCGGGCGCTTACGATTTTTATGCCAGGCTCGTGTACCTCGTTTCTTACGCAAAGGAGTTGGACATCGATTCTAGCAAGATCGTGCTGTATGGAATAAGCGGTGGAGCGGTATCGGCTGCTAGTGCAGCGTTGTTGAGTAGGAAGATGGGGGCCCGAAGTGTGCGGCGTTGGTGCTGGATATTCCCATGCTCGACGACTGGTACACGCTTTACTCCAGTCCCAATCAGTTTTGGGATGGCACGACGTGGCCTGGGTGGATGGACCAGAAGGCCTGGGACGCTGTTCTGGGTGATGGTGATAGGAACGATCCTGATGGTGTGAAAGTTGCTGGGCGAGCGGACAGTTTGGCAGATCTACCATTGACGTTTATTGATGTTGGGGAGTGTGAGAGTATGAGGGACCAGGCGGTGGCTTTTGCGAGTAAAATTTGGTGAGATGGTGGGAGTGCGGAACTGCATGTTTGGCCGGGCGTGTATCATGGGGGTGTAATGTCTGAGCCGGGTATGCCGGGTGGGGAGGAAATGGTTAGGGTGCAGAGGAGCTTTTTTGGGAGAGTGCTAAGACTGGGTGTGGATGATGAGAAAGGCGAAGAGAAAACGAAGGTTGTGCTTTGACGAAGAGTAGCACTGTTTGGAGTAACGTTCGGCGGACTCTTGTGGTACAGGGCACACAGCAAGCGCCGTAGTCCTAAAAAGGGGTATCAGATTGCAGATGGCTTACAGAATAGTACTGAGTACCTCCCATTAATCCGAGCTTGAATCCGCCTTTTTTGCTACATGAGATAGGGCCCGCTGAGTCAGCAAAACGCTCCTCCAGTTAGTGCTGCCCTTGAACGAAGTTGGCAGGGGGTAGGGGATCTAAGCACCGCGACCACGGCCGCGACCTCTGCCTCTACTTCTACCACCCCTTCCGCCTCTGTTACCCTGTCTTGGGCCTTGAGGCACACCTCTTGTCCATCGGTCCTTCTCGTCTCTAAGATCTTTCCATCGCTCATCAAGACCTCCGTATTTTACATCCTCCCGCCTCAGACCATTATGTGCTACTTCGGTAGTAACATCGTCTTGCACAAGAAGCTGCATACCCAATCCCTCTTCGTTGCCCTGCTCATACATGCCCAAATTCAGAGCGTCCCCTCTAGGATTGTATGATGATCCTACATCAAACGCACCACCACCTGCGAAGTGTGTTACAGATTGTGAAAGCAAAATATCCGGATATGGGTCGGCGATGCCGTGGAATGTGAGGTTTTGGATTAAGCCTTCGAGGCCGGCATACAAGCTCGGACTTGTGGCTGATGGAATGGAAAGACTGTACACAGGCGAGTCTTCACGGCCGCGCCAGTAGTCTTCCCGGTAGGCTTCGCGTTTTGGTGGGTTGCGCGGGTTCAAATATAGATTCCAGCCGCCGCAGATAGCGGATGTGATGTCCTTTGATGCTTTGACAATGGCATTTGAGGCATAGTCTCGGCCTCGAGGTTTTGATCTCGGCTGAGAGGGGAGAGAGATGCTGTGGTAGGCGTGTGAGCCTGACAGACGCAGGTCGAAGACTTTGAGCATGCTGTGCATTGAGATGCCAACTATGACTCGTTCGAGGCCTTGTGTTGCGAGTGAGTAGATAGAGGAGTCGTTTATGGGATCCCAGTATAGATTCTCGACGTCGCGAGGAGAGCGTAGGTCGTGGAGTCTGACGATGCCGTCGTACCCGCCTGATAGAAAGACGTTGCCGGCTTGTGAACCGCCTTGTGTGCGATCTGAGACTGGTAGGATTGGATAGATGGAAGTTTGTGAGCTCCGGGCTGTGCCTAGTGTGAAAGATCGGTATGGATCGGACAAGAAGCCGTCTGGTGTGATCCTGTAAACTTGTATTGGCTCACTGGTTGGTCCAATGCCAATAGCGACTTTGTGTTCTGACAGGAATTGACAAGACCAGATGCGGCCAGTTCGAGCTCCTTGTATGGTTGGTGTCACATCTGATACTGCTTCGATCGGCTTCTCAGATACATCGCAGTCCAAAGGAAAGAGTGACAACGACGTGTCTCCAAGAGTCGCCGCCAGCAGAGGTGTGCTAGAAGAGGATACAGTAAGAGCACCAACAGCTCGATCAAGGGTGTTAAAGCATTGCTCGATGGTTTGGGACTGCTGTGGATCGACGTCGAGTCGTGCAAGTTGACCAGAAGCTGTACCAAAAACCATTGTCTCGAAGCCTTGCTCTTTCTGATGCGGTCGAAGGAGTCGCAGGCTTGTGATATCGTCTCTCCCTTCGCTGCTGTCTGGGACCTTGTAGGTGTACCACGAATTCGAATGCCCAAAAGAGTCGAGGGTTCTCGTGTTGTCCGTGAGATCATCTTTGTTTCTTGATCCCGTCTCTTTCACTCTCATGACAATTTGCGTGCCAGCGGACCACGCCAAAACCTCCCTTCTCTTAGCCCACGACCCCAAGGTCTCTTCGTAGCTGTCAATGCTAGGCTGGTAACCCATGGTCTGCCCGCGAGGTCCTCTCCATCGTGCTGGTTCCCAGGTATTTAGACTTGTAGTCTCGATACTGGGTTCCACGTATCTGGCGACGAAACCTTTCCGATCCCAGTTCCGGTAGAGGGTGGTCAAGCCGTGTACTGAGTTCTGGGCATCTGTGTCTAATCCATTGAGACGGAAGCGTCCCTTGAGCAGAGCCTTCCATCCATCCAACCTCGCAAACTCTGATAGTCGGCGACTTGTCAAAGCCAGGTGGAGCAGATCTCTGGGCCGATCGAAATGGCTGGTGATTATTGAGATAATCTCATTGGGCAACGTACTGAGCGTCGCCATGTTCGTTAGTGTGTTGTTGCTTGTGGTGCTACATATGTACCGCGCTCCAGACTTTCCAATTTGTAAACATTCAGTGCTGACGCCGGAGTCATCAGGTACCCCGTGGGCTGTACAGGCGTAACCTCTTTGGTATTGACTGGAGAGTGACTCTTCGACGATGACGACACAGCAAGTCTGTGTGGCGACTGAATTCGCTAGCGTCGTGCATCAGCCACATCTCTTTTTCGCTGCAGGTGCAAACCTCCAAGGGTAAGCAATTGCAATCGGCCAACCTACAACTGCCGTGAGAACGACCATGAAGATATGCTGATGACTGCACATGCAGGTCCAAATGTCATCAATGATTCTTGTTCCTGGTACCCGGACGGTAGCCAGCCACTCAATGTGAAACACAAAATAAGGTTTGCACTAGCGCACGTGAGCTCGAAGCGCGTGCGGCGTGCCGTGAAACCTGAGCGCGTTTCCTGTCACTTTGCGCTGTTCACCGCTCGAGTCATCTCTCGACCATCATTTTGACCTTTCTTGAAGGCCGGAAATTTCGCTCCAACACCGCGCAATGGCTTACGGTTCTTTTGATTCAGACATAATGGTCACACAACAACTTGCGCCAAAGGATTGCTTATCCTCGGCCAACAACCTCTCCCGGTGCTTAATCGCTCGAGCTATTGGTCCACACCTTTTATGGCGTTGACAACTCCGGAACCTATCCCGTGATTATCCCCATACAAGCGCTAACCTAAATCAAGTCTACCGACCGCTGAGATCTGCAATTTGCGACAGTTATTACCAGTCCTTCTCCACCTCACCCTGACTTTCATGCAAGTCATCACGAGTTGACACAACTTACACACATTGCGACACCCGATTGCGCAATGGCGGTCGTTCCGCCGAGCGAGAAAAGAGTGTACGAGTTCATCAGTACAGTTGGAATGAACATAGACAGACTGCGACAAGGCATCAATGCGCTCCGGCAGCTGCACGACCGTTGGACGGGCTGTAATGAAACAGTTATCAATCTCATAGCACAACTCACGGCTTTGCGATCGAATCTGGACAATGTGCACGATTGGCTCAACTATGCGATCAATGATCTGCATCCCCAGCTTCTCTCCGACTTGGATGTCTTGATGGCATCCTGCGCATTACTCGTGCGACATGTGGACCATTTGATCGCAAGTCTTCGACAACCGGACCCGGATGCAGTGGATTGCGCAGTCAAGCTCAAGTATGCCGTTGGCGGCCGGTCAATGGAACGGCTTCGAGACGTCGCTGAGCGACAATCAGAATCCGTGCGCATACTGCTGGCTGCATGCAAATGGTAAGAAAATTATGGTTTTCACAGAATTCGACCTGAGGCGTTCTGACCTTCTCAGTCACACTACTGCGCAGCGCAAGATCCTGCTTTACAAGAGTCGCCAGATCAGGAAGGAGGATGACCTATCTATGAAAGTACTAGCGCGGTCATCAAAGTGGAATGGTGGATGCATGACAGTCCTTACAGGCGTTTCCAGAGGAATCCAAGGACTCAGACTATCCTACCACAAGAATTTCAAGCGGAAAGATACCTATGAGGAACCGACCGAGAAGGACTATGACAATGCCGCAGCTGCTATCAGATCCGAAGCAATTGATCGCGCGTTACAGGAAGACAGCATGACGCTTCGACGAGAGACAAAACTCATGCTGATGGGCCAGGATAATAGCGGCAAAGACCTCGTCATGCATCAAATCAAAGTCTTGTATGCCGAGGGCTACTATTCACCAGAAGACCGCATGAGGTTTCGAGACGCCGTGCGCTCTACGATGCGCCTGCTCATCCACTCTATCATTGACCTGCTGAAGGACACCGGTATCAACCTGCCTACGGCCCTGAGTCATGACTTTGCTATCTTGCTGGACGAAGTGGACTTGGTTGACATGTACCGCATTACAAATGAAGCCGCAGCTGCTGTACGAAATCTGTGGGTCAGCGCTGAGTTCTCAGCAATGTACCTCAAGAACTTCGAGATCGATTTCCCACAATATGCGCCCTACTTTGCCCAGGAGGTTCAGAGAATCGCCTCAGAAGACTACATACCTACAGAAGCAGACATCATCCGTCTTAATCAGTCAATCGAAGGCATCAAGGAGCTACGCTTCAATTGGGATGAACTGGACGTCCACCTCTTCAACATCAATGGCTATATCCCAGACCAATTCCGCAAACGCTGGTTCCACCAATTCGACAGCGCCACATCACTCGTCTACACTGTCGACGTCTCGCTCTACGACCGGCCTTTCTACGGCCAAACAACAAAGTCGCAACTTCTAGACGATTTCGCCAGCTTCGAGTCCTGGGCCACATCCCCCAAATTCGCTGACTCCGCCGTCATCCTCCTACTCAACAACTTCACCCGTTTCCGCGACAAACTGCGCTACTCGCCACTTGAAACCCTCTTCCCAGACTACATACCCAACGCCACTGATCCGGACAGCTCAGCGCGTCAGTACATTCTCAAGCAGTTCAAAGATATCAACCGCAACCGGCTATCTATCTATTCATTCTGGGTCGATCTTGATATGAGCGATAACCAGCACCTATATGCTGCGCTCAAGAAGACATTGCAGCACATTCAACAGCGTAAAGCGAGGAGTGAGGTATGGCAGGAGAGCGAGTCGAGTACGAGTTCTGGGACAGGGCTTACGAGGAAGCTGACGAATAGTCGGCTGAATTTGCGGTCGAGGAGCGGGTTGAAGCTGGAGGGCTTGTTATCGAAGAGGTCGGTGGATAGTGAGTTTTCATGATAATCTTTCTGACAAACCGGGCGGTTGCATAAGGTACAGTAATGGTCTTTGGTTTCATGGTTTGCGTGCTGTTTGGCGTTTTGGATGCAAGATACCATATGGGGTAGCACTTTGAGCTACGATCGTGGCTGGGACAACGAGGTGGTACGCATATATTATGATACACACGGCCGAGGTAGCGCAGTAATAGTAATGTAGGAACTTGGGAGCTGTTAAGAAGAATCTATAGTATTATTGGTAGCAAGACACAGAAGTCTTAACATGGCTCATACGGATGATACCTTCTGCCATAAGGATCTAATGCAATTCCAGCTGGCAACTCCTCGCTTGCGTGATACTGCCACGAAGGTACGTAGGAACTTGTACTTGATACTGCCTGTTGTTGATGCACTGCGTGGGCATACATAGTTTCGAACCCAGACGGCGGCCAGAGCGATGCATGCGATGGGTACGTCGAGTGATAAGACACATTTGGGGTGGAGTAGCCTGTACCGGCGGTCCATGGTATTGTGTTCCAGGCCGGATAGCTTGTAGCTGTAGAAGTGCCGACGTTGTGCGCTGTTGTTTGCAGGAATGGTTCGTAGTACGGATGGGTGTACAAGAGTGGTTCTTCAGTAGCCGATGTGACAGCCGTACTCCATGCCTGCTCGGGTATTGTTGCGTGATCAGATTGTGGGGAGCTGAAGTTGCCTGGCAAAACTGTGATGTGAGGGGACGAGCTTGCTATAGAACGCTCATACCGGACTGATCCCGAACAAGACCAATCATCGTAAGGGCTCGTCGACCTTGTATGTCCCTGTTGATCACCTAGGTCATCGTCTTCGAGTAGCTGTTGTAGCTGTTGGAGCTTGCGTTTGCGCTTCTCTCCTGTGTTTGAGCAACGTCAATACTACTCAACGGGTGGTCCAACTCGTCAGGAGGACGTACGGTAGTTGCGCGACGCTATCCTGTTCTGCTGTTTGCGCACCTCGCTATTGGCCTTTCTTGGTTTCGTCTCTGGTGCCGCTGCAGCTGTGTTCTGCGCTCTTGATCTTGTAGGTGCTTCAGCCAGAAGCTTGGTAGAAAGGTTCATCTTCCGTGTGGGAAAGCTTCGCCCTGATTGACTCAGAATCGATGGACTGACGGTCGCAGTACGATGCTTCATGCGATCTGTGAATGGCAGCGACATGCGGCTCTTCAATGTTGTATAGCAAGGTGACAGAATTCAGCCTTGGTCCGGGAAGGCTAACGCTAACCGCAAGGAGCATGTAGACTTGTGAAAGGGCCGCTGATTAAGGACGATAAGAATAGCAATCTGAATTTGACAGAAACGGCGGATGTAAGCGAGCGTACGCAACGTCCCTCAGCGTATGAGCTGGACCTTGATGTGATGTAGCAACACTCAGAAGGCGCCACATCTTAGTACTTGCTCAGGTGTCGTCAGATCTCTACCATGTGTGAAAACAGCTGGTCTCTGACTTTGTATGAATGGGAAGCATTGTTAAGATTTGGCGGTAGTCTCCTCTATCCAAAGACCATACAGGAACGTACGAATAACTCCATTAGCTGTGCGTGCTGTGTGCCTTTACTGTGTAGCCTCAACCACTGAAGACCGAGCTTGCTCCGTCGTCGAACGGCACAAGAAACGTGGAGGTGAGCTGAGCAGCGGCGCTTGCAGCCAGCCTCTCACACCTCTTGTCAACGGGCACGCCGCGGAACGTGGTAAACGCACGGTTTGAAGCATGGCGCAATACGGGAGACGGGACTTAAAGCGACGTGCCGGTGTAGTGTTGTGACAGTGGCATTCAACGTGGTTTCCCGCCGCAACGCTCTGTGGAGCTAGCGTCATGATGACTGAGCGACGCTACGTGAATCTCACTCCGCTCTTTTGTCACAGACCAAATTATCGTCCTAGATTGCTTACAGTCAGTCATCTTCAAGTTTTTAAATGTTCGGCTGTAGGATCCTCCTACAGATCAGCAGACGTTCAGGTATGTGTGTGAAGTCACAAAAAGTATGACGACAACGCACGGCGCAAAAACGGACCAAATCTCCAACAACTCCTCGAGATGTTGAACTAGTCAGCGTTGCGAGAACCGCGGCTACTTCAACATGCTGCGAACTGCGAAGGAATGCAGCCAGAATGAACAACTTTCAGAGCTGGGTTCGGCGGCTCGTGTGCAATACGGGCTGTGCAGCTCGGCTGTTCAGCGAGACTCGCTATCTGCTAAACCCGCCATGATTGTCATGATATGGCTGTCCGGGAGACGGAGTTTGCATCTTGTCAACCTCTGAGAAACAAGCGCATTGTCAGACATTGAAGCGCAAGCATTGAACAGGCGATGAAGAACTGAAGTGCGGGAGGACCCGGGCGTGGACAGGCTCGCTAGCGCCTACGCCCCTGATACCTCCCCTTCTGGTGCCTGACCGACGGCCAGAACACCCATGGGCCGATGCAAGGTACGCCTCCAATTCTTCCTGCAGGGACGCCTGTCAGTTCTTTCTCATCCTACCAAGCGAGCATTGTCAGTGGCAGTACATGTATGCGGTATGGTATGTCCACGAAGACGAGCAGTCAGATGTATCCATTCTCAGATTCAGGTGAACCGTGCACCGACTGACAGCATCTGAGTTGATGTGAAGAGGGTAGTCGTTTGGTGAAGCTGTGGGGTTGTATGCTCCTGCAGAACATAGCCTGGAAACCAGGAATGAACACAAGGATCTACGGATAATCTCGTTACTGAACCGACGACCTTCTTGAACAGGCTCAAATACTCGTCTTGATTGAGCGACCGTGAGCCGCTGTCGTGGATCTCCATCGGTTGTGGCTTGTGCGAAATTGAAGACTACACCATTTGCGTAGCTACGCAATTTCCATGTACATAAAGCTGCGATATCAAAGGCAGCCCTCGTTAACGGAACAATTTTGTAAGGGGACATTCATGTACCGAAATGGCGATTCCAAGGCTATTCTGCGTCCTCGTAGAAGCAGCACAGTGTTCCATGTGAAGCAATCGATAATTTGTGCATACGCCGCAATATACGACGGGCGCTTGAGGTATTGAAACTGATCTGCTCGACGCCGCAGATTATGTCTTTCGGTATATAAAGCCTAGAGACGTCGTCCAGATTGACATCAGCAAGTACATTATTCCTGCCTTCAGCTCATTCCTGTCTCGGATCTTCACCATGGCTTGTCGATTTGGATCTCCGGATCTTGTCACATCATTGTCTGGCACCGCTGCCTCTCCCACTTTTGCCTTCGATGCTGCGAATAGCAACTACCTGGGCCTTGCAGGAAGCTTCACCTCGAGTAAAATACACGCAAGCGTTGGCAATTTCGATGCAAACTGACAGTGGACAGACAATGGCACCACTTGCTCTTTCCCAACCCGCTATGTCACACAACAAAGAACCTCTACATATGCCATCACGCCTATCATCGTTACTATTGGACGAACGACGACCTGCTCGATCCTGGCACCTCCATCAATCACGCCCAGTGCAAGTGGCTCTACCACCTACTCTGGGTTCGAATGCCCTAGCATCACCGACAACCAGTTTGCGCCTGGTACTTACACATTGAGATTCAATCAGCCCAATGTTGCTGGCGCTCCTACCATTTCATCCCGAACATTTATCGTTGCTTCACCCACCTTCAGTACAGATCGAACAACCACGACTGTTCTCGTAACTGCGCCGGCATCAGGCATACCTGACGCCGTTACTACGTAAACATCGTCCAGTGAAGTGTGGATGATACAGCTGACGCATAGACAGCTATACCAGCATTTCTACTGTGACCATTCCCGGAACCACAGGCGCCGACCAGACGCTCACGCAAACAGTCACTGGCGCAACCACAGCTACTACGACTATTACAGACTTCATCAGCTCTTGCGCCGCTACAGCGGACACTTCCAACAGCTTGGTAGCATCCTCAACATCGTCTTCACTAGCTAGCACACCAACTGCTAGTCTACCCACCTCTGAGAACGGCCAGTGTGGTTCGGCAACTGGCCAGACATGCGCCGGCTCCGTCTTTGGCTCTTGCTGCTCTCTGTACGGGTACTGTGGAAGTACTGACATTTACTGTTTGACTACGGAGGGCTGCCAGCCTGCTTATGGCGAATGCACTACCCCTTCCCCTGTATCTAGCAGCTCCCCTCCCTCGCCTACGTCTACGGTCAAAGTCTCGCCGGATGGTGCCTGTGGTGGAGATAACGCCTATGTGTGCCCTGGAAGTGGTTTTGGAGATTGCTGTTCATGCAAGTTATCCAACGATCCTATGCGAGACTCATGACTTATTTTGAACAGCATATGGCTGGTGTGGCTCAAGCAACGAACATTGTAGCTTCGATAGCTGTCAGCCCGCGTTCGGTACTTGCTCCGTCTTTACACCCACTGATACAGCTCCTCTGCCTACATCCACTAGTAATGTCTCCCTCGATGGAGCTTGCGGCGGTGTAACAGGGAAAACATGCTCAGGCAGTACCTTCGGTTCTTGCTGCTCTGAGTACGGATACTGTGGCAGTGGAGACCTCTACTGCACTGGTGCCTGTCAGCCAACATTTGGTACATGCGACACCACCCCGGCGAAGCGCTCGGCACCTAAGGGTAATCTTCGCGCAGCACCTTTTGCAGCTGTGAAGCGCTCGACGGGTCAGAAGCAGAATGAAAAACGTGCTATTGGAGGCGCTGGTCCTGACTACACCTACCCGCCCATCCCACGTACAACTATCACGTCGACTGCGACACAGACTATCACATTCCTTCCAACTACAGGAGGTACGACCACACTCTCCAGTGTCGTCGTTATCACAACAGTTTGGCCGCTACCTGGAAGCACTGCGACGACCACTACGACGGTACTAGTTCCTGTCACAACAGAGACATTTCGATCCACTCAAACAGTCTGCCCCACTTCTACATAGGTATTAGGTGAGGTGGAACGCCGACGATGGTCTTTGGAGTGAAGTAGGGTCTAGGAATGAGTTGGAACAGATGAGCAGAAATGTAGACTCGTATTCTCATGTTGGCCCTGGACGGTCCCCGTGCGTACGCACTCCATGTAGTTCTCGCATCATGATTTTACAAAAAGGCCATTGAATCGAAAGCCCAAGGCTGAAGTACGTCGATATCCAAGTCTAAGTCACCACGATCCTTCCACGCAGAATAGATTGTAGGGATCGATCGGAGCAAGCTCCTCTACCCACGTCGCCTCTACAATGTGCCCAAACTAAGCTCCAGACACTTAGCAATTCCGCGAGCTCCAAACAGTGTGACCTGAGCTGCGATGTGTTTTGCATCTACTCTTTGGTACCAGGATCTACGAGGGCGCGAATGTGATCACAGATCCTGAACCCTGATACCTCAGTAGCGGTTATGTCGTCCAGTCCCTGGTAGAGTGCAGTCAATTTGAGGTCAACATCATTCGACTCCACACAAACGTTTAACTTGACGGACCACAATCTCTGACCAAGGCGATAGACTGGTTCCTGTTGCTCCTTAATGCGGTCCTTGAGGTGTGTAACGTTGAAACCTGCATCACCGCCGGATATGATGCCTAGAGAAGTAAGTAGAAGGTAACAACATGGCTACAACGTAAAGCATCCTTGGGGTTATCCACATTGTAACAGCCCTCTGTAGCTGTCGGATGCATGATAAGCTCTTCCCAACCAATCCATTCAGACTGCGTTTCACAGTATGTGCTCAGAGAGGAATGTATGCTTGTAAGAACGCTGTGGATCGTCCCCACCCCGTGCAAGTATTCGCATCTACCTCATCAGATACGCAGTATTGAGTCTTACCGATTTGAAAAGGTACTCCACGATGCCCGTGGGATAGTATTTTCTACCCTTCCCAAGCGTTCCCTTTTGCTTGTACACTCTATGCAGTCCTCTTTCCTTATACACCTTTGGCTGATATGCAATTGACTTTGTCACACTGACGCTCATGCGAAGTGCTCGTACAAGGCCATGTTCCTTGTCCTGGGTCCTGGGTCCGCATCAGCGTACCGACAGCAGTAGAAGCACCTGATTGCTGACTAGACGAGGCAACAAAATTCGTTTCGGTGGTGTGTTCTTGGTTGTATGCGACAAGGCGATCTTCAACCACTGTCCCTGAAATAAGGCGAATCGCCGAATCCTGCTGTAAGTATCAAGCTATAGACTTCTTCGTTCGTCGATCGATCGATCATGAGACTCAATCTCGCTCGAAACGTTTCTTCTGCCCATTTCTTTGCTGGCCGGTTGGTCAGGATTCCACCCAAGAAGCATGTGTTACACGTTACCTGGTCAGTACGTAATTAACCATGAGTAAACCACGGATTCGACGCACTTGACTGTAGCCCATACATGCGGAAACAATGCGTACGACCATTAGTCAAATGTGCGTGAGGATTGTCTAAGCAACTGCTGAGAATAACAGGTTTCGTTCCTTTAACCCAGGTATCGAGTACGTACGCCACGCCTGTGTAAGTAGTACCATAGTCAATGCTCGGGGTGATTCCGGGCTTCTTGATAGTGCGAGGCTGAGGAGGGCTACCGCCTGACGTGTGGGATTGCACAAGTGACGCTCCTCGCGCGCGTTGTATCGAAATCATGGTTGCGATGAGGGTGTGTATGGTTGCAAAATGTGCGGTAGTGGTGGGAGAAGAGGTGACGGAGTTCGGAGTTGAGAGAAGTGGGGTGTTTGCTGACACGTAAACAAGGAAGAGCTAGTTGCGCGCAGTGAAGGTAACCCGTCAGCTCTACGCCGCCAACACGCGACTGGATGGACGCGTCGCGAGCACCAGGGGAAAAAAGTCTGCAGATTAGCAAGGTGCTTTGCAGATAGATAAGGAGCAACTTACGAATAACGCTTTCTGGGTTGTAGATTGATGCTTCTAGCTTAGCGTCAAGTTTGGACGTAGGTGGTGATGAGCTATCACCGTAGGTCCAGACAAATATTCGTGGGTAGCGTCATGCTTCTCTCACCTTCTGGAAGTGCAGCTTCTTTCACCTTCCGAACCCTTCCAAACAACTTCTGCCTTTCAAAGCATATCTTTGCGATCTACCACCAAACTACCACACCCTCCAGGTCTAAACCTTCTTTCCCAGACCTGCGCAAACTTTGCTTTCCTCCAACACCTCAATATGGCAAAGCATGAGGTATCAAGAAGTTCCAGAACGACCGAATGGGGTGAAAAGGAGATAGCATTCATCTTCTGCTATGCTGACTTTTGCATAGACCGTGGGTACGATTACAGGAGCTCTATCTTGAATGCGCTCAAGAAGTACTCTAAAAGGTATATAAAAAAGACCACCAGTCTAGAAGATCAGTTGCACAAGCTCCGCAAGCAGTGGGGAGTGGCCTCGCCGAATGTCCGAGAGCTATTGGTCCAAGAGACTGCGTACCTTCGCCGCGTCAAGAATATCCCAAAGACTGTCCAGACAGAAATGGAGCGAATAGGCGCTAATTAGAAAACCCAACATGACTCAATCGATGTTGGCATCTCAGTCCCTCGTCCCGAAGAACGAGCTGGAAAGTCTTAGGGAGGAGAACGCCAGAATGCGGTCCCAATGGGTTGGCGTCTCTTTAGACGCAAATCGACTAACAAAATGACATTGCAGTGAGAATTCAGGGAATCAGGTAGCAAATAAATGACTCTCTTTGGCGTTCATTTGTCGATGACCACAACGTAAACAGCACATCGCAAGACGTGAAGTTAGAAGCACGTCACGTGCCAACTTCAGCCCCACCACAAGCCGCGGAGAAACCGCAACTCCAAAGTTTTCTAATTTTGCACATCATCTGACATTTGAATCATCGTCGTCCAACTCTGCAATGGAACCTGACCGTCCAATGACTTGAACTGCCATTTGGCTGACGGCTCACAAAGTGACGCCGGGAGATGTCGGCTGCCAGAGCGAGTGATGGGGTGACATTTAGTCATGCTGAGTATGAGAAAGGCACTGAAAAGCGAGGACGTGGAGAGCACCAGCGCAGCAGAAGAGATGCCGAACATCTCTGCGAGAACACTATTTGAGAGCAAACGTGCTAATGTATTGCTTGTGTTTACAGGCAGTGAGATTGGCAAAGATAACGTTGAGCTGTTGACCTAGACGATCAATGCGGGAACTGTGGATCTCCCAAAACTGTTGCGCATCCCACAAACACCAGCCCTAGAGCACTTTTCCAGCGCTCGACCCACCAAACAAAATCGGAGACTTTCACTCTTTCGTCTCACCACGTGCAGCTTCCGCGATGGAACGTTCGAAACGGCTGTGCCCGGCGGGCGTGGCGGCGTGAAGAGCCGCGCTGCACGTGCAACGTACGTAATTCATTCGCGCGTAAGACCAGGCACGCTTGCACGTATGATCGGTCATCAGATTTTTGTCAGGGGTTTCGAGGTTCGGCAATGAGGAAACTGAGATGCAACGTGTGGTCTGCCGCGGAGATGTATACTCCTGCGGGTTTTGTAGGAATATGGGTCGACGATGGGTGAAGTATATATCTTCAATGAGGGAGGTGACATGTATTCTTCCATACCATCAACATCATCACATCGTTGAGCTCCACTAAAGGATCATTGACTATCAGACAAGAATATCCGCAAGGGTGTTCATCATTACAACCTACCGGCAATAACTCATATCGACTGTCAACGAACTTTTATATTGCCGCTACTAGCATCAACAATAACAACAACTATTGTAACAGGACGAACACACCGACTCGCAACAACAATTGCAATGACACCTCTCACACCCGAGCAAGTCCAAATCATCAAAGCCACTGTTCCAGTACTGGCTCAACATGGCGAAACCATCACCACCAAGTTCTACGCAGACATGCTCGAAGCCCATCCCGAACTCAAGAACATCTTCAACAACACACACCAAGCGACCGGGCATCAGTCTCGTGCGCTCGCCGGCTCCCTCTACGCTTACGCTTCCAACATTGATGATCTTGGCAAGCTCTCTCCCGCCGTCGAATTGATTTGCCACAAGCATGTCTCTCTTTACATCCGCCCGGAACATTACAACATCGTCGGTGAGCACCTCCTCAAGACCATGAAGACCGTCCTCGGCGCCGCAGCAACCCCCGACATCCTGGGTGCCTGGGAAGCGGCCTACTGGCAACTCGCCAACATCATGATCAACAAAGAGGACGGTCTGTACAAGGAAGCAGAAGGCTGGACAGACTGGAAAGACTTCAAGATCGTGCGCAAGGAGAAGGAAGCCGAGGATATCACATCCTTCTACCTGCAGCCCGTCGAATCGAATCTTAAACTCCCCATCTTCAAGCCCGGCCAGTACATTTCCGTCAACGTCTTCGTCGACGAGCTCGATGGCGGTGTGTGGCAGGCGCGCCAGTACAGTCTTTCTGATGCGCCGGGTAAGGACTATCTACGCATCAGCGTGAAGCGGGAACCTGGTGTCGAGGTTGGTGAACCAAGCGACATGACGCACCCCGGCTACCTTTCCAACATCATGCACGAGAAGAAAAATGTCGGCGACACGGTGCGTGTCTCGCACCCATGGGGCGACTTCTACTTCGAGGAGGAGGAGGACAAGAGCGCGCCGATTGTTTTGATCTCAGCAGGTGTAGGATTGACGTGCTTGAACAGCATCCTGAACGCCACGTTGGAGCACTCATCAAGGCCAGTAACGTGGATCCAGGGCGCGCGGGATAGCAAGACGAGGGCGTTTAAGAAGGAGATTGACGGTCTGGCGGAGAAGAAGAGCAATTTGCATACTGTGTACTTCTCCTCGAGTCCACAGGAGGGAGAGCTTCAGGGCCAGGATTACGATATCAGGGGCCGTGTCAATCTGGATAGTATCGACAAGAAGGTGCTATTCACGGACAGCGACAAGACGCTGTACTTCACCTGCGGGCCGCAGCAGTTCATGCTGGATGTCGAGGCCAAGTTGAAGACCTATGGTGTTCCGGCTGAGAGGATTCACATGGAGCTATTTGGCACTGGCGGTATTCCAAGGGTTTAGATTTCTGAAGTCGGAAATATGGTTAGTTGTTCCTGATGATTTTGTTTGGGTTTGGGTTGTATATCACGGCATTTCTCTACTGTTACATAGTTGAATCTTCTTTTATTGTGTTCTTAGTGGTCCATAGAAAGGCATCTCAACTGCAAATTCGAAACGTTTCGTCAAATCTTGCGTGCTCCAAATTTCGGAGTTGACGATCCTGGATGTATGTGTGAACGCTCCTTTTATCAATCAGGCTGTTCGTATACAGATCACGACCTACTTCGTTTCAAATCGAACTTGCTATAACTGTAGCAAAGCCGGCCAGGGTCTATCTGTGCCTTCATCGTACAGACCACCAACAGGCGTTTGCAGTTACCAGGGTCTACACGTGCAGTGATGTGCTGAGTGGGAGGCATTGGCCTTCAGCATCAAGTTCGACGGGTGAACGTGCGATGACTGCCACCGGGAACCCGGCTAAGCTTTCAGAGGTGTCCCGCCCAAGATCGCCCGCCTGAGACGTCATCAAGAGAGGCTGGAAGCTCAATGTCCTTCCAGGATGAACTTGGTCGCGGAAGCGCAACCGCAATTCCGAGACATCTTTAGACACACTTTCTGTCCGACCAACACACCGCAGGCCCACCAAACATCTTGAACTGCCGAGATTACTCGGTGAAATTCCTTGATCGCGGGCGAGTAAGAGATCAAGAAATGTTCTGTGTGTCCGTTCATCTTGCTGTCAACGGGGAGTCGCACGCGCTCCCGCAATTCGGTCCCAAACTCTTAATACGCAGTCTCATGACTAACAAGCATGTAAAGGTAGCATAAAAGTCCACTTTAGGTCGGCAAAATGCGCTCGCCCACCAGTGTGACGAAAGCATGCTGTCGACCTTCATTTCCAGGCTCCCCGAAAGGCTAGTAAAAGGGGTAAGCTTCTGGAAAAGACAGGGGAATTTCAGGCGCGCAGCACGCCAAGTCGCAATGTCGGTCTGAGCTCCTTCTAGAAATTACGTGGAAGGGCGCTCGGGTGCCGTGTAAGCCTTACGGCAGGGACATTAGACGCTCCCCTGCATCGGAACGTTGGCTGGGTTGGATGACAGTGTGAGTCGGGGCCGCAGCCGCTGGCCACTCATGACACAGCGCCCATGGGAATCTGATGCAAGCGCGCTTCTGGGAGACAAGAATAGGACGTCGTAATTCCCTGGACGCGACAGGCGGGAGCAAGTGCGGCGAACAGAAAGTGGTGAAACAGCCGTGCATGTTACAGTGGTGGCTGCAATCTAAACGGATATTCTCTTAAAGCGGTGACTGTAAGTGCCATTAGTGATCGTGAATAACTCGACAATCGTTGCCATTATATGCCCCTCTGCATCCCAGTGAAGGGTCTCCGGAAGCATTGGAAAAGAAATGCATGGTGGTTTGTGCAATCCGAAGGCGGCTGGCGGCGCGGGTGTCAGAGTCGATCACCGAAACGTGCAGCGAGGCTTGAAGTGGGGGTCCGGCAGCGCGTGCATTGCACCGGATTCATGGGACGCGCACAGACGGATCTGGCGGAAGCATGCGGTTTGGGCACCGCTAGAAATCGAGACAAAGTGTGCTCATTGTCACGATCGAATGGTTCTGAGCACCACGATGACTGGAACTTGGATGACTGCCGTTTGACGTGTACGTCGACTGATCGCACGCATTGTCGGTTGGTTTGGCATAAAGAACGGCCAATGATTTGTTTCGTGAGAGCGGGTTGGCATGGGTCGACAATTGACGGCCAATTATGACAGCAAGCCACAGCAGCCTCCGGTGCGAATGTACCAGTGCGTCTGTTGACGCCCCAATGGATTTGTGCAAGGTGACGTGTAACAATGTGTCCGTCTCGAAGGCCCACCAAAACAGCATCGCTGGCCGTTGGAAACAATGAACTGCACTGCAATAGCATAGCAAGTTCGAAAGACACTGTGAGAAACTGTGAGTCTGGACATTTTCACAGGTTCATCCGGATTGAAGCATGCAATTGGTGTTGCTGCCACACAGTGGTCGATGTTCTGCAGTCGACTGCACTCACCAGCAGTTCATCGTCCGCTAGTCAGTGGAGAGGGAAGATCAGGGGCTGCTCACCGCAAGACTTCGCCTCGCAAACAAAACTCAATGTTGACCAATGGCGTCACAGTTGTCAAGCCATTGTGCTGCTCGCGCAAGAGGCTCTGAATTGTCGCTCGAAGTGTCGCAGCTGCTCGGACCGGAGGACGGCTTGAAAGGGGTCGCCCTGGAGGACGGGGTGACCCATGGGCGGAAGCTGCGATGGATGCAGCGCCTTTCTCCTTGCGGCAGGCTTCCAGAAGCCAAACAGCGCCAAAGCTCATCCCCATGTTCAAGGATGTGACGGCTGCATCAAGCTGCGTATCGCGAGATGAATCCTGAATCTCACGCGCAGCCACTGTGTGTGTGCTGCGTGCGCGCCTTCCACATCCTGCTCAGTCGATGCCCTGGATGGGTTTCCCAGAATCATGCGGCAGCCTTCGTCAACATCTGCCGCCTGGGTTGTGGATCCCAATTCTGCACACGCGGGCGCCACTGACGGCTCAAGGCAGGCCGCAGGATGCCATAGCGCCCTGACAGGTAGCAGCGTAGAACTAACAGAAACGTGATGGTGAACCTGTAGTCTGTCGAGCGCGAGATGAACACAAGGATAGGGTTGCTCCTGAAACGCCATCATTGTGAGGCTATGAGAGCCGATCAGTGTAGATACTGTATATGAGTGTCCCTTGCGCCTTGACATGAGAGAGGTTCCTGCCTCACCGTTTGAACTGCACTGAAAGATCGAGTGACACGAAATCGAATTCTTCGCAACTCTGCACCAATTCATGACATACAACCAATAAACTGGTCGACTAGCAACGAGAAGACCGACCTGGACAATGTAAGCTTCGTCATTACCGTCATCTACATTCCTGAAGCAGATCATCAGCGAACAGATGTGGCACAGCCGAACCCAGCTGACACAGGAAACAAATACCAGCTCACTTTGCTTTTCCTGTCTCTGGAAAGCCACTGTTCTGCCTTGCCACGAGGGTGTTCACCCACGCCGCTTGAGCAGATTGTCGAAGCAAGCAATCTGGTCAGCCATTCAGCCACGAAGGTCTGCTGGGTCACACCTGCATCTCGAACAGGCCAACGTCACGCATACCCTTTGAAAGAGGGGAACTGGCTCAAGCCGGCCTATTCGGACCACAAAGCGGTGCAAAAAGAGCCTCTGGGCCATTACGAGATAGGACTACGCTGCATCGTCTCTCGGATTGCGCGGCTACGGACAGCTGAGAAAATATTCAGTCAGTCGGCTCCTCATCCCTGCTTGCCGTGCAGAGCACCATTCATCTGCGACATCTGTGGCAGAGACACCCGTGGGTGAGGTCTCCAGTTTCAGAGACGTTCAGCGCCCGCATCTGCACTGGTCGTGATATTGCGCAGAGGCCTCCTTCGAGCTTTGACGCTCTACCACGCCTGCCTGTCGCCTGCACATCGCTCAGTTGTGCTAGAGGCGCCTTCCACGCTAGCGCAGCCTATTTCGAACTAGCCTATTTTGAACTCTCCGCGCGCGACGAGGAAAGAAGTACTTTCACAACACCACGCCTCACATCCATCGCGACTCACTGTTCTGCTCTTCCGCATTCTCAATACTACCACTGGTACGTTCACTCCCATTTCACTGTCCATTCGCAACACGTGCAGTGTGTGCAGCGCTCTTGCAGGCCCTTCACCGCTCGCTCCCCTATTCGAGTCTGGCGGACGTGGCCCAGCGTGCCTGTTGGGCGCGACGCTCCTCACTTTTTTCTGTCCCTGTCAGCCCGTCGCGGCTCTCCCTCGACATCCGGACTGACATCGCCATCTAGTGCAACCTCTGCATTGACCCGCACGCGGTCCGCCCCAGCTCTTCGAGATCCCCAAGGAACGGGCCACTCTCACCACGGCGCTCTTTGAGGCTCACTGATCACCATCATCATTACACAGCGCCTCTCTGCGACTGTGCGGCTCACCATCCGCCCGTCTCTCCTTCACTGGTGCGCTCCATCCCGTTCTTTGCTCGTTGAGCCCTTTCGCCGATTCTCCGCTACGCGAAACTTTCTTGTTCTGGTCAGAAGATGGAGCTGGACACGATTCTGAACGCGCGATTAACAGCCCACGCAGGTACAGGAGACTATTTCGGCATGCAACGCGCAATGCAGCACGATATGCAGCAGCAGCACTTCGGTGCTGCGCCGTACATGAACGGCGGCCACATCAAGTCAGAGAACGGCTCTGAGCGTGGCGTGTCACCCCATCCGTCCGACTCGTCGCGATACTCGTCACAGCAACCACAACAGCAGCTCCCTGCGTATCCCCAGATGGCTGCACAGCACATGAACGGCATGCGCTATCCCTCGCCGACGCAGATGCAGGCGCCCATGCCGATGCTTAACAACAACAACTACATTCCCCAACCGCCAGAGCACGCGTACGCGCAGCCACAGCAGCAAATGCAGGAGCAGAGTCAGCAGCATGGTGGCCGCGCCGCCGGCGATAACGGCCCACCAAAGGCTTTCGCGTGTTCGACGTGTGGTAAAGGCTTCGCGCGACGCAGTGACCTTGCGCGTCATGGTAAGCTTTGGAGCTTGGGCCTACATCATCAAAGCACGCACTGACTCCCACAGAACGTATTCACAGCGGTATCCGTCCTCACGTGTGCGATTACCCCAACTGCGGCAAGCAGTTCATTCAGCGCTCCGCCCTGACTGTGCACCAACGTGTCCACACCGGTGAGAAGCCGCATATGTGCGAGCGTTGTGGAAAGGTACGTTCCTCTGCGTCCCTCTTATCATTTAGGCGTTAACATCTTTACAGCCATTCAGTGATTCCAGTTCTCTTGCCCGCCATCGCCGCATTCACTCTGGAAAGCGACCATACAAGTGTCCCTACGCCGACTGCCAGAAGACTTTCACGCGTCGCACCACTTTGACTCGTCACCAGAACCACCACACTGGCACCGTCGAGGAAGCGGCTGCTGCCACGGCTGCTGCTCTTGCTTCTCGTGCCACCGCACCTAGCAGGACTGGCCGCTCAGATGGCGGTGACTACTCGGAAACCCAATCCCCCTTGAACACGCCATCTCCCAACGACCGTACCCTTTCTCTTTCCCCTGCCAATGGCATGCCTGCAGGTGTCGTCCCTGCTATGCACCGTCAGGCTTCTGACTACGCTTACATGGGTGGCATCAACGTTCCTCCTCACATGCGCAGCGAGATGCCCCAGCAGAGCCCACGCGCTTCCCCAGCGTTGACCTCGCAATCGTACACCTCCAGCGTGAGCAATGCTCGTCCTACCATTACCTCGCACCCCAGTGCATACGGCCCACCGCCGATCCTTGAGCCACCGGCGTCTGCCAACCACAACCAGTCCGGTACTGGCAGCGCTAATGGCAGCCCTCACATGGCCAACATGGGCTGGCAATCACCCTCTCAGCAGGCCCTTCCTTCGCCAGGAGCCGCTGACAACGGCTACGTATACCCCGAGCCGCAGTACGGCAACACGCAGAACAGCATGTACTACCAGAACCACAACATCCGCCGTCCTAACAGCACCGAGCCGGACCACTACAACCCAAACCAGCAGAGGATGGGCAATGAGATGTGGGCACCTGCCGTGCAATAAATCGTTCGCTCTTCCCTTGTATCAATAGCACTTTGAGTCTCGATTCCATTACATTGGTGTTTTGGCAGGACCGATACCCCTGTGTTCTCACAAAAAATTCCCTTCCTGTCAGCTGGCGTGTTATCTTGATCGATCGGTCCTTCTGCATGGCGGTTTTCATGGGTTTGACAGGGTTCGACAGTACTTTCCGACCTGTCCGCGTAAAATCTTCTTTGTACTCTCAACTTAGCCGTCGTATTTGTTGCAGTCTCTTTCCATCTTGGTCGGATCTGGGTGAAGGAGCAAGGTCAAATTGCTCTGAACGGGTGGTCCCGTGTGGTTGGTGGGCGGAGTCAGGCGTGCCTTCAAGACTGGCAAGGGCGTCTTTGGCTCCTATCTTGGTTCTTTCCTATGCACACAGGCACACTTTCACTTAGACTGGTACTTAATGAAGGATTTACATCCGCCCTTAGAGTAAACATTCTGCGCAAGTAGTAGCAAAATAATATATCGCAATGCAATAAACAAATGTACCCTCTTATAGTAAGTATATCGCGATGCAATAAACAAATGTTCCCTCTTTGAGCAAAGAAGCGGCATGCAGTTGCCAGCTACAGATTCTCTGGACCTATTCTTTTGCAGATGCTCCTTGTCTCGTTCGTGATATACATATCTGCTGGAGCCTAAGTGTGGGCTCAGACAGAGAGATGGAAGTGATTACACAGGGAAGACCTCCTGGAGGACGATTGACCACTTGCTCCTGAGTGTTGCATAAAGAATTCGTGACAGTGACTTCTGATCGGATTTTTGCGACATTTCCGGCGAAATTGCTTCTCAATTGCGTTCGAAGCCGGAGATGAGCGTCTGCATTGGGCGCCACTTGGGTCGGCTTCTTCTGCACGCCGAGCTTTCCCCAGCCTCGCATGACGAAGCACCCGCATCTGTCCTGCGTCTGCACCCTGACCTCGACCCAGCTTGCCACCCCACTGCCTCCGCAACGACGCCTGTGTCACTCGCAATCGTTATCCATTTTCACTCGCACAGCCACAGCCGCGCCGCGTCTTTCACCTCGGCACCTTCATTGGCTCGCCTGCCAAGTCAGAACCGTGGTCTTGCATCATACCCAACGCCAGACCTTCCACGCACTCAACGGACCGACGACCTTACCACTATCGTGCACACTTCACCCACGAATAGCAATCCTTCCGTCGCACACACTTCTGGTCTCGCATCCTGAAGTCTCCACATCACAGCCAAGATGAGTAAGGTTGTAAGAAGCGTCAAGAATGGTAAGCTACGGCATCTGCATTGCACTCGCTGCAGCAATTAACAGCTGTCACAGTCACGAAGGGGTATTCGGCGGTCGAAGTCAAGGTCCGCAATGCCACCAGCAACGACCCGTGGGGTCCGGTGGGCTCAGATATGGCCGAGATCGCTCAGATCACCTTCAACAAGTAAGACCAGCTCATTGTCTGCGGAAGCTGCGCTAACAGTCTTTGCAGCTCGACAGATTTCTACCAGGTCATGGACATGCTAGACAAGCGACTGAACGACAAGGGAAAGAACTGGCGTCACGTTCTGAAATCGCTCAAGGTCCTGGATTACTGTCTGCACGAAGGCTCCGAGCTGGTCGTAACTTGGGCGCGCAAAAACATCTACATCATCAAGACACTGCGAGAGTTCCAATACACCGACGAAGATGGTCGCGACGTTGGGCAGAATGGCAAGGCAGGCTCATTGGAGTGACAAGGGCATTGCTAACACTAGACAGTGCGAATGGCTGCCAAAGAGCTTACCTCGCTGATCATGGACGAAGAGCGATTGCGTGCCGAGCGAGCGGACAGGAAATCGTGGAAGTCACGCGTGACTGGTATTGAGGAATATCCTGGAAACCACGCTGCAGGACACGGAGAGGGTTCTCACAGCCTGCGACGAGAGGGCGGCAACGCGCGACCGCGCCGCGACGACGAGGATCTTGAGTTCAAGCTGGCTCTGGAAGCGAGTAAGAATGAGGCTGAAGAGGAGAAGAAGCGCAGGGAACGAAACAACGCCCCCGAGGACGATGACGATCTTGCGAAGGCGATCAAGCTCAGCAAGGAAGAGGAGGAATTGCGCCGGCGAGAGCTGGAACAGACCAATGCAGACTTGCTCTTTGGTGATGCCCCCGCGCAGCCCAACACGTACCAGCCGACCGGTAACAACCAAGGATACCAGCAGCAGGGACAGGTCGACTGGTTTGGCAACTTGATGGACCAGCAGCCGCAGCAGCAGCCCCAGAACACTGGGTTCCTCAACAACGCATACTCTCAGCCTACTGGTATGCAACCGCAGCAGACAGGCTTCCAGAATGGGTTTGGTGGCTACGGCCAAGGTTTCCAGCAGCAGCCTCAGCAGACAGGCTTCGATCAATTTGGCCAGCAACAGCAGCAAGCGCAATATTTGCAGCAACAGCAGACCTCGTTCAACATGAGCAACCCCTACAATCAGTTCGGTGGTGGAATGGGCCAGCAGCAACAGCAGCAGCCTCTCCAAGAGCAGAGCACGCTTCAGCCTGGTAGCCATAACCCTTGGGCGAGCAACAACCAGCAGGAAGCTTTGATGCCCCAACCCACTGGTTCCAACAACCCCTTCGCGCAGGGCTTCAACCGACCCCAGACCGCGACACAAGCAGCGCGTGTCCCGTCGCTAAACACTCTGCAAGAGCAGAAGACACAGACACAGTTCAACAACACATCGTTCAACCCTCCAGTATCATTCTCGACACCCCAGCCCCAGCAACAGCAGCCTCAGAAAGAGATGGATCCCCACGCCGCGAGGCTCAACACTCTCCTCGCGACAGGAGAAGGCCAGGATACCTTCGGAAACGTCGGCAACCTTCGTCTCCCGGCTCAGCACACAGCACCTGGTACTTTCGTCAATTCGGCCGGTGCAGGTCTGAACCGCATCAACGCCAATGCAACCGGCAACAACCCCTTCCTCAACTCTCAGTTCACTGGCATGCCTCAGCAGAACCGCATGATGCCAGCTCAGACAGGACCCGCCGGCAACTTCGGCGCCAACCCATACGGCGGCCAGAGCGCGAATCCGTTTGGCGCCCCACAGCAGCAACAAAGGTCTCAGGGAGGTAATAACTTAATAGACCTGTAAATGCTGCATGGAGGTGGACTCGAAGTAGACATGCGTTTTCTTGTTTGATATTTGATCTTGGAGCGTTGCCCTATATCTGCTTTCTATTTCGTTCGGGGCCGCCGCAAGGTAGTGGAGATACCTAAAGGCTTCTCCTGGTTAGGAGGAATAGGACATAGGGACCGGTGGTTTCGTAGACGCTAAATGATTCCCTTTACAACATCTTTACCTGCGTTATCAGCATAGGTAGTTGGCATTGTGCTGGGCTTGTGGGTAGGCGGTACGGTAGCTAATCGGACTGAACTTTGCCAATGTGCGTACGAACCCCAACTTTACCATGAGCCAGACTTCTCAGATGTCATGAACAAGACCCGATTTCAGAACTCCCAAGTCCACCGCAAGGTTGACATTTCGATTCAAGGGTTGACATCGGCGCTTCCCACGTGATCGACGGAAAGTGGGTCTGGGCCGCAGTGGAGCCCTTCCCGGCGCGCGCCTCCATCTCAACCCCGCAAACCTTGCCTGGCTTCCGTTCGCAAACCTCGCCCTGGCACGTCCACTTCACGGTCGCATTGTTTGTACGATAGACTTTTGGAAAGCATCCAGGGGTGGCGTGTTTGTTGTGTTGAGCGATCCTGGACGCCATATAAAATATCAGCTATATTGTCGTCATCGATCGAGTATTCCACGAAGTAGGGATCGCTGTCGCTCGCCGGTCGCAGCCAGCCGCACGGATCCGCCTATGTACATATTGCATATATACCACTTGGAATACGACTCCCTTGAACGAGAACATTGGACATGGCTGGGCCTGCAAGAGAAAGGGCGCTGGGCAAGCGGACACGCCGCAGTACAGCTGCTGAGCAGCAAGAACACGCAGAGCCGCCGCGAGCATCCAAGAGATTGAGGGAGAAGAGGGAGGCCAGCGCAGGTCGCAATGGACAGACACACCCAGGACAGCCTACTACAACCATTCGCAATGGTCTCGCGACACCAGAACCAAGCTCATTGACCGAGTCGCAAACGTCACTGCCAGTCGACGACGCTCCTCTTGAGCGCAAAGATATCTTCCCATTCATGCAACTACCCGCCGAGCTACGTGTCCACATATACTACATGGCACTTCACCGCGACACCCCACTCTACCTCCACGCCGCGCGCGCCCTCGAGAAAGGCCTCGAAGACGGCTCCACCGCCCTCGACGCCGACTCATCTCCCCTCGCCTCTCCAACCGACATTTCTGCACGCACCTGCCGCCCTCGCGTCCCCAGTCCGCCGCCGGATATCACTCCTCCACTCGACCCTGTCGTCCCTACAGTCCTGCGGCTCAATCAGCAGATATACAAAGAAGCGCGCTCCGTCCTCTACAGCGCAAATACATTCACCCTCTCCCTGCTCAGTGGAATCCACACCCTCTCCACCCTGCACCAACGCTCGCGCTCCCTAATAAAACACGTGATCATCACCATCCCGTCGCACCACGACATCCTGGACGGCTTCGCCGACCTCGTGCGGCTGGGGCTACGCTACTGTTGGGGGTTGAAGACCTTCAAGATCATCCTGCAAGCGAGCCTGCCCGACGATGGAAGGATGACGCACGCGACGAGCGTGTATGCGAATGCGTTTCATATTTTGAGGTGGCTGCCGAGGGGGTGTAAGGTTGTGCTTGAGGGGAATGTGAGTGAGGTTGTGAGAGAGGTTGTTAGGGAGGAGGGGAGGCTGCAGAGTGTCCTTGACGAGGCGGGGTATGCGAAGAGGCAGCATCAGATGCCTGAACGGCATTGATAGGGGGTTTTTAGTAAGAGTGTTGGATATGTGTATACTTGCGAAAGAGTCATAGTTGGAACCCATGCCTCGTTTTGCTCGTTGCATACTGCACCGTACTGTCCTCTGTGCATGAGCATGTCCGAACCCCTGTTACGTAGACCCCAGACCCGCTTGCAGATCCTACCTCGCGCCTTTGCGGACACCTTACGTGTAGATCCATGCTCAAGTCCGTATCCACTGCGTCTTTTGAGTCCAGTCTCCACGAGCTTCAGGAGCGAAGTCGATGTGTTCTCGGTGACGGGTCAACGTCGTCCAACGATCCTGACGAACGGACACGACACCAAGTCTAGTTGAACCTGGCACTCGGCCCCTGACAATCTCCTCAAATGTCGGGAAGAATCTCTGGTTCTTGCACAGCACATCCTCGAGCTTTCCACTCTCCTTCAGGGCCTCTGGTTCCTGGCAGATCAGCGCTGAGAACACAGCGCTACCGTCTTCCCCGCCGCCTTTGCATCGGGAATTGGGCCGTTGGTGTCGCTTGTAGGCTTGCTTCCAGCTGGCATCGAACTTGGTCCCTGGACGGACATAGTGGATGCGGTAATCTTTGGGGCTCAGCAGAAGTTTTCTGTTTAAGCTGGACGGCTTTCTTTCGCGAACCTGCTGGCGGTTGAGCTACTTGGGATGTCTGACTTCTGGCAGAGCTTTTCCTTCACGGGTTGGAACTGCGACTTGAACTCTGATATCCGGCGCGTAACTTCGAGGTTCCTGAAATCCGGGCCCTCAAACAAGAGCCTGGCGGCAACTTTGTCGTACTGCTGGACTTTTGCTACACCATCTGCGTTAGTCTTTTGGGAAGCGAGCATGACATCGTACTGATGCATCATGCCGTCCGAGTGCATGACGCTGAGAATCGATTCTGCGATGGCTAAGGTCCAGCGGCAGAACAGTGTGCTGAAGAGTGTCTGCTGTGCGTGCGGGCTTTTGAGAATTGCGAAAAGGCTCTCGATGTAAGCCTTGAGCTGACTACCAGGGATGCAACCGTAGGCGATGTTTTTGGCGGAGCAGGCAAAACATCCGACACTCAGTACACTAACTGTCAGAGTAATGTTGTCAGAACTAACGGTCAAGACAATGTACTCATAGAAAGCTGTCCAGCTCTGGTTGACTTCGTGTTGGGGCCGTATTTTGGGAAAGACTGTTCCAGTTTCTAGGTTCACGTATCCAACCAGCTTCTGGACCATGTTGCGGTGCTTTGCCTTGAGGGCGTTCTAAGATTCAAGGTCCGTCATCAAGTTCTCAACAACGGATTCCTTGGGGTCCTTGAAGGTACAGATGAGTTGGTAAATATGCTCAGCGGTTTCTTCTGGTAAGCTCAGTTGACAAGTGACCAGGTTGCTGACAATAGACAAGCAAGTGTCAATCTTATTATCGGCAGTTTCGAGGGTGAATTCACCTATCTTTTGTCTCTTGGACGGAGTTTTGACAGTGGTGATCTCCTCCTCGAACATGAGATCAGCTTTCCTCTTGTTGGCACCTCGGTTGAAAGGTTCCGTGTCGTATTGCTGAGAAAGAATGTCGTTATCGGCGACTCAATTGGCAGATGCCACAGCCTGATGCTCTTCAGGCGGATCATCGATGACGATGACAGTGGCAGCCCTGTCAGACGCTGCAGTGCGTTGTTGTGTCTTTGAGACGCTTGGTTTGGAGACTGCAACGCCTCTCGCAACTGCAACACCTCGTGTACCTCTGGATGCGTTGATGGGGGTGTAGCTGGAGGAGCTTTCGGCCGGTTTGTTTCGTTTTGGGGACGGTTTGTACTCAAGCTCGTTCGGATCTTCGGGGGTGGCTGCTCTTTTCTTTCCAGCAGCTTGTTTGGAAGGCACAATGGGGCAAGGTGTGGAAATTGGACTCATCTTAGGTCGGTCTGCAGGTTAGAAGCCCGCTAGAGAAGGTTAGAGAAGGTACTGTCACTGTTGCACTTCGGCGATTTCGCTATATTGCGGTTCTGGTGTGTCTTCAACTTGCGGTGACATTGGACGGTGATCGGTACCTGATTCTAAGGCTATGTCTTTTTCGGCGCTGGAGCTTTCTTGGGTAGTCGTTAGCTCGGTCAACTTTGTTGAGAGGATACACTCACAGTCTCGTCATCTGAGGAAGGTCCGCCTTCAACATTAACAGCGGTGGATGGCTCTGCACCCAGAGGCGGAAAGCTCTATTCAAGGCCCATCGCATCCAACTCTGCACGGACATCAGAAGGTATGGCAGCGATATCCAGATAAGTAGTTCCCCGACTCCTCAACTGTGCCGCTAATGGGCTGGCGGCGCCATAACCTCTGAGAATTCTTGTAAGCTTGCACACTGCTGTACTCCATGTTACCGTCCTCGGAGAGATCCTACTTAACTCACCTGCGATTGTCGCCGGATAGTCTAAGCTATGGTGGATGTAGTTGTCCGCGTAAACGTGATGTAACCGATTTCTTTTGCGGTCCATAGCTTCTTCGAGTGGTTTAAGGTCGACATTGTAACTGCTTGTGGGATGATTTCGACATTGTCTTGTGGGAGTGGGAAAAGAAGTGGTTGCCTTCACTTACTCGCACAGCAGATTTGTTGATCTCAAGATGTTTGTTTTGTATATCATGTTGCCATAGCTGCGAACGGACCTTCACCTCAGCATAATCACCCGAATACGATGCAAACTTTCTCCATCCTGCCAATGGCGCTTCTGCTGAGGGTGAGATACTGATTGATTGCCACAGATACGTTCGGGACTGTCCTGGATGGTACTAGCTGCAAGCACATCCTGTTTGCGGCATGGGGCCGGACATCATACCTTAGCCTATTGCAGCCCTCAGCCACAGAGGTCCCAGTTGCCGAAGCAATTAACATAGGAGCTGGCGTTGATACCGTTGCGATGCCTCTCGCTGTCACAGCCTTTCCCAAAATCTTCCTGCCATCGAAGAAGACTGACTCGCTGAGGGACGTGCTAAATTGATACGTGTAGCTTCAGGTGTGATTTTCCAGGGTTGGCGAGACAATCGCGCCCAACATTGGGTTAGTTCGAGTCTGAAAACTTATGGGATGTGGGTGTTTGAAGCTGCGAGCCAGTAGTTTGGTCATGTTCTACCTACGTAATCTCCTCGTGCCACAGTGTGACGCCAAACACAATACAGTCCATTCTTCGTTCGCACCATCTGATCCCTGAAAGCGCGTAGCAGCTAGAAGGGAAGTCGTGTTAGCGACGGGCATGTGCGGTTGTTTAGATTTTATCGTAGGACAGTTGTGGTGGAGCGAGATGAAGGGAAGCGCAAAGAAGCACAGCCGCACCTTCCTCCACAAACACGATAGCTCGACACCTCAAAATCTACAACCTACTCAGCTTTGACATCGCCTAAGCCGCCGTTAGAATGGCAGCCACCGACGCGTTCACAGGTCTACCCGATCTTATCCGTCAGCTCAATGTAAGTAGCAAGAAGATCAGAGAAGATTCCGGCAACAGACACGAGCCTGAGGCAACACAGATGCAGCTGGTCCGCTTGGAGGAGATGCCTGTCGTCACGAAACCTCGTAAAGAGCAGTATGTACTGGTATTGGTCGACGCACATAGTCACGAGATACGCTACTCCCTTGACAAGACGATGTCGTAAGCCCACTAACACAGCGCAGTTCAGGAACGAACTCATGCAGAGGACGCAAAAACATGCTGGAGTCACCGAGCTGAGGAACCACTTCTACAATGCGGTCCAGGACTATTTTGCCGAGATGGATCTTCACTTTGGCCGCACCTGCCGTATCATCGTTCGCGCATTCACTCACCTCACAGCTGTCTCTAGAGATGCGAGCAACACTCTTCCGTTCTTCACTGTGTGTTACTCGTCTGCGGATCCCTTCTTCGACTTTACCATCGTGTTAAACAGCGAGACCGTTGGGGCTAAGATCACTGGTACGTAACACACTTCCAGGGTCTTCATCACATCGAGTAAAGTACGTTGACTGAGGGTTCCGCAGTGACGTTCGTGGCGGCTACGAAGGACCAGAGTTGCAAGCACATCTTTGCCACAGCCTGGCGACCGCCCGCTTATATCCGTATGCTCAACACAGCTGATGAGAAAACCACCATCATTGAGGGATCTAGCATGCAATTAGAGTTTGACCAAGTTCCGCTACCTGTGCCTTTTACGGCGTTCCCACTTATCTTCAAGATTCAAAGGGCAACGACATTGGTTCGCCAGATCTACATTCTGCAAGCATTAGTGAAGACCTATCACTTGCTGCTGAGCTGAGCTCCCCCGCCGTGAAGGTATAGTCTTTTCATTTCGGAGACGACTGTGAGACTGAGTCATAACCAGGCACCTTGCACCACTACTCGCGATGCTGCAATTCATCTTGAGCCTTCATCACCAGGCGGCGGTATCGGCGACCAGGGCCGAGTCGATGGCCTTCTGCCAAACTCCAAGAACGCCATTACTGGACATATACCCATCAACGGTAACAACGAATCACTAGATATTTACATGCACAGTCTTTGCAAAACTGACTACGACCAGTTCCACAGAGACTACCTACAGGGAAGCAGACAGCCGTGCCGCTGGCACCATCTCGCGAACAAGTGTCGAAGGGGGACAAGTGCTTGTGCGACAATACCGAACTGAACAAGGAAGCAACGAAGGTCCTTCGATACTCGACGGAATGGAATCCTTGTGGCCCCAACTTCCGCATCACTGACTGTATATACGGTCATGTCTGCCAGAACTGGAAGTGTGTGGGTTCAGAGAACGCAAACTGTACGATGAAGTGTTTCATTATGTCGATCCTACAGTCGTCCAATGGGTCGCGGCAGGGGTCAAGTACACACCCTTCTCGCAGGCGGTTGAGGAGCCGTGAACGTGTGGTCAAACAGATGGATGCTTTGGTGAGGAGCTTGAGACTGCAACACGCCGATGCACTCTATCTCTCGTCAGGCGTCACTCGTCAGCACAACAATGTACTTCGCCCTAGTTCAAACTTACTTTGATGGAACTGAAACTTAATCCTCTTACATCGCTTTCCTACTGCGGTCAATGTATGCTGATCTCTAAGACCCGGGTTTCCTTCATTCCCAACAATCTTTCCCCACGAACCACAAAAACCTACACCTGCCCCAAAACTCAATCCCTCGTAAACCGTAACCACAACAAGTACATCCCCACATGTACCACATGAACCACATGTCACTCTTGGTACCGGCGGCAGAATTTCGCCTACCTACCCGCGCCAGATCGCGCACCGCCAAACCTTCCTCAAGGCCACCGCCACGCGAGCAGACGCCGGCCCACCACCCCTAAGACAACTCCCACTATCTGCAAGCAATGATTCATCGTACCACAAGTACATAAACGTGCGGCTCAAGCCGCTGCGAATCCCGGTTGCGGGACGTCTAGCTGCGCAGGCCCTGCGCGCTGATCTGCGACTATGAACATCTTGCAGGAGGCTGCGTAAAAGTAGAAGTTCGTGCATGCGACTTAGGGAAAGTGCGGTGGCCAGCATTATACATTCTATAGATGCGCTGGCAGGATTGTGAGAGTTAATCCTGATCTATGCAATGGCATTCCCGTCGCGCGTTTACGGCAATAAGTGGAGTGCGGGTGGTAGGGCGCCGTGAACGCCTGCCGAGGTGATGTGTGCGGAAGATTCATGATGTGCATGGAGGAAGATTTTTGGCAAGTCGATGAGTTGGGTACGGCCGAAGGGTTGATGTTGGGAGGTGATGGCTTGATGTGGCTGGTTCAACGAGTGTTTTCCGCAGAGCACGTCTTTTCTTCGAATGAGCCGTGTGCGATATCCGACGTGTGGTTGGTAAAGCAAGCAGTGGCTTGATGAGGGCATGGACGTGTTGAGGGAGAACGACATGGCTTGTAGAGCAAGACAGTCGGCAGTAACATGGTCAGGCGACCGACCAGGGTGAACGGATGTGTTTCATCCGATCCTGCGGATCCGGCTTTGCTGTATCTGAGACGTAACCATGGGTAAGCGTCACCGACCAGGTCGGCCTAGATCTGTCAAAGCTCTTCTGTCGCTGTCAGCAGAGACTCTATATTCAAATGCTAGGAGCGAATGGTGTTCGAAGCGTGAGGGTATGGGTATTGTATGGTATGATAACCAAATAATGTAGATACTTCCGTCCGCCTCATGCAAATTGCGTCACTTCTCAGACCATTATGCCCCACCTGGTGATACTGGATACACCCAAATATACATGCACCTTGTCAAAGGTGCGTTCTAGATCTTGTGTCCGTCTCTTTCTTCCAACTATGCGTCTGACCTTAGAAAGACGTCGAACATGCTACGTTGCGCATCTAAACGTGGAACAAAAAAACCAACAACGCCAACCTGCATACCACATATGGTCGTGGAGACGCATGTATATATAATATAAGAAAGCGGGGCGTCAAGCCGGAAGCGCAAAATGGTATGCTATAGTCGCCGAACGCCTCGCAGGAAATTTGACTCGAAGGAAAACGTCGCAAAGGAATTCGTCGAGCCATGGGTAGATGCGTGATCTGGAAGGCCGAGATCATCAGGTGTTGCTGATGATGACTCGCGCACCCTCCTTACCGAGCACACCCCTCTCTTTGGCCTTGGGGCTCCTGTCCCGGCCTTTCTTTCGACTGAGGAAGCCGAGCATGCCTGACGGCTTCTCGGTCTGTGGATTCTGTACGAGCGCAGAGCTCTGGTTAGCCATCTCGGACCATGAGCCGGTGCCGTCGAGGACTACCTGTACGCCACCACCCATGCTGGTGCTGCGCTGCGACCCACGCGGACGGCTGTTCATGGGCCGTGAGAACGAAGGCGTCGTATTTTCGGTAGACTCGGAGGGGAAGTAATCTGCGCGCTCTCCACGTTGCGATGCCTGCGAGCCAGTAGTCGACTTGTTGCCTCGATTCAGGTTGGCTGTAGCAAGTGGAGGACTGCCGTTCGGTGAATGCGTTGTAGATCGTGGGTTGGTCATCGTCGTTGAACGGGTAGGATGGAGATCGCCTTCTTGGGACCTTTGAGTGGCCAATGGGCGTCCCCAGGGATCTTGTTGAGCGGCAACTGGGGCCGGCGCATGGTCGCTGTTGCTCTGGTTGCTGGCTCTTGAACCACCTGTGGAGTCATTAGGGTCTGCAACTACGACTGCTGCAGGCCGTGTATCTGCGACCACAGTGTAATTGAAAGGCTCGAACAGTGTCTCAATCATCTTGTGCAGCTCCTCCGCTCGGATCTCAGCCTCTGTTGCGTCATCTTTCAGTGCTTCTCTAGGCTTCTGCCTGCGTGCTCGTGCTTCTAGCGGCGCCTCTTCCAACAACAGCTCCTCGAGATCGTATGTTGCGTCAAAGTTTGTCTTGTCGCTGGACGGAATGAAAACGGGAGTGATCTCTTTGGCTTCCAGCGCAACGAAATCGATAGGGCGGAAGAATGGGTTGTCGATGAACGATTCGAAACCAATAGCACCAATCCTCCTCGTACGGTCTTTCTCTAGCAGTGAGCTTATCGCGTGTAGACAGGGCATCGAAACGGGAGGGCTGGTGACGGGGTACGTGGGCTCTCCTTTCGAGATCTTGGCGGCGAGGGAGTCGTGGCTGCTGGCCTCGAAAGGCCGCTGTCCTCATTAGCTTTTGACTAGCGTCAACTTGGAAATAGTACCCACCTTGTTGTAGATGCACTCGTAGAAAAGCACACCGAGTGACCACCAATCGACCTCACACGAGTATCCCTTGCCCTCGTACACTTCAGGAGCCAGGTATGCGAGGGTTCCAGACTTGCTGGTGAGCGGCTTGTGCGGGGTGAAATCTGAGGCAACATTCTGACGCTTGTTAGCAACACGATCAAAAGCCTGGCCAAGCTCGAAGAAAAACGTACAAAATCTGCCAAGTGGACGTGTCCGTCCGAGTCCAGCAGCACATTGTCAGGCTTGATGTCCCTGTGCACAATGCCTTGCTGGTGAATGTATCGCACGGCGCATCCAAGCTCAGCCATCCAAAACCGTACTGCTTCCTCGGTGAATGTCTTCCTCGAGATGTGGAACCGCAGGTCGCCGCCGTTCATGAGATCGACTACGATGTATCTGCCCTTCATCAGCCTCGCTAAGGTGCCTGATCATCCTGTCTTCACATACAGATATTCGATGTCCTGGAAGCTGTAACGCAAGTTACACAGGAAAGGGTGGTTGAGATGTTCGAGCATCCGTCGCTCCCGAATAATATTTCGGACGCTCTCTGACCGTACGACTGTGACACAGCGTCAGCATTCACGTCCCTGGTCGGCGTGAGGGAGTGCAGACAAACCTTCATCTTTTCTTATGTACTTGAGCGCAAATGTGAGGCCAGTGTCTTTACGCTCGACAATGCGCACTTTGCCAAAGGCTCCTTTGCCTACGACTCGCAGCAGCCGGAAGTGGTTGAGGTTCACTGTATTGTTGTGGTCAGGCTCGTTCGCTCGTGCTTCACCTCATGGCAGGTGCAGATCAAATGCAGGGCCTGCAGCACCTCAGAACAGCACAGAATTACGCACCTTGGTCGGTGAACACCACGGGCTTGCCGTTACTCTGACCCATGGAGGGCTACAATTGGAATGGGTGTGGGCGTCCTTAATTATGCATTCAGACAGGCGTGGGAGGGCGAGGATGTTGCGGGCGCGGGGACAAAGGTCGTCTTCGCCGTCGGCGTGGTGGGCAGGTCGAGCGAGCGGCAGCCAAGGCAGGGTTCCGCGCGAACACAGGGCTCTTTATGTTTCTCAACACCACAGAACGCGGACTGTGTATGCACGATACAGCGTGTAGGGCTGAGGCAGCGGGCAGAAGTTGCACGGAGAGCCTCGAAAGGAGGCACGCAGTTTTGAAGCAGCACGTCTCGTCGGCGTGGCCCAGGGCAGCTAGCTTCGGCGGGCGTGCTTTTGGTTCTTTGGCCAGTACGCCAGCACTTCAATGCAGTTCCACACCCTTAGTGCAGGTGGCGCGCCGTAGGGAAGGCCGGCCACGTTTTGCGCTGCCTCCGCCGTGAAGAATGAATGGCAAACGGCGCTAGGGCCCGTCAGGAGTCAGCAACCCTGTCGCCTGTGTTTCTGCGATATCTCAGGCGAATGGATCGAAGCGCATGCTGATCTGTGTTGCCCCGTGTAGCTGGCAAGCGCGGCAGTCACATATCCAGTGACCGCTGGGGGAGCATTGCAAGTACCGACAGTCGTATCTTAAGATGGGCTATACGTGTTCTGCCTGGAGATCATCAGGGCGACGACATGGTGCAACGTTATCTCAGGGCCCTCAGACACCTCATTAAAGTGCACGTTTGCTAGACGCAGTGTGGGAACCACACGGATCATCTCCACGCAGACGGAGGACCCAGGGCTGACGTGCACGACAGGAGCGACTCGTTCTGGAAGGAAGCTTCCATGGCTGCATCTCACACACCGAGAACAAGCACAGTCAGCGTCGGCGCCACACACCAACAGAGGTCCTCTGCTGCAACACGTCGAGTTGCTCCAGCGCCATTCACACCCCAGCTGTCACGAGACATCGGCGAAATCCCACTGATCAGACGTCGTCTTGCTCCCGTCTGATCTGCGCCAGGCCTGCCACTTTTAAAACACAACAATGAAGAGGGACCACCGTGCAAACATGGCTCTCTTTGACGGGCCGGGTTACAATCTCCTCCACCTCGCACAACCGGACGTCTGCTGTGCTGATTCATCTCGCTCAGTTCCTCTCCATCAGCCTCTGTTTCTGTTTCTCTCAAACTACGCGAACGCCTGCATGTGGGCCGGTGCAGAATGTCACTTACCCGCAAGCCTCTCCGCTGGCGCAGATTCGATCTTCTTTTCTCTTGCGTTTCGACCCACTCTCTTCTCTGCATCTTCGGCCCGATCAGAAACGGTAGAAGCACGCGAAGATGTGGAAGGCTTGCGGCTTTGCTGTTCCCGAGAAGCTACAAATGCTTTCTGTACCACAGAAGGGCAAGCACCAAGACCAAGTCCTGCCTCAGGCTTGGTGATTGCACTGTTCATCGAAAGTTAAGAGATGGAAAAAGTGCAGGCTAACCGGGCGAGCTCAGCAGTGACACCTTCTAGACCTTTTTCCACACACGACGTCAGTTTTCACATGGCGTACCACTGAACGTGACACATGCACAATTTCGTCAACACCGCGTGACATGAAACGGATCAGCCACAGCTGTTCAGGCTGTTTGCTTCCCCCGGACGCCAGACCAACGGATCGCTGGACACTCACATCTACAAAGCTACTCAGGGGTAAGTGCCGGTGACATTGCATTGTCGTAGTTGGCGCTACGTTTGATGTTGTTCGATCTCACATCTTCTGCCATTCTTACAACACAAATTCCTCCAAGAACCTCGCGATTCAGTTTTTCTACGTCGGAGCATTGTCTCCCGTAGTGCATCGCATGCCGTTGTGTGCTACGAAATCTATTGCTGCGAGTGGAGCTCAGGCACACAGATCTCTACTCGGCGGTACGATCCCAGTTCGTTATAGTGCTACGTTCGCAGGGTCTTCATCACACAAAGCGGTTACACGGAATATCACAGAGTAAGTCAAGGCGGCCTCCGAAACTTTCTATAGTGGAGAAAGCGCGAGAGGTGAAAGTCGAATCGATTTCGTAGACACTTTTCGCCGGGTCGAGATGGGAGGGGTATCTTCGGATACCGCTCAAGTAGGTTAAAGACATGTTCTAGAGGACTTCCAGATGCCACAAACATGTATGACAGTACGCTCACGCGAAGCTACTGCATCTCGGGAAGTGTTGCACGGAGCATCAGAGCAGTTGTCTGCTTCCATCAGTCATCGTCACCTCCTTGCGTCGAGCTACACTGCACCCTCACGTCACGTCAGGACGATCGAGCATCGTAAAATCGTACGGACATTCGAACACGGGAACCATCAAGACTCCTCGAATTAAGGCATTGATGGAGATTCAATTGAGTGTGCCCTTACTGAAAGGACTCGCTTAACCACACCATTGGTTACGGCACGCATTCACCGCGAACGACACTTCACGAAAAGTTGAAGCACCGTTCCATTGACCCGAGCCCTTGCTGCCGGGCTCCTAGCTGCGGAAAGTAGTACTGTGCCTCTCCCAAGCATGCAACGTTGCAGCTGTGACCGTCTATTGTCCAGTCGTCTGGATTCAACGTCTCACACTGGAGCATTACATGGCGAGGACGTGCACCCACACACAATCTGTGCTCTGCTGTTGCTACGGCGTGCGCGTCGTATTGGAACACCATCACTCTTGACCGATCACTGTCATCACTCCGAGTTCGAGACTTTCTGCCGTGCAGTAAGTCGATTCTGCCTACAGGCCTTGCATCGGTGTCTAGCATTGCTCTTGTCTCAAGTCCTGCTTGGTTCCATGTCAGCCCGAGATGGAGAATGCAGAAGGCGTATGCACCGTCGCGAAACTCGAAACTTTCCGGTGCCCATCCTGCATCTCCCAATCATGATTTACCAAGGTTAGGTACAATACATCCTTCGAACACTGCATCGTGAACCCCATCGAACATGGCGCTCACTCAAACACATGCGAGGCGGATGCAACGGAACTCAACAAACGCCAATGGCTTTCCGATCGATGCGAGGGAGAATTTGCAACCATCGTAGCTTCTTCCACGAGTGTTGTCGTTGCTATTTGTGGAACGTCGACCTCGGTCAGAACAATAGACTTTCTGCCCAGCCTTGCACAACGTCTACAACCTTACAAATGTCAACGTCGCTTAGAGGCACATCAAGCGCCAATGCACGTCAGATGTGCGAACCCCGGAACCCACGAGGATGTGTTCGAGAAGCATGATCCTGCGCCTTGCCTCTGCGGGAAGGTCGCACGTTGATCTCTACACTACGAAGTTGGCAGTTCCGGTAGCGACCTGCTGTGTACCCATCCTGCTACACGACACCCGGCGCCATGGACATGCACTCGATATCGTTTCAGGCGAGTATACACCCACGCAGTTGTTCTCGCCGAGGCGTCGCAGAGCGTGGATTGGCGTTGTTTGTAAGATTAAGCCAGCATAAGCACGAACAGTTCGACTGCAAGACCATATCGTCTAACTCAATAGTCCTTCGAAACTGCATCGAAGAACTACAGCGCACGCGTCTCAAAGCCTAGAAGAGCAAATGTTACTCCACCACGCCCTGCATCGAGCAACCTCAAAGCCTGGCCCTCACAGTTCCAGCCTCTACAAGGAGTGCAAGGGTTCGATGCTGCACCGCCACGTCCTCGTATCGGTTGCCCACCCAGGCAGCACAACGCCTTCTCGCGATGCAGTCTGTCGCCGCTACGTATGGTGTGTTAATACCCGTACGCCGTCATCAGCTCGCCGACCACGTCCGGTGCACGAAAACGTGGGCGGCATGCCGATGGCCGGTGTTGTTTGCACCACGTAGCGCTGCAGAAAGGAGCATGTGCGCAATATGCGGCTCTACACCCGATGCCTTGGGCGAGAAGGATTTTTGTGTGCAGAGCTGCTGTGCACTGGATTGCCGTAGCACCTTCCTAAGACGTTCAATGCTCTGGTCGAAAAGTATGAATCGCCGAGGTCTGGCAAGTCGAGATTTATCAAGAGTTGTTGAAACGAAAGTATTGGGGAGGTTGATGATTGGAGCCCTTCGCCAACCTCCTGCTTTGCCTCACTATCAGCTATTTATTCCACCGCGGCGGACACAACCACTACATGGTCAACTAGACCCCAGTACGCAAGTACGCTGCACTGACTTTCTTCAAGATAGAGTCCCCCAGGACACCATCAAGGTAAGGCGGCTCTTGCATATTCGGATGACATTTCAAATGCGATCAAAACAGTCTCATACAAAGCCAACTAATCAACGAAAAGCACCACTCGCTGGCACCGGGCAACCATCACTGCAAGCGAGCAGCGCATGGAACTAAGCTGATGCTCGCATTTACCACGAGCGGAACAGAGACAATTGGCTGTAGGCCCGTGACGCGTAGGGTGGTATCCTCCAATCTGGCCTTCTGACAAAGTAGAGGTAACACTGAACATCTGACACCTAAATGAATGCTCTCCACTCAAGGCTTCAGCAGCATACATCGAGTCAATAGCCGAGATCTGCCCACACTTGCTGAAGCGCGCGTCCACAGCTTGTTCAATGCGATGCAAGCTACGTTACGTACATGCACATTCGAGTCTGTAGGTCAGTCATAGGCGGGTGATTGAGTCAAATTGAGGATGTGAGCTGATGGTTGCTGCCTTGCATGGCGCGCCGATCCAGCGATAGATGCAGGGTGCCTTGCAACAGCCCTATGAGCGCACGCAACACAAGCAACACTCTGTTGATCATGTCCAATCGTTCCTGGAACTCTACCAGGAGTTGTGATTTGTACCTTGGTCATCGTTCTGTCGCCGGGCAATTGCCGCACGATCCGACAGGCGCTGGTAGGATGCATCGCAGTGCACATTTCCACCGCAGCCTGGCCTCAGACTCTCGAGACAGGTGCATATCCTAAAAGGTTCAGTCTAGCGCCAACTGTGGAGTGCGGAGTGAAGGAGTCGTGAACCATGGTTCGGGAGATTTGTTATCGACCCGCAGCGGACGGCCCAAGCTTCGCTTCCATAGCCGCAACCACTTCAAGCCCTCGACATGCAACTCACAACATGCACTCAGTCGACTGTCTGAGCACTGTCCGCGATGAATGGGGTGAAACCACGGACGCACGGTGAACTGCGCACGGTGGAGCAGCTTCTTACACCGTCATCGACGCCTGAGCCTGACGATCTGGCATTGCTGGACGGCCAGCGCAACATGGTCGTAAAAGACGATGCATATCTGCAAGATGTGTCGAACCTGCGTAGTCCCGCCTTAAGTGGCGCCTCTACCAGCAGGAGGACAAGCATGCACGAGGAGGCTGTGCTGTCCGACACGAGCGAGAAGACACGACCCATCAAGCGCCCTGGCGACGGCCGCAGGAAGAGCAGCGTGTCTGAGCACGACAAGGTCCTCAAGCTCAGCCCCCGTCAGATCCAGGAGCTCACAAGCACGCCGGCGAGCATTCCTATTCGTACTGCAACACCAATCCCCGAAGACGCTCTCGAGAGCGAGACACCTGGAGAGGACGAATCGAGCGAGGGGCATCGTGTGCTGGGTGTGGTCCTGGAGAGGCCTACACAGCTGACGCACATGCGATCAACGAGCGGCGAAAAGCAGCAGAGGAGCTCCCGTAGCCCTCAGGGGCGGCCGGAGAAGGAGACGGAGATAGTCGTGCTGAAGACGCCTGCCGCAGAGCTGAGGCATGGGCGGCCAGGCATGAACTCGAGATCAGTCACAACGCCCGTCATTCGCAGGACGAACTCGAGCACGCGATCGCGCGCGCAGGCGACACAAACCCATGAGAGGGACGGAAGGGAGGAGTGGAGAGACGACCGGAGGCAGGAGAGGCTTGCTCCTTCGCCGCTCTTGGAACCTGCGCCAGCACTGCCCTTGCCTCCCATGTCTATGCCGACTTTTTTGTCACTGGAGCTATCAGCTGGTCGCCCATCTCCGCTGTACATATATCGACCGTCGAACGGTGACTTTCCATACGAGTCCTCCGCTATCAAGTACGAGCGCTTGCTCAACTTCCTGCAAATTCCCTACCAGGTCGAAGGCGTGCTAGCTTTCGGCGCTCTCGCATGTCTCGACGCCTGGATGCATGTCATGACCATCCTTCCACTACGTTTTCTGCTCGCTGTGGGCGTGCTGACCAAGTGGTGGGGCTCGGTCATCGTCAGGGAGTTTCGCGATCTCTCTGCCTTTATCTACAGTGGTTTGCCGAGGGTATGGCAAAGACGAAGGAACACTGACACTCCAACACCCGCCGCAACTCCAGCAGACGAGTACCCACCCTCACTGTCTCGTAGGCCGTCTGGCAACGTATCCCAGTCGGTCAATTCAGCAGCGGCCAGGCAGAATGGCGAGATGGTGACTACCTTCAAATTTCCGGACCTGAAGGAACCCAAGCCCAAGCGTAGCCGCAACTCGCGCTTTCGCCATCGGCGGACCAAGTCCACTCCGTCTCTGCTTCTTCCAAACCACAAGGCAGATATTCTCAAAGGCTTGCTGGTAGTCTCCAGCTGCTTTGTCCTGATGCGCTTCGATGCAAGTCGCATGTACCATGGTATTCGCGGTCAGTCTGCGATCAAGCTCTACGTCATCTACAACCTTCTTGAGGTTTGCGACCGTCTGCTGTCGGCCCTCGGGCAAGACATCCTCGAGTGCCTCTTCTCCCGCGAGACACTCGATCGAAACCCTGATGGTCGCAGCAAGGTCATCCGTCCGTTCTGGATGTTCTTGCTCGCGCTTGTGTACACCGTGGTACATGCTACAGCGCTCTTCTACCAAGTCATTACCCTGAATGTTGCCGTCAACTCCTACTCGAATGCGCTTCTGACTCTACTCATGTCGAACCAGTTCGTCGAGATCAAGGGTACCGTATTCAAGAAGTTCGAGAAAGAGTCGCTATTTCAGATCACCTGCGCCGACGTTGTGGAGCGCTTTCAACTCTGGCTCATGCTTTTGATCATCGCCATGCGCAACATGGTCGAAGTAGGCGGCCTAAGCATCCAAAGCAGCGCCACCTCCTGGACCGCCATGTTCACCGGCAGCAGCAACACCACCTCCACCACCTCCACCGCCTCCTTCGCTGCCTCAAGCATCATCCCCATGAGTTTCACCATCTTCCCAAAATACATTGCGCAGGTCCTCAACCCCTTTCTGCTCGTCCTCGGCAGCGAAATGGCCGTAGACTGGCTCAAGCACGCATACATCACCAAGTTCAACCAGACGAAACCCCAGGTCTACGGCAAGTTTTTTGATGTTCTTGCGAAGGACTATTACTCCAATGCTTTCAGCGACCCGAACTTGACGCGCCGTCTTGGGCTGCCGGTTATACCGTTGAGTTGCCTCTTCATCCGGGCGGCGATACAGACGTACCATATGTTCATCGCGACGTACATGCCGCCGCCCATGCCCTCGTTCTCGACCAGCCTGACGTCAGAATCGACATCGAGCCCCACCACGACTGCGGCGCTTGCACACATCGACCATGTCTTCCGCCGCGCGCTGGGCCGCTCGTCGTTCGGCGCCGGCGTCACGAAATCCTCCTGGCTCTCCCTCCCGTCCTGGACGCTCGACGATCTGATCGCCGGCAGCACCATGCTCATCGTCTTCCTCATCGTCTACCTGATCTTCCTCGCGTTCAAACTGCTGCTCGGCATGTTTCTGCTCACCGTCGCGCGGAAGCGGTGTCACGGGATGAAAGAGCGAGAGATGCTCAACGTTGAGACGGGCGGGAAGAGGATCGGCGGGTGGGGCGTTGTGGATGTGGATGAGGAGAAGAGGAGGTATATACACCACGATGATCCCGAGGGGTTGAGGAGTTTGAGGGAGAGAGATGAGAAAGGCAAGAAGAAGGAGGAGGTGGAGAGGGAGAGGGGGACGAGTTTTGGACATGTGTCGAGGTATGCTATGGTTGCTAAGAGGATTTGGTAGATAGCATACGCACCCACTCGCGAATACAAAATTCAGAGCTGATTTTTTTTTAAAAAAGCCAGCGACTCCAACGTAGATGTCACGCATGAGAAACTGTTAACTGGTATCACATTCGCTGCAAAGTACGCTCGCTGATGCTAATGCTTCTGCGCGTCGTCGCCCACACGATACCCTCGCGCTATCCCACTCCTCCCCTCCTCCATCTTCGCCGCATGTGCACTCCCGCTACCGCTACCACTACCACTACCACTCTCCTCGCTCTCAGGGTTGTTGTAGTCGCTCCCCAGACCGACCCACGTCCTCTTACTCCTCAAAAACTCTGCACCGGGCGACACTACGCCGTTCACAGACGCCAGTGCACCGTTTGCACGTTTCGTCAGCGCGTTCGATGCTGGTGCAGACCCCGTCGCATCGTCGGAAGAAGATGGCTGGACGGATCTCCGGGTGGAGGTGGGCTGTTGCATGGGTCTGCTGTGCGAAACGTAGCGGCCGGTTCTAAGGTCGAATTCCGGGGGCGCGGATTCTTCTTCGGAGTCGTAGTCGCCGTCGCGGTTCAGGTCTTCGGTGGCTTCCTGCTCATTGGTCCTGTTTGTGCCGTTCGTCGTCGTCGTCGCCGTCGTCTTCTCCTCGGCCCTCTGTTCTCTCGCCTTCTCCTCGGCCTTCTGTTCTCTCGCCTTCGCATCGTCCAGAATCGCAGTGAAGTCACCGCTCCACTCGCCCGTCCAGACTCTGTTGGTATCGTCTTGCAACGCAATCTCCAACTCAAACGGCGTGATCAGCGGTCGCCAGAAATCTTTCGACTCGATAAGAGACGACTCCCAACACCCAATAACCACCCACCCCCCGACCTCGCTGAAATTCGCGACTTTCGCTGCGTTCACCTTCCCCACGACAAACGTGTAGGATTTCTTCCCCGCGGCGGCAATCGTCTTCTGCACGTGCGACAGGATGCTCATGTAGTTCTTCACACTCAGCGTGTTGATCAGGATCCCGAAGACGGGGGTTGTGGAGAGCGAGGTGCACAGCGCGTACCGCCGACGCAGGGTCATGCGCGTATTTGCGGCTTCGGCGGTTGGTGCTGTTGCCGCTGCACTCGGTGTAGTAGGATATATGTGCGTTGAAGCTACGCGGGAGGAGAGGGTGAGGAGGAGGGAGGTCGGGGGCGCGGAGATGTGGAAGAGGGCCCAGTCGAGCAGGGCGCTCTTGTCATTGGATGTGTCCGGTGGGGTTGTGCGGTTTGGGAGGGGCGAGGAGGGGTTGTGGACGACGGATGTGGGGAAGAGAGAGGTGTAGCCTGCTTCCTCGAGGCGCTTGTGCAGGGCTGGGATGTGGTGCGAGTACGGTATGTCGGCCATCAGGATGACTTTGTGCGACTTGTCGGGATACGTGGATTGAAACGTCGTCATGGTCTGTTCGAGGTCGAGCGGTCGTTCGGTGAAGACGTATACGACGGGCAGTCTTGAAGCTGGCGAGAGACATGACCGTCCATAGTGCACCACGCAGTCTGCATCGACGTGCTCAGCTGCCACCTCATCGACACAGCATGCGCCGTAGGACGTGTCGCCAAGAATGAAGAGCCTCGCTTCCTCCTCTTTGTTCTCCTCCAAGCCCGCGTTCGTCTCCAGCTTCTCGCGCAGCGCACCAACAGCCGCCGTCCCATTCTGCTGGCCCTCAATCGCACCTGCACCTCCAGTTTGCGCCTTCTTCGCCTTCGCCAGTCCGCGACTCAGCTGCTCGAATACCCTTGGCGCATCCGCGAGCATGTGATCCGGAAACTGCAGCGCGATCCTGTTCCACCTTCCATCTCGTATCTCCTTCACTGTGCGCTCAATCTCGTACGTGATCGCAATCTGTTCGTCGGGCAGTCGCGGCACGCCCGGGCTGTCGACGGCAGGCGTCGGCTCTTCGAAGATGTGTGTGTCAGGCGTCGAGAGGACAGGCGCGCCTGCCAGAGCTGGCACTGCCATCTTGGCGGCAATGTTTGTTTGGGAGGGGGGCAAACGCGATGCAGCGCAGCAGTGTGAACAGCTGGCGGGCGGAGCTGGAGACGGCTGTGAGCACGGGCGGCTCGTCTGGCATGGTGGGTGTTAGGGGGGGAGGGGGGGGGAGGGGGGGGGCGTGAATGCCGCAACTCGAAGCCTGGCGGGGTCACGCCTGGGAAACTTTTTGGGCGGGGCTCGCACTCGGCTGACCAACACGCAACCACCGAAGAGCCGCATGCAGGGATCACGACTCAGCAGTAACATCTCATGTGATTGGGCAGTGGATTCGATGGTTGTTTTTGAACTTTAGATTATATAGCAGGGTATACATGGAGAAGATGGATAGATGGTATCACACTGTCGAAACGCAGGGTATGCAAAACTCTAGATCGAAGAAGATGCAACAGGCCGTGTCAGCCTTGAGAGACGGTTTAGATCATGAGGTATCCAGAAACGGCCGCTACCAGAGCGAAGCCGACAGTGCTGGGTGAAAACTTGCCAACGCCGCTGTCCTTGGTGGACGCCTGAGAGTTGCGCAACTGCGGGAAGTAGGGCTCAGAGGTAGTGGCCAGCGTGCCGTTCCAGCAGTAGTCGGTGAAGCACTGCTGACACGCATCAGGAACAGTCTCGCCGTTACGCTCCAAACTCCTAGAGAGGATGGCACAGGCAACGCACGTCGGCCAGGTCGACGCGCCCTCGCGAGTCGAGTTGGCCTGAGTAACGACATCGTAGCCGTTCTGGATCATAGAGTTGCGCTCGTCCAGTGTGTAGTCAAGCTTGCCGAAAGTCGACGTGTTGGATTCGAAGCTGTAAGGAGAGTTGGGGAGGTAGACGATGAGAGGAGGGATGTTGTCACCCGAAGTAACGTTGCTGCTGTTGCATCCAAAGAAGGTGGGCCTGTTGTTGAGGCCGAGAGCAACAAAGGTATCGTGACCAGGGATGTAAGGGAACGAGGTCCTGTTCATGATGGCTGTCTCAGCACGCTCGAAGGTCGCGATAAGCGCGGTACCGTTGGGGTAGTTCGGTGCGGAAGGCTCGATCGTGTCTGCAGACGAATCGACGGCGAAGATGACATCGACGTTGCGCATAGGCTGAATGACAGGGTTCAGGGGGATGTTTTGAAGATCCTCACCGCCGTCGACCAGCGTAAGGCGCTCATGGTCGAAGCTAGGGTTGGTATCGTTGTGGAAGCCGTAGAACGGGTTGGGTGTGTAGTCGGCAATGTCGTCGTGGTCCTCTCCAATGTGTGTCAGGACACTTGTGATAACGCTTGTCAGGAAGTCAGGGAGATCAAAGCTACCCAGGCTGAGGAAGATCTGGTTGAACAACGACGAGCTAGTGCCCATGATGAAGCCTAGGTTATCAAAACCGGCGACACAGCCGTCGTTCTGAGGAAGCGCTCCGTTGGAAAAGTTGGATCCAATGTACTTCAAAGGCGCAAAACCATAGGTGGTGGGGTCGAACGAACCCATCTCGAACGGGTTGAACTCAAAAACGGTGGCATTCAAAGAAACGACAATATCGCCAGGAGAACGCTCATCGGCAACCAGAATGGGCATGGGAGCCTCGCCATTGGAGAATGCCTGGTCATCCTGGATGGAAGAGAACGTATACGCTGGAGCACCATCGCTAGCGTTGATGAGCTGGAAGGAAAGTCCGCGGCCGTAGTAATCGGTGATGGAAGAGTTGAAATCTCCTGCTGATGAGTCGACCTTGTCACTAACTGTGCTAACCAAGTTGTGGAAGTAGTCAGCTGTGGAGAGCAGCTGGACGCCACCCGTTGGAGGACCCTTGAAGAGGGAGTTCTGGAACTGCCAGATCTCGGTTCCTTCGCCCTTGTCTTGAATGCTCTGCACACTTGTGAAATTGTTCGCATAAATACTGCCAATCATCCAACCTCCACCAGACAGGGCTGAAACGTATGTGGCGGACTGAAGCAATCCTCCAAGGTGCCCACTGCTCGTTGCATTTCTTGTGCGGTTATCGAACGCAGACAAGGCACCCGCACCGTTCAACAGCGCACGGTAGCCTCCACCAGAGAAGGAGATAGCAATGTTCGGTAATGCAGTCGTGTTGGCACGGTGGTTCTCGATGTATGCGCTGGCGTCGAAGTTAGGAATGTTGGCACGCGACAAGAAATCCTTCATTGGGTCCACTGTGTTCGGCCTCCTCTTCTGCAACCACGATGTTTCCGAGTCGGAAAGCTTGTCTGCAGATCGAATGCTAGGTCGTGTAGACGGGCAGTCGACTATGGCAGGCGCATAGCCCTTAGGCGCCTGTGGCGTCGCACGCTTCACAGAATCCAAGGCATAGTCGACAGGTGCAACTCTTCGAGCTTCAATAGCGTGACGAGCCTCGATAGCAGAAGCTGTGACCAGGGTTAGCAAGGATTGCGCATATGTAACGGCAAACAACGTACAGCTAGCTAATGTTGTCAAGGCCGAAGCCGTAAGAAAGGAGGTGTACTTCATCTCAGGCTAGAGTAGAGACAAATGGTATTACTTGAGAAAGGAAATATGCAGAAGAAGGGAACCCTCCAAGAAATACCTATGAACGACAGTGGAAGAGAGCGGCGGAATGATTAATGCGGCAGTGTTTCATTGCCAACACCGGATGAGCTAGGAGAGATCTGACCTCATCGAGACTAGGAAGACGAACCTGGCGTGGCTGGGGTTCCTGATCGTCATCCCTTCCACTTATTTTTGGGCTGCTTTCTCATCCTAGTCGTGTGCCGCGGCACATTACTCCCACCCTTACTCGCCTCATGAGCCTTGCTGTCGCTGATACTGAGCCAGTTGCTAACTCTGGCAATGGTCGCGTGCTGCCCTACGGTGAGAGCCAGGCACAGTTGCGGCGTCTCGTTTCGAATGCAAGGAGCAAATTGCATTGCATTGCGAAACGTTCGGCAACCGGTAATCGTAGCGCAAGGAACGCGCTGAGCTTACTTCAGCTGGGCGTACTGGGGCGCTTACCCTGTGGCTGTGACACCGCAAGAGAATACGAAAACTGCAGTTCGTGGAGCTGAACCACTCGGACTTCGCGCTCTGACCCGTGAAGGACATGCTCCGGTAAATTGCACCCATAGGAGTGGACATTGCACAGACTTCCATTTCGGAGTTGTAAATTTGACGACTGATCAGACGTTCACCAACAACGCTCACACACCGACACGGTGCTGAGGCTGATAACGCACGAGAGCAACTACTGCCGAAGCAGCTATGACGGCGTTGTTCGTTACCGTACAAAAGTGTCGAATACCGGCGGTTCCGAAACACAGGCTATGACGCTGTTATGGGGACGTTGGATTTTGCGGCGTTGCAAAAAAGTTTGGCGCTACAGGTGGCAGCTGTGTTGTGAAGAGCTATTGATTGATTGATTGGGTCAACGTCCTATCTGAGTCTGAGACTATGGAAGACGAGTGTGAAGAGCTGTGATTAGCTTCGTTCGCGGACGAAGAGTGCTTGACACAGTCAGCGTGCTAAACGAGTATACGAGGACAATACGATAGCATCCCTTTGGAGTGCCGCAGCCCGACGACAGTGCTCCGCCAGGGCGGGATTTCCCTCCAGGCTGCATGCCCTTCGCCATGGCCAAGACGCATTTGCACAAGTATACTTCGTTACTCCAAGATCGATACGCGTTGACGATCTGCCGAGTGAGTCCGTAGGATGCATGTGAAGTTTATTGACTGTGGGCCGCCCGCGGGCGGGTGACCGCAGGTTCCGTTCCCGAGCATCAGGAAGTGACGTCCAAATCGAACCAAGGAATTGCAGCCACGAGACAGCTGCATCTCAAACCAGAAAACGAACAAACACCACTTGTACATTACCTCGTCGTCGAGCACCTATCTTGTGCGCTCCTCTTGTAGTTTTCTCGCCACAACAATGGCAATTCATGCGTACGTCTGATGATCCTCAGCAAGCATTCATTGCTTCTATGGCAGGCGAACAATGACACATCAGCTTCGCAGCTCTTGCCTGGTACACATGGTTTAGCAATCCTTTTCAGGTAGGTAAACCTTAGAAGGCAGGATGAACGATGAACAAGCAGTCTTCACGGACAGAGCACATGCTTCAATATGCAGACCGTAGAGCGGGTCAATTGACTTCTAGGTATCAGTAGCCTTCAATGCGGCGTTAAACAAAACGCGGTTCACTACTATAGACTTCGATGCTCATTACCGCACTTCGAGACAGCACGCAAGATGCCTCCACAGCAGCTCACCCTCGTCCGCCACGCCCAAGGCTTCCACAACCTCAACATCAAAGTCCACCAATTCCACGACCCCAGGCTGACCCTTGAAGGACAGCAGCAATGCAGAGACCTTGCCTGAAAGCTTGGGGACATGTAATCCATCGATTGCATAGTCGCTTCACCACTCCGTCGAACATTGCACACGGCACTCCTCTTCTTTGAGGAGCTGCTTCAGTTTAAACCTGATCTGCGCATCATCGCTTACCCAAATTGCAGGAAACTTCAGATTTACCTTGTGATATTGGATCGCCGGGTATCGAGCTGGAGAGAGAGTTCGATGGCATGCCTATAGATCTCTCACCCGTGCCGCTCGATTGGACAGGCAAGGTCACTGGTATATTCACACCTCAGAGCGACTGAATTGCTGCGAGGTGCCGCAAAGCCCGGCACTTTCTAGCTAGTCTGCAAGCCAAATACGTCGCTGTAGTGGCTCATGGCGCTGTGCTGCACTACTTGACTGACGACTGATACGGTGCCACAACTGGCATCGGTACGTGTCTATTCACTTTCCTAATAATCAATACTGATACCGAAAGGCACTGGTTGGTATAATTGTGAAGCTCGCATGTACCGTTTCGGCACATCGACAGACTCCAATATCGTCGACGCCGCAAGTGTCGAGACAAATGAATCGCGATTGAACAGAACCTTGACCGCGTACCGCTTCTTGAGAGAACAACAGCTGGAGATGAAGGAGGCTGAGGCTTCGTGGGCGGCTGATGGCTACATCGTGCTTTCAGACGCCAAGACTAAAGCTGCCGCTGAAGCAAAGATCGAGACAGAACCCAAGCGTGGTAAAAGGATAGGCTCAAGGCCGAAGTTGAAGGTCAAACTGTATGGACCAAAGTGTTGCATACTTTGAATCCGGTTCGTGATTGCGACGGTCTCTGAACGTAAGTAGCCCTCAATGCGTATGTCCTCCTTGAAAATGTAAGCCTCCAAACAGCATGCTTGAACCAACTTTCACATGTGTAAGAACGATGTTGAGAAAGAGTGTGAAGGAAGGAGTGTAGCATTCCTGTTTACTTTCACAGCCGAGGTAAAGCGCTAGCGCCATCCGGATCAGTTATCGACAAGGTAAGCCCGACTTCACTATCCCGAACACCAAATCATCTTACGCTCGCAACTCCCATTCTGTACAGATCTTTGTACAAGTTTGTTCTAGTTCATCGTGATGGCAGACACTCCTCCAAAGTCATTCATAGAACAACTTGCCTTCAAACAGCTAGGAGAGAACACATGGACTACACTACACCCACCCCAACGTATGGGCAATGCACTACCGATTGCATATGGTGGCTATGCACTCGCCGTGGCATGTAAAGCTGCTTGCCTTTCTGTCCCAGAAGGGTATCACGTTTACTCGTTTATGGGCAACTATCTTGGACCAGCCATCACCGACCGCCCACTCCGCGCAACTACGAAAACAATCCGACAAACGCGCACTTTCGCAACACGGCAAGTAGAAGTCAGTCAAAAGCAGGATGACGGGAAGTTAAGAATGTGTTTGTTCGCGTCTGCAGACTTCCAAGTCAGGGAGAAGGGCAGCATGTTCGAATACTCCCGCCCACCGAGCAAGACGTACAGCAACCATATGAGCGTACCTTCCACTCTCGAAGTCGCGTCCGACCTCTTCGCTAATGGGAAGATCGATAAAGGCACCCATGACGCTTTCGTCAAAGCCTTCTCCGTTTCGGCCTCGCTCTTCGATGTGCACCCCTGCCCGGAAGGCATATTCGCCCAAAACCTCTCCGGCATCGCAAAAACGCTTCCCCACAAACAAGACCACCTCCCTTTGACCTCGCGCACAACCGCAGACTGGTTCCGCTGCTCCACCGCACTCTCCAACCCAATCGACCACCTCGCAGCCCTCACATTCTACAGCGACGGCGCACTCAGCTTCTGCCCGCTGAGTTTCAGCCACTTGTATCTCGACGACAGCGCCGCATGTTCAAGTCTAGACTTCGCATTGAGGTTCTTCAGGGAGGTCGATGTGAATCAGTGGCAATTGAGGGAGATTAGTACGAATGCGGGGAGTGAGGGGAGGACATTTAGTGAGTGCTGGATTTGGGATGAGGAGGGAAGGGCGGTGGCGAGTATGAGCCAGCAGAGTATTATGAGGGTGTTGCCGAAGAAGGAAAAGGGGAAGCTGTGAGGCGATGAGGTTTGGGCGAGTGCGGCTGGCGGAGGCTGTTGTCTTCCAGAAAGGAGCAGTTTGGAAATCTGTACAAGAACTTATCAGATCATAGAAGGTGTCCTCTGAGGTCGATTGGGCGAGGTAAATAGTCATCCATTTTTGTAGCCATATAGTCTTTAGATTCTCATCTGACACCAGCGGATACTTGGTCCAGTGGCAAGACGTTCGCGATATGTAGCGGGAATGGTATATAAAGAGATGGAGACTGTTGTTCGAAACCCCTGGCGGTGCCGTCGAGTCGACCCCTTGATCCATTACCTCGCGCAAGAGACCTGTGTTGATTCACAGAATGTCCAGTTTTTTCTGTTCCCCTGTCGCCCTTTCCTGGTTGCTCTTACTTTGCTAGCTGTTTGATGGGCATATTGGGGATACTTCAGCAGTGCCAGAAGCTTAGAACTCCCCCGTACACATTGCTAGCACAATAAGGGCGTCAACGCCGACTATTGTAAGGATGTCCATACAGGGAGGAGGGAAGATATATTTCACATCATCCTAACTTTATTGTCTCAGCGCGAACTGCGGCTCAAAAGGCCAAGCTGGACACAGCCAGATTACCAATATTATGGGGATACATTCCCAAGATCAGTAACGATGCCGTTTGTTCATATCAGAGAGACTTTTGCGTAATGCCTCAGTGTCTATATCTCTTGTATCGCTCTTTCTTTGTATCAGCATCTTTTCTACTTCTTCCCACCGACTATACCAATGCCTCTTATAAAAACGAGCACAATCACAAGCGAGATGATGCTTATCCCAAAGTTGAACCATGCTGTTCCTCTGATTCCGATCTTGAGCGCAGGATCCCAAGGGTTCAACCCATGACCCTCCTCACCCACTTTGTCGACACTGACACCCATTTCTTTCGCAATGATCGCAGTCTGAACTGCAGTAGCAAGCGCAAGACCGATAGCACGCCCGATCTGACCGACAGCTGTGATCAACGCGCCGCCCAGACTCGCATCCTCGGGCGGCAGTGTCTTCGCAACGAAAAGTGTGAGAACAGGGAAAATCGTATCCGCACCGCACACGCAGAACACCATCGCCGGAAACCCGTACGCCCAATATGTTGTATGCTCCGGGATGGGAATGGCGAAGAGAAGCGACGACATGCTGACCGCGAAGGTGCTGAACATGAGTATGTAATCGCCACGGACATGGGACAGGATGAAGCCTGTTACTGTAGCAACCATAATGCCAGTTACGCCGTTGGGGATGAAGCGCAGCGTAGTCTGAATGACTGATAGGCCCTGGAAATCTTGGAACCAGTATGTCGCGAAGATGAGGTAGTTGTTGAAGCTCGAGAAGAATAGGCCCATCAGCACGTTTGCCCATGTAAACTTGCGGTTCTTGAAGATCGACATCTTCATAAGTGGTCGTTTTTGGGTCTTGGTTTCCAGGTAGTGTTGCCAGAAGCCGAAGGCGACGACAATGAGGAGGGAAACTACGATGAGGGTAGGCACCCAGGGTGTGCTCCAGCCTACGACGTTGCCTTCGGAGAGCGCGAAGAGGAGGATGATGAGCCCGACTGTGATGAGGGTGCCGCCGATCCAGTCGACGGTGTTGCGCATCACTGGCTCGGGCTGGAGAGGAGGGAGAGGGATGACGAAGAAGCTAGCGATGGTGGAGATGGCGGATACCATGCCAAAGATCCAGAATACCCATTTCCAATTCAGGTACTCGGCAACGACACCTCCCTGGAGATTATCAGCACGGTTGCAAAAGACTAGCAAGGATTTGATCGTACAAAGATGTTGCCGAAGATACCACCTAGCGGAGCACCAGCTCCAAAGCATCCAAAGGCAATATCCTTCATACGACCCGGCGGAAACGTGACACCTAGGATGCCCAAGGCGGTGGGCGCCATGGCAGCGGCGGCCAGACCTTGGAGGCCTCGCATAATGTCGAAGCCAATCTCATTCGTGATGAAGGGAGGTATGATTGAGGTAATTGTAAAGAAGACTGAACCCCAGATGAAGATGAGCCGCCGTCCGTATACATCTGCCAGCCTGCCCCATAGCAACTACATGCAACATTAGAAGGCTGTTCTTGATTGAAGTGACATGTTGTGCATACCAAGAAGCAACCGAACGTAAGATTGTATGCTGAGACGACCCATTGCTGTCTGCTAGTCGGTATGTCGAGAGCTTCACCGATGGTAGGTAGGATGATGACGGATGCTTGGACGGCCATGGTCTTAACATCCATTGTCAGTTTTGTTTTTACTCCTCCTCGGGCCTCATTGATTACTCACACTCAAGAACGGCGCGGCAGCAACAGTAGCCACCAGCGCCACAGTCCCTGCCTTCGAAAACGGCAGCCCAGGCTCTGAAGCACTCGTCTCCACTCTCGTCACCTCATTGATCCCATCCTTCCCAGCCTGTGCACCTGCAACCTTCTCCACATCCTCGGCTTCCTTCTCTTTTGCGACAATGTCGTCTGGCCGTTTGAACCCGTCGTCCATCTTGAAAAGAGACCTCACGGACAGATATGAGTCAAGGTCTGCCCTAGCCCAGCTTACCCCATGGGGGCGTTGCGTGCTTTTGAAGGTTCAGACGCCGCGACGCGGACGTTTGCCGAAGTACGGTATGCGGCAGGGGTAAGGCTTTAGCCGCTACGGTAATAGACATTATTTCCGGAAGCATGGAACTTACTCCAAGTTCTCAGATCCTGAAGTGCGTTTGTGATACCTGGTACTTTAGACGTGATGGAGAGGGCAATGAGTTGTGGTGTGGCATGTTGGCAAGTGTTGAGGTGGGCCATTAACCGGTAACGCACTGCTGTTACGCCGAGTATTGGAATCAGGTGGTAATGCTTCACAAAATGCCGTAGATTTTCAGCAAGTGATCTGCTTGTGTGAGTCCTACCATTGCTGCTGACATGTTCAAAGGAGTGACAAGCACGCCGAGAAATGTTATGTTGCTGCATCCATGATAGGAAAAAGGTTACGTGAGAGGTTCTACCAATCAAGTTACGCACTTCCTTTCATCTTACAACTGCCGGTTGCCTTTGCTTGACCCACAATACGTATGCACTGTACTGTCGGGACGCAGTCAAGACATGCTTCTAAGGCGTGACGCAGTGTTTGAGATTCGGGAGGGCAACGAGCTGGCGTAGATATTGTTGCCAGGTGCGGAATCGTGAATGTTCGCGGTGCACGGATGAAGATTTGAGAGCAACCACCATCTTGAAACCGAGTATAGCCTTTCTAGACGCAAAGTCAGGATCTATCTACTTCTGTCGAGATGCTTCATGATCCCCGACAGCCATCACGGGCTCGCTTGTTGATCAATCACTGTGGACAGGCATTGTAATTCTCCGACTATCTCAGCATGAATCGCACACGCGTGGTGTGGACCAGGTGAAAGCCGATCGACGTCCGACTACCTAGGTGCCTCTTGCGCAGGCATAGGCCATGGTTCTGATGCAACACGCAGTGCTCCATCGGTTGTGCTGCAGTCCACAGCCAAGCCTAGATCAGTCCGTAACGCAGAGAGACGAGAGTGAACATAGAAGGTATTGCTAGCCACCATGCAGGCGACCGCGAGCGTGCCACGATGTAGGGTGAAGAACCTGGTACAGGTTGCAGTCGTCGTCTGGACATGCTGCTCTTGACACCGCCGCAAAGTCGCATGCCCTCAGGCGCCCTGAAGGACGAACATTCTGACCAAGTTCAAGACGTTCTTCCCTCGGTACCTCTGGCATCCAAGACAGGAAGTCGCTAGGCTCTGGACGTATACATCCCGTTGCATGAGGTGTTTTCGCCATTGGATCCTGCTGAGCGGTATCTACAACGATACCATTTCGAGGTTGTCAAAAGTCATAAAAACTTGCCTGCTCATGGGGACGAGGGAGGCTGTGAAGTGGAGATTTTGCAGCGTTATATCGCGTCGAGCAAAGCGTGAGGCATTTTGATGTCTTTGTGAAGGTTGAGGAAAAGCAGCGGTCTTGCTCGCTATTGACCAGCGCAACGGGCTTCCAGTTGAGGTTGGTTGCATCTCACAGTCTGCCGCGAGTTCAACGTTGCTGAGAGCCAAGGCGGAAGAGACTGTGCTCTGGACGCGGGATGCTCACACTGCATTCTCACCTTGCTTTGTCCTTCGATTGGCCGCCGTGAGCGAAGAAGCGCTGCATTGAACCTGCTGCCGCCGTAACAGACATCGCGGAGTCGCTGTTCTCTTCGAGCTGGCTGCCGGCGGTCATCAGGAACAAAAAACTGTCACTATCGATGATCGACGGCGACAACCGCGGCGAGCGCTGCTTAGCGCGTCCACGAATCCAAGTCGTCAGAATTGCGCACTGCTGTCCCGGTGGTTGCGCACGATGTGGCTGGTCACCCGGCCTCCAGCCCTCACATCTGCCACAAAAAGCACACAAGCATCGCAGCATGGTTGCACACAAATGAAAGCGTGGGGAGATGTTACCCTTCGTTACGGGTCCACCTTCTACAACCCAGGATCGTGCTTGTCAAGTTCTGCTGATGGGATACGAGTCAGCGAATCAACGCCAGCGAAATCTCTTTCATGCAGCAGGGCAGGGAGTGGACTGCGTTTATATTAGTGGAGGACGGGCTACCCTGCGGCAGAAGACGTCATCTAGCGTGTATGGCAGGGTTCGCGGATTTGCGACGCTAGCCGCGCTGACAGGCAGAGATGGGTGAGGATCACCAAGTGCGAAATGTCGAGCGAGGCACGATATTGATGAAGTTTGTGTAATGTTTATCATTTCTGTAGTCTGATGTAGCCTCAGCATGCGCTACAACGCCGAACCATAGTCTATAGTTTTTGCGCAACCAATGCAACAACTCTTGCAAACACCACCCAGATCTCTCATGTATATACGGGTAATGCTTGATCCAAAATACGAGCGACGTAAATGGAAACATACGTGAGCATGTCAAGTATGGAGAAGAAGGTTCGGGCCAGATCTATAGAATATACACAGGCGACCGGGGATCTGGAAAAAAGCCTGAGAGGCTGAGAAGAAAGTAAAAATCAAGATCGGCTCGAGAGGTATCACTACGCACCAGTACCGTCATCAATCATGGCGTCATCAAAGGGACTGAAGCTATGACAAGCTCCAGTACCCTCGCAGGCGTCTAAGACTAGGCCTGGACCTACTACAGCCAAGTCTGTGTGTAGGTGGAATCAAAGGCATTCATGCTGTCAAAAGCCATAAGGTTTTGCTCCATCGGCCATGGGTCGTTAGGAACGACGTCATCGAAGTTGCCAGGAATAGCAATCGCAGCAGCATCTGCGAAGTCGCTCGCGCTTGTTATTGGCATGGTTGTTGGCGCGATGCTCTGGCTCTTGGAGAAGTCAGACTCAAAAGTCTGGCTAGTTGACATAGTCGTGACAGGAACGGGCATCGGGGCGACGAGGCTCTCAGTTGGCATCGCAGTACTGAAGCGGTAGACAGGTTGATCTTCCCAGAACAGCGATTCGCTAGCAGCTGATTGGGGAGCCTTGTTGAAGTCCAGATCTGCGAACGGGTTCGGCTCTCCAATCTCCGAGTGAACAGAGGAGGCAACGGTCAGGCCAGGACCACTCTGCTTCGATTCACCGCTGTGCGAAATTGGCTGGGTCAAGCTGTCGTTGAGTTTATTGGGATCTAGGGGAAGATCCCCAGCAGACCAGATTGGATCGAAGCCAGCAGAAGGAATAGACCATTGGCTGTCAAGGTTAGGCAAGCACTCTTGCGAAGGAGAGGTCGAGAGGCTGCCGAAGTCGAAGTTGTAGTTGACAGGTGTGCCAGTGGTCGTTGTCCATGGCCATTGTTGGGTCGAGAAGCTGTCACTGGCGTTGCTCTCAGGAGAGTTGCTGTCCTGAGCACCGAATGCACCGTTCTGGTTGTTGAAGAAGGAGTCCTGATAATTGAGAGTATCAAGACTGCCTCCCATGGTCGTCATAGGCAGACCGTTCGAACGTTGCCCGTTTCCAAGGAAAGCGTAGAAATCGGGATTCGAGAGTGACAACGTGTCCATTGACCGCGAAGCAGGAGCCGGCGCCTCTGGCTTGACATTGTAGCTATTATCGGTTCTGGCCAAGGCGGCAAACGAAGAGTGACCGTGCAGCGTGTGCGGCCGTGGGATCTTATAAGGCATGCCGGACACGTGAGCGGTGTTGTTGCTGCGGTGGCATGGTTTGTGGTGGCCATTCGCGAAGACGGTCAAGTGACTCTCGGACTGCGCTGTGGTGAGCTTTGGCTTTGCGCGGGCTTCGTGAAGCTTCTGGCGACCAGTGTCGATCTTCAAGTCAAGAGGTTCCTCCTTGATAGTGCCGCAGATGCACTTGCCGCCAGAGTGGCACTGGCAGCCACTGGCATGAGCTAAAGCATCGTTAGAGTTGACACGGCTGATTGCGCCAGATGTAATCTCACCCTTCGCGTCGCCCTTGTCTTTGTGCTTGTCCTTGTCTTTCTTATCGCCACAGTCGCATTTGGCGTGATGAGACTTGGACTTGCGTGCGCCGCGACAGTGCTCGCATTGCTTGACTGGGCGACCCTTAGGGTTGATGTGGTGTAGTTCTCGATCTGTGAAACATAGTTTTAGCCCATGTTTCTTAAAGCAATATTCAAAGCTGCATGGTGCCGAGGAGTAGTATACCATTGTGGGTGCAGCCGCTCACTCGGTGACCTTTGATGCAGGACGAGCAGGCCCATTTTTCGCCATCGATGACAGGCATTCCGGGGTGATTGACGGCCGGATGCGGTCGTGGATGCTGGCTAGGAGCAGCTGCGCGGTGAGGGTCCAAGGGCTACGAGCACCAATGGAAACAAAGTAAAGACCAACGGCGTCGCAGGAGACACTGCTGGTCGTGGATAAAGATACAGTGGAGAAGAAGAGTATCGAAAACAGTCAAATCAATAGCAGTGGGGTATCGTGATCAATGGAGAGAAACACGCCGGGCTGGGCTGAGTTGACGAGGACCGTGAACGCCGGAAGAGGACCGAGGACGACAGAGAGGAGAGTGGAGTAGAGAGGAGAGTAGATGATGTTCAAGGGGGAACCGAGCGCAAGAGGCGCTGGCCGAAAGCGTGGAGCGTGGTTCCTGAGGAGACCGCCAAATCACCAGTCTGTGGAGTTGCTGTGTTGGAGTAGTGAGAGAGGGAAAGAGCGACGGGGCAGCCTCTCAAGAAGAGGGCAGGCGCATTCAGCCAGGCCACCTGTAATTGGCCTGTGGGGTGCCTGTTTAGCTGCATCGGCAAGAAGTGGCTGGTCCGTGCTGAAATGCACCCTCGATCAGCCAGCGACGGCGCGAGCAGTGAACCCTGTGCAGCAAATCCCACACGACGCATGCGCGGGCTCACCGCATGCCGCTGTTAGTCGTTGAGCGGTCCTCTCGCCCGCTGCTGGCTGGCTACTCGCTGCCGAAATTCGACGTCTTGCAGTTGCTTTCCTAGCGAGCCACACTGCGCCTGCCCTTGAGCCCTCGAGCATCAGCCTGCGGAAGGCCTCCGTCTTGCGCCATCTGCGCCAGCTAGCCAGCGAAGAGCCCACACTCCCACCGCAACGGTTGCACTCTTGCACTACAGGAAGCAGTCCACGGCGTGTTTTATGACCTTCAGAGATTTGCTTTGTCGATTATTGTAGTCGCCTTCTGTTACGACCGTCGTGGCGCAAAGAGCACAACGCCTGTTGCCAAGTGAAGATCAGTCTTTTGTGCAGCAATAGCATTGAGTCTATCGAAGGCTTGTCGAATCGTCAGCCAGTGCTCTCAGGTACAATAGTTTCTACCCTTCCATTTCTCGTCTGGGCGCAGCGTACAAGAACGCTAGCGAAAGTGATCGTTTACACCACGGCAAACATCGTGGAGTGGATGCTGCAGTAGCGTCAAGGTGGGGAGCCTTCTCCTCTGGAACGCTGGGCAAACTGTTGGCGCTCGCTCATGCTTCGAAACGCCCCATCCGCTTCTCCATGGGGTTGTGTGCTTGATGCTCATCTTGATACAGATCGTATGTTTTAGGGAGCCTCAGGTATGCTGATCACAGACCCTGCTTTCGTTCGATGCTGCAGGTGTCCGTTGCTAGTTCATTGGCTGTGCCGCAGCGTTGGGATGCACAGTTGTACATGATACTGGTTCAGTTGCAAGTTCAACAGGTACGGTGTTTGGCAGATGTAAGCATGTGTTTGGCAGCTGTAAGTGCCACCCTGAAGGCATTCACATAATGTACTGTTCAGAGATGAGTGGGTGGGGAACCTGCTTGTCAACAACAGCTAGAGTTCGAGTGTTGCAGACTTGTATATCTTGTTCTGCCTCAGGTATGAGCTGTCTGCATACCTCCAGACGTTGAACACAGCTTCAGTGATCTAGCTTCAGAGATGTTGCAGGTCAGCTGTCCGTTTTGAATAGAATGGTGTTGTCCAGGTAGTTTGGTAGTTAGGTGGTAACCTCGAATTAGTGTCGGTGCAAGTCTGCTGCAACTGACAGCCTCTCATGTCTGCACAAAAGATCAGATACAATGCACAACCCTCGAGCGTGCTAGAGCTAACCAGCAAGACCTGCTAAAACGTCACAAGCCTACAAGTAGACAAAAAGGCAGCTGCTCAAGATTCGCTGAAGACCTCCGGTCGATGTGATGTTGGCCAGGACTGGCATCCCGCTTCTTGCTGCAGCACGAGAGACAGCCACAGAACACCCAACAGGATAGAGCAATCTGCGAAATCTGTAGTCAAAGGCTTTGAAGGCGACTCTCGCTAAACATGGAAAGACGTCTATTCAGGGTTCTGTCCGCTACAGCTTGATCCCAAGAGGATGCACCATGCGCACAGTCTGGAAGCATTGGCGAACTGACAGCACTCCTCAGTTCACTACAGAGCATTTATAAGCTGATGGTTCTCGTCAATCTAGAAGATGCAATATGCTCAACGTACTTGCAATTCAATCTTGATGAGGGTGCAGCGTCCTCCGAAAGGTTCTTCCGATGCGACGACAACGTCACCGGTAGCTGTTAGACGCCGGAGCACCACTACAAACCACTACAAAGTGGTGAATAACATTGACCAAAACCACCATGGCTTCACTTTACATCACGATGGTGAGCTGCGAGGGTCGTCCCTTTCGTGCTGTGCGAAAGGCGCTAGCGCCAATTCGTCAAGCAGCGCGCAAAACCCTCGGCCTTCACTCAACCTCACGCAGCGTCAACTTGATGACAGCGAATCAGACAACACGCGAACGCGTCGCATAATTCTTTCGATTTCATCGATCACCTGGTTATCGCGCGCAGCAACAGCATACAGAGCTGCAATTGCAGCACGCTGAACGATGACTTCGAACTACGGCGACCCAGATACGCAGATGGGTGGAGGACCTGGCCCGTATGGAAATCACAATGGCACACCACCCGCGCAGCAGCAGCACCAGGACTTAACCGACCCCGATCTTCAGCTGCAGGAGAAGCTTCAGCAGTTCAGCAACCAAGTAATGCAGTCAGGCGGCCCCCAGCAACCTCAATACCAGCAGCCAGCTCAGATGGCTCCCTTGCAGGGTGCGCATCCTCACTTTCAAGCGCAGCAACGACCGACACATTCGCCGCAGCAAATGGCACATGTCGCAATGAGCTTAGGCGAACACCACGAACAATTCGATCCCAACGACCCAAACCGAAAGCGATCGAAGGTATCGCGAGCTTGCGACGAGTGCCGGCGGAAGAAGGTACGCAACGGGTAGTAGACATTGCGGCTTACAGTCTGCTTATGAACATAGATTCGATGCGATGCGACCAGCGAGAATGGACCAGAAGCTTGCTCGAGCTGTAAGAGGACCGGCGCGAGATGTCAGTTTAGTAGACAGCCAATGAAGCGTGGCCCCAGCAAAGGGTGTGTAGTTCTTTTTTGTTTGGAGCCTGTGGCGTACCATACTGACAGTAAACAAGTTACATCAAAGAACTGGCGGATCGTCTGAACTCTCTTGAGAGCCAGATTCAGCAACCTCAAGCCCACCAATTCGACCTTCAGAACCTAGCGGAGCAGAACTTCGCAGAGATTCAAAGTCCACCTCAGTTCCATCGAAAACGTACACATAGCATGTCAGAGGGGTTTCAGGATGCTTTTGGCCGGTCCAGCTGGTCCGGTCAGGACCGCGGTAATAACCACCCGCTCGAGCAAACCATGCTCTCTCTGCTGACAAGTCAAGAAATACCGCTGAATGGTGATCGTCGTACCTCATTCGGTGACATGACATTGGCTGGTAATCTAATTACAGGCGCCAATGAAGGGACACTGAAGGCGTAAGTCGAACGAGTTCACGCCACTTAACCCCCAGCTAATACGCTATCAGGTACTACAATCTGATCCATCCCACACTGCCAATCCTACCGCACGATTCTACGTCCTTGAACCGTCTCACGAATTGCCCGCCAAAATTACGAGAAGCCTTCTTCCTCTCACTCGATGCCTGTGTCCGATCGTTTGCACCCCGGGCGTTACCACCGATTGACGCAAGCTTGACTCAGCTTTTGCACCAGACCTTTGCTTCAGTTGATGGTGCAAAGCTTACACTCAACGACTCAGATCCGTCACGCCAGCTCTATAACAATCTGGTCTACTGTCAATCTTTGATACTGCTCGCACTAGCATCAGACAAACCCGGATCAGGAGTAGTTGGTAGTATCTCCCAGCTTCTCGGTCAGATCGCAGGGTGCATTAGTGAAGCTGGTTTTAACGACGTCAGGGTGTTGAATTCGCTGAAGGACCAAGATCAAGATGCCTTCCAAGGCTCACGTCGTTTGTTTTGGACAGCGCTCATCTTAGATCGATTCCATGCTTCGAGCCGGTCAAAAGACATAATGCTGCCGTTGCACTCGGGCTCCCTTACTCGCGACGACTACTCAGCACTTGGTGACCTTGGCTACCACCTTGCTCGTAAGTATTAATCCTGCCTTCAGCTCTGGCTCTTCACTAACATTAAACAGGCGGTGCCAAGATCGTAGGTCAGGTAGCTGCTGTGAATCGCGCAGGCAGTGTACTTAGCATAGAGCCTTCATCGCCGTTCGCTTCCCTTCCTCTGGCCGCTACATCGCCTGAATCCATCTACCTTAACGGCCAGCTGACAGGCTATCGAGAATCGATCGACATTACAGACCTGACGAATAACTCACCACCTCATCTCGCTTATCAGTATCTGCGCGTCTTTGTCGGACGTCTATCCTCACAACACGTGCCCTCGACCGAGCTTCTTGGCTTGACGAAGGAACTTCTCAGTAACTTGACAAGTGGAGCGATCACACCTTTACACCACGTATGCGCTAGCCTCGTCGCAACCTCTCTGGCTGAGCTCTCCGATAGAGTCGAGACTCAAGTCGAAGCACACGCTGCCATAAAGGAAATGAGTGATGCTCTCAACAACGGACAGATCCTCCACCACAGCATGGACCATGTTGGCTGGGATGCAGCCATAAGGGAAATCTTGCATCAAAAACAAGCTCCTACACCCCCAACAAATACACTCCCTGAACAAACAACATCGGCGTCAGAACCCAACATGGCCGGCCTTCAGCATCTCGCTGCAGCCGCCGTTGGCGAGCGTGAAGGCACCGAACCCCGCCCAGTCAGCAGCGGAGGCAACGGCAACCACGAGTCGTCACTGGCCACCACTGAACACGATCTCTCAGCTGCGATGGCGGCAGCAAATGATGCTGCGATGGCTCAAGCGACCGCTGCTGCTGCACAGCAACAACTCACTGCGTCATCGCCAGACGCTAAGAACGGGAATAACTTTGACTCCAGTGCGTTGAAGCAAGATGACTTTATGGCATCACTGTCGTGATCCACGTCTGCACTTCTTTGTACGCCTCTGTGTTTCATGGTTCTGACAGGTTGTGGGCACGGGTATTGACATGGAAGCCTTCGCGGCATCCGCAGATATCGATGTCCATGCCATCACCCGTGCAGTATACCAGGCCGCATTGTCGAATGGGAAGGGGCCATTCGCCAGGTCCTAGGTCTGAGCTGGGCTAGGAAAATGTCTTGTCTGTTTGTTCTGTTCTATTCTCGAAGGCGTACGAGGCGACTGTGCGTTTCCCCTGTTCCTGAGAGCTTATACCCTTGTTTGATCCTCGAGGCAGTCGATAAGTTGCATACGCGTCGCTAGACACTGAATACATCCCAACAATCACCATGCGTCTCACCTTCCAGTAGTTCGATGCTTCAATACACTGGCCACAAGTCTGCGCATGAACGCCTGTAAACTGTCAGCCACACGTCAGCCTCGGAACAAACGGCAAACCTGCTACCATACACGACGCCGGTGTATCACGGATGCCGTGTTACCGTATAGCCGAACTCTCAGTTCCTAGTTTCCTCGTGATCCTTGGTTCAGATTATGATTTGACACAGCGATCTGAAGCTTGCATGGTGGTGTTCTGCGGACCCTGTCGATCGCTTTCACCAGATCAACGGAACAAGCTTTGTTTGACAGCGAATAAGCTTTGTTAAGCTTTTCGATGTGTTTGAAGGGGCGGCTAGGGGAATAATGGGCTGAGCATTGATCAAATGATCAACCCGTTCGTGGTAGCGGAATATGTGCGCTGCCTTGTGAGTGGTTACGGTGGACGTATCCAATATATCAGGAATGCGAAGTGGTCGCTCCAAATATGTCTTTGATTGTATGCGATATGTTTTCTACAATACATTCTAAGATGGTTTGTGATAGGTCTGTAATGATAGATATGCTCGCATGCGCCAAACCCGCAGATCGTAAAGATATTCCTCGAGGGCTAATGATACTGTAATTCAGACAGAGCTTTTGTTCCACCACATGTTCCAAGATCTGTCATTACCTTTCCTATCTGCTTGCTCTCAGGAGGCATCATGCTGCTGTAATCACCACGTCCCAAGACCAAGTCGAGCCCAGTTAGTCTCCATGTCTTCGACCAGCGTCAGGAAGTCATTGCTGTCGAGGCTCTTGAAGATGAAGTTGTTCAGAGCAACCCTGCGCCCGTCATCGCTCTGCATCGCATAAGCCTTCAAGTCGTTCACGGTGTCACCGGCAAAAGCTGACTCGAGGGTGAGGTCAGTTGGATCCTTGCCTCCGGAAGCAGAGGGGCTTGCAAATACGCCTGGCGATGCGGATTGGCGTCGGTTCTGGGCGCCACTGCTGACAGCGCTTAGCGGCCGTGTTGCAGAGGGACTCGTGGACGCAGGCGTCGGATATGCTTGAGGTGACGATGATGTCGGTGAGAAAGTTTGTTGGTTTTCATAGATGGTTGTAGGTTGTGTTGACTTCGATCGACCCCTTGAAGGCGACAGAGGAGTGTGGGGTCGTTGTTGGGCAGGCGTCGTCTTTGTGGTGTCAGCAACGATTGTCGGCTGACGCAGCGGAGGCAGTTCGCTGTCCAAGCTAATGGTGCGAGCAGAGCCAGGTCGCAGGTCACTGACGCGTGATGGTAATGGTGGTGGTCCCATTATACCAGTCGATGGACGGCTTCGAGGCCGATTGTTGTCGCTGCCAGAAGACGTGGGCAGGGAATCACGCCTAAATGGAAGCTCTCGCCGAGGGGGAAGCTCTGCTGTGTCAGGCCGATCGTAGAGCAGAGCGGTCTCCGGGCGTGAGATAGATGCCTCGTGCTGCTCGACGCTTGCAACTTGTTGATCCCGAGGTGGAAAACTGGGAGAATAATCTGGTGGAACGACAGAGGCAGAGTCTGGCCTGAGAAAGTACATCGGGGGTGTGAGGGGGTTCGAGGATGCGAAGCCAGAGCTTGGAAAGGCAGAGCTTGGTCGTGCGTGGGCAGCCTCCTGTATTTGTAACTCCAGAGCGGTAGGTGCAGAACCTGCAGTGTAAGGCCGGCTTGAGATTTCTGAGAGTTTTGATGGAGGGCATGAGGGACCTGTAGGCTGAGCAGCTGTTCGTTTAGGTGAAATCGGTGGTCTTGGGCTGGCTTTTGATTGCTCTGAGCTTGCAGTTGAACCTCTATCCTTTGACTGGTTTTGCGGAGGGCTCATGCGTAGGCCAAGGTGATGAAGATGATTGTAGACATGGTCAAAGTCTTCATTCGACCGGAAGCGGATCTGCAGACGACGAACCTGCAAAGACCGTGAGCTTGACGTACCAGAAACATGATGTTTCTTCACCTTCTGATTTGACAGCTGCCACCGGATGGCGAGCAATGGGCAACGGACGATGGCGGAGATGGGCAGTTGCTCGCCCTTCATTTCAATGCCGCGTTGTTGCATGCTTCTCACGAGATCCTGTGCTTCGTTGATCAGGCGCTCGAGGTCGATTTGTTCCTACATAAGCTGCGTCAGTATCAGTATAATCCTGTCGGTCAACCAGGTTTCGAGGTGTTGGAGTGAGGGCTAGTTGCAGCTCTTACTCGAACCTGTGTGCCCTGTATCACCTTCAGTAGCTGAAGTGCCGAGCCGCCAGCCTGATATGAGTCAATAACACAGGTAAGGTTGTTACTCTCGTGCTTCCATTGGAAGTTCTGCTCGTCAGGGTAAGCATCTTGTGCGGTCGACAGTTTCGCCAGAGAAAGCGAGATCATTGTGGTCAGTGAACCGTTTGCAGTGTCAGTCGAATATCAACTGCTGCGTTCAGAACAGTAAGACTGGTACGCTTGTTTCAGCCTAAGTACCGACTTCAAGAGGTGTGTTGTTGAAGTGAGGGCTGAGTTGAGACGAAAGGAAGGAGCTATGGGTACACTCACGTGACCGCACTAGCGTCATGGGTCGGCGCGAGAGTGGAACTGGAGCTCTGGCGTTCTGGTGTTCATCCAACATCGCGACCGAACGCGCCGCGACATTCACCTTCACGACCGCGCTTGTGTCAGGCACACTGCTCAACCCGTGGATGCACCGCAACCGACACCGTCGAGTACCGGAGTTTATGCGCACACTGAATCATGGCGCCCAGCAAACCACGAGAACCTTCCATTGAGCGCACTGAGGAATACGACAAGTTTATTGAGGAGCTGCAAGCTTATCACGACAAGAGAGGGTTGGTGTTTTGGATCTGCGTCATTGCATTGCGCGCATGCTGATGTCACACGCAGGACATATCTCGACCGTGAGCCCAAGGTTGCCAATCAGCACGTCGACTTATTGCGCTTGTACAAGCGCGTAAATGAGGAAGGCGGATACGACAAGGTCTCAGATACGAAGAACAACAAGCTTGCGTGGAGGAGATTAGCAGCAGACTTCCTGCAGGACAGCTCTGCCAGCCAGCTTACCACACAGGCATTCCTGATCAAGACAGCATACTATAAGAATCTAGCGTGCGCATTCCATTGCAACCATGCGCGCAGAGTGCTGATATGTGTCTCAGAGCCTACGAGATATCGACTATACACAAGCGCGAACCGCCGCCAAAAGAGATCCTTGAGGACATCACAGCCAAGGGAGGGGATCTGCTGAACCGAACTGTTGAGAACTTCTACCGAGGCAGTCGTGAGGCCGAGAGACTGAGAAACGGAGATTCAGACGATTCAGACGCAGAGGGCGACGTCAAGAAAACACCAAACGCAGACAAGATGGACGTAGACGAACCAGAGAGCACAGGGCGGGCAACGAGATCATTGCGCCATGCGCCGCCACAGCGTGTTCTCTTCCAGCCAGAGAGCTCGACCAGGCAAACACGCCAGTCCACCGGCCATCTGAACTCCCCACAGCTTAATGGATACGGTACGAGTGCGGCGGCTGTGGCCATCGCGAACTACGAGCCACGAACGAACATTCCTTTGGCACTGAAGCAAGTCATAACACCGTCGAACAACTTGGACGCATACGTTGCCTCGCGCAAGAAGTACATCGTAAACAGGAAGAACAGGCCAGTACCCCTGAAGGGTATGATGTTGCCTGGCACTGGCTTCCCAGGACCAAACATCTACATCCGCGCACTGCACGCACTACGATCGAAGGAACCAGAGGAGGAAGCATACGCGCTTCATCACCTTGTGAAGATCTCCCACGAACGAGGCGACAAATACCGTTTTGATCAGTTCCCTGGGCTTGCTGAGGCACTCATTGCGAAAGTCATTGATGTTGGGTCATTGTTCTTTGATGTCAGATGGGACATTTCCTATGTCGAAGAAGAGTTTGATCAGACGGATGTGCTAAACGGTTTGACGGGCACTGATGACTTGCTGAAGAAAATTCGCGCACTTCAAACGTTAGACATCGACGACGACCTACTGCCAGAAGAGAACGCGAAAGCCCTGAACATGATCAATGAAGCGGCACTGATCATTCGCAATATGGTAATGCTCAAAGAGAACGCTCTGTTTGCTTCCATGATTCCGGCCATTCGAGACTTAATCGTCATTGTACTCAACCTCCCAAAACATCCCACCGTGGTCGAATTGCAGCACTACGCCCTCGAAATAGCTGAGCAACTGACTAAGTACTGGATCTTGGACTCACAAGACCCCGTCTACAGGTCTTTACTAACTCAAATCGACACCGACGACCGCGGCAGGATCATCACCTCGCTGAGGGCTCTCGGCCGGATATCGATGAATCTGGAAGCCACAAACAAGCTTTCAGATGTACCTGTAAAGACACTACAATCGATATGCGACTGGCTACTTGTCGAGGACGAAGATCTTAGGATAGCGTGCTTGGACTTCCTCTACCTCTTCACAGGTTTCCCAGATAACGTCGAGCTCCTTGCGCACGAAGTGAATATCGAAGGCGTCGTGGGTCAACTTGTACGGTTATTGCAATTCGGCGCCATTGCTTATGAAGAGAGGCGCAGCACACCGAAATCGACCAAGTCCTCCACGCCCAACGACGCAGCGCCCAAACTCTCCTCTGCGATCATCGATCACCTTGTGACACTCGAGGAGCCAGAGCGAAGCTCTCAATGGCTCAAGACATGTTTCGAGGAAGACCCAGCAGGCGAGGTAACCCAAATCCAGCTCTGGTCGGCATACAACGCGGCGTTCCAGGAGGCCATGGCTGTCAATCCGTCTGCTTTCAAAGCACTCATGCCAGCCAAAGACTTCATCACGAATGTATCTACAACCTTTGGCGGCGCATCTGCGCAAGTGTTGACAGTTGGCGGCCAACCGAAGTACACGATCAGAGGGATAAGACCACGATCTGTGCCAGTTGACCCCAGCACAAAGAAGCAATACATGCGCTGCTGCTGGAGAGCACCAAACACCATCAACGGTCAACAAGGTCTGACACAGCATACCAATGGTGAGTGTGGTGAGTTCGCTTCAGGTGCACGAGCAATGTGGGAACACATTGTCGGCGCCCATCTCAAGGTCCCTCGCGACCAAGAAACAGGCCAATGGTTACTGGAGCCCAAACCAGACATGCACATGGAGAACGGCGACGCAATCGCCGCCTCGGAACCACAAACCTACAACTGCCACTGGGCGAACTGCACCCACTTCTCCACCGACACAGACTCCGCCTTCCTCGCCGGTCAGCACGTCAAAACCCACCTCCCCGACACCTCAATCAAACAAGCCATCCACGCCCGCCACAACCGCGCTGCCGAAGACTCACGCCCCTCGACCTCCTCCGCCCAGCCCTCCAGTGCCGGCTATAACAGCACCCTCGGCAGCGTCATCCGCCACACACCCACCACCACTTCTGCCTCCCTCGCCCCCAATTTCAGATACTTCAACACCGCCACCGACGAAGCCAACGACGCCGCCGGCCTGCCCCTGTCCTCCGTCCTCGTTCTACGCAACCTCGCGCGGCAGCTGAACAAGATCCCGCCGCCGCCGCAGATCCTCGAGATCCCAGACTCGCCGACCCACAAACGCACGTTCAGCGCCACGGAGCCAGGGAGCCCGAGTGCGCACCGTACGACAGGGGCGAAGAAACCGCGTCTCAGTGATGCAGCGCGCCAGCAGGCGCGCGAAGATGGCGAGAGAGAGGAGCAGGAGGCGAAGAATGTGGGCTGGGTGCCGCGCGTGTTCGCCCCGGTGAGAGAGCAGTTGGCGTTTGTCGCGAGTCATAATCTTACGCTGAAGAATTATATGGGGGGTTTGTTGAAGGCGGTTGCTGATGGTGGGGCTTAGGAGGGCTCCGCTGGCGATGGAGGAGAGAAGTGAGGAACGATCACCGAGGACAAAACTGATGACCGATGAGAGCAGAGAGGCTCCGCGGCCCATCAATCTGAAACTCGTGGAGATGTTTTGGTGCCTCAAAGATTTCGAAGAGTTTGAGGCCATGGAAAAGCGGGCTTGGCGCGACTGAGATATCTGGTAGCACGGCGTTCAAGGGTTCCCACGTTGCTCGAGTGGAGTTATTCAACGTGAGCGGCACTGCTGTGTGAACATGGGCTATGTTCTGGATATTATGTTATACCTACCTCCATAGATCAAGGTAGCTGAACGATTCTTCTTTCACACAACACATTCCAGCAGTAGACGTTCAAAGTCGTAAAAACGCTTCATTAAGTATACACATAGCACCCTAAGCGTCTCTTGACAGCCTCTCGGGGTCCAGGAACATATCCCTCCTCGTCATCACAGCAATCTACGCCTTGATAGCCTCATCCTGCAACGCCTGACCACTCGCATCCGCCGGCTCAAGACCAGCCTTCGCGGGTCCGATGAGCTGCACACCATCCTTGCTAAATCTACTACCGTGTACAGGGCAGTCCCAGCTCTTCTCGGCTGAGTTCCAGCACACGACACCCTTCAGGTGAGGGCACAAAGCGCTGAATTTGTGCACCTGACCGCCGTCATCCTTGTATACAGCCAATGGCTTCTTGCCGGTAGGGTTGAGAACGCCACCGTCGCCAGGTGCGAGGTCCTCAATGTCCTTAATGTCGGATTGCAGGAAACGCTTGTACTGTGCGTTGATCTGGAGGTCATGGCTGATCATGCTAGGGAGGGACTTGGCGATGGAGGAGAGACGGCTGGGGTTGTAGAGGGAAGCCCATGGGTTCTTCTCGCCGGTGATCTCGTCTGCGATGAGTCTTCCTGCGAGGACACCGTGTGTGAGACCGTTGCCGCTGTCGCCGGTGATGATATAGGTGTGCTTCTTGCCCTGATTCTTGCCGATGAATGCCATGAAGTCGACGGGCTCGAAGACCTGGCCACTCCACCTGTAGTCGACTGTGGTGGCCTGGGGGAAGCGCGATCGTGTCCAGTCTTCAAGCTCCTTGAAGGGTGCTATTGTGTCGCCCTGACCGACCTTGTGGTCACCACCTCCGACAACCATGTAGTCGTCCTTCTCGTCGCACTCTGTGAGACGGACGTACTTGTAGATTTCGGCTGAGTCGTAGAAGAGGCAGTCCTCGACTGAACCCTTGGGTACGCGGATCGCGATACAGTATGTGCGGTAGTACTCCTCTTCAGCGATGACGGACAGCTTTTGGAGAGGTACGCAGGTGGCCTCGACCGCATCGGCGCACTTGATGGTGTGGCCGTCAAGAATGCTGACAATGACTTCCTTGTGGCCCATACCCAGGATCTCGACACCCTTCTCCTGGACGTCCATGCATCGTGTGTTGGTGTAGCATGAGAAGTTTGGTTGCTGTTTCAAGAAGTTGAGGACACCCACAACGTACTTTGTGGGGTGAAATGTAGCCTGGCCAGAATAGATGACTGCATCGCTCTGATCTGGGGTTCCCTCCCAGCCCTTGAGCTTGAAGCCCTCCCTGTACTCCGTTCCAATGCCTAACTCCTTCGCCTTCTGGCCGTCCTCGATGACTGACTTCATGTCATCTGAGTGGTTCTTGTCGTTCTTCGGGTACTGAGAGAAGTCGTAACCAGGAAGATGGCGGTACTCGCACTCGATGCCGAGCTGCTTCGAGATCTCGCCGACACGGTTCAGGGCCCAGGTATGCGACTCAGCCGCAGCCTTTGCACCCTTGTCGCCATGCTTCTTAGCAATCTCAGTGTAACCATCATCGAGATCGTTGGCAAGGTGACCACTCGTACGGCCAGTCTCACCAGAGAGAATCTCGCGGCCTTCGATCAAGACGACGTTCAAGCCTCGAGTCACAAGCTCGTATGCAACCGAGACACCTGAAATACCGGATCCAACAATGCAGACATCTGTCTCAAGGTCCCTGTCGAGCTTCGAGAATTTGGGAATGCTCTCGTACGGCACTTGGTGAATCCAAACGGGGTCTGTCTCGCCGCTGGTGTGCATGAAATGCTTAGGATCGGTGGTCATGGTGGCTAGTGTGCGGTACTGTATGGGAAACCGAGGCTTTGTCACAAACTGGCGTGATGCTGTAAGACTTGAGTATCGAGAAGTTTGGACTGAGGCAGTTCTAGCAGCGAAGCGGAGCGAGACAGTTCTTAGCAGCCGAGGAGCGAAAAGCGACATCTTTGTAAACAGCTGTTAAAACGGCACGTGTAAGGACACGCGCGACTTTTGAAGCAGCTGCTACCTGAAAGGTAAATAATCATGACGAGTTCATGTAATGTTGTATCGTTCATTGGCTGCAAACGCGACGCGAGTGTTGGCGGAGGAAGGTGTTGTGATATTGTGTAAAACGACGCTCACGATGACGACAGAGCGAGCAGGGAAAGAGCGAAGCTCCTCGGACGCAGAACGACCAACAACAGACATGGGACATGGACAATAAGATCAAACAGAAATGCAAACATTAATTGAGCATGGAAACAATACTCGCCATGGGACTTCAAATGCACAACCTAATGTTGGTCTCAGGCTGACGGTGCCGATCAGTCGCGAAATGCACACGCCAGAAGAGCACCTGCAGTCTGTGCAACAGCAACGCCAACATTCGACATCTCACACCCCAGATAGATCGATCGTAAGTGCAGCTGGAGCCGCGGAGTTATTTCGATGTTAGTGTAGAACGCCTTGTATATATTGCTTGACGCCCCCAATGCTGCTTCTGTCAGCACCAATCCTAGCTTCGTAAGGTTCACGTACCTAAGGAAATGGATATCGAAAACAAACAACGCTCATTTATGGGCCAAAATTCCCTCTGCGACATCTCTCAAGACGAACTTCTTGATCTTTCCGCTGCCCGTCAAAGGCACCTCTCCATCGCAGTCCTCGCCAAGCCAGAACACATGAACAGGTGCTTTGTGCCTGCCTAGTACTTGTCTTACCCAAGCCTGAACTTCATCCAGACTTGGCTTCTCGGTCCCTTCCTCACGAAGGAGAAAAGCAGTAGGTACCTCAACGTAACGTGCGTGTGAAACGCCGACAACAATGGCACGGGTAATGGATGGATGCTGCACGAGACGCTCTTCAATCTCGAGAGGGTAGATGTTCTCACCACCTAAGTTCACGTCAGTCGAGGGTGACAACAGATTAGGGATCGGATCCTACCTCGGATGATAATGTCCTTGAATCGGCCTGTGATGGTACAATACCCATCTACATCCAGTACTGCTTCGTCGCCAGTGTGCAGCCACAGCTCGCCATGCTCATCCCTGACGAGCAACTCGGCTGTCTTCTCGGGGTTCTCCCAGTATCCCTTGCAAAGCTGATAGCCTGAGATGCAAAGCTCACCGCGAACACCAATGGGCACAACTCTGTCCTGCTGATCTGCGATCTTGACTCGAGCGTGCGGGAGCACAGTGCCGACACTGGTTAAACGTGCGTGTAACGAGTCGGTCGTATGCGCGTTGAACACGGTGGGTGAAGCTTCAGTCAAGCCATAGCTCGATGTGAAGTCTGACATGCCAAGTTCGTTGACCATACGCTCCATGAGCCAGCGAGGCACGGGACTTCCTGCAACAATACCGGTGCGAAGTTCTGAGGACCAGCCTTCAGGCTTCGGGACATCAATGATGGACTCCATCATAGCCGGAACTCCGTGGAGCGCAGTGCAACGCTCATCAGAGATGGCCTTCGAGCATGCGACTGGGTCGAACGACTCTTCCGGGAAGACGATCTTACCACCGTGTGTCAGAGTCGCGAGCAAACCAAGTGTTAGGCCAAAGCAGTGGAATAGAGGAGGTGGACAGCAGAGGACGTCGTTCTCTGTGAAGTCCATGCGATCACCAATGAAGCGCGAGTTATTGATGAGGTTGCTACTTCAGTTAGCAGGTACTATGAAAGACTCGAGCTAGGTGATACCTACTAATGTGTCAACATGGCAGCTTTGGGGTTTCCTGTGCTGCCACTTGTGAACTGGAGGTTGGCGACGTCATGAGGACTAACGATGCCGTCGAAGATCTCCAAGATGTGCTCTGGTATATTCTCCGCTTCTCGGAGGAGCTCATCATACTTGATAAAGCTGTCGTCGTCGCCACGAATGAGGCACACAGTCTTTAGATCTGGCAGTACTGAGTGTAGTTCTTCGTCTTTCAGTCGTTCGAGAAGCGGTCGGTTATCGAAGCGTGCAATCATTGGTGTGGTAAAGAGTACGCTACATCCTAAAAGGGTCAGCACTGTTTCGTTCCACTTGTTTGACTTGGGTTGACTGACTTGTGTGCTTCAGTGCATACTCCATCTCTGTTGGTGTGTATGTGTTGTTGAGCGTGACGCATATCGCTCCAACTCGTGCGCATGCAAAGAAAACTGCGATGTACTTCTCACAGTTCCCGCTCATAATTCCGATCCTATCTCTTGGACGCACACCATATTTTAACAATGCTCGCGCAAGCAAGCTTGACTCGTCCCATAACATCTTATATGTCCACCGCGCGCCCGTCCATGGTATTACGACAGCCTCGTTATTTTCATAGCGTTTGACCTGTTTGGAAAGGAGTTGCGAAAGCGTCAACTGCAGGAGGGGAGGATCGAGCGGTCCAGAAACGATCGAGAGATTAGGATATGGTGGGAGAATGTATGGGTCGATTTGTAGGAGGGTTTGGTTTAATCGTTGGAGGGCATCGTTCCGGGATTGATCGTATACTTGCGCCATTGCTACTACTTTGTTCCTGATTTACCATGCAAGTCGCTAACTCAAGGCCTCGCAATAGCAATTGGTTGCTGGAATACCAAGAGAGTTTTCGGGGTGTCTGTAACGATAGGTGTGAAGTGCACGCTGAGGTAGCGGAAAGCAAGCAGGCAGAGTGACAGTGAAGTAACAGTATACAGTAGAGTCCAGAAGCTGTCAAAGAGCTGATGCTGGAAGCTTGGAGTACCGATCTTCGCCATGTTCAGTGGGGACAGGAGCAAAGAGCTTTTCGCTGATGCCTCGGATCTAATAGCTGCGTCAGGAAAGCAGCGTTTCGTGCCATCATAGCAGCCCGCGGGTACGTAGGCCGCGTTGTTTCCGTGCCTTTGCACCGGCTTGAAAGGTAACATCCTGGGACCCGTTCAGCACACCATGTTCGTCATTACTTAATTTGGTGACAGCGTCGATTATCAGATGCCGTAGCGTAAACCAGCGACTTGTAGGTGTGATCTTCCAAAAAATTTCCTCGCCGACGAGTGATCATCACGTCGAGTGGTGAGCGACAGGGGACGGCCGATGACCGCATTGCGCGGGTTCACCCCGGTTGCACTAGACATGGGGCGGACATCAATCTCATCTGATAAGATGGCAGAAGCTATGGAGCCCTTGCGGCATCGGTGAGCTGTCCTGTGGAGTCGGCTGGAGCATGGTGCGGCGAAAATTTTTATCAGATGGAGGAGAAAGAGCAGAAGTGGCTTGGTGGAGTGGGAAGGATGCAGGTTGCACCGCACAGGGGCAGTTCGTGAAGCGAAACAGAGTCGTGCTGTGTTAGCTCCCTATCAAACTGCGATACTTACGTCAGCATTTTTCAATAACGCCAACACCTCTCTTTGTGTTTGAAGCCGCGCGCAGTCTTCCCCTGGTGCAGTATTTGAGACCGAAAAGGTATGATCGAACTTGAGACCGGATAGTCATGAAGAAAGTGAGCCACGAAACCACCCACATCAATGGCGGCGTACACTTCACCACAACCTCCACGCTCTGTATAGCCACGGTGCCATTATCGTCTACTCAAGCTGATCGTAGCTCTCGGTTGATGATGCTATCTGACTCAGCTTCGAAGTACTCAACTCACGGGAGCCGTATTGAACGTACGATTCAAACATCGCTATTAGCGGCCTGGCCAGTGCTCTCTCGGCGCGACTACCCGTTGCATCAGAGTTATCAGATGAGCTTTCAGTGGGGATGTCTCATCAGCTCTTGGTCATAGCGGTGTGGGCTGCATCTGATAATTTTTCTCCAAATTAACCTAACCGAGTTCAACCGAATTGTGCCAGTTGACGTTCGTTCTGGCGCCGCTTGCACACGAGCTGCATGGCCGTTGACGTGTTGCATCCACAGAGACCAAGATGCGAGCCATGCTCGACCCTACATCTGCCAGTCCCTTACGAACGCCTCGTACGTTTGCTCGGCGTCATGAACACGAATGGAAGGTTTGGATCTGATAAGATGTCTGCAAGAGATGCCGTCACGGCTGCAGGCTCACTTAAGGTTATCTGATCCGCGTCCTGCATACAACCGGCTCGGCCCAGGCACGCTCGCCTTAGGCAGTCATTGGCTGAAACAATACAGCGCCGATACAGGCTATGACGTGTGCTCTCTATTGCTAGCGCACGATTGTCCCATCTTTTTGCTGCACCCACTCAATCTTGCAATACATGGAAAAAGCTGTGTATTCCGGTAACACGTTTGTAGCGACTTGACTCGTCTGAAGGTGTGAACTTGTAGAATTAGGGATGTGCTATGTGTTCAACGCTGAAGTGCCACGAACGTCCAATCTTAGACAAAAAAATGCACTTTACAACTTAGCCAAAGCATCCAGACTCGGTCGAACCTTTTTCTCACCGTCCCATATGAACGGGCTCAATGTGAAGAACTTCTCTCTGTTTACCATCATGAGCGCACTGCGCTTGTGTGGCAGGTCCATGAGCTTCTCAACGTGGAAACCGTGAGCAAAGTCATACGCCAGTACAGTACTGCTAGTAGCCGCTGGCTCACCAACAAGGTTCCAGGTACGTGGCTCGTCCAGGAACATGTAGTGCATGAGTCCAGACCACCATGCGGAGACTCGGTATGGGCCTCTGAAACGAATGTCACCAACAAGTGAGTGCCTACCACGATCGTAGAGTTCCGACCGGTAGTGAGCACCCATATGATCTTCCTATTAGGTGCGTTAGTCTATGTATGTAGAGAAGCGGCTTCAAGGATCGACATACCATTGCCCAGTAGACCTCGAAGTAGGCAAAGAGTACGTCGTCAAATGCCGCGAACATGGTAAGAACGTGGGGATCTTCATGCAGCTTCCGTAAATACTCGCGATGCTGATCCAAAGTCCCGGTCTCGTTCCAGCCAGCGGCAACACGTGGGTCATTTTGCCACTTGTTGAACAGACTTAGGTGCTCGGGGTTGGTGTAGTCGAGCGCAATCATAGTGAAGTGCTCCTTGAGATGAGGTATCCAACGACTGTAGATGACCGAGCCTGGTTCTGGTTTCGGTTCTCTTACAGGATGCATAGTGTGCCGCGGTAGGGCCGGGAACTGTGTAGATGGTGCTGTCTGATGAGGGAAAGCCGGGTACAGTTGGTCCCTTGGCTTTCCTGATGCATCTAATCGTGGTGCCCAGACAGGACGAGGGCCGAACGGAGACGCAGCACCCTGCCAGAAGGCACCTCGCAGGAGAAGATGTCCATCTTGTGGTGAAGATGCATCAGAAGGCTTTGGATGAGGGTGGAACAAGCCAGTAGAGTAGAGTTCCTGAGCTAGTGATTGCGAATCTCTGCCAGCAAAGAGCACGCGAAGGTTCTCGAGTAGAGGATGCAGTGAGACTAACGCATAAGCGATGAGCCACAGCTGTGGAACACTAGGTCGCTCCCCAGTCCAAGAGACCGTTAGGTAAGGTGATCTGCGTGCTCTTGCCCAGGAGCTGTTGTCCCCCTTTGGAGGTACTGAATCCTGAGGCAGGAATGCAATATCGCTGAATGAGAGTGAAGCGTTGTCCAGGTGACTGGGCGGAGGGATGCCCTCACTGCTGCTATCGGCCCTGGAGAGCGAGACCTGGTTGCTGACAGCCTGGCCTTGCTGTGCCACGTTCTTGACAGTATAGGCTGTGAGGTACGGATGGGGAAGCTTCAGCATCAACGGTTCTGAGACAGCATTTGCTGTATGGGACTGTTGCGCCATTGTACTTGATTAGCTGTAGAAGAAGATGTAAGAGGTTCCAAATACTGCAAAGCAATTGAGGCAGCCACAGCTTGAAGTTTGAAGCAGTAAGAATAACGGTCAACGGAAGCCGAGGTCTGGAAAAGAATTAAACCGCACCTGGTTCACAACTATTACGCAGTGTTAGTCGTGTATCTTACCAGCTTGGCAGTCGCCGGAAAGCTGGCAAGGGTCCCAGCGGGATGTAAAGCTCCGAGTGGGTGGTTAGAAACGCACCATGCGGGTGCTAAATTAGTCAGCCACCTTTGAGATGCAGCCCCACTGTCCAAGGTTGGTATCTGCAGCGACCCTGGTCGCTTGAACACCGGCGCTAGAAAATTGGTGACATCTCGTCAGTGAAGCAGCTTGCCGGTGCATCTTGTGTATTGGGCCAGTGCGCGAGCTCATGCAATATTCGGGTCTCAAGCTGTTGTGATCGTACCACAACTTTTTCGAGACGACTGCTAGCTCCTGAAGTACTTTTTACCTGCATCATTTCAAGTTGTTGTACAATTTCAAGAGCTTCATTTTGCAACAACATATCTAGGCGTCATCATGTCAACCACTCAGCAACCTTCTAGGCAGCTGGACAGCACCTCCAGCTCATCTTCTTCACCTCTTTATGATCTTATTTGTGTCGGCTTTAGCGCAGCTCAGCTAGCAACTGCCATTGCCAATCGCGAAGCACGCACCGATTCTAAAGTGCTGTTCCTTGAGCGCAAGCCTTCTTTCTCATGGCATTCGGGAACGCACTTGTCTAGGTCGCGCATGGAGACTCCTTTCCTTTACGACCTTGCATCCCTTCGCAATCCAAGATCAGCATTCAGCTACGCCTGTTATCTGCTCGACCGAAACCGTCTGATCGAATTCGCAAACTCCGACCGACTGAACCCTCTGCGAGATGAGTTCGAAGACTACATGAAGTGGTGCGCAGAACAGTTCAAGGATCAAGTCCGATATGGTAGCGAGGTTGTTGGCGTAGTACCAGAGACCCAAGACAACACCGTAAGAAGCTGGAAGGTTGCTGTGAAGGATGGAAGTGGCAAGACATACACTGTCCGGGCAAGGAACGTTGCTGCTCCTACCCCAGGAAAGCACATCGGTATGAAGACAGAACCGTTGACCGCTGTCGATTTCCTTGCTGGACAGCGAATCATGCCCATGGCCGACTACCTGTTGCGAAGGGAAGAGCTCCGTCAACCTTTCGAGCCGCGCCTGAACGTTGCTCTTGTTGGCTCCAGCCAACAAACAGTCGAAATCTTGGATGACTTGCTGTCATGTCCTCGCCTTGGCAACATCACAGTCGTAACAGAGAATGAAGACCTTGCACCGTTGAAGGTCCTTGGTGAGCAGGAGCCACCGCAGCCACGACTGTGCTCGATTTGGTCCAAGCCATCCTGCGATTCGAAGCCAGTAACAGAGTCGTCCGAACTCATTCAAGCCATCTACATGCGTGCGTACGAGAAACAGGTAGCCAGCAAGAGCGAGTACGCTCTCCACCTCGTCATCGGCAAGGATGCTTCTGAGCCATGCTCCAAGGCCAACGTCATCATCAGGGACACTGCTGCGGCTCCTTTCTCAAGCAGCGGGCTGCTGCAGAGCCTGAACACGCTCGTACTCGGCTGTCATCAGCTTGGCGAAAGCTTCGAGGAGGTGCAGTTCAAGCGTGGCGCTGTTGCCGATGCTCGTATGTGGTTGATGTCGGCGAACTCAGAGGGCGGCCGCTCATTAGCAAAAGATATCTCGCTGCGAGCCGGAGAGGTAGTGAGCGCCCTGTCGTCACCAGCTGCGGACAGACGGGATGGGCTGGTGGTTCAGGCTAGGATTTAGACAGCTGTTCTGATTGGGAGGTGCAAAGCGGGGGCGTTTGTTACATAATTTAGCAAATTTTTTATCTGATCCTTGGCTAAATCTGATTAACGCAACTTGATCAATCTCCGGCATCGCGCCGAGCGACACGTCCGCCCTCTCCACCACTCAGCGCCACTCATGGCGGGCCCAACACCCACTATGCATGTTTTCACGTGAGGCTATACCCGTTGACGTTATGCATAGGATCCGCCCACTATGTCGATCCCGGCCATCTCGCCCTGGATGGGCACAGCTCCATTGTACTCCTTCGAGCGCGTCTGGAAAACTTCATCACTTCGCGACGTCGAGTGAGCCTCTAACACCACAGCTCGACCTGGTTTCGTGGACACAATGGCGATCAAGAAGCCGTCCCTGGCGCCGTATTTTGCCTTCTTTCAGCTTCTCTTCTACGCAAACCCTACCTGGCTTGACAAGCTACTCATCTGTACTGGAGCCGTCTTTGCCATTGCAGCTGGTGTTCCGTTTCCGCTTATTGGTATCGTTTTCGGTCAACTCGTCGACAACATCAACGATGCAACTTGCAACAACCGGAATGGCACGGGGAGTACCGGGGATATGTCGTCGATAAACGAGAAGGTCCTCCTCCTTGTATACATTGCCATTGCAAGTTTCGCCTGTATCTACATCCACCTTGTATGCTGGAACATAGCATCGCAACGGCTAGCGCAACGCATCCGAGACCGTTACCTCAGGAACCTCCTACGACAAGATCTCGCCTTCTTCGACAACCTCCAGTCAGGAGAAGTATCGTCTCGTCTCAATGGCGATATTTCAGCAATTGAAGGTGGAACAGGCGAGAAGTTTGGCGTTGCCTTGACCTGCATTTCTTTCTGTGTGACAGCATACATCGTTGGATTTATCAAGAACGCCGAGCTTGCAGGGATGCTTGTTTCTTTGATCCCAGCCTTCCTTCTCATGGCAGTGATTGGCGGTCACTACGTTGGCAAATACACAGTCAGCCTTGGAGGTTACTTTGGATCAGCCAGTGCGCTCGCCTCAGAAGCGCTGAGCAACATTGGTCTCGTTCACGCCCTTGGTGCTAATGAGAGACTCGAGAAGAAGTTCCGTGACCATCTGGGAAACGCTCGCCATGCCGGTATCCGCAAAGCCCTAGCTGCAGCCGTCATGGCTGGGTTGCTCTACTTTATTGCTTTCTCGGCCAGTGCGCTAGGTTACTGGCAGGGTAGTAAGAGGATTGCCGACACTGTTGATGGCAGGGGCAACGACACAATTGGAGAAATCTACACTGTCACTTTCATCCTTCTTGATGGTTCGTACTTGTCATTGTATATCCAAGATTCCTACTGACAGAACCCAGGCGCCATTGTCTTGAGTCAGATTGCACCTATGCTCCCGCTTTTTGGGGGTGCCATCAGCGCATTCGGCCGTTTGCGCAAGGACATCGAGACGCAGCCAACCATTGACAACACCTCAACAGCTGCTGAGAAGCCTTCTGCAGTAGACGGCAAAATCACTTTCCGCAATGTCGAATTCACATATCCTTCAAGACCCGATCACCCCGTTTTGAACGGCATCTCAATTGACTGTGAGGCCGGCAAGCTCACTGCCATCGTTGGATTGTCTGGTAGTGGCAAATCAACAATTGCCAGTCTTATTAGCCGATTCTACGATCCTTTGGCTGGAGATATCTTCCTCGACGGCTGTAACATCAAAGATGTCAATGTCAAATCCTTGAGAGGATTCATCAGTCTTGTTCCTCAAGAACCTTCTCTTCTGGATCGATCAATCTTGGAGAACATTGCACTAGGCCTCGTCAACTCGCCGGCTCATTCCCACTTCGAAAAGATACTTCTTAGCAACACTTTGGCCAACCTCACCAAGGACGTCAGGAATGGAGAAGATCTCACCAATGCCGCTGAAAAGGCTGGACCCGAGGTAGCTGAAATCCTTCGGCTTGTACAGCACGCAGCAGACTTAGCTGATGTGGCTGTTTTCATCGATCGACTGGAGTTTGGCTTTGCAACACTCGTGGGTTCAAGTGGAAGCCTTGTCAGTGGTGGCCAAAAGCAGAGGGTTGCTCTCGCCCGTGCTCTTGTCCGCGATCCCAGGGTTCTCATTCTCGACGAAGCTACTGCCGCACTCGATTCAGCTAGTGAACAGCGCATTCAAGCTGCCATCGATCGAGCATCACAAGGCAGGACTGTTATCTCGATTGCTCATCGTCTCTCGACTATCCGAAATGCCTCTAAGATCATCGTTATGAAGAAGGGAGATATCATCGAACAGGGCACTCATGACGAGCTTTTGGCATTGGATGGCTCCTACGCGGATATGATACGCTTGCAGACCGTAAAGGTTTCTGATGACGGCGCATCAAGCTCAAGAACAAGCTTGAATGATGATGAAATCGATCTGGTCAAGAACGAGCATTCGACATCAGCTGTTGCTGACACAGACGTACTCCCTGCAAAACCGGAAGACAAGCCAGAGCCGTCGAAGGGGGTCAACGGCGAGATTGTCGCAAAGTCGATCTCAAAGACAATGGGACCTATGATTCGCCCGTACCTGCTTCTTCTTCTGGTGGCCTTCCTGGGTGCTTTGATTGTTGGTGGGCAGTACTCCGCGTCTGGATTGTTGTTCGGAAATGTCATGGGTGTGATGTCACCTTGCAATCCGTCGGACTATATCAGATCACAAGGAGCACTACTCGCAGGCATGTGGTTTATGGTTGCGTGTGTAGCGTTCCTTGCCAACTTCACTAGTTGGGCAACGTTCGGACTTATTTCAGAACGTCTCATTTACAAAGTACGCGTCCTGTCGATGCGTTCCCTTCTACAGCAGCCTCTGCAATGGCACGAGTCTGAAGGCAGAAGCCCGAACCAGCTGCTGGAGTACATCACGAAAGACGGCAACTCACTGGCCGGTTTCAGCGGTTCCATTGTTGGTACCCTATTCTCGGTCGTTGTCAACTTCATCGCAGCTATCATCCTCTCTCACATTGTCGCGTGGAGAATTGCCATTGTATGCTTGGTAATTGTTCCGTTGCTGCTTGGAGCTGGATACATGCAACTTCGCGCGATCGGCAAATTCACTGTAAAGCATGCAGGTGCTTTCTCATCGTCCATCGGAGTCACAATCGAAGCCGTCGCGAACATTCGTACTGTTCATGCTCTTTCGATCGAGGAAGAAATTATCCAGACTTACCGCAGATCTCTCGTAGCACCGCGAAAAGAGATGGTGAAACAAAGCTTTAAGACCAACATCTGGCTGGCGATTGCCAATTCTTGCGGAAGTTTCATCTACGCCTTTGCCTATTGGTGGGGCTCTAAGAACATCATTGAGGGTCGCTACGATCAGACTGCCTTCTTTATCATCCTTATCTCTATGCTTCTATCGGCACAGTTGTGGGGTCAGCTTTTCACCCTTGCCCCCGAGCTCTCCAAGGCCAAGGGCGCTATCTCGCGCATATGCGGAGTGGTGGATCTGGGCGACGATCCTTCAGGAGCAGCATCCGGCAGATCATCACTCGATCTTGATCCCATCGACAAGGAGAAGCGGGACGTCGAAGCCCTTGCAGACTCATCCACACCTGCAGTTCTAGGGGGAGGTGCCCGCGTGGTCTTCAAGGATGTTCAGTTCTCTTACCCTGCACGTCCCGGTGTGCCGGTACTGACCTCGTTGTCGCTTTCTATCCAGCCTGGCCAGTTCTGTGCCCTTGTCGGACCTTCGGGTGCAGGTAAGAGCACTGTCCTCGCGTTGCTCGAACGTTTCTACTCGCCTTCCGCTGGCAGTATCTCGATCAATGGCGTCGATATCTCACACAAACACGGCGCATCGTTCCGTGACGACATTGCGTACGTACCCCAGAACAATGTCCTTTTCCAGGGCAGTATCAAGTTCAACATTGCTCTTGGCGCTAGACCTGGACACGAACCATCAGATGCAGAGATCCAAGAAGCCTGCGAGCTTGCCAACATTCACCAGACTATCGTCGAGTTGCCACAAGGGTACGATACCGAATGTGGTGCTAATGGCTCGCAACTATCTGGCGGACAGCGTCAGCGACTTTCCATCGCACGTGCGCTCGTTCGTAAGCCCAAGTTGTTACTGCTCGACGAGAGCACAAGCGCTCTTGACGCGGAGAGTGAGAAGGCACTGGAGCTTGGTCTTGAGCGCGCTGTGAAGGGTCATGGCGTCACAGTCATTGCTATTGCTCATCGGCTACGAACCATTGCTAGAGCTGATGTTATCTTTATGGTAGACGGAGGTAAGGTGGTAGACCAAGGTCGACATGAGGAGCTTGTTCAGAGAAGCGAGGGCTACCGTATCAACGCTTTGCATCAAATGCTAGGCTAGTCGTTTGACGAGGTGCGGGTACATGTAATACTATAATGAATATGCAAGGCGATTGCATCCAACAACTTCAAGCCAGCTTGACAGCCTCCGGCAACAGTATCTTTTCACTTCCTGGAATCCATACCAAGAGCGGAACTTCGTGATCTTCTTGGTCGCCATTCGTTTGTCCTGGGTATAAGTCGTCTGACTTGTGAACAGGACGCTCCTTCAGCCACCGGAAGCCTGACTTTTCATACAACCTGATTGCATCCCTCGAACTCTCAACATAGATGGGCAAATTCGCCTGCAATGCGATCTTCTTGCCATAATCGACCAGTACCTCGCCAATACCTCTGCGCTGAGCATCTGGATGAACCGCAACGACGTGGCAGTACAGGTAACGCTCATTGCTCCACATCTTTTCTCTTGCACCCCATAGCGGGCCTATTAGTGCTTCAGCACGCTCCCTTTCTTTCCCCTGCAGCCATCCAATCTCGCCTTTCGTCCAATCACTCGGGGTAATATATACATCCCAGAGCGCCATACCGACAATCTTGCCAGTCTCTGAGTCTACACATTTCAGTGTATACTGCGTAAGATTATTCTGCCAGTACTGCAACGTATGCGCAGTGTGCGCTTTACTGTCGAAGTGTCAGCAACATATCCGTAGGGGTGCCTGAATGGCCGCTGCAGCCACATTGCAGGGTCGACAACGGCTCTAACGGTCAATGTACCGGAACTCAGAATCTGGATTCGTCAGGTCCTCCGCTGTGGCTGACGGAAACAAGGCCCGTGTAATTGTATTGTCCTTGAAGGCCGCGAAATACACGTCGTACACCGCGCTGATGTCCGCCACGAGCGCAGGTAGGACCACAAATCCCATAGTAAGACGGGTTAAACTGGTAACGCGTCTGACTTGAGTAAGCTACAGACCCTCACCAGGGTCAATGCTTGATACTCACAAGTGTCTTGATTTAGGTCAAGGCTGCACTCGCGTGTCGAAACCGCAAATGGAAGATGTTACGAGATTTGATCCACAATTACTTGGTACTAGGAAGCTGGAGTCTCGACCTGTTGCGAACGAAGGCAGGAGGACCGCGTGGTGTCACGTGTCAGACAACTTTTGCTCAAGTGCGAACCGGGGACGATACGAGGTAGCTTCACAAACAACCACGAGATAAACGGAAGTTAAGAGAGTTTCCCTCGCTCAGCGGTGGATCGATACCAAGAATTCCAAGCACCTCCAAGCATTTCCGAAGCCAAATTGATAGCTGCGAAGACAACTGGACATTCAGATCCCCGGTGGCCTCGTCACCATCAAGTTAGAACTCAGGGATGCTGTGGAGCGAACATGGAGTGGTCATCGCAAGTCAAGCCTAGTGCGCCAGAACCCCACACATCCCAAATTTCGGCCTCCACGGTAAACCGCGCGCCACAGACATCAAGTGCATCTGTTCGGCGCACGCTTCTTCTGTAACTGTGCCTTCTCCTGACATGTGAAGTTAAGGTTATCAGATCCGCTGCAAGCGAAAGCCTTTCCCGTCACAATAGGATCTGAACACAGACGAGGTAATTACAGTGGTGCACTCTACATCGCAAAAACTCATTCGCCGCGGTCCGTAATCGGCGCGTGAGGCCTTTCCCACGAGATGCACGAGCATGTGGCATGCAGACTTTTTGTAGCACGACATTCTTGGCCCTTCTACCAACCCGGGAACAACTCGTTGATCGATGTAGCGAATTGTGTCGATCGGCCAGAGGGCGCACCATGCCAGAAAACCTACACATCCAAGCTGATCTGGCTCCTCCGAGTGTCGGCCGTTATCAGATGAAAGGCGATCTGCAGCCCGCCGATGTCACTCTGCATGACGCGCATTTAGCTGTTGCCCCAACAGGTAGCTCCGTCCCTTGCACAACAACGATAATGCCTCCACAAAAGTTATCAGATGCAGCTAACTGCAAGCCCTCCCACACAAAATTTATCTGATCCGCTAAATGTGGGGTTTAGACAGACCGGACGACGTATTTTTTCCTACGGCTAAAGAGGGGTACTGGACTAGGTCGACTAAATGTCACTCACTGACTTAGGCATTTACGTTAGACAAATCGACATGTCTGGCAGGAGACGGCATGGGCAGACGAACCCTGGGTTCGCTTCGAGTGATGAAGATGACGCGGGCGGCTGCTGTCCTAAGAGGACACCTTGGCCGTGCTGAGTACCGGACCTACATCCTGGTCTAAGGTATGGGGAGCTAACCTTTTCTTTCGTAGTAACGGGAGCTCTGGTGGAGTGCTCGGTCTCTTCAACTGTCTGTGAAGCTTGGCCTACTATACGAAGAGGTTCTTGAATCAATTCGCCAAACACAAGAAGGCCCGCACTGCTTCTTCTTCTTCTTCTCCTTGCCACACGACTCACGATACTACAACATCAAGAGGAGGATTCATTGCTTCGTGAACTATGCATCTGGCAAACGGTGAACACACTCTGCGTTATGGCGGGGTAGCGCAAGAGAAGACAGAGGTTAAGGTCAACAGCAATGGGACTATGGATGTGCACGAGAGCGGTTCATACACCAATAGGCACACTCAGACGGATGGCCATTCCACCGAATCTAACGAGGTGGAAATCACAAATCTCAAAGATCAATCGCTGGATGCAGTGCTGGACGCTGTCCTCACAGCGTGGACTATCCTCGTTCGAAGATACCAAAGAGACGGATTTCACCGGTTCTCGTGGGGCATCAAAGGCGCTGGTTTTGACAAGCGCCAATGCATACCAACTACGGACCTGGATTTGCTAAACCACAGAAATGCTGCAAGTCTGGCGGCAAAGCTCCGCGACGTGAGACTGAAAGATGTCCCACTAGACGGAACCACTATTTTCTTGAATGACGGCACAAAAGACGAGGTGAGAACGACATTCAACTGCTCCTTATCAGCCGCTAATGGATATGCAGTGGACTTTCCAGGTCTCGATCGATCTTGGAAAGAGCCCGTTACAAGCGACCTCAAGATGGCAACCGCCGAATATGTCTCGACACCAGGCTGTGTCTGAACTGCAATTTTTCTCTTCTATCGTTGATACCCTTTCTCGCGCACCTGATACCCCGATTTCCGCCTTCCTCACCATCTCAGAGTCTGAGCTCGATGAGATCTGGAACTGGAACTCCCCATTACCTCCAGACCTGCAGACATGCATGCACGAACTGGTGGCAGAGCAAGCTGAGAAGCAACCCGAGAAGAATGCGATCGAAGCCTGGGACGGAAACCTGACCTACAAGCAAGTCGACGACTACTCTACATATCTGGCGCAAATCTTGCATTCCTTGGACGATTCGCCAAATCAGATCATTCCAGTTCTTTTCGAAAAGTGCCGGTGGACTATTGTTGCTGTGCTTGCGATCATGAAAGCAGGCGCGTGCTTTTCACTACTCGATCCAGCACAGCCAGAAGGCCGCCTACGAACAGTCGTCCAGCAAGTCAGTGCCACTACATTCATCGCCTCGAAATCACAGGCTTCGCTCGCTGCGCGAATTGCACCTCAAGCCACCATCATCCCAGTCTCTACATCCAAGTTCGAGAAGGTGTATGGACCATATGCCGAACAGCAGCCGAAGACGACTCTACCGAAAGTGTCTCCGTCAGCTGCTCTCTACATCCAGTTCACCAGTGGCAGCACAGGTTTACCCAAAGGTTGCCTGATTTCGCACAGTCAATATACGTCTGGTGCGATACCGCGAGCATTCGCTGTGGGCTACCGACCGTATTCACGAGTGCTTGACTTTGCCAGTTACGCTTTCGACGTGTGCATCGACTCCATGCTTTGTACAACTGCCCATGGTGGTACTCTCTGCACACCTTCCGACGAACGTCGAATGAACGACCTTAGCGGCGCTATGCGAGATATGGGTGTTACCTTAGCTGGTATGACACCCTCAGTTGCTCGTACTTTGGATGTGGACATTCTCGATCACCTCGATTCGATCGCACTTGGTGGTGAGGGCACGTCGGCAAGCGATGCCGCTTCATGGGGTAAGAGGACAAGGATCGTCAACGCCTATGGACCATCAGAGTGCACAGTCGGTGCCACGATCAATGGCGATGTTGGAGCTAAGCCATACATCACGATGGGTACCGGAACAGGTGCTGCAATCTGGCTTGCTGACCCCGAGGATCACAACAAGCTTGTTCCTGTCGGTGCAGCTGGCGAGCTGCTCATCGAGGGTCCTATTGTCGGAATGGGTTACCTGAACAACCCAGCCAAGACTAAGGAGGTTTTTATTGAAGACCCTGAGTTTTTGACTAAGGGGAGCAAGTCTTTTCCTGGCAGAAGGGGTAAGCTTTACAAGACCGGTGACCTTGTCCGTTACGACCCCGATGGTTATGGCGAAGTCATTTTCGTCGGTCGCCAGGATCAGCAAGTCAAGCTTCGCGGACAACGTATCGAGCTCGCAGAGATCGAGTACAACATGCAGAAGCACTTGCCTGCTGACACCCAGCTCGCCGTTGAAGTCATCAAGCCTGGCGGTACTGGGGAGCAGACACTTGTCGCGTTCTTGGTTGAGCAGAAGAAGAGTGGGATGCGCCACCTTGATGGCCAAGTATTTGGCAGCTTCTCGAACAAGTTCCAGACTGCCCTCCAAGAGATGACGAAGCACCTCTTTAACGACCTTCCTGGATATATGGTTCCGAGCGCTTACATCCCTCTCTGGAAGATGCCTCTACTCGTCTCTTGCAAGACTGATAGGAAGAGGCTGCGCGAGATCGGTAACGTAGTCACTCGTCAGGACCTCCGACGCTTCAACGCTCTCCTTTCTGAGAAGAAAGAGGCCACTACCGAGATGGAGCTCAAGCTGATCCCCGTATGGGCTAAGATCCTGGGTGGCGACGCAGACTTCAGCGCCAACGACAACTTCTTCAGTATGGGTGGTGACTCGCTGAGAGCGATGAGGCTCGTGCCTGCGGCGCGAGAAGAGGGCATCATCTTGACGGTTCCGGACATCATGCTGAACCCTACTTTGTCCGCCATGGCCGCTAAAGCCAGGCCTCTGTCCGAAGAGGATACAAGCGAAGTTCTTCCCTTCTCTATGGTCGGTCAGGATTGGGATGCTGAGAAGTCCAGACTCGAGAGTGCTGAGCTTTGCGGTGTTGATGCCTCGAATGTCGAAGATGTGTACCCTTGCACACCTCTGCAGGAAGGTTTGATGGCATTGTCAGCCAAGTTCCAGGATGCTTACGTCGCTCAACGTGTCGCCGACCTTCCTGTTGACATGGCCCATCGCCTGAAAAAAGCCTTTGACCAGTCTGTAGAAGGCTGTCCAATCTTGCGCACACGCATCGTGAACGTCCCTGGCCGTGGTCTGTTCCAAGTCGTCCTCAAAGACGGTCAGCTTGTGCGTGAGCATGGTTCAGATCTGGCAGAGTACCTCAGGGTCGACCAAGCCGAGTCCATGGATCTTGGAAAAGCTCTGTTCCGTTACGGTGTTGTTCACTACGGAAGCAACGACAAGGCTCACTTCATCATCACCATGCACCATGCGGTGTATGATGGCTGGTCTATGCCTCTAGTATTCGAGCGCATCAACCGAGCTTTTGCTGGCCTTGACACATCGCGGCCTGTCTCTTTCAAGAACTTCATCAAGTACCTCACCAGTCAAGATCCCACAGTCGCCAAAGACTACTGGAAAGAGCGGCTGAACGGTGCAAGCCCACACCAATTCCCGCCTCTGCCCCAGAAGGGCTACATCACACGAGCCGACTCTTTGCTCGAACACTATGTTACCGTCCCAACAACCGCCCACAACAAGCTCACCCTCGCAACCATCATCCGTGGTGCCTGGGCGCTGACTTCCTCGCTGTACATGGGCCACTCTGATATTGTCTTCGGCGAGACCCTCACTGGTCGCTCCGCACCCGTCAACGCCATCGAACAAATCGAAGGACCCATGATCACCACCATCCCCGTGCGTGTGCATCTGAACCTCGACCGCCCCATTTCCGAGTTCCTCCAGCAAGTCCACGCCCAGACCGTCCAGCAGATTCCTCACGAGCATCTGGGTCTGCAGAACATCCGTCGCCTGAGCAAAGACGCGCGCCATGCGTGTGAGCTGCGCACTGGCCTTGTTCTGCACCCGAAAGAGGACGAGAACTGGAACGAAGGGAGGACGCTTGAGAACGCACCGGGCGATGCGTTCCTGCCCGCTGACGATGCTGAGGCTGCGAGGGAGGCGTTGAAGTTCAACACTTATGCGCTCATGCTTGTTTGCACGCTTGACGAAAACGGGTTCCTGATCATGGCTAGTTTCGATTCTAAGTGCATCGCCTCGCCGGCTATGGAGAGGGCACTTGTTGTGCTTGATCGTATCGTTACTGCTTTCCTCGGCAATCCTGAGAGTAAGCTCGGTGATGTGGCGGTCCTGGATCCAGAGGAGTTGCAGGATGCGCTTGAGTTGAGGCCGAAGGATGTCATGTTTGACAGTGGTGTCGATATGCTGCCAGGGCAAGTCTCAGAAAACGGTCATGTCAAAGCACTTTCTGCTAACGAGGAAAAAATCCGTGGTCTTCTCAGCCGTATCCTCGGTATGCAAGAAACAGACATCAACCCTAGCGATAGCTTTTTCGAGCTGGGCGGCGACTCGATTGGAGCCATGAGGCTCGTGTCTGAGGCCAGGCTGCAAGGCTTGAATGTCTCGGTTGCGCAGATCTTCCAGAGTGAGTCGCTGTCGGAGCTTGCTTCAAGTGTTGGCAACGAGAAGGAAGACAAGTTGCTGGATGTGCTTGCTCGCATCTTGGCTATGCCTAAGAGCGATATCAGCCCCAGCGACAGCTTCTTCGAGCTTGGTGGGGACTCAATCGGCGCCATGCGTCTTGTCTCAGATGCTCGCACACAGGGGCTCGGAATCAGCGTTGCGCAAATTTTCCAAAGCAAGTCTTTATCCGAGTTGGCTTCTCTGGCACAGGAGATTTCGTCAGGCGAGCCCGGAGCGAATGTTGATGCTCCGTTCGCTGCTCTTGGAGCTGGTGCCGGCCTGTTCAGTGCTGATCGCATGGTCTCATACCTGGAGAACCCTGAGTGGGACATTGTGGACGTCTACCCTACCCGACCTCTGCAGCAGCTTGCTGTCGAGGGCACTGTAGACTTGCCCCGCTACTCACTGCGTTACGAGCTGATCAAGTTCGCTACGGCCATCGACCAGAAGAAGCTCGAGCAAGCCTGCCAGCAACTCGTCGCTCGCAACGAAGTTCTACGTACTGCCTTTGTTGTCGATGGTGGCAAGACATTGGGTCTAGTCATCCGCGAACTCAAGGTGCCGTACAGTGAGGTTACCGTTCCCGAAGGCGAGGACATCAACACCTTCGCACACAGCTATGTGCAAGAAGACATTTTGGCACCAAAGCCACATGGATCGTCCTTCGTTGGCTTCACACTCTTCATTTCGCCTTCAACGGGCGCTTCGACCCTCGCGTTACGCATCTCGCACGCTCAATACGACGAGATCTGCCTTCCTCTCCTCTTCGACCAGCTCTCCGCTCTCTACACTGGCGCATCCGTCGTCGAAACCGTGCCTTTCACCAAACATGTAAACCACGTCGTCCTCAACAACATCCCCAAGAGCATCCCGTACTGGCAATCCCTCCTCGCCGGCTCGCAGATGTCCATTCTGAAGCCCGACATCCCCCTCCAAGCCAAGAAGATGGCAGACATCTATCTCGAATTCGACATCTCGTCGCGCCCAAAGGATATCACCATCGGCTCGCTCCCCACCGCCGCATGGTCCCTCGTCCTCGCCAACCGCCTCAACAAGCGCGACGTCGTCTTCGGCGAAGTAGTCACAGGCCGCAACCTCGGCGCGCCCAGCTCTGACCGCATCTTCGGACCCACCTGGCAGTACATTCCCTTCCGTGTGCCGTTCAAAGCTGGCTGGACGCATCTCGATCTGCTCAAGTTCGTGCAAGCCCAGCACATCGAATCCGCGGCGTACGAGGGCATGGGCTTGGCTGAGATTGTCGAGAATTGCACGGACTGGGATGGTAAGGAGGTGACGTGGTTTGATACCGTGGTGCATCAGGCGCCTGCTTGGGTTGAGGAGCTGCCGTTTGGAAACGGGGTTGAGGCGAAGTTTGAGACGGTGTATCCGCATGCCGAGCCGTTGAGGGAGTGGAAGTGTCAGGCGTTTGTCAAGGAGGGTGGTAAGAAGTTGGGCATTGAGATTGTTACTTTCGAGGAGTGGATTCCGGTCGCTCATGAGGTCCTGAAGGAGGTTGGACACGCGCTGGAGGATTTGCAGAAGAAGACTGGTGAGCCTGTCTTTGAGGGTGCTGGGGAGACGAAGCAGCAGTCGTTGGAGGAATTTGAGGGTGTGATGTAATTTGTTGTTCTTTGTAGTCTGGTTGCGGTGTTGGTGGTCATATTTGGCGTTTAGATTGCTTTGCCTACCATAATGTCATCTTGTTCAATACATATTGTGCCATCCTTGCTTCGCAACCCTCAACATCGACGCGCTCAGTCGCGTCACCACGTGCGTGCTGCAGGTAAGATGTATACACAAGGACAATCACCATGTAATCTCCTCAGTATCAAAGTTTACCTGGAACGCATCCGGCTACGCCTGCCTACCTTTGTTGTGCCACACGCACGGCAGCCAGCATCAGCAATGCCAGGGAACTGCAATGACTTTGGCAACCCCTTCCCATACCTGGCTTTGACGAAGGAGCCATCTGAACACTGGTGATCAAAACCACTGCCGTCTTCTAAGCATTTCCAACATCCATCCACCATTGCTACCGTCCGCCGAGCACTCGCAGAGAGCTTCATATTACTATACCGCGCTTCTCGAGCCAACCGCATAAGCTTCAGCCACCGAGCAGCCCAGTCACAATGCAGCTCATCTACAACATTCTCACCTTCGCCGTCCTCACATCTGCCCTCCCGCCATCAGGAAAGCAGAATCCCAACCACCCCCAGCAGATCGGCAGAGACGGAGCCCTGATGACAGCCGGCCAATGCCACAACGGCCAGCACTACTGCTTCAGTGCGATCATCGACGACCTCAGTAAGCCCTATTCTGCCTTCCCTGGGCTCGACCCCTACACCGTCATTACGCTTCTACCCTTATCGATTAGTCTCTACTGACAGCCTCCAGGGGCAGCCAAACAAGACATCCTCCACCAATACTGCAACCAGAAGTACGAGAGCGACTGGCAGAGCTGCAATCGGTGCAAGAGGCCGTGGGCCATGTCTGACTGCTGGGATGGGCCGGGAGTGTGGGCGAGCGTGTTCGAGTGTACAGGTATGGAGACGTATAAGTGGGTGGGGAGGTGCGAGGGCAAGGGTTCGGTATGCTCTGGAGGAACTTGTCGCTGGGCGAAGGTTGATGGCGATGGGAACTTAGCGCTGGTTGGGAACTTGACGCTCACGACATCATGATGGGTGGTGCGTGGATTTCATCATGGGCACTAGAGACAAGCATGAGGGTTTGACTATTGGTACGGTTAATGATAATGTTTTGATTCATCGAATTGTTTTCTCGATGTGTAATGGGTGACAGCCTTCCACCCTCGAAGATGACGCAGCTGTCACAACACGTGACTACTTGGCGTTCTGCAGCTTGGAACGCCATCATCGCAATCACAGCTATCATCAACTCCCATCTCGCCGCCCACGCCCCGACCGGACCTCGAGACAAGCAGCCTTCCGCAGGACGACTGGTCTCTCTACCGCCAGTATGGCACCGCAAAAGGACACCATGTTCCGCTCGGCGGACATGTCCTTGACCCAGCTCTACATTGCCAACGAGATTGGCCGCGAGGTTGTCTCTGCGCTCGGAGAGCTTGGCGTGATGGACTTCCGAGATGTGAGTCTTCCTGAACTGCATTGAGGAGGGTTGCTATTGCTGTGACGGGACCGATGTACTGACGATGCCAGCTCAATGCCGAGACGACGGCCTTCCAGCGCACCTTCACGCAGGAGATCCGCCGCCTCGATAACGTGGAGCGTCAGCTGCGCTACTTCCACGCCCAGATGGACAAGGCGAGCATCTCTATGCGCTCCATCTACGACTTCAACAACCCCTTCACCTCGCCCTCCGCCTCCGAGATCGACGAGCTTGCCGACAAGAGCCAGAGCCTGGAGCAGCGCATCGCCTCCCTCAACGAGAGCTACGAGACGCTGAAGAAGCGCGAGGTGGAGCTAACAGAGTGGCGCTGGGTGCTGAGAGAGGCCGGTGGCTTCTTCGACAGAGCCCGTGGCCAGACTGAGGAGATCAGGCAGTCCCTTGATGATGATGACGACGATGCGCCTCTCCTCCGCGATGTCGAGCAGAACGGCCCTGGAGATGCTTCTGCCGAGCGATCCTTCACCGTCATGAACATTGGCTTCGTTGCCGGTGTCATCCCCCGTGAGCGCATCGCTGCCTTTGAGAGGATCTTGTGGCGTACTCTACGTGGCAACCTGTACATGAACCAGTCCGAGATCCCCGAGCCCATCATCAACCCCGAGAACAACGAGGAGACCAGCAAGAACGTCTTCATCATCTTCGCTCACGGCAAAGAGATCATTGCCAAGATTCGCAAGATCTCCGAGTCCCTTGGTGCCGACCTTTACAGCGTCGACGAGAACAGCGAGCTCCGGCGTGACCAGATCCGCGAGGTCAACACACGTTTGAGCGATCTTGCTAGCGTTCTGCGCAACACCAAGTCAACCCTGGACGCTGAGTTGACTGCTATCAGCCGTAACCTGGCCGCCTGGATGGTAGTCATCAAGAAGGAGAAGGCTACCTACGAGACGCTGAACAGGTTCTCGTACGACCACCAGCGCAAGACGCTTATTGCCGAGGCCTGGGCGCCCACCAGTGCCCTCGGACTCATCAAGTCCACCCTCTCAGATGTCAATGAGCGTGCTGGCCTGTCTGTGCCAACCATTGTCAACCAGATCAAGACTACCAAGACCCCTCCTACCTACTTCAAGGTCAACAGGTTCACCAACGGTTTCCAAACCATCATCGACGCCTATGGAACCATCAAGTACCGCGAAATCAACCCTGCGCTCCCCGCCATTGTCACCTTCCCCTTCATGTTCGCTGTCATGTTCGGTGACGCAGGTCACGGTGTCATTCTTCTGCTCGCAGCTCTGGCTATGATCTACTACGAGCGCAGACTGGAGCGCAGCAAGCTCGACGAGCTGTTCTCTATGATGTTCTACGGTCGTTACATTGTCTTCATGATGGGTCTTTTCTCCATCTACACCGGCCTGATCTACTGCGACGCCTTCTCCCTCGGTCTTCCTTGGTTCAAGTCTATGTGGGTGTGGGACAACGACGGCAAGGGCCCTACCGCTTCACGCGTTGAGGGTCACACCTACCCCTTCGGTTTGGATTACCGCTGGCACGATACTGAGAACGACCTGCTGTTCTCCAACAGTTACAAGATGAAGCTCAGTATCCTGCTTGGTTGGGTCCACATGACCTTCTCGCTCATGTGGTCGCTTGTCAACGCACGCTACTTCAAGACACCCATTGATATCTGGGGTAACTTCGTGCCTGGCATGATCTTCTTCCAGTCCATCTTTGGATACCTGTCTTTCTCCATTGTCTACAAGTGGTCTGTCGACTGGGCCGCTAAGGGACAGGACCCTCCTTCCCTGCTGAACATGTTGATCTACATGTTCTTGCAGCCCGGTACCCTTGAAGACCCTGACCAGCCATTGTACCCTGGCCAGGCTACCGTGCAGGTCATCCTGCTGCTGATGGCTCTTATCTGCGTTCCCATCCTTCTTTTCTTGAAGCCTTTCTACCTCCGCTGGGAGCACAACAGGGCTCAGGCTCTTGGATACCGCAGCATCGGTGAGACTGCTCGTGTCAGTGCTCTTGACGATGACGACGAGACCAACGGCAACGGTAATGCCAATGGTGGACGCGAGAGCTTCGGAGACGATGGTGATGGCATTGCCATGATCACCCAGGACATCGGCCACGGTGAGGAGCACGAGGAGTTCGACTTTGGCGAGATCATGATCCACCAGGTCATCCACACCATCGGTAAGTTTAACATTCTTCATCCTTCCAGTATCAATCTTTTGCTCACGCCTTCCAGAATTCTGTCTCAACTGCGTCTCCCACACCGCCTCCTACCTCCGTCTCTGGGCCCTGTCCCTCGCGCATCAGCGTCTCTCCATCGTCCTGTGGGAGATGACCATGAAGAACGCCTTCTCGTACACCGGTATCGTCGGCTCCATCCTGATGGTCTTCATCTTCGGTTTCTGGTTCGTGCTCACCGTCATGGTTCTCTGTGTCATGGAGGGCACGAGTGCTATGTTGCATTCGCTGCGTTTGCACTGGGTTGAGGCTATGAGTAAGCATTTCATTGGTGATGGTGTGCCGTTTGAGCCGTTTAGCTTTAAGGCGCTGCTAGAGGAGGATCCGGTCGAGTAGGGTTTTCTTTTGTGTTGTAGGATATGTTGTTGAGGAGAGAGTATATAGAAATGTACAATGTACATGCTCCTAGAGGAAGTTGCTGCAATCGTGATGATCGAGTCCACGCCATTTGCAATTGTAGAAGCCCCTCCCAGGATCTGGGATCAGAGATGCCATGTCTAGTTCGTTGAAGGGAGTTGCGTACCTCCACAGGCTGGGAATCGGTTCACTTTGGTCTTTCCAGCGTACGAAAAGCCTAAGAATTGTATGAGATTGACTGGCAATAGGACGACCGGAGCGCACTCGCCTTTCAATAGAAATCGATTTGGGTATCTCTTGAGACCACTGCTCCAGCACATGCTTCTCCTACATCTTTGCCTCCACGACGGCCTTTTTCTTTTTCTTCTTGCTCTCCGTAAACCCCTTCCTCTCCTCGCCCTCCATCCCCACGGCTTTCAGAACTGCAAACCGTACATCCTCAATCCCCAATCTCTTCCCCTCAACCAGCACCTCGCTACTACACGCCAGAATCTCGCCCAAGGCTCCTCCACCAACAGGCGGTTTGATATCCGGCAACAACGCCCTCATCTTAGCCCTCAACCCCGTGACAGTGCCCTTACTCTTCAACTTCCTCCCTTTGCCAAACTCCTTGATCTCGTTCGCCTTGGGAATGTACAACTTATCCATCTTACTCAGAATAACCTGATGGCTGACACCGGCCAGCCTCAAACTGGCAAGAATGCTGCGATCCTTATCCTTGACCCCATGCTCCGCATCCAGCAGCACAAACACGCGCCTCAGCGCCTTGCGACTCTGAACATACTTCATAATCTCCACACCCCACGCACTCAAGCTCCCGCTCCCATAGCCGGGCATGTCAACGATCACCAGTCCGCCCGGGCCGACGATTTTCTCCCGCCCTGGACCACCGCTGCCGGATAGACTTTCTTGTTTGATGCGCACGCCGGGGTCCGGGGCAATTCCGTAGAGATTCATCGTCTTTGTAAACCCGGGCGTGCTGCTCGTTCGCGCTAACAACGCCTTCGTGTTGCAGCCCATGACCGCATTCAACAAACTGCTCTTGCCCACGTTGCTCCGACCAATAAAAGCGACCTCTGGCACGTCCGTTTCAGGGAGCTTCCGGAAGTGGGCGATGCTTCTGAGGAGTGTGGCTTGCTTGCCATGTTTGTCGAAGAAAGTATTCGCGTGCGTTTTGTTGGGGGGTGTGGGTGGTGCGGTTTCGTAGTACCAGTTGTAGTCGTGTGGGCCGGTGGGAGGCGTCTCTGGAGGCGCCTTGGTCTTCGACTTGGGGTATGATTGCAGGGAGGCAGACGGCGCTGAGGGTATGAGCTCGCCAGTATCTCGTGTCTGCATGGGTAGTGGAGGTTTCGTAGGTTGGATTGGGTCCGAATTCGAGTCGCTTGGCGTTGGAACTGGCGCTGGAGCTACAGCAGCAGCTCTTTGCGGCCGCTCAGCTTGTACGCGTATCACGGTCCCATCTGTGAGCGTGATGGTCTCGGTGGGCGGGAGCTTCGAAGCTTCCGTCGGCGATTGACGTGCGCGCGGTCGAATCCGCAAGCCTCTTCGCTGTTGTACAAGCCCCCGTATACATGATCGACATATCCAACTCGGTGTTGGCAACAGACTCGCCATACTCTCTATCCATCTCGTCGTCAGCGTCGCCACCAAACTGACGAACTTCACCAACAACCAGTGGCCCAAGCGCTCCCCCGAACTTTTCGCCGCAGCACCTCCGCGGTCCAGCATCCCCAACTCCCAACTCCCACTCCAACCACTATCGCAATCCCAAGCCAACCGCCCCGACACCTGTCAATCGCCCACTTGCAAGCGAGCACACGCAGTTGCCATGTCATCCACGCCCCAAATCCGCTCCCTCTACCGCCGCCTCCTGCGCGAACTCCCCGTCAAAGACCAAACGACCCGGACCGCGCACCAAAAGCTGTCTGCCGCCTCGCCTCTGCAAAAGCGTCTACGCGCGCAGTTCTCCACAACAAACCCCAACGCAAACGCCGCGAGTCAGGAGGCGCAGGCAGAACAGTTCATCCAATACGTGCAGGCGCAAAGAATGTACGCGACGCTGATCGAGCGGTATAATCCGGGCATGGGGATGAGCGAGGAGGAGAGGGTAAGGCTGAGTGCGAGGAGGATTGGGATGAATCTGCCGGTCGAGTTTGACGGTGGGGAGGGGAAAGAGTAGGGGGAGAGGGGGAGAGGGGTCATGGGCAATGGGCAATGGACCATGTAGGTTCATCGATTGATGAGACGGAGCCTATGGGAGCATGCGCTTGTGCTGTAAGATATGAGGGGCTATGGGACATCTGGCAGAGAGCCTCCCATATCAGAGAAGATGAGCTGGAAGCCATAAGAGAATTGGCATGTCGGAGGGCATGGTTGTATTGTATTGTGTACGAAAGAAATGTCAAGGTCAACGCCCTGGAGACTCCCAGCAGTTCGCGAAAGAACCGGTACATCTGTTGTCTTGTCTGTGGAGGTAGGCACGCTGCCCTACGAACTCTGTTCGAGATTCTTCTGCAGGAACTCAGGACACTGTGGGGTCATGAAATATATTGCCTTGTATTGCCAATTCTACTACTGCAGGCCTTCAGAGGGTGTGGATCAAACGCCATCGCCGTCTAAGACATTCCACCACGAGGCCTCATGGACATTTGCTTGTGGCCAGGGTTCTCACGGTACCTGTCATGTGTTAGCTAAGAACGCACATCCCAATCATGGCAGTCAGAACCTACTTTTTCACAATCCTCTCAATCGAGTCCATGCCCTTCTCCAACACATCCATCCTCGGTCCGTAACTCAGGCGCACAAAGTGATGACACGGGCTGTCAAACAAATCACGACGCTTGCTAGGGTTCAAATCGAAGAAGATACCCGGCACAACAATGACCTTTTCCTGCAAACAAGCCTGGAAGAAGTTCAATCCATCGTTGATACCCTCTGGCAGTCCGCTCAGATCCAGCCACAGGTAAAACGTCGAGTTGGGCATGTACGGGAATTTGAATCCGATGTCCTGCAGTCTTCCAATGACGTAGTCGCGCTTGGTACGGAAGTGCATCTGCAGCGCACGCATCTCGTTGCGCACGCGCGGCGGGCTCAGCATCTCGACTGCGGCTTCTTGGAAGGGCACATTGCAGCCGCCGTCAAGGTAGGAACCACAGGAACTGATGGCGCTGATGAACTCCTTGGGACCGATGACCCAGGCGACTCGCCAGCCGGGAAGACGGAAGCGCTTGGTCAGACCGTCGATGATGAGCACGTCATCTTCGTCGACGTCTTCGACGTTGTCAGCGGCCGAGATGACCGTGCCGTCGCAGTTAGTGGTGTAGTTGTAACCGCAGTAGAACTCGTCCATGATGAGGGTCGCGCGGTCACGGCAGATGTTTTGGATCTGTGCAAGCTCTGGGTTTGTGACCATCTGGCCAGTGGGGTTCCTCGGGTTGGAAGTCAAGATGACTGAAGTACCACGAGCGATTTCTTCGGCAACCTTGTCGGGCGACATGTGGTACTGGTCTTGCTCGCCGAGCGGGATAGGAATAGCAGCGATGTTCTTGAACAGGGACAACATCTCGTTGTAGGCTGTGTAATCGGGGATGAAGAAGCCCAGGTAGCAGTTGCCCAGGACAGCCGCGATACGGATGAGACCTGCGCGGCCACCAGGCACAATGCATACGTTCTCATATGTGTACTGACTCTTCCTCCACTGGCGGTGATGCTGGTTGTAGAGATTGGCAACTGCCTCCCTCAGCGGCTTGATACCAGCTGTAGGACCGTACTCTCGGCCATGTGCGCTGATGTCGACCTCCCTTGGTCGTTCAAAGCAGCCCTGAATGCTGTCGTCGACCTCTGGCGCTCCCTGGCCCAAGTTTGCCCATTCCTCAGGGTGGTCTGTATTCATCAGCTTATGGTTGTACGGACTACTGGATTGAGACCTACCAGCAAAGCCGTGCTTGTATGCCTGCTCTGATGTCCAGACGACACCAGTTGTGGAGCGGGAGGGATCGAGACCGGCGTGAGGCTTGTGGCCTTCGTGCGATTCACGGAAGTTGCGGTGGATGCTGGAGCCAAGTTCTAGATGTTGAGTTAGTGAAGAAGCTCAAGGGCCCCGTTAATCACCAGCCAAGTTTAAGTCCCACAAGCTTTCGTACATGTCCCTTGCCCATTCCTTTGCTGTTTTCGTCTCTTCACGTCCGGTCCATGCCATCAACTTCGCAAGCTCGATTCCTCTTCCAAGCTCATTCCAACTCGCTGCTCTCGCCTCTCGTCCCTCTCACGCTGCACTCACCATTGCCACTCGGCTCCTTAGAGCTCGAAAACCTCCGCTGGCCATGCCCAGCACCCGCCTTGAGGATCGGAACCTTGTCTGCCGAGAAAGACATATCTTCGTTATGTGTGGTTGATCCCCCGGAAGCTCAGAAACAAGCTTTCGCCCAGGCTGTGGAGGGGTAAGCTTAAGAAAAGCGGGGCAGCAGGGTCTGAAGGTTCGGAGGACGGAAGCTGTTGTGAAACCCCCGAGTCCGATCTGCTAAGGCACTGAAGATGAAGGATGCTGGAGAGTAGGTTTGGGTGGATGAAGGAGGATGGAAATATGTGGGGTAGGTCAAGCAAGCTGCACCGGGCCTTTTATACACGTCAACCCAAGTACGATGGAGAAGTGCCCACCCATACACACCGCAGCTTTGCCGCCATGTGCGCTGGGGTGCGAATCTTGGAACGCGTGCCGTGCCTTTACCACCGATCCCCGATATTCAGCCACTGCAGCCACTGGAGACGATTGACTGCTGGTCCAATCACGTATATGCCGCTATGCGTCGTGCTTCTCGTTGTAACTACTTGTGTAGCACATACAGTCGGCTGGCTTACTTCAGGCTGTTCTCACACCGCCGTATCCGTGGTACGTGAAGTTACCTTGGATGTGCGTTGTTGTGTACAGCTGCTCAGCGGTCTGCAAGCCTTACTGTGGTACGCACATTGCATTCCAGTATGCAAACCTCGGGGAGAATTGATGCCCCTGTCAGCTTACATTCAGCCGCCACGAAAAAGCAATTGCAAGGAGCTGAGGGTGCTGCGATGTCGATCCCGCGGATAATGCCTCATTTTGTCTCAGTCCTGCAGCGCAAGGCTGATCCGGTCAGTCTCCGCACGTTCACTTCGGGGTAATTTGGTGTGTTGGGAGAACTGTGCATAGGTGCAAACATCGTAGGTTCAATCATCACAATATGCAGCGTCGCCCATTGTCGACGCCATAAGCAGGGAATGGCCGTAGCCAGTCTTGCTCTTCCAATGCAAGTGTACCATATACAACACCCATCAGCCCAATATACACAGTTCACAGCACCTATCCTTCACCTTCTTCTTCATATCAGCTATCTCCTGAATGCACTCTGCACCTCGTTCGTCCCCCAATCAACCTCCACCTCACCCTGATATACATCCTGATTGATCCTCTGCACCCTCTCGCTAACGCCAATGTACTTCCTCTCGCACTCCTTGAGCACCTTGAACACGAGGTCTCTGCTGATACTCGGGTCATCGGCATCGCCAAAATGCTTGTCAACGCGCTTCTTGAGCGCTTCAATGCCCTTGCGGACTTCTTTGGCGTCGTGCGAGTGCACGAGCTTCTTGAACACGGAGCGTGAGTGCGATGAGCGTTGGGCGATGGATTGGGGTGAGCCACCGCGGGCGGCGAGGAGGGTCTCGGTGGATTCTATAAACTCCTGGAAGTTTGTTAGCAAAGTCTAAACAGGTGAGGGCTGTGAGCTTACCAGTAGCTTGCCGAGCGGACGGCGGATGACGGCATCGACGTAGAGGTCCATGTGTTCGTTGTACTCCTCCTGCGCTTTGCCTTTCCAGTAGTCAAGTACGGTGTCGGGTCGAGCATCGACTTCTTCCATGTAGTGATTCATGTTCTCGATAAGCAGGATGTGGTAGTTGAGGGCTTCTTTGTCTTCTGGGTCACCCTGGCCCTGTGTGCCCATGACGGTGGGTGATTCTTTGGCGATGACCTTCAAGCTTTCGAACATAGCCTTGTTAATCCTTTGGTAGGCATCGTTAACCATGCGACGGATCTCGAGCTGGTCGCCGCTATCAGATGATGATGGCAACATGTTCTCGATGGCGATTGAGAAGTGGGGGAATGTCTTCATGAAGGCAATAACTCCCTTGCGCTTCTTGATCTTGACCTTGGTGTCCTCGATTGCACGAATTTGCTCGTCGAGAAAACGGCTGAATAGGCTCTTCAGCCGTTCGTGGATCTTCTGCAGTGTACGTGTAAGGAAGTCCTGGTTCGAGTCTTCGATGTCGAGCAATTTACGATCGACGGCCGACAAGATACCCACTCCTTGTAGAGGATCTGACGTGACAGCCCAGTCAACAAGGCTCTGAATTTCGGTAGGCCAGAACGAGAAGATGTCCTCCATGACATCGGCGACACGCTTGGCCATCGATCTGTCTGCCTCGAAATGCTTCCGGATCCACAGGTTTGGTCCACGACGAGACTGTGGCGGCGCAGCGCCTACTGCGTCTGGGAAGTCTATGGCGTCTGTGGAAGTAGCGTGGAAGAATTCTGTGACAAAGTTTTGCTCGGTGAGCAGAACAGGACCGATGTCATCCAAGACTCGCCCGAACACGTCGAAGGCATGCAGCTTGCCGTCTTGTGGCGCTTTGGCAACCTTGGTCTCTTTGTCGCCAGATGCCGATCGAAGGCCACGAGCCAGTGTTTGAGAACGCTTGACAGTAAGCTTACGCGCAGTTCCTGCCATACTCTCAGGCTCTTTCTCTTGAGTGGTAAAGAGCAGATCTTGCTCATCACCTGCAGGCTTCCTGGCGAATCGTCTCCAGGCTAAGATATTGTCGCGGACTTCTTGCTGGTACAGCTGAGCTGCCTGGCTTTGATACATGCGGATCAGAGTATCCCATGACGTTCGGTCGATCTCTTTGGCAAAGAGGATGACTGGACTCAACATCCATAATTCGCTCCGGCCAGCGTCGTGCGCTTCAATGTTCTTCCTCAGAGATGGCATGGAACCTTGGTCGATTGACTTCAAAGCGTCCTTGGTTGTCAAGAAAGCAGCGCCGTAGGTAATCTCCATATGCTTCTTCAATCGGTCCAAGAACATAGCGCCCTCACCCAGGTACCTGTCACGTTTCTCTTGCAAGGCCTGCATAGTTGCAAGCTCACTGTTACCGAAGCCTGAGCTGCTTGTGATCTTGCCGAGACCGGCGCGGCTACCCGCGACAAAGGCAGGATCGATGGTGATAAGAGCCTTATAGAGCAGCACCAGAGCATCTTCGATCTCGATCAAACCATTGATCTTACCGATCGGGGCACGCCGCAGAACTTCCAGTTGCTCAGTAGTGATTGAAATGGTCTCGACCAGCTGCTTTAGTTCGTGTTGCAGCAGGCGCTGGTTAGCTGTCTGCACTTGAAGACCTTGGCTCTGTGCTTCGATGAAAGCAATGTCGTCATTCAAGCTCTGTTGAGTCGTTAGTGGGAAGGAAGGAATTATGCTTCGATACGACTTACACTTAATTCGACGTTGTACAGGGTAAGCAGGCCTTCCAGCTCATCACACTCTGCAATAGCGCGGTCCAGCATGCGTTCGACGGCTTCAACTCGGTCATCTTTTTGTTCGAGGTGGTTAAGCCAACTGCCCGCTTCAACGCGCGCAATTTCGCGCTTGATGTCGATCTCAAGGTTCTCAATGTGCTTTGGCGCAATGGCATTGCCGCCCCACCCAAGTTCTGTAAGCAAGCTTTCGAAGCCCAGACCTCGCTCGTTCATGATAGAAGGATCAATGCCAAGCTTGGAGATGTTCATGACTTGCTGGTTGGAGCGTCTCTTCTTCTTGCGCGGCTCTGGATCGGCTGTGACATCAGGCGCCTTTGCTTCCAGCTTTTCTGGGGTGGGCGCACGAGCTGCCTTTTCCACCGCAGGCTTCGGTTGTGGTTCGACAATGGCCGGAACAGGCGACAATGGGCCCGAAACAGTAACAGCAGGCACGGCTTCCGTTGTGATCTTTGGCAAATCCCGTGACAAGCGACTTGATGTCGGTCTTGATCCAGGCTCTTCCACCTTCTTCTCAACCACTTCTTCCTTCGGTGCTTCCACCGGCGCAGGTCGCTTAGGTACGAACACTCCGCTGATGCCATCTGGTTCATCGGATGTCTTAGTCTCCTTCGCGAACATCTTTGCCGCGGCGCCTCCAGCGCGAGGCTTGAACGCACCAGCTGCTGCCGCTGCCTTCCGGAACTTGTTCGCAGTGTCGTCAGTTCCAGCTGCAGGTAGGATAGTCTTCTTGAGCATTGGGAATCGACTAACAGCAGTTGATGGCTCTTTCTCTTCAACGGGGGCTGTAGCTTCGATAGGCTGAGCCGCAACCGGCTCGCTAGGTGGTTGCTGTTCGACTGGGGGCTCCTCAACGGGTGTTGGCTCGGGCACGAGCACTGGAGGCTCAGGTATAGCTGCAAGCGGAGGCGGTGGAAGCGGCGATGTAGGAGGTGGTGTGGGCTGTGGCGGTGGTAGGTCACTTGGTCCATCTCGAGAGGCAGGCTTAAGCCTATCGGGTATTTCTTGTGGTCTTCTTCGTGGTGGGATTTCTAGAGAGGGTGGCGGTGTCCCTGACGGAGTGTGGAATGCGGTGCCTGCTGCTGCTGCTGCTGCTGCTGCTGCCTCGTTGTCAGTGCTGGCCACACTGCGCTGCGACAGCGATGATGGTTGAGCTTCCATGAACGGTCGTCGGCGCTGTGGAGGTGCCTCTGGACGCACTTCTTCACTGCGCCCGATGTTCGAACTTGCATTACTCTGAGCAGTGCCGGGTCCGAGACCTCTTGGGGACGGATCTTGTCTAGGTGAGGGGAACCCGTTCGGTCTACGCTGCTCAGGTGGAGGCATATTCGGTGTCGCGCTCTCAAACGACTGCTCGTCAAGAGACCTCTGTGATCGTTGGGATCGAGCATCCTCAGCCTGTACTCGTCTCCCAGGGCTTAGTGCTGGCGGCAGATTCATGACATAGTCACCGCTAGATTGTGGTGTTTCTGGCCGCCCGCCAAATGCGGATATGGAGGATTGGGGTGTCAGGTTCTGCGACGGCATTGGCGGTGTTGGTGGCACAGGGTCTCGGACTGGAGGAGGGTGTGGTCTTATACTCTCGCCACTAGGCCGTGAACGAATGCTCTGTTCCATAGACGGTTTCTGCCGTAATGAGGGCACAGGAGGAGTGTTTTGATTTGGATTAAACGGTGAGGGTCTGCGATTGTCGTCTCCTGTATTGGGTCTGCTGCCGCCTCGCACTTGATCATCCTGCTGACCGGGTCTCCTCGGCCCGGCGAACTCGCCAGGAGGTCTTCTGAAATTGGGGTTCGAGTTCTGCGGCGTAGGCCCTCTTCTCCCTTCATCAGATGGTCCGGACGGTAGCTCGCCTGGTCTCCGCGGTGGTGGCCCTGGAGATTTGGGTGGGAACTGCAGTTGCTCAGGAGGGGGTGCCTGTCGCTGTACCGCCGGGTCCTGTCGCTGTATCGCCGGGTCCTGTATTTCTTCACGACCCCCAGCCTTTGCGCCAGCCTTGCCTTCCGCTGTCGCCAACTGCGGCCTCCCGTTTGTCAGGCTGTTCAACTCGTTCACGCTGAAGCCAGTCAGGACGGGAAAGCCTCCTTTGGTGTATTTGTTGTAGATCTTCACCATACTACCGATGAAGAACTCCTTCTCTTTTGCCGTTCCAGCCTCCCAGTAGTACGGCTTCGTGATGGTGACCAAGAAGCCCTTGTCCCCAGCCCACTGCTTCTTCTGCTCCTCGTCCTGGGTCCTGGGCTCCATGTGTACGAAGTTCTCGACGGCCGAGAGATCCTCCATGGGCCAAGACTTGCCAATCGAGAATGTACCATTGGCGTTCTCTCGTGCCTTGTGCAGCTTGACTCTGCCCGTATTCCTGACTGAGATCATGATAACGCGACCCTTCTTGTTCGAGGACGACGAGGTGGGCGGAGGCGGCGATTGAGGGTAGGTGGCGTCTTCCTGGACGCGAATGTGGGTGATGTATGATTCCTGCAGCTGTCCCTGGTCATCCACCTTGGAGAAGCAGCTGTCGGTGATTCGGCGTCGCTCATCGTCGAACCGCTCGGCGCGGGACATGCCAGACGACGCAGCGCCTGAGCTGGCAGTGGATGACGGACCCCTCGGGCCTCCAGGCGGAAGACCTCTCCCAGGGCCTCGAGGGTCTCCCAGCCCGTTTGGGTAGTTGTTGCGCGGCCTGCCGTCCATCTTGGCGACTGTGCTGGAACGTTACACTACAGCTCTCTCGGTAGAGTTCAGATGGCAAGGCCAGTAGGGCCGGGTTCCTAGGCTAGTGCGGCTATGCGCAAGCGGGCGAATCCGTAGACGTGGCCATCCAATGTGAGGCGTGCGCTCGAGGGACCGTGTCGAGGAGCGAATGCGTCGATGGGCGGAGCTGCACGCAAGCAGGGGGGAGGGGGGGTGGGGGAGGGGGAGGGGACACGGTGGATTCGGCGATAGGGGTGGAAGCTCCCAGAGCTCTATGCGCGGAGTCTGGCGGAGCGGTTAGCCAAGGAAGGCCGTGGACGCGCAACGTGCTGCGATGCGGAGGTCTGGTGTCTGTGATGTGGTAACTCCACAGCTTGACCGGGGTGGTGCCGCTAGTGATCTTAGCGCGCCTCCATGTCGCTGCCGCCTGAACTTTTTCCATGTCGAACTTTTCTGTGCGCGCAACAGCACTCGACCTTCACACCCACCAGAGACTCAATTGCGACTCCACCATGGCCAAGCCCGACAAGAAGACCATCACGGCGCCGGCCAATGTTCAGACCGACCTCGATCTCGTCCAGGCGTTCCTCAAACAAAACGGCCACGAGAGTGCGGCCAGCAGCCTCACGGACTACGCAGCCTGGGCCACAAAGCAGGCTAACAAGTCTGATGCTATGGACGTAGACGAGAAGAGCGCCAGCAGCAGCGATGCAAGCAGCGACAGCAGTTTGGACAGCGACTCCAGCAGTGACTCTAGCAGCGCGTCCGAGGCAGAGACTAAGAAGCCGGCGAAGAAGGCCAAGAAGGTCGCAAAGAAGGACGACTCAAGTTCCAGCAGCGACTCCAGCTCGGATGAGTCCTCCGACTCGGACAGCTCTTCTGACGAGGAGGCTGCACCAGCGCCCAAGAAGGCGAAGAAGGCAAAGAAGGCCAAGTCGGTTTCCTCTTCGTCTGCCTCCTCCTCCAGCGACTCCAGCGACTCCAGCGACGACTCCAGCAGCGAGGCTGAGGCTGAGCCCGCCAACGTGCCCCTCCCCAAGTCCGACGACTCGTCGAGCGCCTCCAGCGATTCGGACAGCTCTTCAGACAGCGACAGCGACAGCGACAGCAGCAGCTCTGAGTCCGAGGATGAGAAGCCCGCGAAGGCTAAGAAGGCCAAGAAGGCTGCCTCGGTCTCTTCATCGTCAGCATCGAGCTCCTCCGACAGCGACAGCGATTCTGACGGTGAGCCTGCGAAGAAGGACGACTCATCTTCATCCTCCAGCGACTCGAGCTCCGACAGCGACTCCGACAGCGACTCCGACTCCGACTCCGACTCCTCGGATGACGAGAAGACCACAGCCGCCAACCGCAAGGGCTCAGACTCTTCTGCAACCCTCGCAGCAGCATCGCCGCCTGCTCCCAGCAACAACAAGCGCAAGCGCGACGGCGAGGATGAGCAGCCCAACAAGAAGCGCAGTCACGTCGAGAACCGCTTCCAGCGCATCAAGCCCGATGTCGACGTCCGCCCCGAGCTTGCCAGTAACGCCTACGTTTCGTACGACTACGCCGACCGCGCGCACGCCAAGTTGATTGTCACCAAGGGCAAGGGCTTCACAAAGGAGAAGAACAAGGGCAAGAGGGGCTCGTACCGCGGTGGCATGATTGACACATCCGGCGGCAAGGGCTTCAAGTTTGAGGACTAGAGGATGAAGAGAGACATGGGTTGACAGTGGACATGCAAACACGTTTTGGCGGGTGCATTACATTGCATTATAGAAGGATGCACGGCTTCTCGGCGTGTACGATTGGCGAACAGGAGTTACCGGCAGCGCAAAAGTTATCATACCCTTTTGGCGGCACGCGCCGCAGCGATTTTGGAGGAGACGAGCCGTCATGTTGATATAGAGCGACTTGTGTAGTAAACAGCATATACAGATAGAATCACGCAACATGTTCAAGTAGCCTCCAAATCCGCTTGGTATCTGACTGAACATTGCTCCGGCCAGTCGCCTTCAAGGTCTTGCTTGCCAGGCTAGGAGGAATTCACGCAACCGAAAGCAAGAACATCCAAGTCGGACACCACGGCCTCCGAGCTCCCAAACCAATCACCCCGACACCCGTCTCACGCATCTTAGATTTCAACGTTGCAGCATCTCCAGGAAGCATCTAGACTCAGATAGGACGTTAAACCAATCAATCCAGGAAGCTTGACCCCTGCCAATACTAGTTTAGGCGAGCAATGACGACAACGATCGCGAGCTGGAATCCAGCACACCATACATCACGGTTTCAGTGATGTCTGAGCGCCGAATATACGGCCGAACCAAACAGCCAGAAATCATAGCTATGCACTTGAAGACCCTGATCGCCATGCTCCGTGGCGCTTGTTGTTTTCCTGAACTTACAGCTCTTGTGATCGATCCAACATGACACTCCTACAAACCCTCCTCCGCGCAACAGCATTCAAGAACCCTCTCTTGCGCACACTAGTTCCTTCCGTTGCGCTTACATACAGTATCTAAACCGCCGTCGCAGTACCCTCGATCGCTGCGCAGACGGAGAAATACTATGATTTGAGCGACAGCTTAATGTACCTGAGCTGCGTGGGCGCATCTCTTGTGTTGCCGTATCTGCGCGCACAGCAAGCTGGACTTGCAGCAGGAGGTCTGGCCGAGTATTTGAGCTCTGCGGGGCTGGGGCGGGGGATGTGGTGGTGGAGACAGGCGCTTTTGAGTGCTGCGGTGGGGATATGGGCTACTCGTTGTATGTGCCTTGTACATGACGAGTACACGTAAAAGATCAAAGTCCTCCGCTAGGAACCTTGCATCATGCTTCATTTGCTTAATCGCCTCACCTTCCATGATGCCGTAAACGAAGCACACTCCAACCAGCCTCCAACATGTTCCACCAGGGCGCAAAACAAAAGGCATTCTGCCACCAAAGGACATCACAGCTTGATCTCCCAGCTGTACCGGACCGTTAATAATGCCCAAAGCCCCCTCTTCCGTCTCGAACATTGGATATCGACGAACGACTTTCGTGGCATCTCTCAAGAAAACGTTTTGCCCGCAGGTCAAAATCCGAGGAAGTGATAAGTAATTCAGTCCCAGCAAAGTCCTGGATCATGAATTTCGTATAATTGTCCAGATATCGCGATTGTCTTGCTGTATCGCGGGACAGGGTTAGCCTGTCGATACTTTCTCCGAGACTCACTGTCGAAGTACGCAACGCACACCGTACCGAAGTCAAAGGTTACGAAACAGTGCGTGAAGATTTTCGGGATCTCGCTGGGCCTTAAGCATAACCGTTCTCAATTCAGCCACGCGGACCTCCCGCATTCTCATGTATTCGTAGCCGCTATGCTTTTGTTCTGACAGAGTTGCTCTGAGCCGTCTGCTGGCGCGCCAATTTTCATAGAAACACGAGCTGCTCGTATATCGAGTCCACTTCCACTACAAATACAATACCGCGAACAGACGGAACGGTTCCAAGCCCCCTTCAGCTCCCAGCCAGACGAAGCATTGTCATGTTCGATCCTTCTGACTGGCAGAACTGTGTGGCTTCCAGCCCACTCAACTCCAAAGCAGCATAGCACAAATGCTGGTCCTTGGTACAGCCATCGGGACGTGGGCCTTAAACCATCAAACCCAGAAGACAAGAACGCAAATGTTTAAGCACCTCGACTGCGAATGCCGGTATGAAGTACCGCTCGCTTGGCCTCCACACATCGCGCCCAATGACCAGTCTCGAAGCTTGGGCGGAACACCCGCAGCTGAGGCCCAGACAATGATCGTGGCTTCCCTAGGTTTGTGGAGAAGTATAGGGTAGCGACCACACGGACCTGTCGGTCTGGTTCTGGCTCTGCCGGTGACTGTAAAGAGTAGTCGTGGCGTGACTGCAGATGAAGGATGCGAGCATCTACCACACAGCACATCGCAACGTCGACTCTGACTCCCAAACAAGACATCACGACGACGGAAAACGTGGACGCTGACCATGCAGACCAGGTGGAAGTCAAGGTCCATATCCACGCCAAAAACAATCATTGCTGTGCTTGTAAGTTACCCTCCACAAGTTGGCCCCCTCACTGACGAGTCAGGTCGTATACTCGATCTTCTTTATCCAACTCATGGCCGTTGTCGATGCGGGCTCGCTGGGGTAATACATGACATCGTCGCTTGGGAGTCCGACGCTATCAACATGATTTTCCTCGTCGATCACTATTCTCACGCTGGCGACAATCCTGCCCATCAGCCAAGCGGCGGACTACTGGGACCGTAAGAACCTCATCCTAGGCACGACAACTCTGGGACTTGTCGGGGCGATCATGATCTCGCGCTCGCAGAACATAGCTACTGCGATTGCTGGAATGGTCGTGGTCGACTCTGCCTACAGCTGTCAGTCGCTTTGCTACGCCATCCCGTCTAAAATTTTGCACCGAAAGTACCGCGCGTACGGCCAGGCAGCAACGCACATATCTTCGGGTATTGGAGGCTTGAGTGGTGTCCTGGTAGGCGGCGCTCACTTTCGAAGCAACGTCCCGAACTGGCGGATCTATTGGTACATATGTGCGGCTTTGTTCGCCTTCGGCCTGGTCGGAGTCTTCTTCGGATACAAACCCCCAAAGCGTGAGCTGGAGGTCGCAATGGGCCCTAAGGAGAAACTACGACGCATGGACTGGATCGGGAGCTACCTCATCGCACCAGGTCTTGTGCTACTCGTTATCGCGCTCCAGTACTCATTTAATCCATACACCTGGACAGACGGACACGTGCTGGGCCGGTTCGTCGGCAGCATTATCTGTCTGGCCGCGTTCAGCATTTGGAAATGGAAGGGCACCAGCAGCGGCATCCTGGGTCACTGTCTGTTTTGCGGCCGAAAATTTCCGCTCGCTGTTGTCGCCATGTTTGTCGAGGGCCTGGCGTTCTTCAATGTGACAAACTACTTTGCCTACGAGCTTGTCTTCCTGCACCACATCCACTCATTCACAGGCAACCTCCGTTTCACCTTCGGCTTCATCTCCTTGATTGTCATGGCTTTCATCGTCGGTGTCTACACCGGATCCGAGAGCCGCTCGTTGCTGGGTTTCTCTGCCTGACGCTTTTTTTGCGTTTTCATGGCCTTCTACCGCGCTGATCTGCCACTAGCCAACTCGTTCGGTTACGCCGCCTTCGCTGGTTCTGGTCTTGGTTTTATCCTGAGCAACCTCATGGTAGCAGCTCACATGGGTACCCCACCCGACATGATATCGCTGTGCTCCGGGCTTGTAACGGCGTTGAGGTCGTTGGGCGGCGCCACCGGACTCGCAATCAACCACAGCGTTTTCAACAGCAGTCTCCAATCACAAATTCCCAGCAGGGTTGCGGCGGCTGTACTGCCTCTGGGCTTCAGTCCGCAGAACTTGCCTGCGTTGATCGGTGCGCTGTCCAGCCAGAAAGAGTCTGCTGTTCGCGTCACAGGAGGCTTTCAAGGTGCCGTTCAGCAAGTTGTGGATTGCAACTGCGGTGTTCAGTGCAACAGGTATCATTTGTAAGTCGACGGCCATGATTCCAAACAAGTACTGATTAACCTAGGCTCAATCCTCATTGGTAACCCAAAGAGTGAGTCCAAAGAGTACATTGACCCGCCTGTAGAGATAGAAGTTGCGTTCGCATAGGAGGAAGCCGAGAAGAGATGCTACAACGCTTAGACATAGGATGAGGATTAGGAGATTGCTTCGTACGGTGAATAATCTTCAACACGTTGACAAGCAAAGATATGCAGCAGCATGGGTGAAAATTGAACATGCTGACCGGGTCATACTAAGGCTCCTGCATTCAACATTGCCTCTTCCCTTCGCCGTCGAGCTTCGCGCTTCGTTTCTTTCTGCGCCTGATGAGCTGCTCTTGTGGCCTCATGCTCCGCCTTCCTCAACTCGTACTCACGCACGCGTTTGTCGTACTCCCTCGCCCTTTTCTTTTCTGCCTTGATCTTGCTCTTGATCTCGCTATGCTGAGCAGAAGTGACGCGCCATGGAACAGACAGAATTGTAGTCTTGAAAGCTGCTGTCTCTGCCCAAGCTTGCGCCTCTTCGTTCGTCGAAGAGACAATGTGGACTCTCTTCAATTCCAGTTGCTTCACACCACGGAATTCGGAGATCATTCCCTTCGCTTTCAGAACTGTGCCAATGTCCAGACTAAGGTGATCGACTGTGATTTCGAAGACACCAAATTGACTGATGACGTTGACGTTGCTTATAGTGGTGTTTGAGGAAGGATTCTTGGAGCCCTGTTCTCCTGAAACGGTTCTCACAATCTTGAGCTCAACAGTTGCGCCACTTCCATCGTCCAGCGTGAGGGCCGAATACTTGAGATTAATGTCGTCAATAGCTACAACGACGCCAACGACACGTACGAAACGTATGGGATGGTTGAGGTAGAAATATATGTTTTGGCCTAAACAGCATATCAGCATGTGCTGTCTCGCTCCATACAGCCACTTCTACCTTGGAAATCGGGCTCTGATCGTAAAGTGTGCACATCGGCAGCAGTGAGCTTCACCCAGGCATTGTACGTAGGCGATGACTGGAAGCAGTACGCCGGGTATAGTCGGTATGGGCGCGTTGTTGGATGCTTTGACATATCATATTGTGTTGATGATGTGTGAGACGAGAAGGAAATGGCGGCGACGCGTCGAAGAAACACCAGACTGGCGCACCATCACGTGAGTGATTTTAGCGGCTGCCCCACCTTCCCGGCTTGATGCACCTCGCTGCAAGCGCATGCACAGCATTCACACCACACTCGTAATGCGTATCCGACTGAGCCGCTTCCAAGACCGAGACCTGGTTCGCATTGTAAGGAACAAACAAGGCTTCTGCGCTCTTTATCGATAATAACAACTCGTCAGATTCCACCAACAAGCATCTCCAGGGAGGGGTAGCAGGCTTTACGAGCTGGGTCTGCCCAGCTTGCAGAGCTAGGTGTACATCCTCATCACATCTCAACACAGCCGTTCTGGTGCAAAATACAGGAAGCACAGTCCGGAAAGACGCTGCTAATCCAGGCGATGGACCCACTGGACGTGTAAAATCCGTGCAATTAAGCTGTCAATAATGCGCCATCCCACCGAACCGTCCCTCAGCTGCATGTCTAAGATGACCTAGTAGGCTGACCTTGGAGCTGCAGCTTGGAGCTCTAGCTTACCTCGACCTTCCATGCCGTTATGACCATGGTCATCAGGTAGGCTGGCAGCCCGCCGGTAGTCCGGCTGCCTCCTTTCTCTGCTTCTTTTACTCTCACTGTCACTTTTGCGCCCGTTTTTGCTGGCGTGCCTGTGTATATCTAGCACCAAGAAGCTACAAAAAGGCGTGCTCTGTGTCGCAAAGCTCTGCGCATACTCTCTTGACCCTTTGACTACCTCCTCGATAGGATCCAGCTCACCTCACACCATGCGCAACTTTGCGCCTTTTCAGCTCGTCGCTGTGGTCTTCGCTGCGCTTTGCGCCGCAACGCCTGAAGCAAGACCGGATGCCGAAGCGGACGCCGCACCTCAGATTACCAACAATGCACCATTCTCAGGAGCGGTCTACCTTGTCAATCCCAATGGCCAGCAAGTGACGGCACAAGGTACCAACTATTGCCCTTCATCTGCGTCACAGAGCTGCAGCTCCGTGAATGCGCCCAGTTGGTAGGTTGCAACACACCATCGCAGAGCCAAGGCTAAAGCTTTGACCAGGTGCTGCCCTGCCAATTACGCATGTGTCGTGCCTGCAAATTCGAATGGACTCCTCGGATGCTGTCCATCGGGGAGTACCTGCGGCGGTTATGTGAATGCTGCAGCCATATCGACAGTCACAGTACAAGCGCAACAATACACCACATACGTACAGCAGCCGACATCCTTTGTGATCTACAACGCGCCAACCACCGTTCAAGGCGGCTTCTGCGCGACTATCACAATGGATGGGCCTGGTCTGCCAAGAGCAGCCGAAGGACAATGCGGAACAATCCTGCTCGTTGCCGAAGGGGTCTCTTTGAAGATCATCGGCGTGGGCGCCGGCGTTACAGCAGTGCTATTGCACATCGCACTGGGCCGTATGTTTCGCTGATATGGATGCTGGTATCCCTTATGACATTACGATTTATGAGCACACGACGCTATGCGAACATAGACAAGCGATTCAGTTCACCAGATAATAATCTAGTTTCCCCTTTCAGCATCCTTTTTGTCGTTCTTGGGCACGTTGATCATCTTCGGTACGGTAACGGCGTTGAGGTGACGGAAGGCCGTCAGTCAGTACAATGCTCGAAGATATGAGCTGTTTTGTAGGATGGCCACTGCAATGGTCCTGACACGAACTAAGGAGAGAGAACTCACATTCGCAATCGCCCCATCCGGCAACTTCCCATCCCATTTATCCTGCACCTTCTGCACCCTCCCCTCCCCATCAAGATGAATAGCCACCACACTACTCACAACCTGCTCCTTCCCAATCCCCTCAATAACATACCTCATCTTCAAGTCCGTTGGAATCGGATTCGCCGTACCCTTAACGCTACGATGCTGTCTCTCAATCTCACTAAACGCGCCCTGCAGCCCATACCATTGTGCCTGGTACTTCTCGCGGCCCTGCGCGATAGTGATGGGATCCTCGAAGGTCGCGTCGTCGCGCTAGAGAGCGAGTCTTTGGAGAGACGGGTGTCCGGCAAAGAGGTCGAGGATCGAGCCGAAAATGGGTTGTTGCTGGGTAGAGAGGGTGACGCCGGGGGTGGTGGGAATGTTCGTGTTTTCGATGTTGAGGAAGGAGAGGAGGGATTGGGAGGGAATTTCTGTTACGGCTTCAGCTTGGAGTTCTCAGCTGGAGGTGCTCAGATTGGTAACAGAGAAGGGACATTTGGGCTGATGTTGTGAATCTGGATATCTGTGAAACTGCGGGGTTTGATAGTTGTCTGAACGATGTGTTACAAGTTCGTGTGATGGTGAATGGACGCATTGATTCAATTATGAGGATTTATCTACGCATATGAGCACCTATCCAACCCTCCTTTATGCGACAGCTGGTCGTGACGCGTTCTCACTTGAACGCGTTCGGTGCAGAGTCCAAGACGTCATCGGTTGGCTTGAGACGTTCCAGTGGATAGAGCAGATCATCGCGGGTTTAAACTCCAGGGTTGCAAAAACGTGGTTTCCGCTTCGCGAAATCGATCCTTCTTATGATTCAATTGGGGAGGAATGAGAATCCGATCTTCCATATCGCAATTCTGACGTTGGTGCATCCTGGCTTCGGCGTGTAGTCGGTCAAATCCAAGGTTCGCAGGCGGTCGTTGGCAATCTCATACTTTGCCTTTATATTGATCTCTTCTCTCAGACCAAAACTGACCTGTGAAAGCCCATGAATATTTTGACCTTTACGTGAAATCATAGACTGCAGCCGACTGTATTCAAAAAATTGAAATTCCTCGGCTGAGCTGAGGCCAAGCCATCTATTTTCGCAATACTGCGCCGCAGCCAGCCACGGGCACCGTTGCTGGAAACGAGTCTGACTGGAAGGAAGACAGCTCGCCTTGGCCCGTGCCGTAGGGCTGAGTGTCGATGCTGCCCAAGTTTGTGCTTCTCTGGCTGGCACACAGCACGACGAGAAATGGAAGCGCTGCTTCGCCGTTCTCGACCAGCGTCACGCCCAAGATACGCCTTCAGAGCTTCTAAAGAGCAAGATTTCTCCATCAATCCCTTGACTGTGCCGCTCAGTAATGTAAGTTAGGATGGGGCGTGGTTCAGATATCAGCTCAGCAGCCACTCAGACGGGTGTGGCTCCTGCAAGTCGCACTCAGCTTCGGGCGCCCCTTGATCGGTGATTCTTTGTGAACAATGTCAGATTTGTATATTTGCTAGGTTACGACCTTCGAGTGTCGCAAGCTGTCTGTACATCAACACCAAGATCATCAGCATGCTGCACATCCGTCAAAAGCGCGCCTCGAAAGGCGTAACATTTGCGAACCTACAAACACAAGCCTCGAGTAGCAAATCAGCATCCGCATCGGTGACAACGCAACCAGCGACAGCTTCAAAGTCCAAACCCAAGAACCCAAAATTGAGACATGCTCACAATGCCTCTGCGACAACCTCCAAACGCTCATCACAGCAACCTTCTGCCACACCTGCAAGAATTAGCAACCGTCAACGGCGACTCGCGTCCCTCTTCATGGCGCTCATGGCCTCGAGTCCTCTTCCAATCGAGACCGATGCGGAAACACTTGAAGCTGCTCAGAAAGCTAGCATCGCGCCCAAGGCACAACCCAACCCAACGCACAAACGAAAGGTCACCACGACACGTGTTCATGAAGTCAGGGCGGGTCGATGGAAGAGGTTTCGGTTCGAGCTCAGTCTCAAGACCAGGAGGAAGGGCAAAGCGAAGAGGTGGGAGGAGGTTGAATTGGATGACATGGTGGAGCTCAGAGGAGAGGAGAGGAGAAAGCGCGACGATATGTCTTGATACGGCGACACAGAGGGATGTAATGATATGCGCTGGTCGTTGGTGTCCCAGTTCACATTGGCTTATATTTCGATAATCGAACATCTTCATGTTTCATGCCCAGCAGTCGCTACCTGCAGGATACGCTCTTCCAGCCCGGGCACGTGTATGCATTCGATTCCATGCTGTTGCAGCTTCGCTATGCCCTCATTGGCACCGACAAACTTCTCCGGCTCCTTGACTCCAAGATAGACCTTCTTAATCCTCAGTCGACCATCCGGTCCTTTCGTACGAATGAGACGATCTACGCATGGTATATTGCCAACAGATCTCTTGTTGCAAGGCTCCATCGTAGTGTAGATGACCGTATCTGCTGGCAGTACTTCCCCAACACGCTCCTCAGGCAGACCATGTGCTTTCGCAAACTTTATCAGGCAGCATTGCTCGGCATGTGTATTGCCTTCGCACTCCAAAGTATAGCCTCTCTCGAGGATAGTGCCAGTGTCTGCATCGACTAGCAAGGCTCCAACACAGAAGTTCGTTGGCTTCGGGGGTGACTCCTGTGCTTGGTCCAGGGCGAGGCGCATGTATTGTAAGTGGTCATTGGGGTCTGGTGCTTGTGCTGGTGGAGCTGGGCCGTCCCACATCTTCACTGGTCCTTCCCATTCTTCCGGCATTTTGATAGTGAGAGACAAGTGTAAAAGTGAGGCCCTCGAGAGTGGAGATTCTGGTGATGCCAGAGTGGGTCCTTATCGATACCAAAGACCCACTTTCACACGCGACGCGTCTCTCAGCTCACCATGCACTTGACACTTCTCGAACATCATAACATTTCCACGAACCAGCGTCATGGTGAGGAAACAGAAGAAAGACTACGAAGGACGCAGTTCACATGACGAGGAGATTGGCCAGGAAGAGGATGGCCCACCCACGATCGACCCGTATGAGGTACTTGGCTTGGAGCATGAAGCCACGGCCGATGATGTGAAGAAAGCATACAGGAAGATGGCGCTGAAACACCACCCAGGTATGTAATGATTCATCTCGTCCCATGTTTTGCTAACAGTCTATAGACAAGGCCGCCGAGGGCGAGAAAGAAGCCGCGAATAAGAAGTTCCAAGAAATCGCATTCGCCTATGCCATACTATTAGACGACCGCCGACGAAAGCGCTACGACCTCACAGGCAGCACCGCCGAATCTCTCGAGGATGAAGAGGACTTTGACTGGCTCAGCTTTTACCGTGAACAGTTCGAGAACGTCATCAACGAGGAGGCTATCAACAAGGTCTCGAACGAGTACAAAGGTGGTCAGGAGGAGCACAGGGATCTGTTGAAGGCATACAAAAAGTACAAGGGCAACTTGGACCAGATCTATGAAGCGGTCATGCTGTCGGATATCCTCGTGGACGACGACCGATTTCGAGAGATCCTGGACGACGCCATATCGAGAGGCGAGATCGAATCATACCCTGCATATGCAAAGGAGACAGACGAAACGCGCCTGAAAGCCAAGAAAGCTGCGAAGAAGAGCCGCGACGAGTTCGACAAGCGCCAGGCAGCCGAGGAGGCTAAAGGAAAGAAGGTGGGCAAGTCGAACGGCAAGACAAAGAGCAAGAAGAGCAGTGGCGGAGACATGTCAGATCTAGCGGCACTCATTCAGCAGCGCCAGAAGTCAAGGGCAGGAGGCTTCTTTGACCATCTCGAGGCGAAGTATGCGCCCAAGTCGAAAGGCAGCAAACGTGCTACGCCTATGGAGGAGCCGCCAGAGGAGGCATTCCAGGCCACAGCTGTTCGAGCGAAGAAGCGTAAGCAAAACAAGAAGGTCGTGGACGAAGACGAGGATGAAGACATGGATCTTGGGGAAGAGGACATTGGTGACTCTGACGAAGATGAGGAGGAAGAGGAGGCTCCACGCAAAGCTAAGGCGCGTGGCAAGGCCAGAGGACGAGGTCGTGTCAGCAGCATTGCTTGAAGCTTTGGTCGATCCGGTCTTCACGACAATTTGTCGAATCCCGAAGGTCTCATCGAAAGTACATCTTGGAAGATTATGCATAGCATGGCGTCTGGTCATTTGGGTAGGCTGTGGGATCTGGATAGTAGCTGCGATCAAGTGTCGCAAGCACATGGCAGCCAATCGTAGTATACCATTTTCTTTCCACCCGAATTCTGATCTTCGAACTCTCTTGCTCGATCGTCCGTTGACCCGGCGTTGCCAGCTGCTCAGTGGTCCCGCCTCTCATTCGACTGGAAAAACCTGGAATTATGCTCCGAACAGTGACTGCAAAGCCAAAACCCAAGTATGGGTGCTCTTAGCAGTTCTAAGCACAACCTGGAGGTATTCAGAGTATTGTACCGCTAGTGCAGTAGGGTTGTAGTCAATTGATCAGATTCGAGTTTCTCGGTTGCATCAGAGTCTGCGTGCTGTTTCAAACTCTCCTTCACCGTGAGTCTTAGTGTGTTTTCTCCATAGCAATCACCTCGATTCACTCTTCGACCAATCAAGTTACGTACACAAACAACATGCCCACAATTGACACCCTCGATCGCAACTTCGCTTTCTAACGCACAGAATAACTCTAACACTGAACGCCGCGGGGCTGTCGCAACCTAAGGAAGGAGCCACACAACCATGGCGGCACCAACACCTCCAAAGACACCGACGGCCAGGAAGGTAAGCGAGAACCTACAACCGGGAACATGTCACACCCTGATACGTCTACAGTCTCTTCCAGGCTCGCCGTCCGCGACTACGCCGAGCGTTACAGCTTTAGGCTCACCTATATCGATACAGAAGCGCAAGTGGCAGGGCGGCGTGAGTGTTTTGTGTAGTCATGGCCTCGACAGAACCTGACGTGTACAGAACATATCGTTACCATTACAAGGCTTGACACAACCTGAGAGCGCGAGCGAAAGCGTACCTTTCGCCCAGATGATGCCTGCGAAGAGGCAGAAACTTGGTGAAGAGATCAAAGTTGAGGCAAGTGCAAGGCAAGGGCTGGAGGAACTTACACGCTGATAACACCCCGGCGACGAACCAACGCCCGGCCGAAGCTTTTGGATAAACATTGCTGACTACCTCCAGCAGCAGCATCAGTACCTTGCTATGGCCGTATCGCCACTTCGAAACCAAAGCTTCGCCCAGAACCCATCGAGCTCGCCCCTAAGGCCACCGCATGTTCAACAGCCTGGCAAACCGAACCTGAACGACATGCCCCAGAAGATCTTCCTGGCCGCTCTCCAGAGCAATCGCACACTTGTCCCAGCAAACCCTGTAAACAACCCATTGAACTCACAACGCATCGATGCTGTCGCACATGCCATGTGGCAGGTCATCTTCATCAACGAGAACATGATGAAGGGAATTACCACGAAAGCCTCCATGCTCCCGCAGCTCAAGCTTCGCGCGTTGGCCAGGCTGAACTATCTGCCGAGTTGGTGGTTCATTCGCGAGATGGCGTGTGGCGTTATGGCGCGTCAGGGGTGGCTTATGGACGACAGCGAGATGCAAGGTCTTTGGAAAGAGACAGTGGAGTGGTGTACAAGGGTGGAAATCAAGGTCGGAATGCAAGGTGATAGTGCCGCGGCAACGAAGCAAGAAGAACGTCTGGTCCAAGCTCCTACGGTTCGGGAACGAGTCTTGAAAGTGGAGTCTTAGTTGGGCGGCGCATAAACAAGGGGAACTGTGGGACCAAGACATGATCCGTCTATCTTTGTGCCACCAAGACATGCTGCGAAGATGATGTCTGTCAGACAGGAGCAAGCCCTCAGATACAAGGCTACAATATCTCTGATCCTGACGCTTGATGCGGCACCATTGATTGATACTTATTTGTAACCCGAACGATATTATATACCTCTAGGACTAAGCATGGACCCACCTCTCTCCCCTCTCCCATTCCCACTCCCACACTCCTCGACTTAACACTCCACGATCTCCTACAGCGCTACCCAAACATTTCCCTATGGGCCATAACCGCCTATGCCCCCGAGCATTATGGACGCCAGAAGCTCGCGCGCTTCTGAGCATGGTGTACATCCCGCCAACCGTGTACTCGCTTCACAACCCGCGGCTTTGCGTTGGAACAACGAGTGAAGATCTTAAAGAGCCCTTTGCAACTGAAAAGGCTTGGAAGAGAGCGAAGGAAAACATCGATTTTGGAGGCTTAGTAGAGATTTGATTGGGGGGAGGAAGGAGGGGTGGGCGCAGTGGAAGGGGAGGGTGGAGAGGTTCTAACGGTTGATCAGCTGGCTGGTTCGTAGTGAAGATGTTTGCTGCGTATATGCAGGTGTGGCTATCTGATCACTGACAACGAGGTGAAATCTCTTTATTGGCGTCTGGTATGTTCCACGCTCTCATGGGCAATCTTGAAGCGCTCCAAGTGCTTTTATCGCTTTTGGTTTGGACGCTTATGTTTCCAGAAGACACGCCGCTGTTCGATCAGCATAGCTTCGCAGCCAAACAGCGTTCGCACACCTGCTAAGGTTGAACAAACGCGCGAGGCCAACAGCTTTAAAGCTGCCCCTTCTGCACAATCATCTTCATCAGCCGGGCCCGAAACTCCACACAATTTCCGTGCCGCAAGTCACACAATCATCAAATCTTCCGAGAAGACTAAACGTGCAGCTCGCAACGCCCGTATTGTCGATGATGGCTCAGTTTAGTCGAGTTGGCCGCTTCCAGATCTTTTGCGACTTACATACCAGACGGGAGATCCTTCTATATCAGCTTGCGAAATATGGGGTTCGCACAACGCGACACCGTAGGTCTCTCTTCACATGTATCGAGTTGGCCTTGCTCCATGCGCTTTGTTGATATCATGTCGGCGCTATTAAGAATCCAGTCTGTGACTATCTAAAAGGGTACGACAGGTGTCTTGACTCGACGTATTTGTACATGACGGTGTGTTCGATGAATTTTGATGAACGGCATTCCACATGTAGATGTGCGTAGTCCGTAAAAGATTCTCGACGCACGCATCTCTTTTTGAGAAGATATGATCCCATTTGTGATGATTCTGACAAGTTGTGAGGAAGAGTGAAGTACAAAGATCGAAGGAAGAAGTAACACCAAGGGTCTACAGGAGGCTCCACATTACATCAACCCCGCAAACCCTGCATTTCTTTCGCACAAAACTTACACTAGCGGCATAAACTTTCTAAGAGCGCAGACAACACTGGAGAACTGCACTTTTGACAACATATTCCTCAAATACCAATCGGAACTTACACCTGGAAAGAGCTAGAGATAAATCAAGCAACATGGCGCGCGACGACTCAGACTCAGATTCCGGAAGCTCAGTGGGGAGCATCGTCGAAGAGAGAAGCGAGGCTGATGAGACAACCTTCAAGTGCTTGTTTTGCGACCAGCAATTTGCGCGCGTCCCAGAGATGTCGTCGCATTGCACATCAGAGCACGGTTTTGACCTGAACGAGACAGTCAAAAGTCTCGGTTCAAGTGCGCCCTACCACGCCTTTCCTGTTTGGGATATCGCTAACTTGCTTCAGAGGCGGATGAGATCGATATCATTAAGTTGGTGAACTGCCTAAGGTCAGAAGCGCAGAAAGGAACGGATCCCAAGAGCATCAAAATCACTTTGGAGGACTTGAGTGACAAGTACCTCCAACCAGTACTCGAGGATGACGCACTACTTTTCGAACTTGGAGACCTCATGCCAGACAACGATACCAATGCCGTGGACTATGAAGAATTCGAAGCAAAGCTCCAGAAAGACATACCGGAGGACTTCTCGAGGTTACAAGTCACCAGCGACCGAGATGAGGATTACTTCGAATCGTACAAGGGCAACAGCATTCACCGTGAGATGATCGAGGACCGTGTACGAACAGAGGGCTACCGGGATTTCATCGAGAAGAACCTCGACGTCTTCAAAGACAAGGTTGTTCTTGATGTGGGCTGCGGTACAGGTATCCTCTCCCTCTTCTGCGCACGCGCAGGCGCAAAGAAAGTCTTCGCAGTCGACAACTCTCAAATTGCTGTGCGCGCAAAGGAAAACGTTGAGAAGAACGGGTACGCAGACCGTATCCAAGTGATCCAGGGCCGCATCGAGGACTTCAATACACAGCGCCAGATCGGCAAGGAGAAAGTCGACATCATCATTTCCGAATGGATGGGCTACGGCCTCCTGTTCGAGGGCATGCTTGACTCTGTACTCCGCGCTCGAGATATGTACCTCAAGGAAGACGGCCTCCTGGTGCCCAGTCACTGCAACATCCGCCTCGCGCCCATTGCAGACGCGGACTGGATCGCAGACGCCACAGGTGCGAAGTTCTGGAAAGACGTGTATGGCTTCGACTTCTCGTCCATGATCCCCGGCGGCCTACTCAACCACCGCGAAATCGGCGTTTTCGACGTTCCACCTACAGCGCTCTGCGGCTCTGCAAATGCGCACCTGCTGGAAATGAAGACTGCATCTATCGGCGATCTGAGCTTCAAGATCCCATTGCGCATGACACTCGACCGCGATGTCGAGTCTCTCCAAGCCATCGCCATCTGGTTTGACACTGTATTCGTTCACCCCGGCAGCTCACAGGACATCAAGACAATCGACGATGTGGACTGGCAGAAGAACGGCATCCCGGGTCTCGGCTTCTCGACTGGACCTGCGAATACGCCTACGCATTGGCATCAGGCTGTGTTGCTGTTGGATGATGATGTCGCACAGACGCAAAAGTTTAAGAAGGGCAAGATTTTGGAGGGAACGCTGCAGTATGCGAAGGAGAAGGGTGATGACAGGGGGATTACTGTTACTGTGGAGTGGAAGGGGAAGGGGGAGAGTGGGGAGGTGCAGGGCAGGGTTGTGAGGTCCATGGCATAGATCTACTAGCACCGTCATGAAAGTCACGACATACAGAGACGACTAGAAAGTTAGGCTTTAGAAGCCCACACGAAATTCAAAATTCAGGTTCACGTTGGAAAGAACTACCGTTCATGCACAAGGAAGATGAAGTGACGACACAAGTGGGGCCAGTGCGCGTGAGCTTGAACACCACCAGCCGTCGCGTATCGACGACCTACAGAACCCCCACGTCGACGCGTAACATCACCTGACTCTCGACAGCACCTCTTCTGCTGCCTGAAGCTACGCGAGACGATGCGGCACCGGTAGCAAGAAGCGATACAACTTCGATGCGCGGCATACTCCCTGGACGGCCGCAGGCTAAGCTGCAAGCTGTCGCCCATAGCTTGTGGGAAGGGAACCAGATTGTTGTACGACACATATGCACTACCGCGAAGAACACTGTAGTGACTGACAAATAGTCGACTAGGCATACATTTCTGGCAATGCCTTCATAATACTCGAACGCCCCGACCATGTCATACAAACCATCTACATCGATGAGGAAGACGAGCTCGAAGCTGTCGCAATCCACGAAGGAACCGGCAAGCTCGCAGCATGTTCGATGCGCAACATCTACATATATCAACCATATAGCGTAGAGTATGGAGTCTACAAGGTCGGCAGCAGCATCGAGACGTGCTAGGAGGTGCTAACAGGAACAGTGGTCGCTGCAGGGCAGCATGACTCTTCCCAATCCGGACGACGCGATAACGACGCTCTCATGGGGCATGCCAGATGAACTTCTCGCCGGCAGCGGAGCGCTCACTCTCTTCAACACACATGGCACAATCGAGCAGGTCTGGACGAAGCCGCTTGCCAACCCCGTCAAGTTCGCTCACTTCTCCCCTGACGCCGAACTCATTGCCTCGACAGGCAAGTACGACCGGTTATTGAAGATATGGCGACGACTCGCATTCGGCTCAGCAGACCAGCGCTTTGATTACTACTACCTACCACATCCCCAAGCCATCACTGGCATACATTGGCGGCAGCCTTACAAGGACCAGACGACCGACAACGTACTGTACACGATATGCGCAGACTACAAGGTGCGAGTGTGGGTGCCTGGGGAGCATCATGGTGTCGATGGCATGCACTTGTGGACAGAGGTGGACCTGCTGGGCTCCATCGAGCCAGGGCTTGTGTCGCAGGACAAGCAGTCGCAAAAACGATATGCCTTCTTCATTGATGGAAAGCACTTCACGCATGCGACGGAAAGAGCGATGGCACAAGCCTCAGCGGAGGAGAAGAGTCACGGTGTTGCGCTGCACCACTTGATTGAAGTCGCCAATCGAAGCCCGGAGATCTGTGTGGTGCTAGACGACCATGGAAACATGTCAGCTTGGGGCTTTGAGAACATTGGTGCCAGGGTCAAGAAGGTCACGGATGTATTCAACATTGCGCATGTTGATGGGCTACACCTGCACTTTGCCAACGAACCCAAGGCTCTTGAGGACAACGTCCAGTTCTACGCGTTCATTGGCGACAAGCCCGACTCCGAACTCACATTATTGTCACACCACTTCGATGGCCGGATAGAATGGCTCGAATCACGAATCGACTACCTTTTCGACCCGTCTCCGCAGACTCAGCGCATACAAAGGAAATCGATCTGGACGGGACACTCGCATGCTATCAAGAAAGTCAATCGTACAGCAAGCGGGCGAGCTTTGGTCTCGCGGACAGTCACAGATGAGTGCATAGTGTGGACTCAACGACCGACTGAGCATGGCACGACCCTACACCGACACAGCACTGTCAAAGTCAGCGAGCACATCCACAGGACGGCATTGCTGCAAGACGGCAACTTCGTAGTCTTCCTGCATCATAACCACATCGCGCTATGGGACACAAGAGGGCCACTAGCAGTGGAAGTCGCAAGGCTCGAGTACAAGCTTCAGGGTAAGCCGCTGTGCCTGCTCGCTATTCCTGAAACGGAGGTTGGAGGTATGTGCGTGCATATCGCAACGATCAGCTCAGAGATGAAAGGCATATGTTGGGAAGTCACTATGCCCTTACTGACACAAGATCCTGCTACTGGTCGCAAATACTCGAGCGCTGTGCCTCACACAAATGGTTACACCAATGGACATAATGAGATCTCCTTGGAGCAATACAGTACATTCAACCTAGGGTCTGAGGATGACCTTGCATTTGTCCTACCCGTCGACCCTGCTGGTACAGCGCCAGTCATCTCGGGCTTCCTCGACACTTTCGCGCGTGACATCGCAATATCCTACAGCAAGTCTGGTGTCATCAAGTCGTGGACAGCTCGTATCGACTCTGAAGAGCATAAGCTCGACTGGCTACTCACCTCGACCGTTGACACCAACGTGCAAAATCCATCGTTAGCGAGCGGTACCTCGATCCGGAAGGCAGCACTGGTAGATGCTGAGAAAACGACATTGACGATCTGGAACACACGAAGTGCGCAGTTGGAGTACGAGGAAACCTTTGATGGGCAAGGGGTTATTCAAGATCTCGACTGGTCCTCCACTCCGGACAACCAGTCGATTCTCGCTGTTGGGTTCCCACATCGAGTGGTCATCTACGCGCAGCTGCGTTATGATTATCTCAATGCCGGACCATCATGGGTCCAGATTCGAGACGTGCGCATTAGAGACATCACGCCTCATCCCATCGGCGATTCAGTATGGCTGGGTAGTGGCAACCTTGTCATCGGTGCTGGCAACCAGCTCTTCATACAAGATGAGCATGTCAAGGTTGATGAGGAATTGTTCCCAAGTTTGCGCATGATTTCTCGCAAGACCGCTTCGATCGACATTTTCGCTGCAGTTAGTCGACTCAATGGTCCCCTGCCTGTATATCATCCGCAGCTGTTGTCGCAATGTGTCTTGTCTGGAAAGGTCATGCTTGTGCAGCGAATCTTGTTGCGACTCTATCAGAAGCTCAAGTTCTGGACAGAGGGCGAGGAGCTCGAAAGCTCTCTTGGCTTCTCAGCGGAGGACTTCTCTGAAGACGAGGTAAGTCGATATCCACGACGAGAAGAAGTGAGTGCTAACTTGGATAGACGAACATGACCGCTTCGAAGAAGGGGATGCACTCATCGTACAATGATTTCTCGGACAACGATGATCCAGAGACCGTGACCGAGGAAGTGGCTGCCAATCTCAAAGACCTCCTAACTACCAAGCAAATGCCTCTGCTGTCGAGTCGAGAACAGTTCCGTCTTGCAGACATCATAGAGTGCATAGGCATGGTCGAGAAGCACCGACGATCCATCGACGACAATGCAGGCCGCTTCATGCTGTTCTTCCGACAACATGTCTTGAGCGAAGCGCAGAAGGCGCCCCTCTCGTGGCGCGAAATCGTGTGGGCTTTCCACTCAGGAAGTCAGGACATCCTGCTAGACCTCATGAGCAGGCACTTCAACAGTAAGATGATGTGGCAGCACGCTAAGCAATGTGGTGTGTTCATGTGGATGTCTGACATCAATGCACTGGTACGTGTGCTTCTGCCACCAATGATCCACAAAGCTGACCCCGTTGCAGCGTGCACAATTCGAAGTCATCGCTCGCAATGAGTACACGAAGACGGACGAAAAGAACCCGGTCGACTGCTCTCTGTACTATCTCGCTTTGCACAAGAAGACTGTCCTGGTCAGTCTGTGGCGCATAGCCACCTGGTCTCGCGAGCAAGGTGCGACACACCGCTTGCTATCGAACAACTTCCAGGAGGAGCGATGGAAGACCGCTGCACTCAAGAACGCCTACGCGCTCATGGGCAGAAGGCGGTTTGAGTACGCAGCTGCGTTCTTTCTGCTTGCAGACCACCTCCATGACGCCGTGCAAGTACTGCACAACCAGCTCGGTGACACACAGCTTGCCATCGCTGTGGCGCGAGTCTATGGTGGTGACGACCACCCTGTACTACTGGCTTTCTTGAAGGATAAGATCCTACCTCAAGCAGCGCGTGATGGCAACCGCTGGCTCGCCACATGGGCCTACTGGCTTCTCGGTCGCCGCGACACCGCCGTTCGCTCTCTCGTCACACCCCTTTCCCGTTTGCTGTCACCGCCCGAGACACCGAACTTCCAATCAAAGTCCTACCTCACAGACGACCCCGCCCTTGTGGTTCTCTACAAGCAGCTCCGCGAGAAGTCCCTCCAGACCCTCCGCGGCGCAACCATGATCGGCATGCGCGAAGAATGGGAGTTCGTCCTGCACACCGCCAATTTGTACGAGCGCATGGGTTGTGACGTGCTCGCTCTCGATCTTGTCAAGAGCTGGGAGTTCCTACTTACGCCGCCACCAAAGACTATACCGGGGCGACCGCCGCTTAGCCCGCTTATGCCGAGGGATAGCTTCCATGCCAATGGACCAAACCAGGCGGCGAGCGATTACGATTTCGATCCGAGGAAGCTGCTCCGGAGGAGGAGTAGTTTGGTTGTTGCGGATTTGCCGACAAGGGAACATGTTAGGAATGAGCTTGCGCATAATGATGGGGCGGTCGCTGAGGAGGGGAGTTGGGATGAGGAGGAAGACGAGAAGGAGGAAGACGAAGAAGACGAAGAGGAGGGTAGTGATGACGAAGGAGAGGAGGAGAGTGAAGAAGAGGAAGAACCGGCCAAACCCGTACCGAAAAAACCGCCGCCGACACAGTTCCAGGAACCGGATGCAAATAGCTTGCTGGATGCTTTTGGATTCTAGTGCAATACACATTCTGGATATTGGCCTGCCATGGAACCTAATGGATTGGGAGTTTCTTAATTTCCACTACGCACAGTTCATCTCACCGTGTTGAGGGCTTCGAAACATTAACTGTGTCGTTTTAGATGCTTTTGCTGCTGACAAGTACTAGGATTACGACTTGCATAGGAATTGCATTCAGATTTGGCGACTACGAAGTTCTCTGTGGCTTCTAGAACCCTCATCTTGATGTAGCCAGGAGTGCCTCAATCCGCCATCTCATCTCTGTTGATTGGCGTCGGTCTGCAAGCATGCCTACAACCTATGCTACATCCATACCAGCCTCACTATCAATAGTGCGGGCTTTCTTCGTGGGTAAGAAGACGCAATCTCCTCCACCTCAACCCACTCGCCATGCTCGTCCTCGCCAGACAACATCTCCTCACTGGTGTCCGACCAGTTCCCCTCATCGCTCTCACCCGGTTGGATCTCCTCGTCGGTGGTCATCCAGGTGTCTTCACTGACACCGTCGTTTCCACCGACCTCAGAGCCTGGCGGCGATGACAGCTCTGAGCTGGGCGGCTCCCCATCGCTCGCCTCGACGGCAGCAGCTCGCTTGCGCTTTCTGCCACCGGGAGTCAAGGAATCAGAAGCCGCCACAGGAGGGTCCACCGGGAACTCGCAGAGAGGGATGGCAAGCTTTGGCTTCCGCTCAGCCCTCGGGATCACTTCTCCACCAGCAATCCGAGCACGAAGTGCGACAGCCCTAGCCATCAAGTCGAAGATGGCTTTGTTCTTCGGCTGGGCTTTGTCGTGAGCAGAGATGATCTGTCCACGGACAGCATCTACACCTCGTGGCGCCGACCTCAATGGGTTCGGCGCGGCATTCACAGCATCCGCCATGAGCTGCAGCTGCTTTGTACTCAACATGCAATCATCAGAAAAGCCAAAACTGTGGATACCATACTTGGCGCAGAACGTGTTGATAGTCGTGTACAGGGCATGGCGCTCAGCGACGCTCCAGTGGACCCTGGCGACCTTCTGAGTGTAGGTCGCGTCGCGGCGACGCGCAAACTGCAGGATCCACTTGTTGTATGACGTCCGAAACCTCTTGTCGTTTGGATCGACATTGTTCAACATGTTGGTGTTGACGTAGATGTCCTGATATGCATGGGTGTCCCGATGAAGGCGGCGGAAGAAGATGACCACGCGCCAGGTCTCCTGCTGGTCACCATCGCCACGGGTCCACTCGTATCGAGATGTACCAGGGACAGGTGTCCAAGGCGATCCCTTCTTCGTCCTCGGCACCTTTGAGGCTTCGACGTCCGGCACGATGATGCTGCCGGCATTGCTGGAGGCGTTCGCCGGCGCACGCACGACCTCTGGCATCTCCGTCTCTTGGACATAGACTCCTCCAGCCGGGTCAGTATATCGGTATGTGACGATCACCTTGGTCGCGTCTATGGGGTGGGGCTGAATGCTCTCAGTGCCCTCACGAAGTGCCTTTGCTCGGTGTACGCTCGCTGGAACGGGACGAGGGCCTGTCGAAGGGCTGGTGTGTGGGCATGATGCTGAAGGAGTCTGTCGATAGTCTGAACGAGCGCTGTCAGAAATGCCAAATACGCCAGCTCACAGGTACGAGCATCACTCACCATCCTCGGTATCACGCTCTTCACCTGCGAGTAGCTCATCGTCGTCGAGCTCATCACCTGCATCAGGCACGAACATTAGATCCTCCTCAGCGACTATACTAAAGGCATCAATCATCTGCTCTGCGGCTCCAGGGCCTCACAGCAATTAGCGGCGTTATATGACAGATGTTTTGCTAGGGTTACCTACCATCTTCCGCGTCGCTATCGTACTCCTCAGCCTGTTCAAAAATACCGTCAAGGGTACTGATCGCTGCTTCGCTGCCCATTCGAGAAGGAACTCCACCAAAGCTCTCATCTACAAACGATTGTCAGTCAGAATACCTCCAAACGCATCCGGTACCAGACCATACCGTCAACAGCTACGACATGCTCTGCACGCGATGTCTCATCTACTGCTGGCGCAGTCACCTCACCAACCATCGTGGCTGCCGTAACGGGTCCTGTGCCAAATGCTGCTTCGGCAGGTACAAACTCTCCCACTTCTTCCGTTGGCGTCAGCAGATGTCCTTTGGGCAGCTTCAGAAGGTCATCTTCTGTCAAAAGTGATTAGCAGGTACAAGCTCAAATGCGCGCCGTAAGGAAACATACTGGCGCGTGACGGCTCCCGCCAGCCAGTCTTTGGCATCGACAAAGTGATGAACTTGGAGCTCTTACCGTTGGCCATTATATTGCGAGCCTTCAGTTCCTTGGCTGGGTAAGGTCGTGACAGGTGTGCTAGGAATCGCAAAAGGTTGTTGTGAAAGGTTGTGGACGAAGTGCGAGCTAGTCGGTGATACTGGCGTGCTCGAAGTCGAAGAAAGTGTGCTGAAATAACAAGGTAGGTGGAGCGCAAAAAGCTGAGGGGAGTGCGAAGTCAAAATTTGCTGTGGTGAAGCAGAGGAAGATGCGGTCGAGCTTATGTGCAAGTGGGGCGGGGGCTTAGGCGGGCAAGAGCAAGGATGGAAGGCACCAGCTGCACCTGGGCGACGGTGAAGGTGAAAGTGAACAAGAAATTGTGGCAACAACGTTTGCTGGCGGCACGGCTTCCAGACGTGTAGGTGAATACAGTACGTCTACAACGATAATATTGATATATACAGCTAACCTTGCGAATGCAGGGTTCGCGTCTTAAAAGCTTACAGCCAAGTTATGACACTGACCTCGTCCCTGACCTTACTCCGTACTTAACCGCTGCATCATGTGGGAGGACGAGGCAATCACAAGCGGATGACCTGCACTGACTGCAAGCAATCAGCGAACGTCTAGGTCACGCCTTGAAGCAATCGACAGCGGTGAGCGAAAGAGTGACCTCCTGACGTCTAGTCTCTTGCGCCTCAGCAGCTTCGCCTGCGACGTCATACGCAAGATAGCCTGTATCAGGGCGTGTAGAACTGCCATCCTTTCACTTCGTGTTGCCTGCGCACTTTTCACATGATACCTCAAGCTGGGTCCGACTCTGTTTCGCGCGCTTGCTCGGTTTGCTGAGCTGCACTCTTCTCATTGACCAGTCATCACCACCGAAAGTCTCGACTCAATCGTAGCTAATTTTCAGCTTCAATCCCGGAATCATATTGATTCAGGCACCAGGACAATGTCAACCACACGCAACCGCGAGGCTTCATCTTCATCAGATCAAGATTGGGCGGCTTCGAAGTCTTCATGTACGTCATCGGCACAGTGCAATTTGATAGGCACATTTACTGATATCTTACTGCATATGAAAGTGATGATGCATACGACCATGGACCGATAGTTGTACGCAACGTGCGTACGACAAAAGCGCATGTGCACTCTCATGAGCATGTGCCCATGACGCAGGGCAGGGTCGAAGGGGCTAGCAGCTCTATACACCAAGCTACTAGTCATCGTGAAAGAGAGAAAGCGGTCAAGCGAGATGTTGTGGCACAGAATAGTAATCGCTGCGCACCACGATCACACATTGATGTCTTAATTGACGCTCTAGATGCAGATAATGCACGCCGGGGAATATTGTCGCGCGAAGAGCCTGTGCCTTCCAAGGAGCACGCGTCGACTGCCTCGACAGAGTTTAAATTTACGGCAGAAGAGAAGATCTGGGGCGAGCGTTTGTATGCGGTCGCTTTTTTCCAGTAACCAAAAGGGTTTAATGCCTTTTGACAATGCTGATGAATTGAACAGTGCTATGGGAAGACGACCCCACCTCTGAGAAGTCAGTAGACGACGAAACTCTCCAAAATACGCTTAAGACCGACCATCAGACCCTGCCACAGCCCATGAAAACGAATCATAACGGAGTGGTGACCAGGGAGGTATTCCATACACACCCTGATGATCCCAGTCTTGTACAATCCGAGCTCACATTTCCTCATCCTTCTTGCCAAGGTTGGTACGAGCGATTTGACGAGCTTCCAGAATTGAACGCCACTGCCAGTAAGACAGACTCAACCCCTCCACGGACGTTCTGCCACTTCTGGCCACAGCTTCAAGATGCTACCATTCCCAAGAAGCGCCACAGTCTTCCCTGGAAACCAGTTCCGGGTAAGGCACACGAATTCGAACGCGGCAAAGGCCAGTCGGGGGAGGCGCTCAAGCTTATCTTCTTCTTTTGACTCCTCGACCTGGTCAGCAATAGATACCAGGAAGCGTACTACTGCTTTTTAGCTATTGTTGGATATGGATCCAAACGAGGACAACTGGAAAAGTAGATACAACGGTATCATCCACCAGTGGAAGTTACGTCGTGACGTAGAATACGTCAAGCTGAGGAGCTGGAATCGCTAGACTGTGGCCGAGCTCTGTGCCTATACACCGCTATCAACAAGTTCTGCCGCCTCAATGGAGTCAGCCAGTTCGGTGTCAGCGACGCTGGACTAACTCAGTCTACGCTACAGCTCATGCTGGACGAGGTCAATACTGTGAGCAATAAAGTGAGGAAGGTCGATGCCATCCGGTCAATTATCCGGAATTCTCGCGCCGACCGGTACAAGCCGCTCTTCAATTTGGCGACCGAAGCTGCAAATATTCGTGCGAAGAGGAGGAAAGGCGAGATGGCGATGGAGGTGAAACCTCTTCATGTCATTCTACTTTCGCGATTTTCGACTGGACCTGCCTCAAGCGTAGCGACTCAGACCCAAGCACCCGCACGTCGCAAGCACAAAGCAGCTGTAAAAGACAGCGAAGACAAAGAGACCGACTAGTACGATGCCCGTTGTGGTCCTCTAAAACTGAGGAAGATGGGAGATATTTGTTTAGAAAAGATTGTGAAAACGGAATACGGGTGCAATCAGTGAAGGTTGGTCCACCATCAATAGATGGCATAATTTAGGGAAGCAAATTTGGAGATCAATCACTCATCTTGTGGCTCAGGACCCAAATGTCGTCCGTATAAGCTGACCTGCATGCAGAGAAAGTATCAGATCAGGCACCACAGATTTTCAAGATACCAGCTTCCTCACATGGCCACTTCTCAGAGCCAGTCGAAGACAATCGCTACTTCTCCCAATTGCCGCATTATGTTCGCGGATCAAGCAATGATGGCACTGTTCTTTATTATATCCGCCTACTCTATATCCATCAAACCGATCCAGCTTCGCGACTATGCACCTCGCGAGCGTTCCTCGACGGGCTGGCAAGCTCACTTTTCCGCCGACCTTTCCGTCTCCTCACGCCCGTTATCGTACTGGAAGTCATCTCACACATCGCCTTCTACTTTCGGCTGTACCCCTGGGGCAACTGCACGAATACAATTTGCAGACCATTTGGGAAATTCTGGCCCACTTCTTTGGCTTCGCCATGGCGCTACTGCACCCCTTCACGACCAAGTTTCCAATGGGTCTCAATATCCAAGCCTGGACGATACCGGTCGAAGCGCGAGGATCTTTTATCGGCTTCCTCTTGGTCCTCGCGACATCACACGAGCAGGTTTGGACGATTGCTCACCTTGGCTGCGACGACCTGGTTCACGATCTGGGAGCTCGACTGGTAGCTGTTCACTTGTGTCAGTGGCCTCGTCATCTGCGAGGTGCGCGGCATGATAGACGCAAGAGCCACAGATACCTTGAACAGCGCACAGTTCAGACCGGCTGCGAGTAGCATCTACACTAGGACTGCCAATTGGTGCATCTTCACCTTAGGCTTCTTCCTCCTGTGCATACCCGAACAGCCGGCCGAGAACTCCTGGAGCGGAGAATACTCGGTTCTAGGCCCTTTCGACGTTACACACTTTGAGCTGTTTTCCAAGATATCCCACATGTGGCGAAGCCTCGGTGGTGTGTTGTGTACCTTCGCCTACTCTTCTAGCGCCCTTCAACTCGGCTGTCGCTCAGTATCTGGGAAAGGCTTCGTTCGGCCTCTACCTGATGCATGTGATGGTTATCTGCATCGCAAGAGATGAAGTTATCTAGCTCATGTGGTGGATCATTGGCGGTGCTTACGCCAGTTATTCGCTATGGCGTACACGTTCTACTTGCTGGTGGATCCTAACTCGACTAAGCTCTCAAGATAGATTTAAAACAAGCTCGTCAAGGCGGAATAAGCAGTGCGAAGCTCAGAGACAAGCTTTGAGGTGGATCAAGGTGGATCTGGAGTTCTCTTATGGGTAGCACGGCAATAAGCGTGCCGCAACCTTCATCCAACCACGCCGACCGTATTGCCGAACATCCCAACACCCCAGCTAGCTACAGCAACGCTGAGCAAAACGCACGGTGCTTTCATCGCGGTATTAATCAATGAACGAGTGGCGAAGATGTATCTCGCACGGTCGTGTTATTGATCATCGTTCAACCACCCGCTAGTCCGGCCGGCAGTTGGCGGATATACCCTTTCGTGCAAGAGCCCAGGTCCATTTCAAATCGCTTCGGCTGCAACGGTAAGCTTGGTCATACATGTTATCCCCACAGTGGGTTCTCACCCATGGGGGTGACTTACCGGCGCTTTTGACGTCAAGTCATGATGATGCCTGCCCTACGTTTGTCATCGAACCAGTGCTGACTACGGGCAAATGACTGGGTAAATCGGCAAGGAGAAGCAACTAATCCGATGCGACCTCCAGCAGTACGGGAAAGTATAAATGACGGCGGTTGAGTCGCTGTTGTTCGACAGTCTGTTCGAACAGTTTACCAGCGGCACCGCCATTTGTTGCAATCATGAGATACTCCTTCGTACACGTTCTCTCGTCCCTGGCTGGCTCCGCCTTCGCCATTCCTGCCCCTCAAGCATCTGCGGTTCATGATCCTGTCGATCCATCGGCGGTAGTCAGCAATCAAGTGTTGCCCACAGGAGCGTCTGGCTCACTGCGCGGCTCAGAGGCATTGATTGGTTTCGCAGCATCGAATCCCATCTCCACTGAGTCGACCGTCATCCCACCTGATGAATTCGAACTTGGTACTGGACAGGCAGCAGACCCTGACGAGGGTCTCTACATTGATCTCATGAACGTGAAGAACCCTCAGCCTATCCGGGGTGGCACTACTGGGCCTACAGACCCCGGCCCAAGGTGAGCTGAAGAACCAAAGCATCTCCACCGTGTGGACGAACACTGACACACAACAGGACCAATGCCTACGATGCACTCAACAGCGACATCTTTGCCCCACCTACTACTGACTCGGGTGATGTGACGAACGCAAAATGGCCGTTCGGACTATCACACAACCGTCATGGCCTGGCTGGCGCAGGTTGGGCACGTAACCAGAACGAAGATCAGTTGCCCATTGCGACAGCAATGGCAGGTGTCAACATGCGTCTGAGTCCAAACGCCTACCGTGAGCTTCATTGGCATAAGCAAGGAGAGTGGGCCCTTATGTACGTGGTTCATTTGATTCTTGATCCACAAGTTTACTCACCAAACATCACAGGCTCAACGGCAGCGTTCGCATTCAGTCAATGAACGAAGCTGGCGAGACTTTCGTCGACGATGTCACAGAGGGCGACGTGTGGTTCTTCCCACCCGGTATCCCCCACTCGATCCAGGCTTTCGACACCGGATGTGAGTTCTTACTCGTTTTTGACAGTGGTGCTTTCTCTGAGGACAACACCTTCCTGCTTTCTGAGCTAATGGAACGCAACCCCAAAGAAGTCCTAGCCAAGAACTTTCGCACCACGACCAAGACTTGGGACAACCTGCCCGACGGTCAGCTTTGGATCTTCCCAGGCACCCCGGCACCAAAGAACATCAGTGAGCAGAACGTCACAGGGCCTGCTGGTATTATCCCCAAACAGACACAGTACTCGTACCACTTCTCGCAACAAGAGCCACTCAAGGTCCCCGGTGGTTCCATCAAGATCCTCGACCCCGCTACATTCCCTGTTGCCGACACTTTTTCGACTGCTTTGATCACTGTTGAGCCTGGAGCAATGCGCGAGATGCACTGGCACACCACATCTGACGAGTGGACATACTTCCTCCAGGGTTCCGCTCGTCTCACAGTGTACCAAGCTCCTGGCTCATCGCGCACATTCGACTTCACTGCTGGCGATGTTGGCTATGTCCCCGTTCCTAACGCTCACTACCTTGAGAACACTGGCAACGAGACCTTGGTCTTCCTCGAGGTATTGCAGGCTAAGCAGTACTCCGATATCAGTGTCAACCAGTGGCTCGGCCTCACACCCAAGCAGATTGTGAAGGATCACTTGAGGGTCAGCGATGGCTTCTTGGCTACGCTGAAGAAGGACAAGCCGATTATTGTGCAGGGTAACCCGAACTTGACGACTACTGATTTTACGCCTTCCGCGGGTGGATCGTAAATAGACATTGAGGAGTACAGTAGATAAATACATCATAGATCTAGAGTTTATATTACTATCAATAGTCTAGTCTATTGACTCTGTGTGTACGTTGCGCTTTCCCCATCTAGCTTTGGTTGCTGGAATTTTGCCATGTGTCGAGGCTTTCTGAAGGCTTCTCTGTCTCCTGTGAGGGCAAAATTCGAACACCGTTGGTACTTTCCACGTTGCTGCCTGGTTCAGGCGGCCGCTCTTTTTCGACTGGCCCATCAGTAAGCTCCACCTCATCCACCATGCCCAGCCTCATAATCCACCTCTCCGCAACTTTGACCCCATGCCACCACCTGATCCGATGCCAACCCTCCTGCCTGAACCTCTGCAACTCCAAGCTATCACAGATATGTACCTGCCTATTCGCCTTAGCAAGCACCTCAACCCTCCCTTCGCCCTTCACCACCAACTCCTCCCTCGTCCGCCTCGGTGGATCGACCGTCGGCAACGCCAAAAGCGCTTCATGCAACCGATGCTTATGCTCCTCAAACAGTTCATACGATGCTTCAGAAGGAGGGTACATGTACCCCCCGCACAACCCCCAAATTCCCCACCCGAACGACTCATGGTCTAGATCGCCTGTCGCCAGCACCTCCTCAAAAACGTCGATGGTCGTGTCCCATAGGTGCTTGAACAAGTACAAGTCTTCTTTTGCGGGACCGGGGACTTGTGCACTACCTATGCAGTCTTGTGCCGCTGCGAGGGAGGTTGCAAGGCATTTTGAGGAGGGGCCGTAGAGTTTTGTGGGTGGATTTGCGGCGCGTGTGAAGACGGTGGTGTTTGCGTGGGTTGTGTATGGGCCGTGGGAGTGAATGTAGGCTTTGGTGTGGTGGAGGAGATAGTGGAAGCGCGCTATTGTGGGCATATCCGATGCTTCTATGAGGATGTTGGCGTTGATTGGTGATGCTGTGGTCTGTGGCGCCGAGGCTGACATTGTCGTAGATGACACAAGCAAAGGTTGTGGTGATTCTTCATGTCGCGTCTGTCAGCTTTTGAAAAGATCCTTGTGGTTTTGTATCGCTTGGTGTTCGGTGTCACCACCACATGGTGGCTGCGCTTGTGGTGAGACAATTGATGGTCGGTGGTATGATCGGTTATCGCAAAAGTCGACTGAGAGCCAGAAACACCAGAATCTCGGGTGCTGAAGAAGTGGAGCGAAAGTGATTACCGACAGGCAAAGCTAATGATTTGAAGGCCAGGCAGGGTTTGCAGTCACCATTTCGTTACCCTAACTATTTGTTAGGGTAAGGCGCTGATTGGACGAAATGAAAGTGGCATTATGCGTTATGATTCTCGGTTTCTTCCAAGGCTGAGGATGCTTCCCCTAGTGAAGCTATTTTTAAGACTGTCTCGTAGATGTAATCGTGGTGCGGGTTCATAGTCGTGCTGCACGGTAGTGGTTTGCAGGATGTGACCGTCCGGCATTTGTATATGATCCCTGTAATCTTCCTCTTCAACAACAATCGATGGAAGCGTGATCATTCCTTCATGGTTCGTGGATTGTACAGTCGACGGTTTCGGTCCATGTATCTTTGTCGAGGTGATTCTGCTACGCTGGGTAGGCACCAGGTCGCACGGGCTAAGGCTTCGCCTGTAACCGCGGCGATCCTTCCGATTCTGTTCGCTGATTGAAGGATAGTATGTATGACTGTTACTGGAAGCAGATGCAAGGCCTATACGCCACAGACAATGACGGACAAGCGGTCGCAGAGTCGCAATACTGCTGGCAGTAATACCGATGCCAGGCTCAACTGTACTCCAGATAGCGACGTCGGTAGTCGCATACAAGAAGTCAGACCCATCCATGAGAGTGTGTATGTAGAACATGCGAACGATGGTCGCGGTGCTGCCAATGGCAGCGAAGGCCAAGATACCAGCAACGAGCGCTTTCGTCTTCAGCTTCATCTGCAAATCCCAGACGATGAAAAATGGAAGAGTTCCAAGAACCCAATCGGCGGCGGCGTTCACGGCTGCAAGGGCGTAAGTGATGCCCTTCGTAGGTCCTGCTGACAAGCATTTGTCAGATGCAGGGTGGTTGTTCCAGAACTCAGAGACTTTCGACGAGTCAGCAGCTACTCACGAGAGGCGAATGAAATGAGCGTCAACAACTTACCAGGAATACACTGGAACGTGACCAGGAAGAAGTAGACGATTGAGAATAGGATAGTGCCACCCATTAACATCTTGATAGTCCAAACATGCCAGCGTTGTACAGCGACACGAAGATAGAAGTAGCCGATCGAGAATTTGAGGGCACAATTGGCAAGAATGTAAAGCAGCTCGCACAGGTACCAGAACTGTGAGTTGTTAGACTCGCTATACGCTCTCAATCGAGCTCACACTACTTACTAGCAAAGCGATCCTGGCGTCGCTATCCTCCAGCTCCCATCGGTGCCGTCCTGTTCCATATACTGCAGCAACTGTCTGAAAAGCCAGGTAAACCGTAAAGATAGCCTACTGAGGTAAGCACATGCGTACAATGGAGGGTGTTGAATAGCTATGCGTGGGTCTTACCATGGTAGCACCCATGAATCTATGCAATGAATAAGCATCTCTGTCAATATAGGAGGAAATGTGGTTATGGCTTACGTATCATCCAAACCCCAAGTATGCATCAATTTTCCACGCACATAGAATCGTAGACTGACTGTCAGCCACGAAAGAAAGAAAAACAATGTCGCCACTGCGAGCACCTCGTTCCGACGGCTGTCCATTGTCGTTGTCTGCTCCATGACACTGATATCAGCCAAAAGCAACGACCCAGTTTGTTTCAGATTTAGTGCTGAGGGCCATTGACGGAGAATTTACTGGGAAGGTACAAACAGGTGAATTCGCAGCGAAAGTGGATAAAGAGCGGTTATCATAAGGAAGTCGCCGACTGTAAGGCGTTGACTTGCGCTACATAGCGTTCTGGTTTCAGCTAGACCGCGGTTCCACAAATCCACGAACACGGTCTGGCCCCAGCCAGAGAGCGCGTCAACGTGTGAAGTTTGGTCCTTGATTCATGCACAAAATGTCGCGTGGATTTATTATTCGCTACTCGGAGGTGGCACATCATGGTATTCCAGTAAAGGACGTTTGCTAACTCGGTCTTTCCTAGCCTCAAAGTTTGTCGATCTTTGAAACACAGATGCGAGGACATCGCAGGTAGCTCCACGACGTGCCTTCGGATAGTGACTGGTGGCCCAGCAGCTCCCAAGCTTTTCCCCATGCAAGTCCTCCGTGAGCGATGTTGTCGGTGCCGTACGGTGGAACATCCAGGCAAACTCTGTGGTCCAGCAAACATGTGTAAAGGCGGGATGTGGCGACTCCGCAAGAGTACCGCGGTTGTCCCATCGAAATAGTTCGCCAGTTGCCATTGAAAAGCCGTAGTGATTGGAGATCATAACGACACTGTAGTTTGCGTTGAAAGGTGGTCGGGGATGGGGAAAGTTCGGCAATAAAGTGCTTATGGATCGCCCCATGGATGCAGGGGCTAGGCCTCTCGTATTGAAGATCATGTTCTCAACCACCAGACAACGACCAGCTAGCACTTCGGGTGACAGAATTCCCCACACACCACCGAGATTTGAACCTCAACACCCCAGCACCCTCACTTCCCCCCCTTGCAGCTGTTGCTTATTTTCTTTTTAAAGATGGCAGACTGGGATAATTGCAAAGGTCATGAAACACCAATAAAAAGCAGGGTCTGCGAAGCAATTGAGTACATGGAGAAGCGTGGAATCCCATACAGCAAGGAGGATGTCTTCTGGATTAACAAGGTTTCCCATTGACAAGGATGAGCTATGATATCTGAAGGCAATGATGACAGGTGTATCGACGCAGGCCAGTAGGGAAGATGTCCGAAGTAAGTGTGAGTCCACTGCGTGTAAGGGGCGAGCCGCTGAGGGCAATATGCGATGTAGAACTTGATGGATTTGATAAGGGGCAAGTCCCAGAGCGGTACTTGCAGAATTCTAATA